ATAGAAAGATAGAATTAGACTCTAGAATACTATCTACGTTACTATTATAGGCTTAAGCAAGATAACTAAGTATTATAGTTATCTCTTATAGAGTTTGCGTATAATAATAGTAAATATATAGTTATAAATATAATACCTTTCTAAGCAAACTAAGAACTAGACTCTATTAAGCTAGATTAGCCTAAAAGACTACTTAGAGATAGAGAGTTACTTAGAGTAGCTAAGCTTACTAAAAGAGTACTAGTAATAATTACTACTTATAGATTAAGAATCCTTATAGTAAATAAGTACTAGAAGAAATATATAAATAAATAAAGGCTACTTATTCTATTTAAAGAAGAGAATAAGATTATAGTTTCTACTAAAAATATGCAGTTAACGTAACTAAAGAAGAAACTAGACTAGAAATTTACTCTAGAGATTATTAATAAGTAAATAAGCTCTTTAGCATTTAGAGTTAAGCTTAAGAGCTTTCTAAATATATACTCTATCTTTTATACTTTCTTATTAGAACTATATAATCTAATAAGTAAAATTCTATACTTTCTAACTAATATTATAGATACTCTATATAATTATAGAAGCAATAATATCTATAAGATAGATTAAAATTATAGATAGAAGAATAATAGATAGCAGCTAATAGAAGTACCTAGTTAAATAGAAAAACTACTCTAAAGATAAAAACTTATAGAAGCTTAGCCTAAATATTTTAGAAAATACTCTAAGAAAGTTCTAAGATACTATATCTGCCTAACTATAGTATAAGAAGCGTAAGAATAGCTAAATAAATTAAAATATAGATATTAGATATTAAGGTTAACTCTTAAATAAAAAAAGAAGATAATAGTAAATAAACTACGCCTCTTAGAGCTATTATAGCCTATAATAAACTATCTAAGATAGAAAGAAAATAATTAGTATTCTTAGAAATAAGTATTATATAATAATTAAAACAAATCTAGAGATAAAAGAATCTAAAGATAAAAAAATATATTACTAAAGAAAGATAGAAAAAAGAATCTTCTTAGCATTTTGCTATCTAGAGATTACTAAGTAAATCTACGCTAGAATAGCTTATAATAGCTTAGCTTAGATTCTAGAAACTTAGGCACTACTCTTATAGTGCCTACTAGCTATAGTCTAAGATATAATAATCTAAAAAAAGCTAAATTAGCTATAAAAGGCTCTACTAGAGTTAGATTTAGGTATTAAGAACTGCTAAATACTCTTTAGCACTATTAAGCTTCTTTTAAGCTTAATTAATCTTACTTATAAAGAGACTACGCCTAGCTAAGAGAATAGAGCTTCTATTCTTCTCTAAAGATATAATATTTATCTTAAAACCTTAGATTAGCTTCTTTAGCTTTCTCTTAGAGTTCTTATACTTCTTACTCTATATATTAAGTTAGTTTATACTAATATACCTTATAATAGCCTAACTTACTTTCTTATAGAGAATACTAAGCTTATTCTTATTAATCTGCTTAAGCTTAAAAATAGTCTTAGTAAAGATATTCTAATAAGCCTTACGCTTAGCAGCAATAGCCTTAGTAGAGTAATTATAGTAAATAGAGATATAGATAGTATTAGAACTATCGTTAGAGTCTATAGCGCTGTTATAGTATACTAAGTTCTCTATATAAGGCATATATAGAGACCTAGAATATAGTTAGTACTTAAGTAGCTTATAATAGAGTATTATAGCCTATATAGAACTATACTAGGCACTTACTTCTTTAACTATATAGCTAAGAGACTATAGGTGTTCTAAATATTAGCTTTAAGTACTAAAATCTTTCTAGTATCTAGAGGCTATAGATTATAGATATACTAAGCAGCTACTATAGCTCTTGCTAGCTAGCTCTTAGTAGTAGAGATAGTAGAGATAGTAAATATTAATCTAATCTAGCGCTAGCTTATTAATATTAGTAGTAATATCTAGAACTTTCTAATATAACTTCTTAGAAAGCTAAATATATTAGTTTATACTATAATAAAGTATTCTAGCTTATAATAACTTATTACTATATAGTTAGAGTTACTAAAGAAGTAATAGAGGCACTTAAAGTACTAAGTAGTCTCTCTACCTCTAATCTTCTTCTGCTAGAATAAGTAGAGATTAAGATAGTTCTTAGTATTCTCTATAGTATTAGAGAAGTCTATTATAATATAACTAAACTTACTAAAGTACTTAAAGAAGCCTATAGTAAAAGATATAATATAGCAGTAGTATAGATAATAAGTATATATACTATTCTTTATTATATTATTACTAATAGTAATCTAGTCTATATTAACTAATTTAGAGGTATTCTAGCCTAGATTAGCGTAGAATAGAAGCAGAGAGGCTTAATAAAGCTAAATTAATAAGCATAGTAGTTATTATAGAATACTCTATATTTATTAGCGCTATAATAGAGTATAATAGAGTATTCTAGCCTAAATAAGAGCTAAAATCTCTATAGAGAGAACTAAAAATTCTTATCTAAAAAAGACTAAGAGAATATAGAACTAAGTTAAGAGTTAGGCTAAGCTTAACTAGTATTATAGATCTATATGCTACTTACTTATTATTACTTAGTATGCTAAGCTTAGCTAAGTAAGTCTCTTAAAACTATAAATTTTAGAAATAATCTATAAAGCTCTAATGCGCGCGTTAGGCCTTAAATAAGCTATTATAGCTTATTTTTACTTACTAAATACTCTTCTATATTAGATATATTTGCTTAAGGTAAGCATACTTAAGAAAAGAGATAATATTAGTACTCTAGCACTAAGAACGCCTTTAGTATTCTAAGTAGGCTTAGTATAGCTACTAGAGAGCTAGTATATAGAGTAGAGAGAGAATTGCTTCTTAATAGTAGTAATTTATCTATTCTTTGCAATAATCTTATTAGTTATTCTTATTATTACTTACTTCTAGCTATAACTCTCTAGTATTATCTTAATAATAAGAGCTATCTTAACTAAGATTTTAAGAACTACTATCTTAATTATAAGATTCTAACTCTCTATATGCCTTCTTATTTATTGCATATTCTCTAGCTACTTAATATAGTCTATTTCTTACTACTAAAGTATAAGTACTTATAGCGTATTAGAGACTTAGCATACTACTATATCTTCTATATTAATAAGAAAAGCTTTCTACCTACTTTTAAGAACACGTTTTTAGATATATTTATAAAGAAGAACTATTAAAAGGCCTTTAAGGCATCTAAGCTAGTCTCTATTAACGCGTAGATTATATTAGATTACCTTAAAGTATAGCTACGTACTTTATTAGAACCTCTTCTCTTAGAGACGCTATAGCAGTTAAAGACTCTAAGTAATATCTATAAGTTTAGATCTTAATTAAAGCTAGTATATAACTTCTTTACTTAGTTACTAGTAATAGCTTAGGCTAGCTTCTTCTAGCTTATAAAAGGTAGTAAGCTAATACTATATAAAAATACGCTTTAATATGCTTAGATCTATAAGCTTAAAGAGTAATTAGTAGAGATAACTAAGCAGAAATTATACAAAAGAAAGCAGATCTAGCATAATAGTACTATAGAGTATAGAACTATAGTAGCGCAGATAGCTGCTTAGATATCTATAGCGCCTTAGCAATCTAAGAAGGCTTATAGTAGTAGTAGTAGTTAAGAACTAGCCTAACTAGCTCTATAGCGCTGTAGAAACTATAGTAAGACTAGGTATAACGCGTAAATGTGCAAAAAAGATATAGAAGATAATTCTAAATTAGATTTAAGCTCTATATATATAGAGCTCTAGGTTAATAGCAATAAAATTAACAATGCGTAAGATAAGTTAGTTATGCTAAGAAAAAGTAGCTAGCTTAGTAATAGTTTACGTTATAAAGACTAATTCTAGAGAGTTTAAGTAATTTTAATACTCTTTAAAAAAAGTAATAGGTGTCTAAAGTTAAGTAAAAAAGAAGAGTTAACTTTAACTCTTTTTGCTAACTAAGCTAAGTTATAAACTATAATATATTACTTACTAAGTTTAAAGAGCTTGCTTTTCTCTTTAAAACGCTTCTAAAATTATAGTTATAGCTTTACTTATCATTAAGTTATAGCTAATTAAAAACTATAACTTTTTCTTACACTCTTTTTTTTGTCACCCTACTGTATATAGATAATAGTAGGAGAGAGTTCAAAGGAACTGTGGTCAGATGCTGGGTTCTTACATTCAACCTTGAATAGCTTTGCAGGTCGACACGAATGCTTTCTCTGTCGCTTTCTGTGTACCTCCTGGATATTCGGCCATGGATCCCAATCGACATTTCTTGACCTAGTTCGCGAAGTGACGGAAGAGCTCATCCCAGCCCACGAAATAGTACGAGATTATCTGGACTCGCAAGTTCTCGTACGTCTACGAGCTAAAGGACGGCGTCGCCAAACATACACCATGGTACAATTTTCCCTTGAGCGCAAATGTCTACATTGCCGCGATGACAGCTCATGGTATCCTTTTGGAAGATTGCGCATGATGGAACTACATCAGCTTGAGCCATCCGTTATTCCAAATCTTATGTGTCGTACATGAAAGATCCAATATCCATCGGCGTTACAGCATAGGGAAGACATGGAACGTCGGAGAGCAGTGGCGGTCGCTACCACGACGGACCTTCGTTCTGAGATGACACACTGGAGGCCTGACCGGCTGGACGCACAAGGGAAAACGCCCGGTCACGTTCGAACAAATCCGACACCAGCAGCAACATTCTCAAAGACAGTGCTGCGATTGGCTGCAAATCAGCACTTTTTCGCCGAAATGTCGATCTACTCCAAGAAAGGAAATATTCTCTAGCCTCTTGTCACAAGCGCCCCGTGAGATACATTTGTAAGACGAGGGGAGATAGTCGCAGCATGAGAAGGATATAAGAAGATGTTGCAAGACAATAGTTCTTTCCATCAACATAAACTATATCCAGCCCTCCTCTACCTTGTCCTGTCTCCTCAGCCTTGACATTTGCATCGCCTTCAGACACGACCATGTCGACACATGCCGCTGTCGCAACAGTAGCACGCAAAGCACCACTTGGTATCATACGAGTACCGACAGTCAAGCCAAGTGGCGAACAAGTACGCGTCCGAGTTGAGTGGACGGCATCAACACCATTGGACTTGCACCAAAACGACGGCGCTCTGCTTGTCAAGCACCCTCAAGTATTGGGCGATGGTAGCGCGGGTACTGTCGTTGAAATCGGACCGGATGTGAAGAGGTTGAAAGCCGGCGACAAGGTCTTTGGCTTTACCTGGAGGACGCAGACCGAGAAGGCACACCAGGAATTTTGCACGGCCGATGAGTGGTTGTTCGCAAAGGTACATCCCCAAATTCTTGCTTGAATGGCGATGTTGTACTTACATTTGTTCAGCTGCCAGAGGACTTCTCACTTGCCGAAGCCGTTACGCTACCGAACAACTTTGTGACCGTCTTCCATACTTTAATCACAGATCTTGGCATTGTAACTCCATGGCCGAAGCCTGACAGCTATGTTCCGAGAGATGCCGACAAAGCCATCCTGGTCTGGGGTGGTTCTTCATCGGTTGGCCAATTTGCAATCCAGGTCCTGAAGTACTACGGCTACATGCATATCCTGGCGACTGCATCGGCCAAGCATCATAAAAAGCTACGGGCTCTGGGCGCAAAGAAGGTGTTTGACTACAACGACGACAATGTCGTTGAGGCGATTATCCGCTCCGGTCACGACGGCAAAATCCCGCTCATCTTCGACTGTATCGGCAGCCAACAGGGTAGCATTGCACCGATTGCGAAAATCGCGAAGGCAGGCTCAAAAGTTGCGATTCTCTTGCCGGTCATCGTCCGCGACTCAAGCGAGACTGAAGATCCAGAGTATGAGATGGACGTCAAAGTCGCGGCGGACTGGTCTGAGGGGGGTGTAGATGCGCGAGGCGTTCGTACACATTTCTACCTCAACGTAAGTGCCGAATCTGTCCCACAATCTTAAACATCCATTTACACATTGCAGAACGAATTCTTTAAATACCACCTACAGCCCGACATTATGCACGCAATGCTCAAAGAAGGCATCGTGGCGCCTCAAAAGCAAAGAATTGTCGAAGGCGCGACGATGCTCGAGCGTGCACAGAACGCGATGAACACGCTGCGGCGGAAGGAGGCGAGTATGGAACGGTTGGTCTGGCGAGTCAGCGATGAGGCATGAGGTGTTGTACAAATCCCACCGGAAGAACTTGCGTGCCCAGCACCGAGGAACTCGGAGGTTGTGCGGGTCGGTGCAATGTCTGTGCAAGGGTAGTCCTTATCGATGTTTACTGAGCGATAGCTTACGGCACTAACTCTATGGCAAGAACATCATCTCTCTCGGGCTTGGTGATGGGTTAAGCGTATCGCCGTTTTCCGGACGTGCCGCTTGCATTCGTGGTACTTTTTCCGCGATTTCATGATCGCAGGCAGACAGTATGAACACCAGGATTCTGCCTTGATCTAGCGTATTGGGAGTTTGATTCGAACATGTTTGCTGAGAGCTGAGCCGTGCATGTTCCGTGCGTAAAAATGTCCGATGCAGCCCTGAAGAGATTGCGGTTTTGAAATCTTGAGCTATTCCAACTTTGGCATGGCCAAGAACGATTCTCGCTATCATCACCCACGCCCTTCAACACCACATGTGCAGACCCATCGATGTATTGCAGATTCTGCACGTCTCCATCGGCCTGCAATGACTATGGCAAGCGCGCGGTCGAAATGACGCATGTCAGCCCCCTGCAATATGAACGATCGGCTCCGCGGTGCTTCTTGTCCTCCATCGCATGATGCCCCAGCGTCTTGAAACCGCCTACCCGTTTCAACCCAGTTCAGCGGGCGCTTCGCTCAGATGAAGCGACTCGCTTATATACCTCCATCACGTTAGCAATCTGCAATTTTGGAAGAAACAACGCCACGATGCATGGGTGCCGCTGTCGCGGGAACGCCCATGCTTAGTCCATCGCCTTGTCCTTCATCGATAACCTTAGTCTGCCCGAGGCCGCACTCTAAGTGGTGGAGTAATGCCCCAAGCATGACAAGAAATCCCACGCCACGTCTGACATCTCGGAAGCGAGGATCCATGAACAATGCATGTGGTCGAGAACATGGAAGAACGATGTTTCGAGGCTGGACTCGTTCGGGAAGCCGTTTCGAATCTTTGATGACAGGGCCCACTGCAAGGCACGGCTGACAATCTTGCGGTCTTCTTATAAGCCATGGCAGGTTTGCCAATATTTACTCATCCAAACGACAGTTTCCATCTCTTCACAGCTCTTTGTGTTCCTCGGGTCTGAGACCTCACATTCGTTCTTTCGACACTCATTCATCTTACATTCTTTGACAGAAGCTAGGCTTCCATACCACTCTCTCAGCACCTCTTGCTCTCAGACACCAACTCAAACCAAGCACAATGAAGTCCTACACCGCTGCCGTCGCCCTTGCTGGCCTCGTCTCCTCCGTCGCCGCCCACGGCTTCATCAAGAGCCCCATTGCTCGTCAGCCAGGTCCCGGCCTCAAGGCTGCTTGTGGTGATCAGGTCTTCAACACCCAGAACTCCGACAAGTACGGTAACGTCCAGGGTTCCATTCAAAATCTCCAGGGCTCTCACCCCGACTGCCGCATCTGGCAGTGCAAGGGTGTTCCCTTTGCGGACGCCGGCGAGATCTTCAGCTACACTCCTGGCCAGAAGATCCCTATCGAGGTTGAGATCCGCGCTCCCCATGACGGTTCCGCCAACATGTCCATCGTCAGCGTCAAGTCCGACAAGGTCATTGGCGAGCCCCTCATCAGCTGGGACAAGTACGCCCTTACCTCAAGCCCCATGTCTCAGCACCCAGACTGGACCAACTTCGAGATTACTATGCCGGATGTCAGCGCCGAGTGCGCCAACGCTGGTGACTGCGTGATTCAGTGGTTCTGGGACGCCCCTACCATCAACCAGACCTACGAGTCTTGCATTGACTTCAAGATGGGTGGTGGCTCCGGTACTTCCCCAGCTCCTGCTCCGGCCTCGTCTGCCCCTCCTGCCGCTTCGTCTGCGCCTGCTTCGTCTGCTGCACCCACCCCCACCAAGCCCACCCCGACTTCCGCTCCTTCCAAGGTCGCTGAGGTCTCTACTCCCTCTCCCGCCGCTGGCTATGGCACTGGCTATGAGACTGGCTCCGGTTCCGGCTCTAGCGCTATGCCCAAGACCTTCACCGTCGCCAGCTTCATTGCGTGGCTCCAGGAGAACGCTGGCACCGAGACTGCCGGCAAGCTACGTCGCATGATCGCTGCTGGGGGTGAGCACGCTCGCGCTTTCCGCGTCTAAGCGATGATGACACGGTGCGGAATTCGGGATGTTAGAGATGCTGTTCGATTCTGTTGTAGATATACACTTCAATGATGCACATACTTTTTATCGCTTTTTGCGATGCGCCTCACATGGTTTTCATTTCATATGTGTTTCGTGTTTCGTTTGCTGTCTGTGCGTCGTGACTGTTCATATTGCGCTTTGATACCAACGTCGAGCGCACAGAAGATGAGTGCTTGATGACATAGTAATGGAGGTGGCGAGCGCATCGCATGTGCTAACCACTCCATGAGTCTTAATCACGAAGGAGTCACATCGCCCAGCAATATGCTTAATTCACAGCAGCATTTTCGAAGTTGGCCACAAAGTAGGGAGAGGAAGTTTCGACATTTCTCAATCTCGAACAGCCATACACTTTGCAGTGGAGTTTGTAGTAAGACTGGACATGGTCGATATTGCATGCGAGGCCCTGAAGACGACGGGGCATCGTCATGACCTCCTGTTTTCTCACTGTCTAGTCGCAAAGCTACGTGGCTAACCTGTGTTACTGTATGAGCTCTGACGCTGAACTGGCGTTACACGACTCACACATGACTGGAGCTGCGCGGGGGGGCTGTTCCCTCAAAACACCAGTGCTTCTGATTGTGACCAACTGTTGGGTGTTGGACCATTGCCTGTTGTGAGCCCCAAGCACAATTTGAGTTCGGGTTATTCGACTCACTGGGTACATAAATAGGCGTGAAAGTATCTGTGTTCTTCTTTCATATACCACACATTGTTGCAATATTGCTTGCGAACCAAATATCTGAGGCTCATTTATCCAGGCGTCCTTACGTCATCTCGATACGAAGATGGACGACAACTCAATCGCGATCGAACATGAGTTCAGAAAGGTAGAGATCGATCTAGGACTCCACATCAGCGATCGTGCCGGCCGAATTCGCTCAGTCAGAGACCTTATAGTAGGCGTATTTTGGATTGTCCAGATGCAAGAAGAGGCAGAATATGGAGACGAGAGGATTCGTTCCGGCTTCACTACAGACGAAAATCTCCTCATGTTCGCATTCGGAAAGTATTCCGAATTCAAGGTGCAAGGCTACAATATTGTTGCTCGGTCCTTCCCGAAAGATTATGATGTACTCAATAATAACGAACCCGGGGAATCGCTCAGTCAAACTTATGGATACTGGTATGAGAATGGCTCAAGGAACGACGACGATATTGTAATCGGTGCAAGTGGTCATTGTTAGTACCGGTTGCGTACGCTGATGTCACACATGAGAGACAACTAAACATCATACAGTCTTGCACTACCTAAGTGTGCTACCAGACCGATTCTTCCAGCCTTTGAAACCCTTTGAAGGTCTTCAGGCTTTGCAAGGTCCCAAAGGCCTCGATATCAAAAGATATAGGACCGTCTTCCAGGAGATTCGTGAGGGCGTCAAAGTACAAACAAGTAATTTCTGGATCGTTGGAACAAAGAAAGGCGACGCGAGCATGTTCTCTTGGGACATCTCTACATCCCTAGCCCACGTCATTGCTTTAAAGAAACGCGATGCAGATGACCAGCTTATACTAAGCTATGATCTGTCCCGAGAAGATTGGAGGATAGCCTGTTTTCGTACATTCTATGTGGTCGGTGAGAGAATGTTGGGGCCATTCAGTTGCAACCCAGCGAACATGCTTGGATCAACGTCTCGATGTAAGTTTGCCAAAGCAATTCTTATACCCGTAACACAATCTTGCTCACTAGCTTCTAGTGGCTAAAACTTTCTGGAAAGAAGCTTGGGACATGGCCAAGAAAGGGAAGAGAGTTGATGATGGTCCGGCCATCGTACCGCTTGAGGTTGATTGTGCACAGGACATGGAGAAAATATACGACCCCGAAGCAGAAAACCGCGGCACAGATGAACTCTTAGTAGAAGTTTGTCGTCTGTTCTGGCGGGCTGCGGATGTATCCATGAGATTCGATCAATCAAATGAGGATCCTGGATTAGCCACAGATTAAATGCCTTTCCTTACCTTCTCTACTTGAATATAGTCTCAGCTTCATGTGTGTTTCTTGTTTCTTTGGTGATTCTATCCGATTTCTCAAATTAGTAAATCTGCATGTCATCTCATACGGGTTTGCTGAGCCGTCTGGATTGATTGATATGCGTTACATTCGTGAACCTCCGTGTAACATTAGGATCCATAGAAACTAAATACACTCAACATGGCACACAAAACCTCGGTACGTATGACTGCAATAGTCCCCTGTTGCAGACCGTTTTCCAGTATTGGGCCCACGTAGTCTTACTGGCCGCCAGTTTATCTGCCGGCAGCATATTGCACACATCATCCCGCAAATGGCTCAGCCCTACCCGACGCATGGCTGAGTCAGTATGCCAAGAGGTGAGTGTTCGAGCACGTTACTCCAAAGAGCTATGACGTCGCGGCGGAAGAGATGTATAAACGTCAAGTTTCGTTTTCGGAAACCTCTTTCTTGCAACCTTCTATTACTAAAAGCCTCATTAGCAATAAACGCCATACTATAATCTAAACGTCGAAAGCATCATGACTGATATTCTCGACCAGGTGCAGGTCCCGAGTAGCTTCTTAGAAATGGAGATTAGAAAAGGGGAAGATCTCGACTCTTGCAACTTCTGGATCATTCTGAATGTTCCCCCAAATCTTCGAAACGTTGATGGGGCCGACCTCAAATGCATGGGTTACACTTCTTCGAAGTCCCACTATGAACGCATGAAAGCTGCGAATCTCTTACATGTTCTGGATTTGCGAAGTTTTGTGATTCCACCAGACAGATTTGTGGAAGAAATAAAGGCCATCATCGAACATTTCAACAACAACTCCGACTGGTTTGGAGAGTTCGTAAGTGACAACAAGGATGTTACAAGTATGATCGGATACAGTACACACTGTAAGTCATACGAGTCGAGCCCAATCACCTTCTGCACTTAAAAGCTAATATTCGGAAAGTGCAAACCCTCATCTGGTCTCTGTATCCTGAGTTATCGCGGAAGCTGGCCTTTCCCCTCAAGTCCCTGAATAAGGCACCAGAGAGAGGTATCTTCGAGGGTATCTTCGAAAACGACATTGCACACTACAAGGTTGGTGTGCCAAGTGCTACTGACCTTGAAGAGAATAGCGACTTCTGGATTCTTGAGTCGGCAAAGGTTAGAGCGCACAAGCCAGAAGGACTTTATACTGGCAGAGGCTATACTCAGTGCGAAGATCACGCGCGTTGGTTTCTCAAGGAAGGCGATTGCACCATACAGAGCTACAAATTTGGTAAGGGCCACAGGGAAGTGGATCTTCTCAACCGATTCATTGGACAGTGCGCACTTAACCAAGGAATTGGTTGCGGCTGGGGCACACCGGAGCGCACAAGTGCATTTTGTAAGTTTTCGATTATTTGCGTCTGAAAATTTTCTACACGGGCCATCCTGATGAAGCGGCAGTCTATGTATACTACAAGCAGAACCAACCTCGAAGTCAGACCTTGGAAAAGGGTATGCCTTGGCCAGCGCCGGCGCAGAGACCGGAGGAGAATCACTAAATCAATTTACTCAAAGCTCGATGATCCATATACTTCAATTTTACTTGTTATAATTTGACTATTCCTTTCGTCAAATAGATTAGCTCTTGAGACAAGACTCTTGCTCGATCTCGTGTTGTTCGACGACCTCATCTGCCTTTTGCTTGTTCTTTAGTCGATATTCGTTTGATAATAGCTGTCTGTAACAGGAACTGGCTGTCATATAGCATAGCTCGATTGATGTGGAGTAGTCATGGTTGAATGTGTGTTGGAGGATGGAATGTTGAGGCCGATGTGATAGCTCATGTATGAGAGCAATTGAGGTTAAGGAACATGAATTTGAGGTTAGGATTTGGTTATATGCGAGCCGAGTAGAGATCATATACTGCTGAAAAGCCTGTACCTAGCCCCGGCGCGATGAAAGCTCATTTATATTCACTTTGGAGCTGCCACTCACAGCCATTCACCAGGAACACTTTACTCACCATGTAATTGAACAACCAAGCAATGCCGATATCTAGCACGGGAGCTTCTCTCCATCCTACACTGAGAGATGTTTCTGGGTAATCCTCACAAGCCAGGGCCGACGGACGGCGTTCCAAGTCTTCCAAGCTTGGATCTATCATGTCGCTGTTCTATTGGTCATAGAAGAGGGTCCTAGTGCTTTGTGTCATTCCGAAGGAGCAGCGACCGATTCTAGATAGTGGCGCGCTGATGGACTCCGCGCGCCGCTTACGCAGTTAGTTGCTTAGACTTTTTCTACAATCCGTGAAACTAAATCTTGCTCTGAGACGCTCAGCCATGAGAGAACCTTCCCCATCGGGTAGAAACGTTCTATGACATCAGTTACATGGTCTGCTGTTCCTGCCGGACTGAGCCTCACCTAGCCGGTGCAATCATCCTCGCCGCAGAGGGGGACGGCGTACTGGAGTGAAATTCACATCAAATCTACTAACTACTCTTGCTCTCCAATTGGAAGCGTCTTCTGCGATGACAGAAGGTTCGTACCAGCCATTTGGGCAGTGGCGCAGGGTCGGATGGTTTTCTCTATGTGGAATCAGCTGCTGAGCGCCATGTTCCATGCAAACCTGCGAGAGAAAAATTCCGTGGGCAGCTCAATGCTAAGAGGCCGTGGGAGCGTGGATGTCGCAATGTTCAAACGCAGCACGCGCTTCACAGCCTCAACTTCCCCACGCATGCCTCCAACGCACCGAGATCACAAGGCCGAGAATAGGTTCAGCCTCCCCCGCTGATTGTCGAACGGTGCTTTGTCGAACGGTGCTGTGACTGTTGGAGCGTCATGTGCGTTCGTGGAATATAAGAACGTGGTTCTTCACAAGAGCTGCCTGGTCCATTGACACAAGCGCTTCAAATCTGCCAACGCCGCTTCACAGCATACCAGACCTCAGCCTCTGCGCGACACCCACAGTATTCTTCTTCATCTTCTTGAAACAATACCCTCGGATCCCCAACTTGACCTCAGCACCACTGAATCGATACATGAATCAATCTCCTCGTCAAGCGGGGTCATCGCCCCGTCAAGGCGCATATGCGCACAACATTCCAGCTCTGAATCGTCATAGTGTACCTCTAGCGAATGCCGATGGCCAAAATTCCTTCTCAGACGATGCGATAGGCATGCCCCAAGGCTCGGGAGCCCTGCATGACTCCTTCGACAGCCATTATGGGGCAGCAAACGACTTCAGCCAATCCCCGATACCAAAATATGGCTTCAGCACGCAGAGAAACAACATGAACAATCGACCACCTTCCGAGTCCGACCCTTCATTTGCTACTCAGAGCAGCCAGGGTCTTCTACGTGGCACCGCGAACTATGCGGTAGCATCTAGTCCTTGCGCACTGAACAACGAGATTTCTGTAGCAAATGCTTGCTCCCCTCCCTCTCACTTTCTCCCCCAAGGGCAGAGCACGTTCGGGAGTGCTACTAGCCATCAAACTCACTCCTCGCCGCAACTTCCGTTATCGCTTGACACGCCTTCATACGCACCAAATATGCAGCGCCAGACGAAGTACCAGCCATTCCAGAACCTCTTCTACACCGCTCAACAGGCCAGAGATCATCGAAGACGAGAAACCTTGTTCGGGCGCATGCCTTACCTGCAAGTTGACAACACCATCGAAGACGTTGAAAAGAACCGTACGTTACACGTCGAAGAGATCTTCAATGCAATGACGAGCGGAGAGGTTGCCAGAGACAACAACGGTTCGATTGCCATGAAGCGATGGGTTGGCAATGCTCACTACCCAGGGAACCTGGTAGAGGCATACGCCCACAAGGTCTTCGACTGCCTACTTCAGCAAGCGAGGGAGGGTTTTCGGGGCTGGGAACACAACGATTACGTTGCAGACGAACGCAAAGGTGACGATATAGACCGAGAAGTTGACTGCGCTGGCCGCTTAGCCAACATCATCCAGGCTCTGGAGCAAGAGAAGACAATCTGCGAGGACGTCATGAACTCTGCCTGCCAGATTCGCATGTTCGTCAACGCTCCGCGCGCGTACGCCAACCGCAAGCACCAGAACCGCGTCGGCAATAGTAAGAGGGGCAAGGGTAAGGATGCTACTGATGCCAACCCCCGGCCAATAAAGGCGCCAAGAATAACTGGCAGGCGTACAAGAGCCCGCTCATCAGCTGCGCCTGAGATGTCCACGTCGAGAGACTCGACACCACAGTACCAGCCGGCGACACAGCGCGCACATAATTCGGGGCCGTACTTCAACTCACCACATTCGCAGAGCCTCGCACTGAGTCCCGCGTCTGCCAGCTATACAGCTTCACGATTAGCGCCACTTCACAGACCGACAATGTCGGCATCTCGCCCTTCGTTCACACAACATGCAGCCTCCGCGAACTCGGCACCCACGTCATCGCCGCAGACAGCTTACTCTCCGCAGCCGTTCATACCGCGCATGGCGAGCGAGGCGTCCTTCGCCTCCCCATTAGTAGCTCACGCAAGCTACTCGCCAACTATTACAGCTGGCGACGTGAAGCCGCCGTCGACTCATGACTGGCGTGAGATGGTTGAATTTGACGCAGGTACCGGCGAAAGCTTTGCACAGCATGAAGCGACGATCGATCCCCATATTTCACAATGGGGATTTGCCGAGCACACATCTGGTGACGGACGAAGCGCCAACCTTTTCGAACGAGAACATGGAGGCTATGTAACCCTAGCGCACATTGAGTACGCGAGCCCTGACTGTGTTGCGGCTGACCCATTTTTCCCATATTGGAACGAGGAGAGTGGGATGCAGCAAATGCCCCCGAACAAAGGACAGTCGGAGCATCAGAACAGGGCTTAGATTGTTCGAAGCTGACGGATTGGATGGTCGAGAAGTTTTTGAGTCGATGCATGAGTCTGTTGTCTTGTTTGCCGCAGTCTTTCATGGCTTGGATGTGGTGTGAATTTCGTTGAGCGCCTGGACGGTGCGTCAACTGGTCTCTTTAATTGTATTATTTGCTACACGTTGGTCATAGTAGACGTAAGATACTCATTTGGGTATGTTAGTTCCTGGTCACTCCGCATCTCGGCTCCGTTCCATGGTGGAAGCAGATTTTGGCGCGGTTGGTCGGGCACTTTTATGTTGTTACGATTTAGCAACTGAGTTGGGGCATGCTCTGTTTTCTGGCTGGCTTTCAGCAATAAACAAAGCTTCAAAGCGCAATCGAATCATGTCGATAATGTGAGGTGCACAATGATATCCGCTGCGGATATGATGAGAAGCGACGAAAACACCTCGTGATTTCTCGCGCTAAGGACGTCGCGCTAATTACTAAGCATGCCAAGGCCGTCACAGTGAACCTTTTGCAAGGCTTCCCACTTCCCTTTCTGTACCATCGACTCTCATGATTTGGCGTCACTTTGCCTCTCAAGTCATGGTACTATCCGCGATAGCATGTCGTATTTACTTTCGTAGCTTCCAGTCATTTGACTCAGCGTTCGGCTCCGCCGACAGTTCGGCGGAGCGTAACCCCAAGTCCATAGTTTCGAGCTTCATGCATGCATCGCTCGCATCGCAACCCGGAAACTCTACCGATGCGCCTTGCGAAGCCCCGTATATTCTTACAGCCTGCGTCAGCTGTTCAATATCAGACCCCTAATCTGACGTCCGGGGCGTAAATCTTATCTGACGCATTCTTCCCCTCATCCAATACAGCCGTGCTGCGCCGTAAGCTGTGCCGCATAACACCTGACTGAGCGCATCCATAAAGCAGCGCATCGAACATTTCCACCCACATTTTCTCCAGATTCTACATCACACTGGTTTTATTTAGTTCCAACATGGCTGCCACACGCCCCTTCATTGTCATTGTTCCGGGTGGAGCCCAGAATCCTGCTCATTACGGATATCTGAGCCACCTCCTACTGCTTGCTGGCTATCCGGTGTACTCTGCGCTTCTTCCGTCCGTCGGCACTGAAGGAAAAGTTACCATTGACGACGATGCGGCTTACATCCGTGACCGGATGCTGCTCCCAATACTCGACTATGAGGAGCACGATGTGATTTTGCTCATGCATTCGTATGGCGGCATACCAGGCAGCGCCGCCGCAAACGGGTTAAGTAAGACTGAACGTTCCGCACAAGGCAAGAATACGAGTGTGATTGGTCAAATCTACTTCGCCGCAATCCTAGCCAAGGGTGGTGATGGAGGCAATCTACTGGATCCTCTCGGTGGCCAGTATCCACCACACATTACGCCCGACGTACGTGATTGTATCACAGCCAAAGCAAAGACGACCGAGTACTAAGAAGAAAACCACAGCCCTTATTGAATGTTCTGCGCTGCACTGATCGAATTCGTCCACTTTACCACGACGTACCTGCAGACCTTGCAGAAGCACTCGCGGTGTCTGCCATGGTACAAGGCAAGACCTCGTTTGTAAGTCCAGCTCATGCTTCATCCACACTTTACTAAACATGCTTATAATAGGAATCACCTTGCCCACGAGCAACGTGGGATAGCGATCATTTCAAAGGTAGAGTCGCCTTCGTTCGCACCTTGAAGGACGCATCCATTCCTGTTGATGTTCAGCAGATGATGATCGATGGAACCGGCGTCGAGTGGATTGTCAAGGACATTGAGAGTGGCCATTCTCCCCAAGGCTCTCAACCGGAAAAGCTGACCAGCATCGTGGTGGAGCTGACAAAGGCTTTCCAGGAGCTATGAGTAGACGACTAAATCGCTCACGCGCTTTTGAGTAGGTATTCGCTCTCGGTCGCTGTGCAAATCAATTGAACCCCGCACTGATGACACCACCAATTTCCGTCCTTCAAGTCTTTTTACTTCTCTTCGCCACAAAGCACGTCTCTTTACTACCATTACGGTGTCATCAACTCCAGTCTCCATGCAAGTCCACAACAATGTTGTCTAAAAGTCGCTTCTCAGTACACTTACCTACACTACTCGCATTAATTCTCGCGAGCTTCCCGATATGGTCAAGAATACTTTCGAACTACGGTGTACACACAGCGGCAGAGTAAGGATGGCGCGTGGTTGAGACGAGGTGTATGTTGGGCACTCACAGTGCGAATGTCGCCCGCACGACTCCTTTCACCGCAAGTCTTCCAGGCACATCGACAGACTGCCCAGAGCCATGCCCAGAGTCATCTAAGATACGCTACCAATGTGTGGATGAGAAACATTAGTGTGCATACAATGGCAGATGGCAACGATACCTTTTAGATTCAATAAAACTCTTCCCAATCAGCTTAGAGAGAGAACCCCACTGCGACCAACATCGCAATCGAACGCATCAGCAGCTACTTGGCCAGTTCGATCGAAACACAACTTGCTCAGTCGGACCCGTATCCCAGACATGGACTCCCAATATGGTAGAACGGGCATGCCAGTGCATAGCCTTCCGACTCATGACGCCAACATCACTCGCGCTTTTCCGCCGGACGATTTCGTGCATATGGTTGACGCAAACAGTACGCGGCAGCTTGCTTTCAGCAACGTCAATGACGCGAATGATTGGCTTCATATCAGCCTACCTCCACCAATGACCCCAAACCAAGACACCACCATCAGCTTCGTGGATCTAAACCGTGCATATTTTGTCCGAGAGCTGGTAGATGCGGTGTATGACCTGCGCCTCTGTATGGACGGCCCCAAGATGCGGAATCACTTTCTGCCGCACGGAAATTCTTACTTCAGTAACCTCGAAGTTGAAGCTGCTTGTCATGTCCTTCTGGATCGACTCATCGAGCTTTGCCAAACCGGGTTCCGGGGCCTGCGCAAGTTCAACATGCACACCTTGAAGCGATGCCCTGACGCCGACAAGACTGCCAACTGCTTCACTCGATACACGAATACTTTGAACGCACTCCGAACCTGGAAGTCCATCTGCAAAGGCATGATCGAGGAGGATGCCAAAAAGTGGCAACTTGTCAACGCCCCGTTGGCCATGATAGGCCGTAAGAAGACCGATAAGCGCGGTAATCGACTGAAGAAAGACAAGATTGATAGTCTTGAAGCACGAATGAAAGACGAGAAGTCGCCCGAACTAGACCCGCTTCTAGCTTACAATGCCGCTGCGACACAGATTCGTTGTGTTGAGCACAATGATGCGCAACCCCGTCTCGGCCCGATGGTAGTGGCCCCGATTGAGACGTCCTATGAACCAATTCTAGCACCCGATGCACTTTCTCCCTATATCGTACTTGGAGACACGCTCCCCATGTTTAACAATGTTGGCAACTCCGATGGCTATCACGATGATCACAACCACTTCTTCACAGAAGGCATGGAAGGACCTACGGGCATCACGACGCCTGCTGCTATCCCTCCAATCGCGACTGCCATGAACAATGCGCAGCCACGTGCCAATGATCAGCCTGCAGGTTTTCAGATGGCATACATTGCACCACATGCAGGTGTAGTGCAAATCGCCTATCAGCCTTCTGAAGCTCAGCGCCATGCAACCACACCGGGAGCTGGCAGCAAGCGCTCTCGAGATGAGAATGACAACTCGGCGCTGCGTCCTCGTCAGCATCGAAAGACTACTCAAGATGGCCCGCGTGGAGGTAGCCAATCTTTTGGTAATGTTGAGGAGGTGACTGAAGCCGAAACTGTTCATGTCGATCCCTATTAGGGCGTCTTGACGCGTAGAATAGTTTCGATACAGGTGTTGTCGTATCTTGCGCACAATATCTGTCAGATGCATGCGACCGTCAAGTTGTGAATCTTAGGACAGGAAATACAAATGGCTGCAAGAAGTAAATGCAGGGACTTATACATCGAACACACACCACTATAACGTACCGTCTCAAGATGGTCAAAGCTCAAACTCGCGTTGAACTTCAGCGTGAAAATGATGTCACGTGTAAGCTTCATTTCACGGCCAGGTCGCCGCGATGACCACTGATATTGCGACCTTTCTAGGTATGAAACTCAAGGTAGCCTGGTGAACGCTAGCATGGACCTCCAGCCTGCTTTTCCCACGACCATAAAATCCCTCCCATAACTGACTACTCTGCAGTCATCACCTCAACCTACGCCCCTGACTGGCTCACATACAATTTCTTCCCATTCAAATCAACTCCCAGATCATCGAACACCAGCAGGCGCTTGAACCGATGCCCATGGCACCACCGAACACTGAACCAGTCCAGCAACGCGGCCAGAATGTATCATACCGCTACCAGTTCGACACAAATGGTCGTCCGACTATTCTGAAGTACCAGAGTGACCTCCAGGGCGCTATTGCGCACCTGTACTGTGTCCGCGCTGTTCCGGGATTGGTTCCAGCTACAGACCCGACGATCAACCACATCCAGTCACAGGAAGAGACCTGCGTTGCAGACTTGATGCAGGCTTTCTTCGATGTAAGCAGCGTGAATGACAACCCTGGATCAAAGGTCATTTCGCACTGTACTCTCAGCGAATCTTGTGTATTCTCAGTCGAATACGTGGAAGCTACCTGTCGTCTAGTGCACAGCAGACTCATACTGCGCTGTCGTGATGGTTTCCGTGGACACGAGAGCCGCGATTGGCTCGGCACGCTTCAGTCAGGCGCCCAGCGTAGCTCAATCGAAGAAGATGATATCTCAGGCGATTGCCAGACACGATTTACAAATGTCGTGACATTGCTCCGAAAGTGGAAGTCAGTTTGCAATTCGATCATAGGGTCCGCCTCAGAGATTGAGGGACTGGTCAATGCTCCTGCAACTATGCTGGGCGCCAAACTCAGGTCGAAGCAGGGAAATCTTACTAAGAAGGCGAAGAAAGAGAGGACCGAGAATGCGTTGAAGGTTGCAGAGGATAAAGTAGCTCAGTATACGGCTGAGACCACGAGCGCGCCGAAGTCGACTCAACCCACCGGAGCTCTTCGCGGTCCCGGATCCGCAATCGCCCCGAATGGAGCAGCCCAAATGAATCCTTCACAGGCAGGCGGTAGTATTCGGCCATCGAATCGAGGGCAGAACCGTAGTGGCCCTTCCTCACGTCTACCTAACTCGACAGGACCAGGCGGTTCTACAGTATTCGATTCACGTAGTCGTCATGCCTCGCCTCACCAGACCGGTGGTGCACAAGGTCCACGGCAGCCATCCATACGCACCAACGCGAATGCATACGCTGCATATGGGCCAAACCACCATTTTCCTCGGTACAATCATACGAACAACTATTCGCATGACTTTCATTACCACCTCAATGGGTTTGGTCCGATCGATCCAGCTCTTCTGTCCCCTTCGGTTTTGCCAAGGGGTTCAAGTCCAAACATGGTCGCTGGAAACTCTTCCGGGTCGGCTTTTGGGAATGGTCCGCGCTTTGGAAACGGACGCGATGCCACATACTCGCCATCCATGCCTCCAGGTATAGCGAACGATTCAGGCCGGTCAGACATACTACCTAGCTATGACGCAGGACCATCTCCACTCTCGAACCAAGCCACCCTATCAGACATGGGCACTGACGTTGGACTCATGTACGCAATGGACAGGGTCAAGCAAGGCAGCATCAAATTCAACCGGAACAACTTCGCCGGCTATCAAGATGACTTTTCCGGATTTGGTATTGCATCTACCTATCATCCAGGACGCTCATCTGGGCCATCTTCACAGCTGGACCGCTCAGTCGGTCCGGTCGCACATCCTCTTTCCGGACCTCCAGTGCTGTTAAACGGATCCAAACGCTCTCGTCAGCAGTCGACAGAGCCGGACGAGCAACCTCCTGCGCGCCGTCAGAAGCATGATGGTAACGGTGCTGACTCGCATGACTTTGTCGACGAGGACAACCATGACGCAGAGGATGGTGACGTTGGTGACGACGCGTATGCAGAACATGAAAGCGTCACCACCGATGAGTGGGATAGCTATGACGAAGCTCTGACAGGATTCAATTCCGAGGAGGGGGAGGATCAGTGAAAGGGTGCTACAGGGCGGTTGGCTATGGTGTGGAAATCCTGATGGATTCACAGTACCGCGCTAGAAAGGTATGAGGTCATGTAAATCAGTGTCTTCACAATAACAGCAGAATTTCATGAAATGGTGTGAGTTACGAAGTGACACGTACAATCTTACATGACAGATGCAAGTCGTGATGTACAGCAGCGTCATATGAGTTTAAGCGAAGAGTCTCTGTCCAAGTAGCTAAGAAAGCCACAGTCTGATGTATCTTCGTTGGAAGTCCTCTTGGCCGTCGCTGCTCCAATCTGTAGTTTGTGAAGCTCTTAGAAGCTAGTGCCCGTTGAGTGCTTTTTCTATTCACCTTGTTTTCCATCTTTACAAAGCTCCGTCTGTATAATACCTTTGCAAAGGCAAAAGTAGGACGAGGGAGCAGAGGACTACCCGCCCTTTTCTTAGAGCTGTTAATGCTGCAGCTCTTAATGCAGAGCGCAGCTAACATCGAAATTTCAATGTAATACTAATCCTATGAGACTGAATCAACTGTTATCAGAATTTCCGACTGTTTGAAAAGGTAGTGCTCGTATTCACTCGTGCAAGGCTTGAGGGCGCCGTGCTGGTCCTGCGACGTGTCAAGGCTTGTGACGCGAGCTCTTTGAGAATTCGATATGCCAGTCAGACATCTGCGGGGGCTGATCAACGAAAGTGGCAGTATGCATGGAGATAGCGGCTGTAGCGGGATTCGGACTGTCCGAGTGCTTCAACTCCGACACTCAAGGCAACCACGACCACAACAATCGCAACTGCTTGAAGCACGCGCTTTAAATACACAGTAGTGGAATCGGACCGGAATTCCGCCCCATACCTTCTTTTATAGCCTCACGCTCCCGAAATTCTTCCAACCTCGTAGTCTTCCGTCCGGTTCTGCACTATGGTTACACCAACCCCAACCACTGCTACAGACCCGATAGCGCCAACAGACCCAAACACAAACAAAGATGATCTGCCATCACAAACACTGCATGGCCTCAAACTCGCTACCCTCCTCGGAAGCATCACCCTCGTAACCTTCCTCGCCCTAATCGACACCTCCATCCTCGGCACCGTGTGTCCTCCTCCTCCTTTGTCCCCACCAACTAACAGCCCCAGGCCATACCCGCGATAACCACCGACTTCCACTCCCTGCCCGACGTCGGATGGTACATTGGCGCCTACCAACTCACATCCGCCATCCTGCAACCGCTGTCTGGTAAATTCTACACCTTGTTCCCTACTAAAGTCGTCTATCTGTGTTTCGTTTTCATATTTGAGCTGGGAAGTTTGATATGTGGTGTTGCGCCGAATAGCGCGGCGTTAATCGCAGGACGGGCAATTGCGGGCTTGGGTGTGAGTGGGCTGGTTAATGGAGCGTTGAGTATTTTAGCGAGGAGTGTGGAGAGAGAGAAGAGTCCGTTGTATACGGGGATCTTGATTGGAACGGCGCAGATGGGTGAGTTGCATAAGATTTTGCGACGTAGGAGGGGACTGACGGAGTGCAGGTATTGTGGCTGGGCCGCTGATTGGTGGTGCATTGACTCAACATGCATCGTGGAGATGGTGTAAGTGCCGGGCTGCTTGAACCACACAAGATCGGGAAATTTTGCTAATACTGAGCAGGCTTCTACATCAATCTTCCCACGGGAGGTCTTGCGGCAATCATCTTCGCGCTCAGCAACATCCCAGACGACCCAAAGAAAGAAGCCTTCTCCATGGCACTCGTTCGCAAGGTCATACCCCAACTCGACCTTTTCGGGTTCTTGCTGTTTATCCCAGCAGCCGTCATGATTCTCCTCGCGCTGCAATTTGGCTCCGGAAATACCTTTGCATGGGACAGCGCCACAATTATCGGACTGCTCGTTGGCGGTGTCGTCATGGCGCTTATCTTCATCGCGTGGGAGTGGCACATGGGTGACCTTGCTATGCTGCCAGGTAACTTGATCAAGCAGCGGATCGTCTGGACAAGCGCATGCTTTGCCATGGGCAACATGGTCTGCGTGATTGTGGCAAGCAACTTCCTTCCAACTTACTTCCAGGCCGTACGAGGAGACAGTCCAACAATGAGCGGAGTTCATGTCCTACCAAGCATTCTGTCACAGTTGCTTTGCGTCGTTACGTCGGGCGCGTTGAGTATGTTGGCAAGACTTGGATCGGGTACAGCAGCTAATAGATTCAGTGACGCGGTGGGGATATTACCTACCTTGGGCTTTCGCGAGCGCTGTTGTGATGACTGTCGGCAACGGCCTCATCTCGACGTTCACCCCAACCACGGCTGTCGCGAGATGGATCGGGTATCAAATCCTCCTAGGTGGTGGCCGTGGCTTGGGATTGCAGACGGTAAGCACTTCTCCGGTCGTCTCAATACCAAATCTAATGTCCAGTAGCCCCTGATTGCAATTCAAAACGCCGTCCAGCCATCACAGGTTCCCGTTGGCATGGCGTTCCTCATCTTCCTGCAAAATCTCGGAGCAACTGTAGGCGCGGTCATTGCCAACACCATTCTCGCGCAAACCTTAACCAACAAGATCCCTCAATATGCGCCGTCTGTCGCCCCACAAGCTGCGTTGGAGGCCGGTTCCGATCCCGCTGCCATTCGTCACTTGGTGGATGGTCACGAGAACGAGCTCAACGGCGTCTTGCTGGCATATACCGAGGGTTTGCGAAATATTTTTTACTTACTGGTTGGTATGTCTGCAATTTCGTTTTTCATGAGCTTCGGCATGGGATGGGTAGATGTTAGGAGGAAGAAAGATGTGACGGCGCAAGAGGATGGTGAAGTGCACAGCGGAAAGGTGGAGGTGGAGAAGAACGGCGTCTAACAGGCGTCATGAATTGAAGCTGATACGATAGCTTGCGGGTAAATTGATAGAATGGAAAGGTTTGAAGCTCTCCTCGATTTCTGGAGAACCGTCAACTGTCGTACGTTGGATAAGTGAAGGCGAAAAGTCATTGAATAGATTTCCATGTGGACGGACGCGCTGCCTGAAGATTTCAGAAATCTTGATTGTTGTCTTGAAGTGGAAGTGCATCATCCGGCAATCGCGGACTAGGACATATATCAGTGGAATATTGCGGCCGTATGTACTTGTCAAGAACATGTGTTGCCGTGCACGTTTTGCGCAAGGAAGATGATTCAGCGTGGAGGTGTTCGCTTGCCACTCCTGCATGAAGCGTCCGTGCGCGGCTGCCGTGCTTCCGATCTCCGTTTACCGCACCCATTGTGCGACCTCCATTGATCATTCCAGCCTCACCTCCATCACGCCGCCAACTCGCGCGATCGCGCCATGGCTGAGATCCAGCTAAATGACGGTGTAGGCAAAACGTAGACTATGTACGACGATTGGCTTTGTAAGGCCGAGGACAAGAAGCTACTGTTCTCTAGCCCCCTGGCGTCAACTAGGGGCGCTTAACAGCGTCCCGGCCACGATGAGACACTTGGGGATTCATAACCAGCTGCATCTGGCACTGCACGTCGCAGCGCAGTAAGAACACCCCCGGCAACATCTTAGGCACGACGATAAATCACGACGAAGTGGCCTGATCTTTTTCCTCGCTTCCTTGTCGCCTGTTCCCTTCTTCGCTCTTGGTACCTGAGGCGTCGTTCAATCAACCAACAACCTCCAAACTTTCTTTCGTCACTACTCTTCTGTCGCTGTGCTGGTTCACTGTCACTCTTTTTTTACACATTATCTTTTAATTCACCGAAAACTATTCCATTCGCTTCGCCCGTCAAGATGCATTCGTCAATCCTCGCCAACATTGTCCTCCTGCTGTCCATCCTCGGCTTCGTCGCTGCCTCGGAGATGCCCGCAGCTAAACTCGAAGCCCGCCAAGTCCCCGCGCAACTCTCCATGATGGAAATGTGCCTCGACTACGAAGTCACCGCCAACATGTCGACCATTGGCGCAAACAGCTCGTACCGCACCGTCTTCATGCAAAAGGCCCCCGTCGGCACCATCATCACTGCGCGCATGCTCAACGCAGCCATGGCGAAACTCCCTGCGCTTACCGCCGACCAAATGCTCAACAACGCGTGCACCAACAAGACGGCGATTGCGCTGCAGGAGGCGGAGAGGAACTTTACTCAAGGCATTGTCGCGCAGTACACGACCGAGGGCTTGCCGGTGGGAATCAAGGCTGGCCCGGAAGTCATCCTCATTTGTGCGGCCATTTGTGTCATCTTCTCGATGACCTGGGTGTTTAGTGGATGAGAGGGCATGGAGCATGGGTTGGACGGTGGTGGCAAGAGGATGTCGAGTTGCAGGAGGGGCGCATAGTGGCGACACACGATAGAAGAAGTGGTATACCCAAATATGGCGTTATAGTGAATCCAAGCATCGACGTTGCGTCTGCGCGCCATCATCTTTTCTTTTCTGCGCGTCACCAGCTCCAGCAATAATTCGTGAGGGGCGAACAGTCAATGACGAGGCTTTCGCTGACGTATGTTTGTACAGCATTGAAGACCATTCAGCGATACTTTTCGACTTGTATTTAGTACTCGACAATGCACTAAAGATCTCCAGGTTATTGTGTCGTCGTGTGAAAATCCCGGGGCAATCACTGATTATTGCTCAGCTTGGTCGCGTCCACTGAAAGCTGACATGATCATATACACAGCTCGTATCAAGTCTGAAGCTTGCAAAGTATATCCACGAAGGGAAGTATGTACAAAAGTTTTTGATGACCCGGCATCGTTCCACCCCAGCCTTGACTCTCCCTAAAAGGTGACGACCCCGACACCCGCACTCTTCTCCACAATCCCACACACCCCCACCGCCTCGTCCGCGGTATACTGATAACTCGGCTTCCACGTCCCCTTCTTCGTAATCTGCGTCTCACACCCGGTAAACAGATTCTTCTCCTCCGTCGCAAAACCCTCCTGGTCGCTGTCCAAATTCGTCACCACCGCTTTGGCAACATTTGTGAAGGAGTTGCTCTCTACAAACACCTGCGCGCCCATGCGCGAATTCACGCCCGACACGCCGCCGTTGTAGCACGAGCTGTACACGTGCGCGGTGCCGAAGCGGATCGAAGGGAGCCGGGAGTTCACTTTGTTGAAGGAGTTGTGGTGGTATGTTACATGCAGTTTGCCCGTGTCTTCGGCGGCGTTGGAGTCCGAGTGGCCGATTAGGGAACCTTTCCACTGCACTACCATCAGCGTCGTGTATCTAGAAAGCAAAGGATGAGTCAGAGGGGAAGCACGTACGTGGTCGTGAAACTTATTCCAGGAGAACGTCAGCATATCCGCGCCGTGCTTTGCGTCCAGCAGCCCGTCGTATGTGTCTTTGTCGCCGGTCAGGCCGACGGAGGAGAGGTCACAGTGGTCGACCCACACTTTGGTCGAGGCGTCAATGTCAATCAGGTCCTTGCCCTGGGGCGCGCGGAAGAGCTTCAAGTTCCTGATGATCACATTGCTGACCTTGCGGACTTGGAAGCCGCCATCCGTCAAACCTGAATTCGCGCCAACGCCCAGAACAGATGTGTCGCTGACGAGCTTGACGATGCCGCAGCCAGACAGGTTTCCGGAGATTTTGATCACGCCGCCTGCCTTTGCGGCAGTGGTGAGGGCGGCGCAGGAAGTCACGACGGTGCCGGCGCCGCTTCCGCCTCCTGTTGTGCCTGCCGCGAAACCGACGAGTTCGTCGACTTTGGCAGCGCGCTTTTCTACGGGGGAAGCATATGTAGATGTAGCGGTCAGGGCCGCGAGGGCGACGGTCGTGAAGTGCATGGTCGATGGGAACGCGTCCTAAAATAAAGGATAGACAAGAAGAGAACGTGCCAACTTCGATTCTATCAACTCCACTACCCTCACAAAACAAGATGGCGATAGCCATCTTATACCCACCCTTCTATCCATCTCTACTCCACTCCACCCACCCCCAGCCCGCATCTCCATGACTGCCGATCCCGCAAATTCCTCCGTCTTCATCTACCCAATGCTCTCTCCCAGTCCACCAAACAACAGCAAGTCTTCCGAACGCACAGAATCAAAGGTAACATGTTTTGGGCGATCCCAAGCCAAATCGGTGTTTGATGTACACCCCCGATGTACGCTTTAGGTGTGCAGGTTAATATGGAGAATCGGACCTAAATCGTAACGTGACACATGGGGAGAGTCCACCAATGGAAAATAGTTCCTTGTTCATACTGTGTGCTCTACTGAGGAGAAGCCGCGGTGTCCAAGCAAGTCGCGTTAATATCTGCAGAGTACTTGCGTGTATATATGTGAGAGAGGGGACAGTTAGTGGTGGTGGTTGAGGTCGTGGATACTTGCGCCGGCCCGAATATATGCCGGGCGGGAAGGAACGATGTGCTTCGTTTTCGGTAGCGACGTCGCGCGCAAACCCGGTCCCTGGATGGATGCAGGCACGTGGCGTGGTTCCTTGACCTCAACGACTGCAGATTTCTTACTGACAACGAAAAGCAACTACAGTGCCTGGAGTTATACACGAAGCCTTGCCGTAGCAATTAAAATGCAGTGATACTATGTATACCTTGGGACTATTAGGTACCCTTGTCAACTTTGCGTCGTAGTTGACAACTTGCAGTACTGCGTAATGCAAGTCAACTGCAACCTTACTCAAACACCCACCAGGCGCCAGCAAAATTCTTGTCCGCCGTCTGGGGTGAAGGGTTAGCCTGTATGTAGTATTAACATCTTACAGTAGCGTACATGCCCAAGCTCTTTTGTTAACCTACAAGTATGCTCCTGAAGACTATTGGAATACGTCGTGTAGGTGCAGCCGAACACGGATCTTGCCGCTGCCTAGTAACTAGCTCAATTGAAGATTACTTCATGCGTTCATACATATCTATTACATACATACATACATACATACATACATAGGGTATCAATCGCACCCTTCTACATCCTCCCATCCCATCCCAAGCCGATATATGCCAAAAACACCATCGCAATGCAAAGCACACAAAACGCCCCCTAAACACCCACAACGTTCTTCTTCCGTCCCCTCTTCTCACCCTCTTTCCTTTTCCGTCCCTCAAACGTGCCACTCTCCTGTCTCTCCGCCCTCCACATCGCCAGGCGTAGGTACCGATCCTTCGCCCTCGTCCGCTCCGCTTCCTCCTTGCTGCCCTCATCATCATCAGTATTATTCGGACGTCTGTCCGCCTTCCCCATCACCATCCTAAGGTAAGCATCTGACCACGACTTATGATCACGCGGGAAACCCAGCGTGTTGGTGTTTGAGCCCAGCGCACAGAAGCGGATGATTTCGGCCGTGGCGGTAATGGGCCAATCGTTGTTTGTGCGGTAAAAGTCTCGTTCGGCGTTGCCGCGTAGAGCCGGACTAAGTCACGAGAAGAAGTACTTGGATTCCCGTAGGCGGGAAATGTCCCAGCCGCCCTTTTTCGGAGGGGGCGGGAAGGTAAGAGGGATCCAGACGGCGATAACAGTCTTCTCATTAATGTCAGGGAGGTCTCTAAACCCATGATCGGAAGCCTCTTCAGATGGCATGTCGGCATCTTCTTGTCCTTTTTCTTCCGCAATAACGTCGGCTTCGCGGTCGAGCACCTTGTCGCGCATCTCGTCGTATCTGTTCTTCTTTTCCTTTTTGGTCTCTCCGATCAAGCCGAGACGGTGGGAGGTAAGTGCCTTGGGATCCTGGTGCTGGAGCCAGATGCTGGTCGGTGTCTCCATTTCTTGCCCTTGTTTGACTTCCTCGGGGTTATCACTCTTGAGTAATTTTTGTCTCTTGTACTCCAATTCGATCTCCTCGGTTGAAGCTTTAACAGTCCTCAGACCCCCAGCCATCTTGGATGGTGATCCCCGTCCACTGCCGTAATGATTAGCGCGCCATAGACGAATTCTCTTGGCAGCCTCGGAGCTCGCCGAGATGTTGGCCATGTGCATGGCACCGGCGTAGCGCGCTTTGAACTCTTCGGCCAGACGGCCAACAATATCGTCTGAATGCATGCGCACGAAAGCGTCGCGAAGGATGACGTTGAGGTTGGGAATGTCCGATGCATGTGTCCAGAAGCTGTCGTGGACGGCGGCAAAATCCAGGCCGAGCTCGTGGCACTTGAGTGCAGAAAGAGTCATGTGGGTCGCGTCAAGCGAGTGAATAAAGTTTGGTGGAAAGGCTTGCAGTTGCTTGCGCTTGTCGACGATGTCGTGGGAGGAACGCTTCACCACGGTGATGTCCTGGAACTTGGCACGAACCCTGGTTGTTGAATCTTTCCTGTAGGGCTGGACCACGGGCATCTTCAACGGCGTCGTCCATATGATGCTCGTCTTGAAAGCCTCAATCGCTTTGTTCATATTCGTCACATGAGTCTTGGTGAGCTTCTTGGGAGTTTTGAACTTTGGGTCGAATGTTGGCTCCTTGCCCTCGCCCCTCTGTCCAATCTTTTCGACCTGCTCAGCGGAGAGCGATGTGGTAATACGATCGCCACACTCTCCCAACCAGTACTGAATCTCCTGGGCTCCATTGAAGATTTGACCCAGAGCTTCGAAGATCTTGATCGCAACATACATGGCCACGATCCCCAGGCTTCGGATCTTCTCCGTCTCCTCAAACTTTGGGAAGATGGCCTTGAGCTCGTCTTCGACTTGCTTTTTGGCGCCCATGAACGTGACACCATACACATTAGTCATGACCGTCCTCTTGACGACCTTCCGAGTGATGCGGCCATCGACGAACTTGGCAACATCGACTCCCTTCTCAGCGTCTTTCTTCACCATGCCCTTGACTAATTCAGCGACACCGGTGTAAATATCCTGAGGCCGGTCGGAGGGCTCCAAATTGACCTGTCGTGCGCCGGCATGGTCGCCACCCAACGCAGCGTAATGCTGCAGACCATTACATGTTCCGTCCTGGTGCACAGGGAACTGCGACTTGTAGCGCGTGGGATCCGCTGAGTCGAAGGCATTCTTCAGCTCCATGCAGCAGGCAAGACACTGCCACGGGTCCTCGGCGTTGAGCCACCAGCGCCGGCCGTCCAGAGGGTTCGTAGCCGAATCATATATGTCGCTGAGATTGTCCATGGCAAACTGCTCGCGTTCCTTCAAGCTGGCCTTGTCGTACCCGTAAAGGTTAGCCAAGTGGATCTTGAGCCAGTGCAATCCGACTGTTCCAAGTTCTTTGCCGTTCGCAAATTTGAGCAAGCCCCTGGCAAGATCCGCGCCAATGTGGTTCAGAACCGGCGACAACGGGTATGCACGGCCACGGAAGTCCACACTGTGAGGGAAGTAGATCTTCTTCTCGGCAGCGAATGCGCGTGCAATCTCGAGCTGGAAGTTCTGGAAGCAACGTTGCGAGTGTAAACCAGATTTGAGGTTTTCGTGTTCTTGCAGCTTCTTCGCCCACTTGGCGCGCTCTACACGAGGGGCGTCTGCGGGTGGTTCTACTGGAGGCTCCAAGCCATGATTCTCGGGAATTAGTCCTGCGATACCTTCACCTTTATTCCAAGCCTGTAACATGACCTCTAGGATAGGCGCGTTGATCTGCCACGGGACCTTGCCCAAAACGTCTAATCCAGCCAGCACCTTGGCCATGTCCCCATTCTCGATTGCAGACTCGGCATACGCGCGCTGCGCAGGGTCCCCAGCCTTTTGGCGAACAACTCGCTGTGGCTGGGTGTAATAGCCGCCGTCCTGGAAACTCGTCCATGGTTTTGGCTCCACAATCATAGGCAAATTGACGGGCTGGATGTTCGCTACAGAGTCCTTGCGAAGCTTTCCAACTAGCTCCGGGTGAGGTGATAGGTAGCCAATCTTTTTTCCTTGGACATATTCAAGGCCATGGTGGAAAGCCGCCTGGGTACTGGTGAGCTGCTTGCCAGATTTTAGATCGTTGGCTGTGAAGGTGATTGTAGCCGTCTGCATGAGGAGCTCTAGACACAGTGCACCCAAGAGCGTCTTGACTTCGACGGGAAACCGGGTTTTCACTGTGCCTGACGTCCAGGTAGCGGTTTGGGCAGCATTCTGTTCAGAATTGTCGCTCTTTTGGTCCGTCTTATGCAACTGTCCGACCAAGCTTTTGCGCAACTGCTGGCGTTGCTGTTTGAGAAATGTCTCCCGGCGTTCCTGAGCATCGGCATTTAGGTAATCCATGATATCTGTGCCAAGTTGAACAGTTAAAGCGGAAATTTTCAGGGATTTGGTATCACGGCTACCATCCCGTGAAAAGCTTGAGGACACGGCACGCGAGACGGTGAGGGCAGCCAATTTTTCTGGCTTGCATCTTTCCAACCAGGGGCCATAGATCTGTAACGGGTCCTTGCCAACTTCCACAGTGGGAGCAGCCATAACCTCCTTAGCCCGCTCTATATGCTTCTTGAAGAGCGGTAGCACTGCACTGTACCAGTTGTACATGAGTGCCTGTATGCTCTTGGTATTCATGACGCCATAGACACCCATTTGCTGTAGCTTCTCATCTTCCAATTTCCAACGCTGGACAGCAGCGTCTAGGCCGTCCTGTTCCATTCGGAGTTGGCGCATGTGGGCGTGGTGGCGGTCCTTGTCTTCTTGCGTTCCCGCCATGTCGTGAGGATAGGGAACCGCAGTTTCGTCGGCGAACATGGAGAGTGCGTGTTTGAGCGAATCCAGACCGAATCCCTTTTGTGGCACGGGATTGATTGAGATGTTCGAGATGTGTTCCGAGATCCTTTGAGAGAAGTCGGAGGGGAGGCCAAGTTCCATGAATCCTTTCCGTGACTCGGGCGTGTTGACAAGCATGTCGCGCACCTCTTCGACGCGGGGCGGCTCCTCGAATTCGTCGGGTTGTGCGCGGATCAGCAGATTCCATTCCTCGTCGGGGAACTCGGAGGAGTAGTTGATCTCGTCCACCATGTCTTCTCCGTGTTGCCGTGCCATGCTCACGTACTTGGCGATTGCCTCGTCTTGTGCGGCTCCTTCCAGGAAGTTCATGGCTCCGCGCAGGAGCGTTACAAACGCCGACGAGGTCGGCTTGATGCCTTTGGCCTCGAAGTTGAGGGCGTACCAATCCTCCAGTCGCGACATGCTCTCCGGCTTGGGGTCTTGCAGGGCAAGGTTGAGCAGCGTCTGGAAGTACATGTTGTGCGCATCGACCAATTCAGGCGCCGAGGGCTCCAGCATGTCGGTGAGGCGGGCGAGGATGATGGCGGCGCGGTCTACCCGATCCACGCGCAGACACGCGTAGAGGTTTTGGTACATTTCCAGTGGACTGGTGCCCATGTAGACGGGCAGCCGTTTCGACAGCAGCTGCGGGACCGAGAGCTCGTCTCGCAGCACGAGTGGATTCGACCGGTCCCACGAGGTCAAGCGGGCGAGCTCGGGCGAGGGCGTGCGGGAGCCCCAGGCTTGCATGAGGCCGTGGAAGGGCGACTGTGCGGGCGTGGGCTGCAGCTCGGCCGTCGTGGCAAGAGAGCGGCTCTGCCGTCGCGGCGGCGACGTCGAGCGTCTTTGGGCCCGTCGCCCATCGGATGTGTGTGCGGGTGTGGGGGTGGTTGTGAACAGCGCACTTGTATGCGTCGTCCGTCGGAATGCCGCCGGGCAAAGCCATGGCAGCGTCAATTGCTCGCACGCTTTTGCATGCGACACGACAGCATCACTGCGGAGGTTCCGCCGAGCTGCACGTGCCAGCATTGTGGGCACCGTCTGTGGCTATTCAGTGACTAAAGAATGAAAGACGAATGCTACAACGCGGTAGGGAAAAGAAAGAGACGCAGGCGCTGTGAGTGGCGGGCGAAGCTGGTGATGCGCTTCTGTCACGACCAACAGAGATGAGGTTCAGACTTCAAAAAACCATAGGCGGTCCGTGCACACCTTGCCACATCTTGCGCTAGTGTGTTGACATCATGTGGGCCCACGTCTGGACAACGGTACACAGACCCAGTTTTACAACAAGACGTTTAATTGGAATTATACAACAAATTATATGTGATACACATTACAATGTCGGATGGCTACCCTAACGCCTCACCACTTCTAATCATAATCCGCCTCAACCACCAAAGTAGGCCTACTCAGCTCCCTCATCCTCGTCCTCGTACTCGTACTCGTGCTAGTTGTTTCCTCAGGCAACGCCGTTGCAGGCTCATCCTCATCCCCCAACTTCATCATCCAATCCTTCGCCTGCGCCTTCAGAATCTTCTCTTCAACATCATCAACCCACTCGCTCTCCTCCTCATCGCCCCAGCAAAACAGGTCGCCCGCCTCTCCAGGCACAATCTTCCGGTGCTTTCCCTTGGGGATCGTACAGCCACCAACTTCTCTCCGAAATTGGTTGGCGTAGTCCAGTGCAACTTGAGAGATGTTGGGAGTAGGGATCTTCTCACCGTTGTAAAGAAGGTGGGGGAGGTGGGGAACCTCGGGGAGATCGCCTTCGAAGGGCAGCGCGAGGTGGAGGGGCTTTGAGTAGGGGACGAGTTTGGACTCGTCTTGCTTAACGGGGCGTTGAGGATGCTCAGCGCGGAGGAAAGGCTCGTCAAGCGACTGCGTTTGATGTTCCTTTTCTTCTTCTGATCTTGGGCTGAATTCTTCGGGTGCGTGATAAAGCTCATTATGGACAGTGACAAGTGCCTCTGAAGTCTTGGCGGGGTATAGTATCGCGTAAGCTCGGGCGCGCATGAACTCGAGCATGTACTCTGTCCACGCGGGAAGTGTTTCGGAGACGAGTTTGATTCGGGATGTAGTCTTGGGCGAGTCTTGGTGTTTGACAACGCGGTTGCTAAGGAAGGAGTGCAGCTCTGCCCACTTGTCTCCGAAGAAGAGTGTCGCGTGACTGTTCGGCGCTTGCCAGAGGAAAGGCGAATTGCGCGTATTTTGGGACAGTCTTTTGTATCGATTCGTGTTCATGTCCTCAAGGGTCGGTGGAGTAAGCTGCGTCTTGCCGTCAAGCAGGACTGGTGGCAGCTCGAGGCTTATGCCCATCAGGCTGGCGCTATCCTCCTCGCCAAAGCTGGAGAACTTGTATTCGAGCAGCGCAAACTTGACAAAGTGGTAATACAACGGCGAGAGCTGTGCTTGGGGCGAAAGTAGCAAGACATGCGACTTGCTCGCACTGGTGGGATAGAAGAGCTCCAAGAAGCGAATCGCAGCATCTTCTTGCGTCGCGCGGTGGCTGTTGATGCGCCGTCTGATGACCAAGCCACTCGATTCAAGCGGGTGAGCATCGTGTGGCGGCCATTTGAACTTCTTGATGTGCTTCTTGACTGACTCGTCCAGTTGGGCTGGTAGCTCCAGAATGATGCGCGGCGGCTTCAGACCGCTGTAATCGGCATCCTTGATCGACTTGAGTAGTCGCAGCACGCTCGACGACTCGGGCGGTACTTGTATCAGAATATCCACGGTTGGTTCATGCCAGTGCCGCAGAGATCCTGTATCGAGCCGTGTCATCCACATGAAGTTTTCCCATTTGTCTTTCGGCAGCTCGATGAGCGGGATGCCCAGCTTGTTGGTCTTATTCCGCATGCCCTGCACGAAAAAGCCCTCTTCAGATGTCGAGTCATCCATGATGGCGACTTGCGGATGCACCATGCTCTGGATGTGCGACATGCCGCCGATGACTGCCGACTGGGCACGCGCATCGCTGCTGTACTCCATAAAGTCTGGCCGCGCATCATGCCACATGGCCGGACACTTTTCCTTGTCCACTCCGTTTATCGCCAGAATGTCGTCGATGGAGATGTCCTCCCTGCCCATGAAGGCGGCGTGTACGTGATTCCTACTCCACTTGGACATTTCGCACACCATCGGCAGGAGAGTCGCGGCGCTCTTCAAACTCGCCATGGCGAAGAGGACGTTCCGGTTGATTGCTTCGTATCCGTCCGTCCTCGCCGCAGATTTGCGCAGAGAGCGCGCGAGGCGGTAGTATCGTATGCGCCCGTCGAATGTATGCGGCGTCGTATTGTCCAGCGCCTGCACTCCCCTGGGCGGTCCGGTCGGTTCGTTGCCATCCTCGGAAGCATACGACGCCTCATATCCCGTCGTGCTGGCTCTTCTTGACACATTTCCAGCACCATTCATAATCATATACACCAGCGCCAGCCCTGCGACAACCAGCAATATCCTTCGCCGCCGCCAGCGAAAACTGTGGTTCCATATCGACCAGCCCGTCCGCCGCGCGGGAAGATATCTGTGGTCGTCGTCCTTCTTGCCGAGCTCTTCGTCGCCGGGCAGCAGGTTCTTGCCCAGCATGTGTCCGCGAATCATACCCTCCTGCAACCACCCTCGGTTTGCGGAACTCATGTGCGAAGCCGTGAGATCATGTTGTTCTTATCCAACAGCACGGGCGCGGCAAGGGAGCACGAGGAGACGTCCCTGCTTCGGAGATGATCGCTGTCAGCCGCAAAGGGGCAGAGGCGTGTCGTGTGCGTGGACAGGAAAGTTTGTTTCTTCGGTGAAAACTAGGGCCGATGGAAGCGGAAGAGGTGGACCGTGTTTTGATAAGACATAGTTGATGATGACAGATGGGACAACGGGCACCAAGACTGACATCCCTGCCGCGCGCTCGCTTGCAACTGCCGTCAGCATTAATCTACCACTCACGTATGCGACTTGTGGCTGCCACTCATCATCATCGAGAAGAGCCGCATACATGAGGATAGATGAGATGAAGTGTGATGACATACGGCTCAATTCGCAGTCGTGTGACCGCCTTGCAGCTTCGATCTTGTTGGTATTAGAGCAGATAGGTTTGTCGCTCACTCTTCTTAATATTGAGATCATCTGCTCCGGGCGCAATATTTCGCCGTCGATGTTGTCAAATCTGCATTTGAGTGGGATGGTGAGAATTACATCGGGCAGGACGATGATAGATGGGCAGGTCACGTGCGCGGAATCGAGCCTCATGCACTTGACTCAACGAGCCAATACTTCTGCTCACAGTAAGAAAGCCTCTCTCAGCCTCGGCGGAGACTTCCGCGTTGTGTCGCTAATTCCGCGCTCTAACATCACGCTTTCCCCGCATTAGCCGCTACCACGACATGGAAATCCGGGGTACACCGTCGCGAGATGTATAAACCGACGGTGAGACGCGTCTTCGTGCTATGCGCGGGATTCTACCCTGAGTAATTCACCATTTGCCCACTATGATCGGGCTGACTATCAACTTCATCTCTGCCCAATTTCTGGAACACCCAGTCCGTTCGATCATCGTTCTACTACTCGTACTGCCGATATCGTACATTCTTACCAACGAATACGCACGCTATGCACGCCGCATCAAAGGCTTCTCTGGACCCACAAACTGGCCAATCGTTGGCAACATCCCAGACATCAAGTACAATGCTGCCGAGAAGTATCGAGAATGGAGCAAAACCTATGGTGCCGTCTACCAAATCCAGCTCGGCAATGAGCCTGTTATAGTGGTAAACAGCGCTGCAGCAGCGAAGCAGATTTTCGGTGCGAACAGCCAGGCCCTCAGCTCCCGCCCCGTCTTCTGGACCTTCCACAAAGTCCTTTCCAACACAGCTGGCACAACAATCGGCACAAGTCCCTTCAACGACTCGCTCAAACGTCGCCGCAAAGGTGCTGCCAGTGCGCTCAACAAACCCTCCATCGCCACATACATCTCCCACCTGGACCTGGAGACCAAAGATTTCATCCAAGACGCGTTCGACTCCGGAGCCGCAGGTACTCAAGGTGTAGACCCCATGCCCATGATCGAGCGCCTCTCCCTATCCCTCGCCCTCACGCTGAACTGGGGCACACGCATGGGAAGCCGACACGACCCCATGTTCCACGAAATCTGTGAAGTCGAAGCGATGATAAGTAAATTCCGTAGCACGACAGGGAATCTACAAGACTATATCCCAATCCTGCGCTTGAATCCGTTTAGTAAGGGAACGGCGGCTGCGAGAGATATGCGGCGGCGACGCGACGTCTATCTAACCAAGCTGAACAAGGACCTCGACGATAGAATGGAAAAGGGCATACACAAACCCTGTATCCAAGCAAACATCATCCAAGACAAAGAAGCCGCTCTAAGCAAGGAGGAACTAACATCCATAAGCCTGACCATGCTATCCGGCGGCCTCGACACAATCACCACCCTAGTCCAATGGTCCATCGCCCTCCTAGCCCAACGCCCCGACATCCAAGACGAAGCCATCAAGGCTATCCGCGAGCACTACCCCGCCTTGCAGCCCCTGGCAGATGCCTACGACGACCAGAAATGCGCGTACATCGTCGCGCTGGTGCGCGAGTGTTTGCGCTACTTCACCGTCTTGAGACTGAATCTGCCGCGCGCGAGCGTAAAAGATGTGACGTACGAGGGCAAGGTTATTCCAGCGGGGAGTACCATCTACCTCAACGCATGGGCGTGTAATATGGGTTCGTCCTTCTCCTCTCCCCATCTCCCTCCCACCCACTAACCCTCCCTCTTCCAGATCCCGAAATATGGTCTGATCCACTAACCTTCCGCCCCGCACGCTGGCTCTCGCACTCCGACGCGCCCTTGTTCACCTACGGCCTTGGCTACCGCATGTGCGCAGGTTCATTGCTCGCGAACCGCGAATTGTACCTTGTTTTCCTGCGTATGCTGGGGAGCTTTGAGATTATCAAGGATTCGGAGGTCGATGTGCACCCGGTTAGAGGCAGCGCGGATCCCACGAGTCTGGTCACGATGTGTAGGGATTATCGGGTTGTGTTTAAGCCGAGGGATGAGGGGGTTTTGAGGGGGGCGTTGGAGGCGTGGGGGAGGGAGTGATGGATGGTTGGGAGAGAATGAAGGGTAGATTGAGATTGGTGTGCGCGAGATGTTAAAAGAGATGGCGCCCATTGTAAATGGAGAAGGAGTGGAAGCGTCATAGTCGAGCAGTGTGAGGTGGCGGCGGTTGGAAAGGTAGAACGCGCGAGCGATGAGATAGTAAACGAAGCAGAAATTAAGAGTGTGAGTCATTCAAGTGGGATGTACTTTGTGCGGAGTGTGGTGTTGTGACATTTGGAGGTGAGCGGTTGTTTCTATATGAAGCTGGTGGTCATTGCTTTGTTTGGTCACACAAGTGACTGATGTCGAACGCAATGGCCTCTGGAGACCTGTAAAGGGCGGTTGATCATGATTCACGTACCGCATACACTCATTTAGCCGTCAGAAGGCGTGCTGCTACCAATGCGGTAACGTTGCTGGTAGTACCAACCCCGACGAGCTCAACCCCGACAGATAGTTGGTGCAAAGAGAGTGACTCCATGGACTGTTTGAGTCAAATTGTTCTCGTTTGGGACTCACAATCATGTATAAAAGGGAGTTGTTTTCCAATGTTCATGTAGCATTCTCTTACAGCCTCTCCAAAGGAAACCACCAGACCAGAAAAGATAAACAGAACCCCACCTTACACCACCAAAGCAATCAGCAAACACGCCAATGTCAGAGATGTCGCAGCCTCTTCCAAAGTTAATTGCACGAGAACGTCAAATTAGGTCGGAGAATGTCGCATACATTCGTGAACCCTTTGACAACATCGAAACGGAATCTATTCTGGACCTTAGGAAAGACTACCGTAATTGGCCCGATTTAACTGGCGAGAAGAGTGACTTCAGCATAGTCCAGTACCAGAAGAAACCCTCATGTAACCGTGCTGCCAATACTTGGCGTTCTGGTATAGGAATCACAACAAATAGTGAGCATGTCTTGGAGGCGCTCCAAGCCGGCTGGGTGGTGCGAAATTACAAGTTCTTCGAAGGGGAGAGAGATGCGCGGTTGGAAGCCCTACATAACAAGTGTTCGACGGACACTGTGAATTTTGGTGCATGGACTTATAGTGGAGTGGAAGGCAAGGAGCATGTCGGGGCGACTGAACATTGTAAGGTGCTTTGTTCGCAGGAGGTCAGTCTTGATTAACCAGTAGTAGTACTTTGCGCTCTTGAACTAGACTCCGACACCCGAGCTAAGAGAGCATCGGCACCCGGAAAGTATTTCGACGGCAAATCTTCGGAGCGAGTTCTCCAGCTCAATGCGTCTGACCGATTCATTGAGGGAATGTTGAAAACTTATGCAGATGGCGATGCTTGGCTGGTCAAGTATGACACAATCCTGTTCGACATCACTGACGATGGCTATGCTATTCCTCGATCTGGCTTAGGCATTACTACGAGCAGAGACTTTGCGAAACGGGTGCATTCTAATCCGGGATGGGCGATGCGCGTGTACAAGTTTACGAACAAAGAGCGGGCTGAGAAATGGCATCAGATTGCAAGTCATTGCATTTCCCAGCCCGAAAACTTTGGCAGCTGGGAATCGGACCCGGGTGGAAACGCCGGTTCGTGGATCGGGACCAGTTCTTTCTGTGAGTTGGCTCATCCCAAGTCTAAAGAGGAATACTGGCTTATGCATAGCAGTGAAAGATGCCGCAGACATAGCTGGCGCGGCCCCTGCAGCTGTAGGTGATGCTCAAAGAAAACCGTCCAACAAAGCTGCAGGAAAGCTGCCCTTTGACCCAACTACAGATGAAACACCACAGCCCACGTAGTTTATAGGGAACGTTTTGCAGTCGATTTTCGGGTTCAATTACGAGGCGTTGCAGGGTGACAGATATAATGAAATGATTCTGATTTCCATGAACAACCTTGTTGCACTCCCATCCACGTAATGTTGCGCCTCCCGAGGTCCTCATGTGTGAACTTGGTGACACTATACATCGCACAAATCAATTTCTTGGGTGGTCTACTTGACTCAATAGCGATATCAAGCCGCCCGCAATGCTTCACTGAAATTTTGACCATGATTCATGCAGTACGTACACTCATGTAGCAGTCATGTCTGTGTGTGCGCCTGTCAGTGCGCTCTTCTGGTAGTACGAACACCACGCCTCTCTATTTTATATCGAGATTATGACGGCTGTTGAGCTCAGCCCCGGCAAACGGTGAGTCTGAGCATAGTCAGTCTATGGACCGTGTGAGCCAACATGTTGTTTGCTTCTGACTCAGACTCGTGTATAAAAGAAATGACCTTTCCATCTTTATGGGGTTTCCTAACACCACAGATTACGACTTCTCCAGACAATACTATCAGACCAAAATGGACGAATACGATGCTGTGACAACACAGCAAGCAACATTTCCACTAGTATCGGGCGCTCGAGAGATTTTTGTGCCACGTGAACCATTCAGGAATTTGGAATCAGAAAGCGTCTTGGGTCTTACACCGGAAGACCGTCTGGAACCTGAATTAGGTATCGAATGCGCCCATTTCTGGATCGTTCAATACCGAAAGCTCAAGAATAAATTCAACTCTGGACTAGGCATCACAACGGTACGTGCGCGTGCCTGGGAGGCCTACCAACGAAATAGATGGACGATACAGATGTACCGCTTTAAAAATGGGGCAACGGATAGAGATGCCAGGCTTGAAGACATATGCAGGCGATGTCAAGACAATCCGACAGCTTTTGGTGAATGGGTTGTCGAGAAACGCGGAGATTGGAATCTTGGAACGAGTCAAAATCGTCAGTCAATCACACCTTGGTGAAGGAATACAGGCTCACACAATGCAGTAATTACCGCCCTTGAACAGGGTATGAAATCTTACAGAGCCATGGAGCCTTTTGACAACAAACCTGCAGAGGAACTTTTCGGGCTCCGTCAGGGTCAACGTGCAAAGGCGCCATCTGGAGATTTCAATGGCCAAGCTTGGATCGTGCAATACCTCCCGCCTGTCACCCAAAGGGATCCTGATGGTGCCAATGCGCACGATTCGGGCATAGGGGTCACTACAAATCGAGGATTTGCAGAGAAGGTATACGCCACGCCAGGATGGCGGATGCAGATGTACGAGTTTACGCCGGCGCAGAAGCAGCCAAGATTGGAAGCTATAGTCTCCTACTGTACGAATCATCCCACAGACTTTGGCAAGTGGGTATCGACGTTAGAGGGAGCATCATTTGATGGAACGAGTTCATTTCGCACGTGGACATCGGCATTGGACGATGCATCAAATTATGGAACGAGTTCGTTTTGTAAGTGGGCCAATACTTCATTTGAAAAGTAACATTCACTTACTCGAAATAGTGGTCGAGGCTCAAAAGCTTGCGGCCGCTGCAGCTGATGCGCACAATAAAGCTACTGCAGCGCCTGATAACCCAGGGAGAAACCGTCGTTTTGACCCGATAAGAGATCTCTAAAAGTAGCTGTCATCAGTGTAGGTAGCCAAAAGGTTGAGAATGTTTTGTAGTCTAAGTTGTAGGCTTAGTTAAGAGGCGTTGCTTGGTGAATTTTTCTTCGTAGCCCCCTGTGTACGTTAAGTCATCTATAATCATCATACTGGTGTTATTTCAAGTGATATCAGCCATGGTACTGCAAACGAAGTGATTAACACTTTTTGCATCTCAGAATAGGGTAGCGACCATGTCTAAACGATGAGGCTACCCGGCCAGGCCATATCAATGTAAATGCGTCATTCGACAAGAAAGTGGGGCGTGAAGTTGGGTCTTTTATCTTGCTTTTTTTGGCAGGAGTGGGAAGAACGCAGGTGGGAGAAACTGTGGAACCATCCGAACGATATATGAAACTTGGAAGTCACGCACGTAGTTCGAGTACGAAGAGATGCTTGGATAGACAGCCTTGACAATCAAATCCAGAGCGAAGAAACGACTCAGCGGTAGGAAATCGGTAGCCTGGAGGCACACGCACAATTTTGAGTCGGGGGTCGTATGCTTGACACATCAGACTGACAATGTGTAGCTTCGGTTTTAGCACGTGTTTGGGCCCGAGCAGGTGCGATGTAGTTTCCTAGCATGGGTGATATATGAACTGCGGCCCAGTGCTTTGCAACACTCTCTAAATACTTTATGACTGCAGAGGTCACAGAATTCTAAAGTGTATTCCGCATTTGCTATTAGCGATTGTTCCTCAATGGGAATAAGATACCGAAATACAAGCTAATCTGGTCGCATAGGAATGACCTTCAGGATGATTGAAGTGAGTAGTGAACGATGATAGATGCGCTTATGTTCGGACACTGTTTTAATAATACCAAGGGCGCGTTCTAGTATAATTGTGTCAACTGAAGACTGACCGAACTCATGAGTGTGACCCATGCAAAAGTGACTCTGAAGTCTGAGTCAAAAATACATTAGTGCTCAATTCTGACTCGAACGTAAGTATATAAGGGACGTTTCCACCTTTGTCTTAACTCTTTTAATCCAGACTGCACCCTAAGCAAATAGCATCAAAACTATTACAACCCACCAAAAATTTCCAAACCCACAAAGACCAAACCATGGCCTCATCTTCATCCGCCGAGACTTTCCCGAGTGCTCGGGTAGAAGATCTGCTTGGTCTCAATTATCAGTACCACATGGACGCTAAACCGAACGGAGGCATTGATGTATGGCTCGTCTACTACGGACCTCCGTCACAGACCGATCCGGATGACCCCGCTACATGGCATTCAGGCATAGGTGTCACGACCTATCCCGTCCATGGCGAGCTGGCCATTGAAAAAGGATTCAAAACGGTAGTTTATTTGTTTCCTCACGGCACTACCGAAGCCAAATTGGCAAACATCGCCGCATACTGTTCTCAGAACCCAAAAGATTTCGGCCAATGGGTTTGTCACGCCGTCTCGGAACAGAAACCTGGGACCAGTCTGTACTGCAAGTGGATGAGGCTATACAAATGAGATATTGCTAATTGAACTGTAGTACTCCGTGCTCTTGAATCACGACCTGATAGGGAGGTTGAAGTCCTGAGTATACCTGGCGATCCACCGGCACCGTCTAAAATTCCATTTGAAAGTGTTGATGTCGAATATGTGTTTGGGATATACCTTCAGGATAAAATAGACGGAGAACCGCCAGTTGACCAGCCTGATCCGAACGGCAACTTCTGGGTTGCTGAATATAGAAAGAAACCCTTGGTGTTGGATGGACGATATGACTCTGGCCAGGGTGTTACCACAGATATAGACGACGCTATGAGAGCTTGGAGAGCATTTAAGACCTCTGGCGAGGGAAGGGTAAAGTTCAAGGCCTATAAACTGACGCCCTTCGTTGAACCAGGACGTGGACTTCCAGACAGGTTATACCACATGGGCCTTCTATGCGACAGAGATGACAGCATCATGTTCGGGTCGCGCCAGATAAAGGACAAACCGTTCCTCGGAATGAGAGACTGCGTGTGGACAAGTCAAAATCGTAAGTAATAGCTTTGTCATATAATCCATTCATACTTACGGCTAGAAGTCATATCGGCGATGGAAAGAGCTGAAGCGGAAAAAGACACGCAGTTGACTAGTGCGTCATCTGATTCCGTTTTCGACAATATCGTTACTACTCTTCTTACTTTGAATCCTGAGAATAATGGTTAAAGCTTGATCTAGCTTGTCGAATCCACTATATCGAATACAATGTGTTTCAGTTTATACTTGGCTTTATAGAAAGGTTCTCCCCGTCGATGTGTATTTTCTCCTACTGTCCGGGGTCGACCGGGGAGCACAAGGAGACAATACAAGGACAAGATTGGTTATCTAGGGAGAAAAATGGGAGCATCTTGCTTCGATAAAACCTTAATACGAAGAATTGATGCCCTACTTTCTCTCAATTTCCTGCACCAGACCATAAGCTGGGGCGACTGAACTCGCCAGCAAATACCTATTTTCGCCGTCGTTACGTTCACTGCAGTTTTGCGTCCCCATACCGGATGCGTATGAGAGAGCACATCACCAATTCAGCTGCTGCCCTGATGCAGAGTGGCGTTGAGAGCAAGACCCTGACCATGATAGGCGCTGGGTTTGCGAGTCGCTCTAGTAACACGACCAACAATCATGGGAAGACTAGGAGAGGCGTAGTCTTACTACAAGAACCCATAATACTTTGCTCAAGACGCACGAGAAGCACATGCGTGAAGGACGTGCAGCGCAGCTTTCATATTTGGTATGAGAGACTGTTTGTAAGAGCTGGCGGTCTGGAAATATGGGACATCGTCGAATTTCCAAAAATGCGAGATGAAATGTCTGTCTAGACTCAAGATACTGTGAGGGAGCAGCTGCGATCTCATATACGAACCTGGACAGACTCTATAAAGTATTGATACCTTGCAAGGCGCTAAAAAGCTTTGAAGTAGCAGAGGCAAATGTACCTGGATAGTCCTTTTCCAGAGTCCCCTACACTTTTTGGACTCCGGGCGTACGTATGAATGTAGCAACTGGTGACGATACTGTGAGATTAACGGCAAGAGACATAAGCTATGTGAGCGGCGAATAATATTGGTAAGGTGGTGTCCGTTGAGTGAGAAACTAGATAAGATTCAAGCGCTTTTCCTGGGTAGGCACCGGAGCAGTAGATGATGATTGATAATCTTTGCCTGGAAATGAGTTGAAGTGCGCGTGTACTAACGAGAGCTCCTGCACGAACCGCGAAATCTCTGCCATGGCGTAAAATCGACGAGGGATTCGTGACCGGGAGCGATCAGCACATCATGGCCACGATTAATAACCATTGCCCTACTTGCGAGCACGAAGACTGTGAGTGACAATGATACATAGTAACGTGCACACAATAACTACGTTGAATTCTTCTACTGCGAAAACATACTTCGAATCTCAGCATCTTCTTCTTCGATCTCTCCGAGTTTCTTCCCCGGCAGTCGCACTGCGCGATCGAGCGCAACAGGCAGTCCACGATGCCGACCTCGTAGCATTACCAGAATCATGACAATCTTACTGCCAGTGAACATGCCACCGCTGAAACTGTACGCTTGATCCGGCAGCCCAATGCTGATCCCGATCGTCGTGTATCCACTCACAATCTCGAACAGGATGGTGAAGACGCTGTAGGTGCGCGGATCTCCGATGGAGTGGTGTGTTTCGATCAGCGTGATGAGGAAGAGGGCGAATGCGATCCACCAGACATCGTGGGAAAGCTGGCCGCGGACCTGCTGGCTGATGAGAGAGGGCGGATTTGTCGGTGGGTGTTGCGTGAGTGAGTGAACGGATGTCGCGCGATTGAAGTCCATGGTGACTGATCGCTTCAAGGGAGCAGGTGTGGTTGTGGCTGGCGCGTGGGCGACACCAACACCGTTGAAGGCCGTCATGCGCCGCTGGAGCTGGCGACCAACGAAGGCGGTACCGCGGACGCCGACTTTGCCGAGGGATTTGATGGGCGCGAGTGATGACTTTTCTGGCTGTGGGACAGAGGACGGTAGAGAGGGCATTGCGGCGTCGACGTCGAAGAGCGAGCTGGACGCGGAGTGAAGCTGTTCTGGTTCCGCCTCGTCGCCTTCGTAAATTCCCAGTGAGCGCTCCTCGTAAACATTGGTCTTGCGCATAGTGATGATGTGTGGGTACGCAGCGGTGTAAAATATAACCAGCCACAGCACCTGCACGTCGAAGTACATTGCCGAGGGCGAGACGATGGCATATCCTCCCGACGGGATTGAAAAGCCTTCGAAGAGGGAGATGAAAATACGGCGACCGAGCGGTATGGCTTCCATGGTCGGGTTCCCAATGCCGAGAACGAGAATCAGGACCCAGTCGACCGCCACGAATGAACCAAAAGTTGCGATGAAAAGCCAGGTATCTCGAGCGGGAAACATGCTGGTGTATACGCGTCGTGGGAATTTGAGAATGAAGTCGAAGCCTTCCTTCCATATGCCATACTCCTTGTCTTTGGAGAACAGGTCAAGAAGTGTGGACATGCTCCAAACGAGGAAGCGCACAAAGACCGGAAAGGCAGCAGGTCCAGCGAGCGACAAGAGCGTTACAACGCACAGGATGTAGTACGAAGACTGGAACGGTATGAAGCCCGCGTCCAAAAGGGTGAAGCCAGCATTGCTGTACGCTGAAATAGCCAGGAAGATGCCAGCCCACCACGGGTTCTGAGCGTTGACGGCGCAGGCTTCCTTTTCGTAGACGGACATGTACGCCCCAAGTGCTATCGCGCCGAACAGCTGCCAGAGAATGAAGTACGCGGGAACGAATATGAAGAGGAACTTTAGCGCGCGGTATTCCACGCCACCCAGGTACTCTCTTTGATCTGATGACAGGTTGAAGAATTGCCCGTTGCGGCCAATGCTGCGCTTTTGCTCCTTGACGAATGACTGCACGTTGAAGCCATCGTTTAGCGTAGACTTTTCCCCAAGTGAGCGGCGGCGTTCCGACATGGTCTGGTGGCTCTGCACGTTGTAGATTGAATGTCCTGTCGTTGCTGACATTGGCCTTTTGTGAGGCTCACGCTCTCGTATGGGATCAAGAAACCCAACATGCTGTGGCGCACTCCGTTCTCTTTCACTGAGTGACGGCCGAGTCTGCGTCTGGCCCACTGGCGTGCCGGGTGGCATTTCCGTTTCCTCGGCCTCAGGAATGGTCATCGCCGTAACCATTGCCTTATTCCTTGGTGGCATACCCTTCCTGCCCTTCCCAAATGACCCCATGACTGGCATCCCAAACATCGCGCCCGTCATCCCGACTACCGCACCAATGTCACCCTTTCGTGCCTGTCGCTTCTCTTTCTCCATCTTGACAACATCCTCGAATCTTTTCTCAAACATGTGCTTCCTGAACGCGACTGTAAAGTACGACACCAGGACCTGACTCCCCATCATCATCAAAACTACCAGCTCGACTTGTTGGAATACAGTTAATTGGCTGACGTTCACGGTGTTGAGGCCTGTCGCGGTCATGGCACTCATCACCATGAACATGCTGTCCCACCATCCTATGCTTCTTGCAGGGTGAGACGCGCCCCAGAAAATAAGGCTACCAAGGAGCGTCATGCTGATGAAGTATGCATAGTGTAGCGTGATGAAGTTTATTGGTGGAACATAGGGCTTCACCGTCTCAATGATTGTGCGCATCTTCGCATGATTCGTCTCAAAAGATCCCCATCGCTCTTTGAGTCGGGCCATTACTGATGTTGTTGCAGCGGGTGAATAGCTCCGGATTGGGTCCAAATCAACGGTTTCGCATGTCGCTTGAGCTGGTTCCGATCTCAGGATTCACCCGAGCTGAAGGAAGTTTGCGCGACCAAAAAAAGATAGGAAGTGGACGGAAGAATGAATGTGAACTCAACGAATTCGAAGATCGGAGAAAAGATCGTGGATTGAGGTTTGCGGCTGAAGGCGCGTGTGCTGGCGACGCAGGCTCGAAAGGGATGAAACAGGGTCTGGGGTGGCGCGGACGGTGCCGGGGTGGGAGGGGCCGTTCCGCGTAACAGCGTCTTCGCACACGCAATCATCTCAACGGCGATGTTCTTTTACGTTCTGCTGTAGGCCGAGAGCAATATCAAGACCTATGAGCAGCGCGATTGGCGCGTCTACAAGCATCCGGCGGTTTCGACATTCGAGCTTATCTACTTCTGGTCACCAACTAAAACGAAAGATGAATTGGGGCTTCCAATAGCTGAGAGCTACGCAATGGATACAAGGCACGATAGAAGCCTAGCGATAATGTGTATGGCTCCAGCTCCTGGAGTAGGTCGCTGTTTGTTGCACCCTGGTCGCTTTCGGCCGGTTGCAGTCGACGACATGTTCACAGCCACTTCGACTTACATTGCTTCGTTCGTTCTAGGCGGTCTTTGACACACCCTAAAACACCATCTCGTTCGACAAACCTTCGACGACAAGATGCAATGCGCGGCTGATATCGCCAAGGTAAGAAGAAGTCTGTTTGAACACATCTATCGTCAATGGTCACCCCGCCCAGGACGGGTGGGACAAATATGTCGCAGGGGTGATGACTATTCGTAGAAACCACGTTGCTTGATTCGACTTACCGATTGAACATGGCGATGCTATAGCAGTCTTTCCACTATCGAAACACGTTGTCGCTGGCGCTGCGGCGGGGCGGGGCGTAGGGCGTAATCTGAGCTTGAGGATAAATGGTTGAAGCATGCCGCGTTGAATTCTTCATCTTCAGCCCAAAATGCCGTCGCTGGAAAGGGTACTCGTAACTGGTGGTAGCGGCTTTCTAGGCTCGCACATTGTGGAAAAGCTGCTCGACGATCCCATCACTTCCGTCGCCATCATCAGTCGCAACCCACGTGCGCGCACAGAGGACGACCGCATCTCTCTTCATCCCTCCAATATCGCTTCAAAAGAGGAGGTCCAGGCCATCTTCGACGCATTCAGGCCCCAGGTCGTCATACACGCAGCATCTCCAAAATCGGTCGACACGGCAGCGGCGCTCATCAGGACCAACGTTCGAGGCACCAAGGTTTTGCTTGAGTGTGCTGAAGCATGCGTGGACACGCGAGCCTTTGTGTACACTTCGTCCGACTCGGCGGTGGAGCCCAGCGAAGAGCCGCTCACAGAGGACCAAGCCAAGCTGTACGATGAAAACCACCATCCAAATCCTTACGCCATGTCGAAGGCAGTTGCAGATGTCGCGGTTCAGGCATCCAACTGCGCAAAGCTTCGCACTGCTGTCATCCGCATACCCGGCATCTATGGCGAACGTGACAACAACTTGATGCCGCAGCTGGTCTCGAGCGTGCGCAAGAACGAGCACAAGATGCAGATCGGTCAAAATAAGAAGCTGTTCGAGTTCGTCTACGTCGGAAAAGCTGCAGAAGCCCATATTCTGGCTGCACGAGCCCTCTTGGATCCTGATACCGAGATTGGTGTCGCTGGGGAAGCATTCTTCGTCTCTGATGGCAGAGCAGAACCCTTCTTCAATTTCGTGCGCAGATGCTACGCTGCTATGGGCCACCCTGTCGAGCTCAATGAAGTTACGGTCCTCCCGATGATGGCTATGCAAATGATTGCGTCTGTTACCGAGTGGGCATACAGCATCTTCACGTTAGGCACAGTGACACCAAAGCTCCGTAGGCAAAACATGGATTACTTGGATAAGAGTTGTTGCTGGTCAATTGAGAAGGCGAAGAATCGACTCGGGTATGAGCCAGTCGCTGACCAGGATGCGGCCATCAAGCGAAGCATGGAATGGGCTGTAACAAAGTCGTAGTGACATGAGGAAAGATACCAGAATTCAGCCCAAACAGAGGGGGTACTATTAGCTAACTAGATCAAAGCTCCAATTAATTCATCCCAAGAAGATTGAGCGATAAGGACTATAGAACCTCTTCAATAGAAACATCATCTATCAGCGACCTGTTAAGCTGGCCAGCGGTACAACTTATTGTGATTTCCAATCGCAGAGAAGATGCTGATGGCTGAAACGGGTTTGAGACGATCTTTGCGAACACGCCATCGTTACGAGGAGGTTGGAGCGCGACTAAGCTAATTTCTGAGCCACCCATAGTTGTGCGGATAGTGCAAGCATTGGCAGGAGGCGTATCAAATTTGAGGTGGTAAAAGACAATGCGGTAGCTTTTCGTGCTGTCAAGATTATCGACCATTTGCGAGATTGCCCCTGTGCGGCCAGTCGGGATTCGGAACAGACTAAGTGAACGTTTCGTTAGCGTAAGTTCATGATAGATCCACTCCTATCAAGCTGTCATAAAGCTTTGAGGTACATAAACTTACCACACATTCGGCCGGGATTGTTTAGGGAATACAGTGTCACTAGCAATAGACGCAGCGCCAGATAGGACCCACGGGCTCGGGGCGACACCTGGCGCAAATGCATCAAAACCTGGATTGCCGATCGTAGGAGTAGGAGCGGGAGCTGAAGATGATACTGCAGAGCTTGAGACTATTTCTGATGCGGATGGAGATGGAGTCGTTGAAGGTTCAGAGGGAGAAGATGATACTGCAGAGCTTGAGACTACTTCTGATGCCGAGGGAGATGGAGTCGTGGATGGCGCAGAAGGAGAAGATGACTCGGTTGTTGAAGAACTGAGCATAGAAGATGAAGACTCGAATGTTGACGAAATAGCTGACGAAATAGCTGAAGGAGTGGGACAAGGGCCATCAAAAAGCCTGTATGTGCAAATTGAACTTCTCAGAGTCAAACGAAACCGTTTGGCATGTGCCAGAAACGATTGCAATGGTATCGCAAATACCGGAACACTCGCCCTCATGCTGGACTCCTATATTGACAAGCGTCGAGCTGCAGGTTGGCGACACAGATGTTGCTGTAGATGAGACTGTTGTTAAAGATATTTCGGATGAAGACAAAGACGGCGTGGTTGCGGTCGAGGATGATGACTCGATCACAGAAGATTCAGTACTCGTTGAAGTTGCCTGTACTGTTGTGGACGTTGCTGAAGTTGTGGATGCGACACCTGATGACGAGGTTCCGGGGATGGACACTGCAGCGGAGGACGACGATTCAGTCGAAGAAGCAACAGCTGATGTGGATGATGTAGCAGAGGATGATGACACCCAGGAAGACATCGTGCTCGAGCTAGCTGAAGTGCTGGTGACAGTGGGCGTAGTGGAGACGGCAGGAGTAACGGCACGAGATAATGTCGACGTGACCAAAGTCGAACGAGTGGAAGTGCTAACCGATGATGGGTGCATAGAAGCACGGTGATGCTCGCATAGTCGAGGAAGCTCGCGCGGACGACGATTTCGTACCACCGCACTCTCCATAACCCTTCTGGCAGCCCTTCCCGCAGTAAGCGTTAGAGCCACCGCACCATCTGTGACATTGTTAGCGGTGTACGACTGAAGGACGATATAGTGTCGAACCCGTATTGCGAGCAGCAAGTATCTTGGGTATTGAAACCGAAGCAGGTCAGGCCAGTCCCTTTGCCACATTTACCATTGCGGCTAGATTTGAGCTTTCCGTCACCATTGCTGTCGATGTTCCCGCCGCAGCGTCCAAATTTCGACTGGCAGCCTTTTCCACAGTACGCTGAAGAAGCACCGCTGAGGCCGAATTGTTAATTGACGATCCTTGACGTTTGATTGCTAGAGTGGACTGTACTTACCAATACCCGTACTGACTGCAGCAGTCACCAAAAGAACTTTTCAGACAGGTCTGTCCGGACCGACTCCCACAATTACCATCGCGAGATACCTTTTGTGTATACGCAGCAGTGGCAAAGAAAGCCAAGTATAGCGCGACACGCATTGTTGATTAAAGATTATATTAAGTAAGTTATCGAGTGAAAACGCGCTTGAGGACAAACGATGAAAAGCGTGTTGATGGAGCAAAGACGACCCGACGCAACACTTTATATTCTACCGCATCGCCCACACCCCTTTCAAGTATCGGCATGACACCATGTATCTAAGTGAGCCTCGAAGGGGCCAAGTTTGCTGTTTTCGGGCGCATTAGCAAGTTGTGGCTGCCAGGATTGCTGTTTTCGGGCGCAATGGCAAGTCGTGGCTGTCGCCAAGAACCAGATTAGGCCAGAACGTGGCTTGTCGACTTCAGCTGACGAAGTATTTGTTCCTAGCACACTGAGATGTTCACGAACCTTAAACTCAGGGGTGAAAAGAATAGTACCGGGTGAGGCTGAACTAGCAGCAATCGAGACTATGCTTACCGAGATTAACCAGCCACGACAGCGAGCACCAAATAATAATTCCTTCTTGGAGATGAAGATCACACGGCTCGTTGGTCAGCGAATGACGAGATTTTCATGAACGGACGGGATGTTCTGTTCAGCCATTTACAAGGGGAAGTCGCAAGCAGGCGCTCCCTCCGTACACGGGTAAATCTCGAACTCGCGATCCAGGCTTGCGCACCACCTCGTGACGCCTGGTTATCATCGTCTGCAATTGTCGAGGAAAAGCAAGTGGCCTTTGACCCTGATAACAAGTCGTCTAGTTTACAGCATTTTCTCGGACATAATTCAGATTCCGCGGCTAAGTTATACTAGCAGCTGCGGCACCTAGACGCTAAACACGCGCACGTCTTTCCTACACGACAACCGACATATATGCTTCACCTATGATTGACGCTCAAATATCATATCGATCCATGCAAACCCTGCAAGGATGTCGTGTCCAGCCCGTATTTACCCATTCCACAAGCCGAAGAACCATCGTGTGCCGATTCCGCGCTGGACACTGAGCTTACCCGAGGATGTCAAGCAGGTCTACACAGCATATATCGGAGTACAACAGCACATCGACGACAATGAGGCTGCGAATTCCGCAGCTCAAGCAATCCAGCAGGTCAAAAAATGGCTTGTGCAAGACGACGGCCCTGCGACACACGAATCATTCACCGTGATCGAGGACGACTCAACTAAAGACGTTGCCGTGTGGGTATGTTACTGGAATGACTTGGAGAAGCATAAATCGAGTATGGAGAAACTCTCGTTGTCGTCTATACACTCCAGCCTGTCGAGTCCTTCAATCGGCCTCTGGCGCGAAACCTTCACCAGCTCCGTCTCCCGTCTCGAAACAAACTACTCGGGCCTCGACTACCTGCCCGGTCTCGCGCGTCTTCCCCGCGCAGATACCGTCGAGCACACGTTGTCTGCATACTGGGGCGCCGCGCGCGATCGTATTCCAGATTCCGCTCACGACCTATTTCCTCGCGCTGCAGAGTCTCCGCCTTCAACTACTGTGACGAGTGGAAGAGGCAAACACCTCCTCGGGACTAACCACGCCAATCTCGTGCACATCCGCTCAGGCCAATACTGGGAGAATTGCAGCCAAATGGAAGCCGACGCATACGAGCAGAAACTGGAGCCCACACTGCGCTCGGGTCTACAATACTTGCAGCAAAATCCCGCGGACACGGGCGCCATTGCATTGCGCTACATGCAGAACGCTGACTTGCCATATGATCCCAACGCACGTCAAAAGAAAGAATCATGTGGCGCGGGCTTCTTTGCGAATCTGGAGGATCTGGAGAGATGGGCGCATACGCATCAGTCGCACTTGAAGATCTACCGTGGGGCACTGGCGCATTACAAAGAGTTTGGTGATTTGAGGAAGTTTAGAACCTGGCATGAAGTTTCGGTGATTGGGGAGAGCGATGCGACGTTCGAGTATGTCAACTGCGATTTAGACCCGGGCGTGGGTGAGGGAATGATCAGTTGGAGTGGTTGAAGCGACAGCTATTATAATTTGTCATGGACCAGGCTGTCCACCCACATGCTCATCAACAATGATACCTAGACCACCTTGATCACCTTCTATGCCAGTCTCAAACGGCGGGTTCCCTGGATCCGAGTTTGCGCGCTGGTAACGTTGTCTGTTTTGTACCGTGCTGAGCCCAAGCCATCCACCGAACACTGGCCGATCTGCAGGTGGTGATGCTGGGAATAACATGTACTCGCTGCTTGAGCGCCCTTCGGTGATCTCGCTACTGCGGCGGCGACCATCACCGCGGGCGCGAGCTCGATCTGCTGGAGCTGCGTGCGAGCGATGTACGTCCGATGGGCGTCGAACAAGTGGTCTGTTTGACTCATCGCTCGTGCGATACTGTTCGTAGATGGGAAGCGTCGGTTCGGTGAATGATGCGTCGCTCTCGTTGGGGGGACGTCGCGTTGTCATTGCAGGTGGAAACAATGAATGCGCCATTGCTGGAGTTTCCTGCATGGCCGAGTCCTCCCGCGGACGAAAGGTATCGGGGTACATGGTCAGCTCTATGGAAGGTGACGCCTCATGTCTTGTGGGTCTTGGAGGTTGTTCTCGTGGTTCAGGATCATATGTATGTCCTTTTGTCCAGACCAAAGTCTTTTGTCGCGACCTGATGAGTCCCAACTTTACGCCTAACGACTCCAGTGGGTCGAACGTAAAACGAGATACAAAGCGAAATATCGCTCGGAACCAATATGTCAATAACCTATAGTCGCGGGTCATGCGCAAACCATCCATTGCAGCATCGTAGTCTTCGGTGGAGAGGAAGGATTGCTGGCACCACTGTCGATGTGTTAGAATGTAAATAGTGAGCCGGAATGAGTTGGGCATACCTCAACTGTGATGTAGAACATGGAAAACAAGAGTACCAATCCAGTCATGAGAGTACCGGCGGTCCAATACCAAAGCACCCATACACTGTTTGACGTATCCTGAACTGAAAAGTCGAGGTAGCCTCCTTTGCCAGCCCAGTTGCTAGTGACACAATCGCATGTCTTGTACCAGCCAAAAGTCTGCGCGAGGACAATATAGACCTATTTGTTGTCAGTGACAGGTCGGAGAAATACAATGGATGGGGTTGGAAGTGTGCACTGTGTGCAGGATGCGAGAGGGGCAAGACGACCATGCACTCACCAGCCAAGTGGCGTTAAATACTTCAATGGGGCGGAAGAAGAAACGCTCCCACTTCTTTTGCGTGCTCAATGCTCCAATCCGTCGGATGGCCTTTTCTAGATTGGTTTTGACACTGGCTCTCTTCGCTCTTCTGTTTCTGGTAGGCACCAAAAGCACAAACCACACGACCAGCCTGATGAATTGCGACTCTACCTTGAAGGAGAAACTTGATGTCGTCCGCTTCAGATTTGACCATCTTTGTTGCGTGTTGTCTTCAAGTGTCTTGAAAACCGTGTAAGTACGAAGGCGTCTCGTGATCCAATCGAGCCACGGCACGTTCATTTGGTAAGGTGACGTTGCCAACCACACGGTCATCTCGACGATGATGAGCCCGAGCGCAACACAGAAGAATATGGTGTAGCCGCCACTCCTACACCCCAAGCCAACGGTCGGTGTAAAGTAGCTCAAAGCGAATGCGCCACCGCAGCTGCCAGCAACGATCAAAACTGCACTCGCAATCTGCCAGAATTCGCGAATGTCAAACCACATCAGCCCTTCGGCGTTGATCGTTCCTAGAACTAGATTCATGCGTGCATCGCGTTCATCGGCTAGCCAATTTCGACCTTTGTGCGCAATGTAGCAGTCTTCGATGTCAGAGAGGATGGGATGTGCCGCGCCATAATGCCAACGTACTCGTGCTTGACCAGCAAAGTCCTCAAAGAACTCATATGCATTCTCTTCAGCGTTGGCAATGTCGTCAACCCTGATCTTGAGTTTTTCAAATTCGGGGTGGTCTCGAAACGTCTCCATGAAGTGATTGCGATGCTCCTCATTGTGCAAGGCGTTTCGGACGTGATCAACTAATGCATTCAGCTTCTTTCGAATAGCTTCGGCGGCGATCGGATTGCGGTCAACGACCGAGCACATGATGAGTATGGGGAACCAGGCGAGCAGACAACCCAGAGCAAGATCGTGGGCAGTTGTGTTCTGGCCAAGGTTGTTGAAGGCGCCTTCGACCGACAACGCAAAGGCAAACAAGAACCACCCGATCGATACGAAGACTGTGTACGTGTTAGCTGAGGGTGACGAGAGTGACAGACCAAAAGACGAGTGTTCACCTGGCACAGCTCCTCTCCTTCTCATCTCACGAAGTTCACGAGCCAGAATGCGCCGCATGACTCGCAGCGACTTGTTCGTGTCGGTCAACTCCAGATCTCTGCTGAACAAGGCGATGCGCAACAGACACTCGGCCTCCTTCTTGCTATACTGCACAACATCGGGTTTCAGCGCGTACTGATTCATCACCAAAAGTAGATACATTGAATCCCGCATGCTGCCAAAGTCGGTTTTGCGATCCGGCGTTTCATCGTACTTTACAGCCATGTCGACCATCAGGGCTGCCTTTGCCGAGACTTTGATGTTCCACAGCACATATGAGAGTGATGCGATTGGCGAGCCGATCCACCGCGCGAGAGCTAGAAGCGTCCGTCTGGTGGAGTTACTCTCGAAAGGTGCTTGAAGCATGGTGCCGACGACCGGTAGGATCCATGTGGTCAGAGTGCTCGAGACATCATTCCACGTGTAGTAATCAGTCCCAGTACCACAAACTGCAAGGCAACCCGCGCGAGTGATTTGCGTCGTCTGGTTATACTTGATGCCGACTAGAGGTCCATGATAGCCGTATAGATGCTGCAGCGTGGCGTTGTTGCTGAACTTGATTGCGCAATCATCGAAGCTGATCCTCATGGCCACTGTCATGGGATGGGACTAATGTAAGTTGACATGTAGCGCATCTGTCAGGCCAAAAGTATCGTGTGGACCTCGGGCTTGGTTATATGCGTTGCAGGACGCGGGACGGTTGCACTTCGCTCCGTGTTTCCCGACATGGCTATCTTGGTGGCGCACCAATCGAGCACAGCTCTTCGACGAAAGTAGGGCTGCCACCGCCGAAAGCAGTAGTTGAGCCTCATGGCTCAGCAGGCATCGATAGCATGCGGCAGCTGTGCGACGCGGCGCGCTCAGCTCGAATGTCAGCCCAACATGCGCTTGTAGCAGGGTCGATATAAGGGCGGCGACTGGGCGATGAAAGGCATCGCGCGCCAGGAGGACGATTTGCGGCGGGGTGCATTTAGTGACGAATGAATCAAGCAATCATGAAATATGCCAGCGTGACGCGCATTCTGGACCCAAAACTGTCGATACAGGAAGCGGGTTCCCGCAAGTGTAGTTCAAGAAGGGTTCGTCAGGTGTGGGGGCCGGGCGCTCACCGGTACCCAGGTGGGAGGGACAACCACTACCCCGGTCCGGCTGAACGACACTGCCGTGTCCATCACATTCTGGCTAAAACAGATGGTTGGTGGTTGAAGAAACACAGAAGAACAAGAGGAAAATAGAATTTCTAGACTGCAGACGCCGCGCTCAGCCGAATGGGTTTGGCGTGCAAGTCTTCAGTCTGCGATCCCTTTCGTGGAGCCTGACAGTGAAGATGGAGAGGCATGAATTGGCTTGGAAGATGTAGTCATTGAAGTTACTTGTACTTGAGTAGTTCGAGCTTATGGAACAACGCGTTTTCAACAACTGCGTCCATTTGAAATCATGCTATGGATCTGTGAAGTGAAGAGCAGGTCGAGGAACAGGTGGGGGTGGAGGACGTGTATGCGAAACACGCGAGCGAATGAGATGCCGTGTTTCTGCCGGGTTCGCCGCCGGATTTCAGAGGAGAGCTCCGGAATTCATCACCACCATCTTTCGCCCTGCATTTTGTAGCTTGATCTGTAATCCAAAAAACCATCATGGACTCCGGGCGCCCACTCCCTCTCTCTCGAACCCACATCCAGGACTAAATGGCGGATTTCAACATGCAAAGCACCAAGCCCGACAAAACATCTGCCCCGTACGGCCAAGCATGCGTACACTGCGTGAAGGCCAAGTCTCGATGCATGCTACGCACAGGAGGCAGTTGCGAAAGGTTAGTATTGCGCCAGATGTCTACATCAACTCACGTAGATACTGTCGATATCTTCTTGCCCTGCGACTACCTCCCCACTAACACCATCACAGGTGTCATAGACTCAACAAAGAGTGCGTTCCTTCGGCCACTCTCCGCAGGAGAAGCGCGAAGCAAGCCAAAGTCTCTAAGCGGAATCAGCTAGAGGATAAGCTCGACGATCTTGTCACTCTCATCCGAACCCAACAAGTTGCTCAAGCATCGGAGCGATCAGTGGACCAGCAAGTCATCACACCCTCATCGCTGGACTTTTCGCCGCAACAGACAGGGTACACGACTCCTTGTGATGGTGGCCTTACGGAATCTGATCTTCATGCGTTTCGAGAGTTTCACTTGCCATATTTCCCGATGATATATCTGCCGCCAAGCATGTCTGCCAGAGAATTGCAGCGGGAGAAGCCTATGCTAGCACTGGCTATCGAGATAGTCATGAACAAAGCATCTACGCAGCAAGTTCAACTAAGTGAGAGATTTCGTACCAAAATGGCGATGAAGCTATTCGTAGATGGAGAGAAGAGCCTAGACTTGCTGCTCAGTTTGCTAGTCTGCATGGCATGGTAAAGGTCTCTCTCGCATCATTGACTTTGGCTCACTCTTGCAGGTCTGTCTACTTCACCTCGGGGAAAAAGTTCCTGGTTATGTTCTCTGCCACTTCTCGGTCACTTGTGAGCGACCTCAGGGTGGATCGAACGAGATTTCCGTCTTGGTGCCCGTCAATAGCACCAGGTTGTGAGGAGGGCATCGAACAGTCCAATGAAAGCAGGCGCACGTTGCTCGCGTGTTATGCCATGACCGCAATGTAAGGATTCACGCACTGTGATGGCATTGAGGCTGACCTTTACAGCATATCGTTGACGTTCAATTCGGACATTATTGCATGGTCACCTCAGCTTGAAGAAAATTGCGCCAAACTAGCACAGGCAAGAGAGACCGAGGGGGATGAAATCCTCATCGCGATCGTTTTCATATCGCGCATATGTTTACAAGCAACTGAGGTTCATCGTTACCTGGCGGACAATAACGGCGGACACGTATCGATGCACATCAAGCCTCTCAAGGACAAGCTCGAACTATTCAAAGCCACGTTGTCGGATGAACAAAGAAGTCACAGTAAGCAATTATTTCATGAATCAGGATTCTGATAACTGACCACATCCAGCCACTGTTAACGCTTACCTCTGCGCAGCCGCAATTGCGATACACGAGCTTGCCATCTTCCATCCGCCCACAGTCGCGACACCCTTCAATTCAGCGCTCGACCACAAGCGCATAGGCTACTTGACAAACTGTCTACAAGCATGCCAGGACTACACCGAGAGCTACCTGAACTCCGATATGATATACGTGACGACTGCCTCCGGACTGCTCTTCTCCTACTGCCTGAAGACACTGCACAAATTGTCGACGCTTCAAGACTTCATGTGGGATACTACCATCGCAAAGCAAACAGTGGATGTCGTCGGCTTACTCGAACGCTGTGCTGGTAGCGCGGAGGAGAGTAATGCCCGATTGAAGGAGCAAACCGGTGAGGACAGCGTGTATCTGAAGGCAGCGCGGACGCTGAGGGAGATGGCTCCAAACTGGAGAGTCGCAGTGGCCCACGAACCTTCGAGTAACGGTGACGCGACTACCGTAGAAACCTGGCCTGCCGTCGACCACATGGATTTGTCGCTGCTGGATTTCTCGGGGGATTTCTGGCTGAATGCGCCGTTTGATGTCTGAATTGCAGGCGAGTGCGGCTGCGTTCAAGGTTCTTTCTCGACCCATATGTGGCCACCTTCTTACCGTGGAACGCATCGGTGTGGATTCGTCTCCCGTGAGCTCGCCCAAGAGCGCATATAGAACGCGCGTGGTGTCAACAAGTTCAATCCTCTGGGTGCAGGCAATACCTTGGGAGAAACTCATGTAATAATTCGGAAAATGAAAGCAGGCCTCTGGAGAAAACGAGCAGTGTGTATGGCGTCGACGAGGTTGAATTTACAAATGCAAGCGTCACCATCACCTCGAATGATCCAAGCAAGGCCCCGGATAAGGAGAGTAGTATTTCGGAAGATACAAGCAGCGCACTGCCTGCGAGTGTGGTCAATGTACCAGCAGTATCCAAGGACTTATCTTTAGACGCGCTATTAGACAGAGCAAAGACATGGGACTTGTACAATAGACGAAAAGCTAGATATCGGACGTTGTAAGACATAGATTGCAGTTCATTGCTGAGAATTAGTGGAGTAATTTGTGGAGGCGGGATGGAGAAATGACGCGTCGCTAGCGCCTTCCCGTGATATAGAAAGAGCAGCTGTGTCGCACCGCACCTCTGCATTTCCGAATTCACTCAATTCACACGTTCATCACTGGCACAGCACACAAAAGTTCTCGCACGAAAATGGTTATCATTCGCCGCGCACGACGACATTACAGACACATACGAGAGAGACCCCACGTACACCGCAGTGCAGTCTGAGAAAAGAAAGTCCAAGTCTATTAACCCAATCGACAAACAAGCACCTCGGCGGTTACTACCATGTCATATATCACATCTACAAGGCAAAGGCAGCAAAGGCGAAGACGACGGACAAAGCCATGGCCATGGAGTTGACAGCCGAGACGGATGTGGCTCCGGGGGCGTTACCAGTGGCTTGAGCTGGGGTGGGACCGGTGCCAGTAGCGCTACCGGCCGCACCACCGGCGACACCGCCAGAGGAAGAAGCGTTGCCGCTGGGAGAAGCAACGCCACCGCTGGGGGAAGCAGAGCCGCTGGACTTGGGGCCAGCGCTGCCGCTGGGGCTAGCAGACGAGGACGAAGCGGATGGGAGCTCCTTCTTCTCAGGGCAGCTGAGGTCGTAGCGGGGCTTGGTGTTGAGGTTGTCGGTGATGGCGAACTTGACGTCGTTGGCTGGGTTGGCGTCACGGAGGGTGTACCAGAAGACGTTCTTCTTGCCGAACAGCGCGCAGCCGACTTCCTTCCAGTACTTGCCGGCGTTGTCGACGGATGCGTCCGCAGCGCCGTAGGTCTTGCCGCTGTATGCCCAGCCGGTCTCGGTGATCCAGACGTCCTTGCTGCCGGCGACACCCTCGGTGGCGGAGAGCGCGCTGCTAAGGAGGTTGGCGGCGTTGTCGAGGGAGTTGTTGCGCTCGACCTCGTAGTAGGGGAAGGCGTTGACGGACAGGAAGTCGACGTTGTCGATGACGGCCTTGTTGGAGACGTTCACCCAGGCGGTCCAGGTGTCGACGTGGGTGACCTTGATCTTGGCGAGCGGTGTGTTGGCGAGCTTGGAGCGGACGTCCTTGATGAACTTCACAATCTGCTCGGCGCTGTTACCGACACCAGACTTGTTCCGGATACCGGGCTCGGACACGCGGTAGAGGTCCTCGCTGCCGACCGAGATGCCGACGATGAGGTCGGTCAGCTTGGTGCCGTGCTCCTTGATGGCCGCGGTGAGCGCGTTGAGCTCACCGTCGATGCTGGTGGTGCCCGACGCCCACACACCGAGGAGGAGCTTTGTGTCGGTCGCAACGGCGGCGGCGAAGGCAGCGATGGGCTTGGGGTCCTGCTCGGTGCCGGCCTGGATGTTGGTGTACAGGCGGATCGTGTTGAACTTGCCCGGCGCGCCCTGGAGCCCCTTTGCCGTCTTGAACTCCTTCTCAAAGTCCTCCTGTGTCTTCGCTGTGCCAGTGTCGGTCGTGGCGCCGGCATTGAAGCCCATGACCAGGTCCTGGGCAATCGCGCTGCCAACGGTGGCCGCGGGCGACCGCGAGAAGAGCTGTGAAACGCATATTTGTGGTAAAATTTGTTTGAGAGAGTGACTGTGGGAATAAAAAGGGAAGAAATATAGAGAGGAGAAGAAGTTGAAAGAGTGGAAACGTGAAGATTCACGAGAGTGGTGAAGGAGAGAAGTAAGATCGCTGACGACCTGCAAACGTTCATGGCTCACTAGTAGCACCCCGTACAGCTAATTGCGGTTGGGGAACCCGCCCCCATGATTGGCTGTGCAGTCCAGGCGCCGCTCGGCCTTGGCATAATCGCGCCCCTGTGTTGGGCACAGCCACGGCCGTTTTGGTCCTTGAAACAGCGCCTCAACCCCTGCATTCTGCGCATCAAACATTCGTCGAATGCAGATCGGTGTTATGACGATGCCACGCTGATCACAATGCAGTCCATGGAGTACCACAGCAACACGCTGGCAGAAGATTGGAAAATATGTTGGCGTTGCTTTGGCATGCATTGAGCATTTCAGCGCGCCACTTTGTGCGTGGTGCCACAAGCCTTTGCCGCCGCGGGACGCCGCAATGTCAGGCCATAATAAGGTTGACTCCTGGACGAGTCATCAGCGGTCCGTTGAAGTCCGTCGATCGTGACTTTTAGTGCAGATGTACTGGCTACCGCACTGAGTACCAACTGGTGACTCTATTAAACCACGGTCACAGCAATGTCCAAGTGTCGCATCACAGTCACTGCCAGTCATTGACGGGCAACTAGCCTCCAAGGTGATAAGAGCAATGATGTAGTATTGTTGGAATTGTACCTTGTGTGCTGCTGGACATCAAGATATGACCAGCAATCAAAGATAGACTCGCCTCTTGATTCCCATAGCACATAAAACAAACTTGGGCTGGCGTCTGACGCACAATCTGGGACTTCAACGATACTCCTCACGATCAGAAAAGCCTTCTGGTCTCGGTAAATCTGCCTACGGGTCTACCCATGGACCCGGCGCAAGTTTCTCTTCCCGTCTATCGCACCAGCGCACGAGGCTGTTGTTGAAGAATCGCGACTCCAGGAGAGACCTTGCTGGCTGGATCTGGCTTGTGAACCACTGCGCCATCTCGCCCTTGCCCAGGAGTTTTTTGACTTCGTTCTACTTAGTGTCACCAGTATGGCAGCGCACGTACAATGTGGCCTACACTCAGTTCGAAGAGGAGATAGTCGTGTCCGAGGGCTTCCGCGTTGCATTTTGTGAAAGCTGCAAGGTCGCTCTCTTTCCCAAAAATAAGATGGCAGCTTTTTTCAATCAGCTCGACTATGTCATGTACGATCTGGCTCAGTCTAGGCTTGGGCGCAGCAAGCTCACGGGTGAGTATGGGGAAGTCTTGCTCAGACGCGAGCATCATGTGGATGAGCGAAGAGGTTTCGTCGCCTGAAACCTTGGTTGTTGACATGATCGGAAGCGTGGCTGCGATATTGCTCGAAGTTTGACGAGGTGAGCCGTGGCAAGGACTGTCTATGAAATATATCTGTTCCTCACAGTCACGTGCGCCGTGATGGGAGATGTGACTAATAGTTATATTTAGTGAAGGCTTTGTTCCGTCACTCGAAACCTACCTTTGACACCACAACCATTGAACGCTCTTGGGCCACTAAGGCCTCCGGCTGCATCACGTCTTTTCCTTGGGCTCGCCCCCATTACGTTGATGTGAATCGCTCCGCCATCGAAAGTGTGGCGCAAACAAGTCGTACACGCTCTCGTCATCCGAGGAGTCCGCTTCTGCTTCTATCCGCGACTGTCTGCGCTGCTGTCCTGGGCTGCGCCGCTGGAAAGGCGTTCGATCTAATGTTGTAGATATTGAAGTTGAGCGTGGACGTGGACGAGGCTCGGTCTCGATCTTAAGCGTTAGGTCCAGCTGCAGTGTGCGTTCCATCGCTCTGTCTAGCTGTCTGACTGGCGCTGGTAGTGCTGGAAGAGATAGACGAGTGCGGTGTCGTGGGCCGTTCACAAGTGGCTGGGGCGGTGCGGCGCGCAGTACAGTGGACATTGATGACGTGGATCTTTGAAAATCTGGCCGTGAAGATGGCGCTGTGTTTGGCCTGGGAAAAGATCTGGCGGATGGCGGTAGGACGTGTAGAGTCGATCGCAGCGTTTTGTCGTAATGGATAACCTTGAACTCGACATTGCCTTGTGCAATCTGATCGTTCGCAATCGTACGTCTCATCAGATACGCTCGTTGGTATTGCAGCTCCTCCGCAATATCTTTTGGCAGCTGCTCAAGTTCTTCAGAACGGAACTCGCCTCCATGGCGGGCAAGACCAGCGTAAAAGAGTATAAGAAACTTCTCACAAAGGGTATAGTAGCCCAAGTGGTCCCGGAGGTATTCGAAAGGCTCAGGGCTCAGCGGCATTCGCATACGAGTTTCCAAGAATTGCCGGTAGCATGCGCTGAACGTGTCGATGAGCTTGTTCTGCATTTGCGGGAGGGCGAGCATATGGCCCAGGTGCCACGCTTTGGCCAACTTTAGCATCATATCGCTGCTGCCAGTGAGCTTCTCGAAGGGATTAGGCGCCACGGGCCGCATCTTTCCCAAGAAGCCACTCTGTTCGATATCCTCCATTGCGATCTCGAAGACGATGTAGTCAGTATTCGTTATGGTTGAACCCTCTGTGACATTCTCACGCAGAGCTGGAGCACCCCTCAGAGCTGCTTGCGATATGTGCACCACGCGAGATCGTGGTAGTCGTCCTATGTACACATCAAAGCCGTTGGTGGGGAGGCTGTGGTCTGTGTCAGAGAAGCCTAAGGCGAGAGAGAAAGAGCTATACCTCGATCCTAGTGAAACTCTTCGACTTGCGGCGGGTTGACCGAAAAAGGTTGCGCCAAAGAAGTTTAACATGATGTTAGTTTTGCAGTGAAGAGGGGGAGAAAAGAACAGGATATATTATGTGGGTCGTGCGTGAATTCACAGGACAGGCCATTGGAGGCAGCAGATTGTGACTAGTGACATAATTTTGGTGTGTGATGAGAATAATAGTGTGAAATTGAGGAGAAATGAGGGAATAAAAAGCGACAGCATGGACTCCGTATCATGCGCGAATACTTAGAGTCCTTCGGAGCATTGATTCTGCTAGTCTTTACCGTACCAGACATCGTGAGCCACGGTTGTGTGAGTAGCAGTGGACGACTGAAAGCTGCCTGTGGACAACAAATGATGAGTATGTGGTCGTTCATGACTGTGACGTTGGGGTGACATGTGAAAGGCAAGCCCAGACAAGGCGACCTTCTGGCGCCTGAATGTCGATCACAGTGTGTTCAGACTAGCCGAAATGTAGGAGTGCGATGTGCAGATATTTGACTTGCTACCATGGTCTTGATGGGATGGAAGAGGAGCCGGACAGCGTCGTCTGGAAAGATGGTAGTGAGCGCTCGGGCCAAGCGCTAACGGGCCGACGCGAAATGGAAACCTCGCGTCATCACGTTCTCAGCTTTCCACATTTCGCACAAACCTCGCTAATGTCGTTATTACGGGTGACTGGGCTGTCACAGAAACTAGCATCATGTGCTAGTACGACACGCGCCACAGCAACGCTTCGACCTATCACTTTTCGATGGGGACACCTTTCAGTACAGACGCGTAGTCAGCACTACAAACCACCAAGGCCTACACGAAAACTTCCCAGCACAGCACAACCACAAGAGGACCCCCACACGGTTGAACAGAGAATACAATACAGTTCTGCCGAGGACCACTTACTCGAGGATGTCGCTCCTGAGCATTTTCAGTGGCCCAACGTGAAGATTCGCTATCTCCGCCCGGCAATTTGGGCACTTATTGTCTCTGGAGGAATCTTTACCGGTCTTGCTTACCTTGAAGCGAAGAAAGAGCTCAAATCGAGAAAGTCGTCTGGATGGCTAGAAGCGCCACAATGGGGCATGCAGAGGCGTACAGCGCCAACACCTACTGAACTTGCTACGCAATGGTGGGGACGGCTCGACAACATTTCGAAGTTAAGTTGTGGTATCATTGCTGCCAACAGCGCCGTCCACTTGACGAGCTTTGTGGCACCTCAATTCTGGAACGCTTTATGGCACACACCAGCCCGCAACGTCAACTACACTCAGTTCACATCAATGTTCGTGCATTCTGGGCCATTCCATTTGTTCGTCAATATGTACGCCACCTACAACTTCATGTTACCCGTAGGCTATTCGCGTGCTTTCGAGGGCCAGCCATATCATGTCCTGTCCTTTTTCCTTGCGACTGGAGTCCTTTCAGGCTTCGCACAGCACTGGGCAACTCTCATAACGCCTTCAAAGAGAGCGATACCTGAGATCTTCATCAAAAGTGGAGGTGCAAGTGGAGCACTTTTGGGCATACTTGGTGCCTTCTGCATGGAGTACCCTCACGCAGGATTGGGCATTATGTTTATTCCTGTGCACTTCGAAGCGCAATACGTGTTGCCAGCTGTCATGCTATTCGACTTCATTGGAATGGTTCGCGGCTACTCGTTTGTGAACTTTGGACATGCGGCAGGTTGCAAGTTTCTCCTCTCCCAGCATAAGCTAATTGTTGTCAGGCGCATCTTTCCGGCACTTTGCTCGGAGTGGGTTATTGCTACCTGGATGGAAAGGACAAGATCTGGAAGCCCCTTGTTCGGTTCTGGAAGCAAAGGCTGCAATAGAATAACAACAAGAAACGCACATAGCAAACACGAGTCAACACAAGGCCGAAATTCGCAACACCAAGACAGCGCAGCATGGACGCTCCCGCATTGCCAATTGACAATCTGACCGGAACGTGTCAAAGACCAACAGAGCTAAGTAAACAAGAAACATGCTAGATCGTTTCCATTTTGTGTGGTAATGATAACAAAGGAGCGCTTGTTATCAAACTTTGCGTCTTTCATACCACGCCTTCTGCAAGTTTGTACTTCGCTGGAGATCAAAGACGTGCGATGTGGGATACAAACCACACTGACAAGTGAATCAAATTCTTTTGATGATGGAGGCTTTCACCAAAAATAAATATCATATCGCACCCCAAAAATAGTAAATTCTCACATCACCTGCTCTGAATCGACATGATGTCTAGTCAAGCTGGTAAAATGGTCACCGTAGGGTCTATACACGGCCAACCCACCGACGTCGAGATAAGCAGTCGAGCGCAGGCACTGTGCCAATTTCTCCGGGATCTACCGTCTGGTTCAGCGTTGCCAGATGTTCGTATCGCATCATTGCGCATTGTGCTGGCATATCTAGATGGCGACGAAGCCTTGACAGGACTCATGACCTCAACACACGACACAGCTTTGCTACTCCTCTTTGCACAAACATGGGCACTCGCTGCGCGACTCGGTCTTCCTACCGTCCAGAACAAGCTTACATCGGCTATGCAAGATGTCTACGATGTCAGTCTTGACGACCACACAGTCTATCCCGCGGACGAATTCCTACTCAAGGCCTTCAACCACTTAGTCCAGGAAGCTGGTGAAGACAGCCACGCCGAGTCGTTCTTGATATGCTTCGTGGCCAGAACTACACCCACAACGTCCGAGTTGGAGAAACAGCTTAATGCCAATGGCTTCGCCGAAAACATTCGAGGCAGTCTTCTGGCTGAGGCGAGATCATTCGACCGTGATCCCATCGAGCAGACGCCGCAACGGTTCCGCGTTGACACATCGCATCCACCGTCGTACCAGCCACTCGATGCGCGCTCCGCATATGTGCCTGTCTTCGTATCCAGACGCACTCCAGTGTCAGCAATGCATGAAAAACAAAGTTGCCGTCCCTTCCAACCTGCGGACTCGCATTTGTCTTGCCAGACTTTTCTCTTGCCACCTGCGATGTCACCTCCTCCCACATATGACAACATGTTCAATTACAGTGCCGTCCTGCCACACATGAAAGATGTGCCTGTCAGCCATGGCGATTCCGCTTTTCCATGGACATTTCCTGCTGGCAGAGATCCATTGCATCCTCCTGTACCCACTATGACCGATCATTTTGCAATGCCAATTCAGGATGTTCCATCAGGTCCACCTCTTATTCGGATTGCCGATGCTGCTGCAACCGCAGCTCAAAATCGCGGCTTAGGGCTGGATAATGGAGCACAAACCACAGCTTCGAATGCGGCTGCGGCACCTCCAATGGCTCCATCGGTCCCAACACCAGACGAAGGTCCTCCAAGGATGCCTCAAATCGCACAGGGTGCTCGGAACAACTCACAAAATGCGACGGTGATGGAGCCTGGGCTTGCAAATAACGCATCTGTGCCAATTGCACCCACATTACCACCACTTGCGCCAGCAACGAGTCCAGCGGTACGGCCAGTCGATACAGCACCGATTCGACAACCTGTTGGGTTTATAGATGGCATCGAGGCAGGAGCACGAACACTCAGTGTGCCCGCACCAATGGCACCCGCATCATCATCTCCTGCGCCAGTATCGATTCCAATAGTACAGCCAGTCGATGCAGCTCCAACTCAGCAGCCTGGTATGTCTCCAGATGAAAGCGAAGCCGTCTCAAGACCAGAGACCGATACACATGCTCCACAGAAAATCCTGCATTGTTGCGAATTCCGTCCAGTGAAGCAGCGAAACTGGGTGTCGCGCATCTTGCACGGCTGGCGATGCCCTGGTGTCCCATGCCCTCAGCATGAGTGTGAGAATCGTCCACCAGCAATCAACCAGATCACAAGAAGTGCAGGAGCGACTAGTTGCGGATGTCACCATTGGATATTGCCGGCAGAAGGTATCGTCTTCAGTACACATGCTCAACGTAGCCAAGCATCGCACCATCAACACAGTTCCCCCAGTCCTGAGCCTCGCCGCGGCGATGTCAATGAACCTTCAAAAAACTCGCCCCGCCGTGGGCGTACTCGCCACACCCCTCGCAACGACACAATCGCCATACGCACCCCATATCACGATATCCACGTACCCAGAAGCACCCACCCAGCCCGTCGTGGCGACCGTGGACACCGCGACGAGCGCACCCACCGCGGAAGTCGGCGCCACACATCGCGCAGCAGCAGCGACGAGACGATCGCATGGTGGCGCCCGAAGAAGACTGGGGAGAAGACCAAGTTCAATCTGGTGAGCTATGAGCGGCATCGGTGGGATGAGTGAGGGAGAGCTGGATGGATAGCTTCACAACGTCAAGATTCTCATTTTCGGCGTTTTGTAAATTTTCAACCTTTTCGGAGGGGAGGTTTTTTTTTGGGATAGACTACCATAGATCGCATACACACTCACAATAGACTATATCATATTTCAAACTTGACAATTTTCACATGCTTACGCCGAAACGCATCCCGTATACCTCAACTCCACTAATGTCAAAACGCCATCCCCAAGTCACATTCGACAAGTACAACACATCTCCCCTCCTCCTTCCCCCCTCCTCCCCGCAACATCCCTCAAAATCCCCCAAACCCAATTCTTCAGCCCCCGAGTACTCCGATACCTGCGTCTGCGCTCCTCCCTACTCCGCCTGCTCTCTGCGTAGATGGGCCGCATGATTTCGATGCTGTCGCGCACGTGGACGACGCTGCCGTGATTGCCCATTGTGCTTCGAGGAAGGTATATGGAAGTGTTTTATGTGGTAATCCCAGGGGGCGATGATATGGGCTGTGTGACTCCGCAGCTTTGTGTGTGGTAGGTTTGACAAGGTGATTGTGGGAGCTGGAGGTGTTCGCTTGCTTGCAAAGGGCTGTGCTGTGCGTAAAATGCTTTGAATAGGATTTCGACTTTTGCAAAATGGTTAGTGGAATGGATGATGAGAGAGGTCGATTCTAATAGCATTGGAAACGTGAGCATTTCTTCAACCGTGGATGTCATTTCTAGCGAACCGTGGTTGATGTATTCCCAACAAGGTAAGGCAGGTTTTGGAACCAACTATGGTATTTTGCATCGCTACACGAACATATTCGAAGATTAGAAAGCCGCGGAATTAACCAAACTTTGCAAATCGCCTAAGGAAGACCCTCCACCATCGCCCTGAGCATACCAGAGGCACGCGCACCACTTCCTGCTAATCTAAGGCGACCCCTCATCTTCTCGATTGCGTCTCCAGACAAGTTTGTCTTCTCCTTGATGAGTTCTATGGTACGCTCAAACTCCGCCTCCTCATCCGGAACATCGTCGTAGCCCAGGCTGCGCAGAGTCTGGTGAGCCAAAATGCGGATGCGGTGCTGGCACTCGGTACAGTACCAGCGGCTCACCTTATCAACACCTAACTTCTTGACGCAAGCCTTGTGAAAATACTTCATCGAACAGCCCCGATGAGCGCACTCGACCGCGCCCTTTGGAAGACCCTCCTCGGGGATGATGACGTGGCAGTAGCACATGAAAGGTTGATCTTTTCGCTCGAACCTCTCCCTCGCAACCTTGCCGAGCATCTCTTGGGTGATCTTATGCTTGAGAAGCTTGTTCTTACTACGTAGTCGCTCGAAGAGCTCCTCCTGCTTCATCAGCCGACCAGGGCTGTAGCCATCGGCGAAGTCCTCGTACTCGTAAGCTAGGCGCTTGGGAATTCGCGATTTATCGAACATGCGCGTCACAGAGTCCAACTGTAGGTAATCCATAATATCATAGTCCACTAGCATGATGCGGTTCGTGAAGTGCTCCTCTTCTTGATACATGGTCAATAGCTTCTCGGCACGGAGGCGGTTGAAGGGACCGGAGAAGAGGAACTCCTCGCCAGGATACGACAGACAGCATTCATCAAAGAAAGGATCGACACAAGAGCAATCTGACGTTAATGTTAGAATGGACTCTGGGGAAAAGGCTGGCGATAACTTACGTGGCTTGTGATACGGACAATCGACCTCACCGCTGGTCTCATAAACGCACGTATTGAGGTGTGCGCACCCTGAATCCCCAGAGAGGAAGGGTTCTGCGAGCTGGTCGACAGTGAATTGACGCTCAAACCTCTTCCAGTGTGAATGCTTGCTGTTGTGCACGGTAAGAGGAGGAGGTGGTGATGTGGTCACTAGTGGCGCTACGCAAGGCTCAGGCTCGGGCTCGTCCGTAGCTACGATTGTCGCATCCTCAGCTGGCATCTTGAACAAGGAGCCCTCCAGTAGCGGGTTCAGCACCTCTTTGGTGATGAGTGAGTCACCCGGATTCGCGCTAGCATCGAGCTCTCGGGGATGATCGGCTTCGACGATGGTGTCGTGGTCCGCAGTGGTAATATCAAGAGCAACATCCGCATCCTCGTCCACAACCAACTTCTTTGCCTTACGCCGTGCCTCACGCTCATACTTTTTTGCTTTCTTCTGTGATACGATAGCATGGCCTGCTGGTGACACATTGGCTGGCGTCTCACTGGGAACGACGAAGCTCTCCGGACCTTTTGATGCCGTGACCAAGGAAGAGTCTGCTAGCTGTACCGATGAGGACCTGAAAGAACGCAGGTCGGGGATCTCACAGGCATCAGGACCCCAGGGATTGACAGGTCGCGAAGTGGGTTGGACAGGGCGACCTGCCGCAGTCATACCCCAAACTGGCTTGACCGAAGGCGTCTTAGGTTTCTTCCCACTCAGGACAGTCGCCCATGCCCCGTTGTTTGCCTGTGGCACTTTCTTCTGTGTAGCCTTGCTAGTCATGGTACCCGGAGCAACCAGTTTAAGCTGTACAGCTGGCTTCCTGGATGCAGGCGTGGCATCCATTGATAGCAACGGGGCATGGTACGGCTCGATGACGTTCTGGCCCAAGCCATCATCACCACTGACGCGCGTGTGAATGTGTTCAAGGTGCCGCCGATCGGGAAGATCCTGAGGGGTTTCTGGAAGTAGTGTAGGTGAGTCTTCAGACTGTAGGCTATATCATGTGTCAGCAACAAGTCTACGAGACGTATCTAAGCCAGGCCATCTGCAAGATTCAAAACATACCTGTTGGTGGAGCTAATTTCATCAGCTGCAGACACATTTTCGCTAGAGCTGCTAGTCGTTGCGGAGTACTTCTCGCCCGTCTTCCAGTTTTTGTAGTTGTACCTATCCTCTACGATGCTGTGAGCGGTCTTGTTCGTGTAGCGGAGATAGCCAGCTCGTCGCATTCTCGTCTCAAGGGCATCCCGCTTGACTAGCACAAGATCGTTAACGACAGACTTCTTCAGATCCTCTACAACAGTCTGGAATGTCTTGAGCTCTTTGCCCTGTAAGCCGCGGTTCCGAGTATTGCTCTTAAGAAGATCGGCGACACGGAAGGCCTCCAAGATACGCTCGATCTCAGCGTCAAAGTCGACATCCACGTCTGCAAGACGGGCATACTTCTTGAGCTCGCGGCGATCGGGCTGAGAGTTGTACACGTTGGCGTTGTACTTGAGATGGCGTTCAATCTCGTCCATCTCTTCGGTGTTGTGCGGGCCATCGTCACCAACTGCAAAGCCCTCTGCCGAGTGGATAACAGAGTCAACGTGGTTGATCTCTTCTTGGCTGATGAATCGGGTTCTACTTGCTGCTCGAGCCAGGGCTTTTGCGTCTTTCTTCTCGCGTTTCGAAGTGACTGCAGTATCTTCCGTCGAAACACTGCGCTCTTGGTCATCGCCATCGGTCTCACCAGGATCATGACCGCGTATTCTGCCGCGCTCCTCGGGCTCCGCAGGTGCGATGATCCAGTCTTCTAGACCGCAGCTCTCGTATACATCGCGGATCCCTTCGGCGATTCTCTTATGACGCCGGCGGTGAGCTTCGTCGATGGTCCGACAGTAATGGCACGTATGGGATTTGTTGCGCATGAACATGGCCTGAACATGTTAGTCGTGTTAGTGGTATTGTTTGTGCACAAGCGCTTACCTGGTGGTATCTGTGGCATGGTTCTATTTGCTATATTCAGCACACTGCTCATCGTGTCCATGAAATTGGCGATACATACCAGAATGGGTGCCGAAGCAGGACGACCGAGCTCCTGGATGACTAAGGGGTCTCTCGCAGAAGCCGCAATGATGGCCTAACAGTCAGCGATTGTGTCGTAGTGGTTGCGGACATGGACATGGACTTACTGAGCCCCGGCGAGTCCTCCCATTTGAAAAGTAAGCCAGTGACCATATTGAAAGGATGGACGGTTGGTCGGCCCTGTCGTGTGGTTGAGGGCAGTTTATGTAGTAGAGGGGAGAGGGTTGGGAGAGAATTGAGTTGACAGGAGGTGCTCGAGCATATATGGTGGGCGAGTGAGACAATGGTCCGCGCAGTCAAATCGGCCGTCACGTGAATTGATGAGATGAAACGCGAGTGATCCGGGGCAGCACTTTGGGGTTGGAAGCAAGTGTTTACGCGTTTGGCGTGTGGTGACTGCTCTTTTGCGCGGTGACTAGGTTGCTACGTAAAGAAGGGAAAGAGCGACTGCGGAGCACAATAACAACAACAACAACAACAAAAACAACAACCCAAATTCTGTAATGAGTGGAGTCCAAGAACTTAAGAGAGTGCATACATTCATAATCGGTTCACCGTCCGACTGGGTCAATGTGCGGTGAGGAAGTGTCGCGGGAGGGTGCATCTGCGAGAACTGGCTCTGTCGGTTTGACTGGTGCCAAATCGAGCGAGTGACCGACGGACGTCCGCCCCCCACGACCCTGCATACGCAAAGGGCCACCCTAGACGTCTTTGACGACGCGAGCGCCGGCCCACACGTACGGATAATTACGTTGGTACCAGTTTACACTGTGGAGGCGTTAATGTCGTCGGCTATGATTACCTGAAGTCACTACACTCACAAAGTCTTCCGTCCGGCCAGCCGAGGGTGCGTTGCCCACGATCCGCCAAGCGTGATGTTATGTTTGCCATCGAAGAAGTCCGCTGGAGTGGAGTCAGATGCTTGTTTGATTGACACGGGAATGACGTACCTGTGTAACCCGGGTACAGCTCCATGGGCTCAAATCCTTCATGCTTCTCCAACACAGTACTGGTCCACTCCCAAACACCACCCAAATCAGACTGGCCGCAGAGCTTATTGCCCTTGTCGGCCACTGAGACTGGATGCCAGTGCTTGAAGCCCACATTAGTCCCTTCAAGGTTGAGGAAGAGATCGCGTGGGTTCAGTCCAGATACTGCGCCAGAGGCGCCATTAGACGAAGGCTGAGATGGCGGGGACTCATCCACGCCGTTGTTGATAAGATGTCTACCAAAGTCAGCCATGTGCCAAGATCAGAGCTGCAGATACATACCCGTTTACTGCGGGGATGGTGTTGCCGAGCGACTGCTCGACTTCTGGAGCATTCAACGAATCAACGTAACTGTAAATGCTGCGCGCTTCTTCCATAGTAGGGATGCGGCCGCCCATCCATTGTGCGCAGCCGGCCAGCTCGTCGTACGACGCCATGACAGGCCAGTCCAGAGCATACCGAAGAGGCACCGTGCCGTATACAGTACGTACATACTTGCCGTCGATAAGCTTCGGGGAGGTGCCGTTGGTGCCGTTGGTGCCATTGGTGCCATTCGCTCTGTTGTTGTGCCCGTTGAGAACGCTGTCTCTCTTACCATTGCTCGCGACCTTGTCGTTGGAGTAGGGGTGCTCACTCCACGATGCGGGAAGTGCTGACTTCCCGGTCTCAACAAGGTATTTCGCAAACTCTCCGTTGGTAATGGGTCGCGCCTTTGCACTGAAAGACTTTACGTGTGCTGCGCGTGGCGGCTTTTCAGCATCCCAGCCAAAGTAGCGCTTGGTGGTCGCGTCTTTCTGTGGATCACGGAGGCCAATCTCAATGTCAGCGTCAGGGACAGTAAACCACTGGTTTTCAACGGCATTTGTTGCTGATGTCTTGGCGAGTGCCTCAAAGTCGGGTTTGACGACGCCAGGAGGCGGCAACACGTTTTCGCTCTGCACGAGCATGTACAAAAGTGTCTCTAGATGCATCGCTTCGTGCTCGAATCCGATCCACAAAGCTCGGGACACTCGAGGATTGTCATCGGCCTGGCCAGAGGTGTAGAGCTCCTCGGCCCTTTCGCGTACTGTCTGCTGGAATTTGAGAATGTCGTTTAATGGCGGCCATGATTCAGGAACTTTCGAGTGTTCATGACATTTTGTGGGATCCTCAACGTCAGGATCGATTCCACGTTCAAAGATATCTCGGAACCACACAGGCTTCGACGGCGGTCCATCTGTGCCGCGAGCAAGATGGATGTCAAGGAACGTTGGGATATGGCCGAGGTAGAAAATGCATTCGTTGCGCAACTTGATGGGCTTGTTGAGCAGCTCATCTTCAGGAATCATCTGCTTCGTGACGGCATCCCAAGTAGCCCACAACTCTTTCCACTCTGCAAGAGACGGGACAGGCTTTGCAGCATATTCTTCAGGTTTCGTGGGGAAGAAGACGACAGGCTTAGATACGAAGTGGAGGCCTGGAAGCCGTTAGCAGAAGCACAATCTAGGTTAAGATAGCAGCTCACCGTAGTCACCTCTGGCGGTGGACCAGACTGTGTTAGCAGCAAGTCTAGCATCCTCCCAAAGCTGAAGTATCTCGTCGCGCGAGTATTTGTAGCTTTCTTCGATGCGTATCCTCTCGCCACGTGGAATGTGCACCCCGTCAACCACGACGTCCTTGCGTGGCGAGACAAAGGCATGGTGCCTTCCTTCCTTCTTGTCGTATTCACCAATAGCCTCCCAGTCGTCCATGTTGAAGACTGTCTCGTTCATGATTTCGTTGGCGTGTCTGAGGCCGTTGAGGATGAAGTCGTGAGTGACGTTCTCGCGGTCGTTGTAAGCGTGATATACACGATCTGCGTCCTTGCATGAGTCGATGCCGATCAGCATTGTATCACCGGCCTGCATAGCGTTCCCGAAACCGGTTAGGAATGGAGGCACTTCGTGGCGTTTGAAGTTGCCTAGACTCGACCCGAGCCACAGGATCGTCTTAGGTTTATCTTTAATATCGGATGACTTGAGCCAATCAAGAGCATTGTCGTAGGTGCCGTGTAAACCGAAACACCTTACGTGCTTGTAGCCATCTGCAACCTTATCAGCGTACTTCCGCCAGCATAAAGGTGTTTACGAGTCATAGTAAGGTCAAGGCTGATGAGTGATTGGTCAAAGGTCCGACACGATAGAGCGGAGAAAGTGGCCGATACAGGTCCAACCACTTATCGGCCATTAAGCGACCCAATCTTCAGGCCTAGTTATGTCTTGACACGAAGTCACCCCTAGTGCAGCACACCATAATACCGTGCCACAGAAGATGGATGGGCTTACCTGTTGGGATTTGACCAAATGTCCTCTCGAGTTCGGGCAGAGACAAATCGACAGCATAGTACTCAACATCTTTGCCAAGACGATCGATCGCCTGCAGTAGAATATTGACTTTGCGCAAATTGCTAAACGAGCATCAGTACACACGAAGCACATGGCTTGTTCCGATCTTTAGTGAAGCTAGTAGGCAGGACCCTACCCGCTCCCAAGTTCAACCAGAATCGAGCCCGGTTGTATGCGATGAGCAATTTGTTCCGCATAATTCTCCAGAACCTCGATTTCGGAGTTTGTCAGATAGTACTACAGGGCAATCAGATTAAGCAATCAGGCTGGGTCATCGTTGGCGGACCTCCTCAAGATACGTTATCTTCTCAAACAACTTCAATCCGGTCTCGGAGTAGAGCAGTAGAGTAGGGAGCTTCTTCTCGCCACCATCCTGAGGCCGGAGACCCGTCTTGATGTCAGCCACGATATCGGATAGGGCAGTGTCGACACGAATGTCGATAATTTTGGTTCCCGTCGTCATGATTGTTTACTTCGTCGAATCGGGTGCGGTTGATATGGTTAGCTCCTGAAAGAGCCGCTTTACCAGTCGTTTTCGGGTGGCCCAGGGCTGCACGATACTTATAGGATGGCAAGCACCATACGTAATAATGTCATACTACTTAGCCGCTTATGTGTGGAGTAACGCCATTAGTTCGCCGGTACATGTCTAGACGTTTAGTGTAGATTTTGCCGTAAGTGGGACCAGGTACCACATGTTAGCTCGAGGCGGAGTACGTCTCACTGCATACACAATCCAAGGTACCTGGTGGTCCTATAGAAGGAAGGCCCATTGAACGTGCTTACTATGTCGCAAGACGTGCATGCCAGGAACCCAATCATCCCGCGGATCGTAAAGCACAAGGACCCTAGGGTGCGGAAGCGGAGTCGTTCCAGTTGGAGTGGTTGACATTTGTGGCCAATGGTGACGTCATTCTAGTCTGCAAAAGAGGGGAGACTTAGGTGCAGGGCAACGAGAGGCGTAGATGCCAGTGTGGATCACGAGCATAGTGTGAAACTCTGCACCGTGCAGCCGTTGCAAGCCGCCATAGCCACAGCAGGCGTTGACCCAAGGCTTTGCTGCGAACCCGCGGGGTGCAAGAATGCGATGCTCCGGCCTGCATGTACCATGGCTTACACAGCGGAACTGAGCCGGACGTGTTGACAAATGGAATTATTAGCCACATCTGCAAGCTCATGCACGTCCTAGGGCAAATTGGAAGTCTGCCTGTGGAACACGTGAGAATAGGATGACGGCCACGGCGGGGCTTCGGATCAGCCTCGGAGGGAACCTGGATCTCATGTGGACGATGGCCATCGCGATGGCAAGTCGATGCCGATGAGAAAGATGGTAAGTTGAGAGTTGGTGATGCTCTCAAGGCCACGGTGAAGAAACGCGTGATGCCGTTGGTGGGTCCGCAAACGCGTCGCATTTTAGCGTGTTTCCGAGCTACCTCCGCCACGACAGATCCTCATCGGCACCCACCACAACATCAGCGCAAGATGCATATGATCGACGATTGACGGTTTACGAATGCTCCAGCAATATAGCGCTGTGAGACCAGGCCGACATCATGCGACGTGGTCGTGATTGCAAGCCTTTCACATGGTCAACTACTGATGAAATAGAACCAACGAAAGTAGCTGCCATCTGATAGCCACCGATTGTTTAACTGCCGAGGTCACATAAAAAATAGCTCAATGTCACGTCCATATGTACATTGGCTCCTCGATTGATCAGCAAGGGGCCCCTTGCAGGACGACTACCTTACATACCATGAACGCATTCCATGATAGCAAACAGTGAGCTACAGTGCCCCGTCGGACGTCTACAGTAGGTGCAGAATGCAGACAAGGACACGCGACAGTACCTCCCTTTGAGCGTTACCAGGAGCCCAAGAGCAATCGTTGCCATCTCAGGCGCGAACTGCTGTTCAGCCGCATCGTTGGGTCGCATACACACGGATATGGAATAGGAAACATCCATACGGTATTGCGACAAAGAAGTCTCCAGAATGTAGCGCTCTCAAGTTGACACATTCCTCACTTTGCCATGCGATGCGAGATCAAAATCAGGCTTGTACCTCGCGCTCCCCGTTGCTTGTCTGTAACAGGCTCAGAGTATGGCTCGTGCCTGTAGCCAAATTACCCGTGGATCTCATTGTAGCCGTCGCGGCCTTTCAGACTGCGAACAAAACTGCGTTGTTCGGCTCTTTCACAGCCAACACAGGCACCACTACGCTTCTTCCGAGTACTTCAATCAAGTTTTGTCTCCCTTTATCCGACTAGAAACTTCCAGAACCCCAATTTTACGCCCTGAGAACCATCACTTGGTAGAAGCCGAGGTGCCGGGGCGTCTTGATGCCTAGGCAAGTACTTGAGTAAGTCTTGAGCGCCAAGAGAAACGTTGAAAGAACACATCGCGTTCAGAGCAAGTTGTGATACCATCCTTTGATCGCAACCCCATTTACTCATTGGATGACACCAAGGCAAGCGATAACATCCAAGTGCTGCTAGCATTACGACTTACTTTTGGTCGTCAGAGGGTGTATCTCCTTTCGGTGGGCTCCTGCGAGCCCCAAGCTGAATGACCATCAATGCCTCTAGATCCCGGGCAGGTATTGTCGACTACCCCGCGGAGGAGGCGTTGAGCACTGGACCTTATCTGAAAGAAGATCTCATAATTAGGCTGGACACCAGTCGACTGGACGCTTTCATTCGCTATCAACGCGTCTTTCAAAGGATCTTGGCTCGGCTACGCTCCATCCACGCGATGCATCTCTGGTGAGCTTGTATTTACGCTTAATACTGCTAGTGCTGCGTATGTATGGGTTGATCTGCGGTGCTGTACTCTCAACCGTCTCACCTTAACGTCAGCTAATATGGAATACCCATGCTCTCCTTTTTCGCATCAGACTTGTCAGGTCGATGTTGTATCCCAGCAATCTCCCGTCAGTTTCGTACCCTATTCCCCATGGGATGTCGACCTTGCTATGTTGCGGAACGAAGAGGACATTTTAGAGAATGGATTGGCCACCTGCGTTACATATCTTCTGGCTCTGCGCAAAAAGCTTGCTCGAAACGAAAGGTCGCTGAACTTGGATCCGCCACCGACGCGCACAAAACGCAAAAAGATGGAACAGAGCAAGCGTATGTTGGAAAGAGAGATCCAAAACCGCCAGCGGGACGAACAAGCTTTTTTGAACAACCTTCAGGCTTGCAAGACGAACATGTATCTCACGGGAGGCATCTGGAACCAATCTACGGGTGTGTTCCCAACAATGGCAGACTGCGCTTCCAGCATGACGCAGCAATCTTGCGATGATTCGGCACCCACTGAGGTCAGTTGGAATGGATGGGCCGATGATTCGGTGTCTCCGTTTGAGAAGTTGCGCAGCAACGCAGTTGTGCTCAAGGAGGTTGCACCCGACGAGCAGGATCATCATGATAACTCAGCAGCTCAGATGAGGTCTATATCTTTACGAGTCCATGAGCCAACGCTTGCTGTCTCCGTGTCCCAAGATTACATTGGCTTCAAAGGTGGTCGATCGTCACTCAGTCCAGAAGCAATAGTCTTCGAGCCGATCATCGATGCGACAGGACAAGACGACCAACCCAAGATCCAGCAGCTAGAGTGCGCCAAAGGAGATAGCGCTTTGCAAAGAAGGCGAGTGACGGTTGCGAGCGTGCATAGTTCATTCAAAAATCTTTCATTACACACAAGGTCTGGGCACGAAGACGAACAAACCCAAACGTGGTACAACACCACCCCACAACGAAGCCCTCGGGACCGCACCAGAATTGAGACTTGTGAGAGATGCAGATCTACTTCACTCTAGCACTTTGACAGAATATTGCGAGACGTCGTGTTACCTCTCTGAGGGATTTTTTTTGAGCCCGACGGCGTAGTGAAGATGGCGACATGGCGACACGCTACACGACTGACTGCCGGGTTTCAACTGTCCCTGCTGTCACTCCCAACTGTAGATGCATGCGTACCCCGCGGATCTTTTCGTTGGTTGGATTTTGGCTCATGTGTCCATTGCATGCTTTCTCTGCGTTCGCCTGCTTCACCAACCACAAAACCTGGCGAATATTGTACACAAATTATGTTACAGCGCGATACTTCAAAAGCCCACATAGACTTGTAATTTAGACTCAAAATCACATGCCATCACACCACCCACGTCGTTGCGTTGTTTCATTCGTGAGGTGCTCGGTTCGACGGGTTGAGTGCGGGACATCGCGAACTAGCAAGCCGGCAGTTGGTGGGGTCTGGCTTCCGTCATTGGCATGCACATGGCATCGGGAGAAGCCCAGCAACACACACACTTCTCCACCGCACCTACATTTTCAACATCGAGCGCTTGCTGGAGTTCAACACTCTACGCACATTCTCTTTGCTCAGAACAAATCGCTCTTGTCTCTTCAATAAACCCTCGTGCTTTGTCCGTGACGGGCGCGTTATTGAACCCACCTCAACAGCCTCCACACTATCCTGGATCGACGTGCATAACTCTTGAATGTGTGCATAGCGTCCCGGCACGCACAGCCGTAGCATTAGCCAAATATCTGGCTTCGACCCCTCACCCAGTTTGCACGACGTGAAAACGTACAGACTACCATTTCCTCCACAAAATGGCTGATATCAACCATGACGGCCCGAAGGCCGACGGTAGCCAGATGCGCGAACGACCGTCTGCAAAGCCACTACATCTCTACAACTCTGAAGATGCGAAAAAAAAGGTGCTCGAGCTAAACCAAGAAGAAGAAGATAACAAGCATGAAGAGAAACGCAAGACGTTCGGTCGTACTCCCGACGGCACAGGTAAGCCGGCATCCCAGCCAGACCAATCGAAGCAACGCACCGCTCTATATGTTTGACATGAAATACTGTGACACTAACACTGCGTGATTAGTATTCATTGTGCCACAGACTCATGATATGGTCTCCCAGCTCCTCTCGCCCTCGCAACCAAAGAACCTTTCCGACCTTGCCATTCTTGCTGTGCTCGCCAGCCTGATATTCACACTCTACATCTGCCCAACAAGCGCCCGCAAGCCCGTTTTCGCCGCCATCTTCCTCTTCTGGCGAGCTGCATACAATGCAGGCATTGGCTGGCTTCTCGAAGGCCAGTCCAAGCACAATCGCCTCGTCCTCTGGGCGAAGAACTCGCATATATTTGAGAATCCCGAGACGGGCAACAACCCACATCCTACCATATACAAGCTAATTAAGCGCGAGATGGAGACCAAGATTCCAAAGGACTACAAGTTCGAGGAAGCGCCGCTCGAGTACAATACGTGGCTGGTCTTCAGGCGTGTAGTAGACTTGATCCTGATGTGTGACTTTGTGTCGTACTGCCTCTTCGCCATCGCTTGCTTTAACCGTCCGCCGGAGAGTTGGCTACTCTTCGGATTGCGGTGGACGACAGGTATAGTACTTTTCATCTTCAATGTATTCGTCAAGCTCGATGCGCATCGCGTGGTCAAGGACTTTGCTTGGTATTGGTAAGATTTCCGGGTATGAAGCGGGTGAGTTTATTGAGGACGGACGTGCTGATACTGCATATAGGGGAGATTTTTTCTACCTTATTGACCAGAATCTAACGTTCGACGGTGTGTTCGAAATGGCACCGTGAGTCAAGCTCCAACGCATAAGTTAAGAGGATGTCACTGACATTGCAGACATCCGATGTATTCTGTGGGATACGCAGGTTACTGTTCGTTGCCCACAATCACTCCTGGATAACTTCAGCATGCTGACAGCTGCTAGATGGCATAGCCTTGATGATGGCAAGCTACCACGTGTTATTCATATCAATCGTCGCCCACGCCGCTCAATTTGCCTTTTTGACTCTCGTGGAAGAACCTCATATTCAGAAGATCTACAACCCACCACCGCCACGCCGAATGCGCCAAAACTCCGAGAAGTTCAACCCTGAAGACCGCCCAGCGACAGCCCATTCCGATGCGACCTACACTGACACGGGCGTCATTTACGATTCCGTCAGACAACCTGCCCCAATGCATCACATCGTCGGCCTCCAGAATACCGACTTCCACCGCTCGATTGACGTTACGGTAGTGTTACTTTGCTTCTACATGTTCTGCCTCGCGACCGTGACCCCAAATACCATCGCGGTGCGTTTATTTCTCTTCGTTCACGCATTTGTATGGCGGCTCTGGTACGCTCTAGGTCTTGGCTATATCCTCGACCGACAATCCAAGAAAAAGAACTGGACGAGGCACTTCATCAAGCATGGAGATACCAAAGAAGAAGCATGGCGACAGTGGAAGTCACTCTATCACCTCAGTATGACCATGTGCCATGCTTCGTTCGGAGCGGCGGTCTGGAAGATGTACGAGCTGCCGTCAGACTGGTTCCTTGGCTTGACTCTTTTGAGGCATGTTCTTGGCGCGGGACTGCTCTTACTACAACTTTGGACGTCCACAAGCATCTACGACTCTCTGGGCGAATTTGGATGGTTCTGTGGTGATTTTTGTAAGTTCCTGCCATTCCTGCCCCTGTCTCTGAGCCACCAGGCGCCGTCAAGTGTGACTTCGTTCCTGAGTCACGTCCGAATAAGAACACCATCAGGAAGCCTGCTCATTTTCACGAATGTACTGATGCACACTTGTGTGTTTTTAAGGTTGGTGCAGATTTACAGGCTTCCGTACGTGCTGGCTGAGTGGCTCGGACATTATGACTTAAGGCGCCTGGTGGAGGCCATCTAGGACTCTCTCTCAAGTGCTAGATGCTAATCGTACTGCTATCTCTAGTCTTCGATCCGCCATCAAGCAATCTTACCTACTCGGGTATCTATCGTTTCCTGAACAACCCGGAGCGCGTGCTGGGTCTGGCCGGCGTATGGGGCCTTGCACTGATTACGTGGAATCCGCCGATCTTCTACCTTGCTGCGACCGCTCATATTCTCAATCTGGCTTTCCTGCAATTTGTTGAAAGGCCTCACATGCAACGGTACGTACTAGCATTTCTATACAAGGATTTCCGGGTCACCAGTCTCCACGACCTGTACAGCGTTGCGATCTATTTCAGGGGTAGCGTGGTTAGCTCCTGTGCATGAGATGTTACAGCAATCAGGCAACTTCTGCTAACGCGGTACTTGTAGACTGTACGGCCGCAAGCTTCGGGCTGAAAGTGGTGTCAGCAAGACTCTCCGTCAAGCTATGCCAAGTCCGGTGCGCAACTGGCAATCAGCAGCGGACGACTATGTCAACTCTACGGTTGAGTTCATCGAAGATCTCCTAGAGCATGCGAGACCAAAGCTCGCTGCTGGGTACGAGACAATCGTCAAAGACACCACCGCATTGTTCAAGACATACCCAGCGCGTATTTCCATTACTCGTGTTCCTCAGGACCTTGCGGGCTTGGATCCTAAGCAGTATAAGCTTGAGATCGAAGGCACGCCATCTGCGCCCACTGTAGAGATTCAGAAGCACGGTGGCCGCGAGGGAGAGCTAGCGAGAACCCCAGCAACTCGCACAAGCGAGTTCAAGACGCTCACCTTTGAGTACGGCGCGCCGATCCGTGTGCGCTGGCAAGCGCCTGTTAACCATCACAAGAAGGATTGGATTGGTCTGTACATGGTCACGGACAACCAGTCTCGTGAAGTCACACGCATCAGCTCCAACGGGAGATGGGTCGCTACCAACAAAGGTGTCTATGATTCTACTCGCGCCGAGGACGGTATCTTGGTCTCTGACCGGCTTGTGAGTGTTAATTCTGATGAAGATGAGGGTGGCGACTGCTACACTGGTGAGGTAGAGTTTCGTGGGGACAAATGTACGTATTGCCTGCCTGACTTGCACATGAAAACTTGCTGACAATACCCCGTAAAGTGTGGTGGACTACGGGCGTATTCGAGTTTAGGTACCACCACGGCGGCAAACATCACGTCATGGCATTGTCTCAGGCCTTCGAGATCCGCATCGCAAGGTTCGACGAAGACGATGTGGAGGTGGACGCCAATGGAACTGTCCACCGCGCAGTCGAGCAAGCTCTCCTACCTGTCATCCAGAACTGCTTTGATCGCGATCCAGAGATTGCGCCTTCAACGCCAGAGGAGAGCTTTGGAAGCCTCGTGGAGCGAGATGGCAAGTTCGCCAAGCGCGTTGTGTTCGCGGTCCATCAGATGTGAGTGCTTTACCACAAGTCTTCAACAAAGTACCCATAGGCTAATGTCAATAGGTTTGGCATCGAGTTCGCGCCCGAAGTCGTCCAAGCCGATGGCAACGCAAGAAACCTAGCATGGCGTATCTGCAACGCGAAAAAGATCCTAGTACGTTCACATCCTGTTACCACAGCGTAGTAGCCGCGCGTCTGACAATAGTACCACTAGGCGCCGTACAGCATGTCCGCAAGCCGCGGTAGAAACACGCCCACATCTCGCTAGGGTGGATTCGATACCTTGTCCTGGTAGATGTCTTTGTCTCGACGCTATTGACATCCCCTTTTGGAAGGTTTCTGGGAGAATACCAGGCGTGTGGAATAAGCCATTTGCGAAATGAGTCCGACCACATCGCCTATTGTTGCTCTTGGGCGGGGAGATATTTGTCTTTGTTCATATCGCATGCATGCGGAACGTTGTGTTGCACTGGAGGCACCCATCGATGAGGAGCACCAGGTAGCTGTTGTCTGTCGTAAATTGGCACTGGCGTTCGAATTGAGGTTGGGCACAAAAGCATATACGTATTCATAGTCTATATTCGAAAAGTTGCGGAAGTTCTTGGTGGCTCATACGCGTGAGATGGGATTCGACAAATGGATGACCCGATATATCGGCTGACGCTGCTGCATGTGCATTACATGAGGGTGTTACAAGCATGACAAGGGTGCCTTCGGCGCTTTCGTAACATTTGTCCCTTTTGGGTTGGAATTGCCGTGATGGCTGATGAAGACACATAACTCATCAGCAAACTACCAATATCCACAAATGCGCTCCAGACACTCTCAGTTTGGGAAGCGCAAGCACAAGCACGTGAAGTGCGGAGGCAACTCGGTCTTATCAGATGGGCGTGCATGACGATGACAGGCGATAGCCTCGGCCTTTCGGCTGTGGCCCGTGAGGTGGTGCCGACCTCGCGACAGAGCATCTTCTGGAAGCGCGGAGGCAAGGGGGATGGGATACGATATATGTTGACGTGTTTGATGACCTGGCCTTGGTGACTATGCAAACTGTTACTTGGCCTTTGAATTGAGATTGACATGTACACAAAGATTTAGTGACCGTCCAGCTTCAGTCGGAGGCTCACTCCCAAGCTTACCCGCACCCCCGGATCCGCATCGCATTGCATCACCTCAAGCTCCCACGCGAGCACCCCCTCGACACCTCTCCTACGCCTTTTCCTCTCCCTAATTCCATCCCCCACCCATCCACCATGGGCAAAAGCAGCTCCAAAACCCACTCCAGCACCAAAGTGCTCCCGCTCATCCCGCTCGCGCCACCGCTCGCCGTGCTCCCCGGCACCACGCTCAAGATCCCCATCACCAACCGCTCCGACGTCGCCGCCATCCTCGCCAAAATCTACAGCATCAGCCCGACCGCCAAGCCCGATGCCTCCATCACCGTCGCGTGCGTGCCGCTCAACTCAAACACAATCAGCCCCAAGGACGGCCGGCTGCTGATTGAAGATGGCGCCAGCATGGGCAAGACGGTGTACGAGAGCGACCCCATGCAGGCGGGCAAGAAGGACGTCTTTGGCTACGCCTGCGTGGCCAAGGTCAGCGGCGTGCAGGGCCGGCGACAGGGCGACCTGAGTCTTGTCGTCGAGGGCCTCGAGCGAGTCCAGGTCGTCGACGTCGTGCAGGAGCGGCCGTATTTCGAAGGCGAGCTGGCAATGGTCGATGAACACGTCGACATTGCGAGCACGGAGCTGCTGGAGCAGTTCAACCTCCTCAAGCAGCTGTCGCGAGAACTCCTGGCGCTGGTCCGGTTGTCGGCCATTCTGCCGCGCACGCCGACGGTCACGCTCTCGCCGATTGTCGCGAGACGCCTGGAGTTGTACATCACGCGCAAGGACTTGTCAGAGGCCGGGTCGCTGGCGGACTTCATGGCCAATGTGGTGGATTGCACGCACGAGGAGAAGCTGCGCGTGCTGGCGGCGGTGGATGCGAAGGATCGGGTCGAGAGGGTCATTGAGATCTTGCAGCGCCAGATTAGCAGCATTCAGGGCAGCACGAGGATCACGGTTACGACGACGCAGGTGCCGAGTGGAAGCTTTGATATCGATCAGCTGCGGAGACTACAACAGGCCGCGCTGGTACGGCAGGGCAAGGCGGGGAACAGTGGTCTGCCGGGTGGCTTTCCGGCGGGCTTCCCGGGTGGAGGACAGCAGCAGGGCGGCGAGGAGGAAGCGAATGAGATTGACGAGCTAAAGAAGCGGTTGGAGGATGCGAAGCTGTCGCCTGATGCAGAGAAGGTTGCGCAACGAGAATTGGGCCGTCTGCAGAAGATGAACCCAGCACAGGCAGAGTACCAGGTCTGCAGAAACTACCTCGAGAATCTGGCGGAGATCCCCTGGACCAAGATGACGGTCGACCAACTCGACGCCGGCACGCTGGTCAAGGCGAAGAAGCAGCTCGACGACGACCACTACGGGCTGGAGAAGATCAAGAAGAGGCTGTTGGAGTACTTGGCGGTGTTGAAGCTCAAGGAGCAGGCGAACAGGAGCATTGACGACCAGATCCGCGCGCTGACTGAAACATCGGACGCAGAGGAAGAGGCCAAGGAGCAGCAGGAGGAGGAGAAGGTTTCGAAAGAGCCCTCAGAAGAGGAGCTACGGCTGCTGGAGAAGAAGCGCATGGTGGACAAGTCGCCCATCCTGCTACTTGCTGGTCCTCCAGGAACCGGAAAGACGTCCCTCGCCAAGTCAGTTGCTACAGCGCTTGGCCGCAAGTTCCACCGTATCTCTCTTGGTGGTGTTCGTGATGAAGCTGAGATCCGTGGTCACCGCCGTACATATGTGGCCGCCATGCCCGGTCTCATCGTCAACGGCTTGAAGAAGGTCGGCGTCTCGAACCCGGTCTTCCTCCTGGACGAGATTGACAAGCTGGGCACGTCCAACTACAACGGCGACCCCTCTGCGGCCATGCTTGAAGTCCTCGACCCAGAGCAGAACCACACCTTCACAGATCACTACGTCAACATCCCCATCGACCTGTCCAAGGTCCTCTTCATCGCCACCGCCAACAGCCTCGAGACGATCCCCGCTCCCCTCCTCGACCGCATGGAAACCATCAATCTCTCCGGCTACACCACGCTCGAGAAGCGCCACATCGCATCGCGCCACTTAATCCCCAAGCAAATCACCACCAACGGCATGAGTCCAAACAACCTAGAGATTCCAACCGACGTTCTCGACAAGATCATCACCGCCTACACGCGTGAGTCAGGTGTGAGAAATCTCGAGCGCGAGATCGGCTCCGTGTGCCGCTCCAAAGCCGTCGAATATGCCACATGCAAAGACACAAACACCCTGGCCGCATACACCCCCACCGTCACCCTCGAAGACCTCGATTCCACGCTCGGCATCGAGAAGTTTGCAGAGGAATTGACCGAAGCCTCGTCCCGCCCCGGCGTCATAACCGGCCTCGTCGCCTACTCCTCCGGCGGCCAAGGCAGCATCCTTTTCATCGAAATCGCCGACATGCCCGGCTCCGGGCGCGTGCAACTGACCGGCAAACTGGGCGACGTGCTCAAAGAAAGCGTCGAAGTAGCCCTCACATGGGTCAAAGCGCACGCCTTTGAACTCGGCCTCAGCACGAATCGAACAGAGGATATCATGAAATCCCGCAGTATCCACGTGCACTGCCCCTCGGGCGCCATCCCCAAGGACGGCCCCTCCGCCGGCCTCGCACACACCATCGGCCTCATCAGCTTATTCTCAAACTCCCCCGTCCCACCTACCCTCGCCATGACGGGCGAAGTCAGTCTGCGCGGCCGCGTCCTGCCCGTCGGCGGCATCAAGGAGAAACTCATCGGCGCGATGCGCGCGGGCGTGGAAAGAGTACTCCTGCCCGAGGGCAATCGCAAGGACGCGAGGGATTTACCCGAGGAAGTCAAGTTGGGGCTCAAGATTGAGTTTGTCGGGCATATTTGGGAGGCCTTGGGGTTGGTGTGGCCCGAGAGGTGGGAGGGGAGGGTGGGCATGGGGGAGAGTCGGTTGTAAGTTGTAGGTTTGGGGAAGGAGAAGGGTTAGTTTGAGGCTTGGGCTTGGATTTAGCGATTTAGCATTCGTTTAGCGGTATTAGTATCTATCTATCTATCATCATTTTTTATTTTGGGTTTTGGGTCTTACATGGCGTGGTATTGTGTTGGTGAAGTTCGATCATCCCATCTGTGTTCACTCGAATGAGTTGTATATAAACCCCCTTCGCCCCTCCGCTGCTCTTCTCCTCATCAACCTGCATATTTTGTGCCTTTTACCAAAAAAAAATTCTCAAAGATGTTATCATGTCCTGTCTTTGCCTCTTCTCCCAAAACGCTGGCGATCACCATCATGTTGCGCTCTGACTCTCTACCCACTATACGTCCCTTCCTCCAAATGGGTTCCCAGAACTCAGAAATGTCCTGCCCCTGCTTCTTCTCCAAAACGCGAAACGTTGTCACCATGTTGCCCGCTTCTGCCTCCGCACTCACCAAAAACTTTGGTATTCTTCTCGTACGTCTTTTTTTCCTCTCTTCGCCTCTGACGATGGGCCAGCTGCCCCACGTCTCCTTTCGCCCAATTTCGAAAGACTGAAGCAAAGCGCGCATGTCTCTTCTGCTCTTCTTCCAATCTATGAAAAAAGAAGCGAAGTGAAGTGAAGTGGCTGATTGCAAATGTTCTCTGCGATGTCGAAAATTGAGAATGAGAACTGGACATGTGTGGACTGCACTGGCAAATCTCTATTTACCGAAACCGAAAAAAAAGATTGAGAAAGCCGGCCCTGGACTTGGTTCGGTTCTCGTCTGCTACATAAAACAGCGGATCGTGTGATGAATGTGGTTTTTTTCTCCTTGCCACCGCACTCCGATTCGATACTCAAAAATGAGAGTTACAAGGATATGTCCAGTCTTTCCGGTTGATTAGAATGCAGCTACTTTTGAGCGATGTTCTTCTCCCTCTCTTCTGCCAAAGTCCAAGTGGCCCTTTAGATGTGGCTCTGCATGGTGTGCTCTCATAGAAAAAATACCGCGCAGAAGAGATGAATGTTTTCTAAAATTTTCATTGATATTGAGTATGTCCCTCGTTCGCGCTGGTAATTGGGAATCAGCGAAAAAAATATGTCTGCGGTCTGTGCCAAATATTTCTCAAAAGAACACAAGGACTTCTTCGTGCCTGGTCTCTGCTTCTCGAAAACAAATTCTATCGGTCTCGCATGCGCTCTTAGCACAATCTTCCTGTGCAATGTATTAAATCTTTGTTGACAACTCTTAGTGTCTGAGTTCGTCCGACTTCCGAAAGACACAGAACGAGATAATGTCCATGTTCAGCGATCGAGTCGTGTATATAAACCACCCACCTCCTCTCTTCCGCAGTCTTCCTCGCCAGACAGACATCTTTGCACAGTGCGATTAAGATACGCAACGCATTCGATCATGTTACTGTTTTCCGGTGCGCCAAAAGTTCACTTGCAACAGACGCATGATCTCCTCTACCACGTTGGGACATCCTAAAACCAAACTTGTTCTACCTCATGTCTCTCTTCCTTCGATCCTCCTAGGGAATCGAGAGGTTCTACATGGCCTTTTCCTCTGCTTCTGGACCTCAAATATAAATCACCCTCTTCTCTCCTCCCCATTCCTTATCAGACAGACATTCTCTCTCGGTGTGGCTGAAAAGTACATCAGAAAGACGCGATGTTGATTTTCCCCAGCGCACGGAGTAAAAAAGGCCTGACGCCGACCGTCATGATCTCTTGTCCCGCCCTGAGGGTACTTCAAAATACACATCTTCCCTGACCATGTCTCTCTTCCTGAGCGCTTTATTTGATCAAAAATTAAGAAGGACACCCGCATGAACCGTAATTTCCTGCTGCCTTATGTATGAAACAAGCCTCACTGCCTCCGCCTTATTCTCTCTACAACAGTCACAACCATAGCGGGATTTCTTCAAAGATTGAGTGGAAGATTTGTATGTCCTTCTGTTCTTCTCTTCCGAAATTATCGATGGTGCATTTATATGCCGGGCTCTCCCGCTGTCCCAAACCGAAAGTTTTTGGAAGACGACACATGACTTTTCGTGAGCCCCAAGGCCACGAAAGGCACAGTCTCGAAGACGTATGGGATTCGAATCGGATCCTTCTGTCCCCTTTTTTTTCATTCAACATTGTATATCATGAGCTGCATTAATGACTATTTGCACCCAAATTCCGGACAAGTCTCTTTATGACTGGGCTTTCGTGAGGGTACTGGACAATCAAAAACTGTAACCAAGCATTCTATGTCCACGCAAACTCGTCTGAGTCATAAGGCATAGCTGAAGAATTCTAACAGAATTCCAATTCGTCTGACTCTACTCGACTCTGTCATGAACCTTTCTGATAATGGTCGATGCCGCGATCAGTAAAGACCCAGCAAGCAAGACCCAGCATACCACCAACTCGTTGACCGAGGATACCGCCAGCGTATTGATCCGGAAACTAACAGCGCCACCTGCCGATTGCACGCCTTTGTAGAAGCCAGCAAAGTTGGCGAGCTTTCGGTTGTCGTTTGTCAGTGCACCCAGAAACCTTGAGATGTCATTAGCGATCACTCAAACATGACGCAGTGCGCTGAGTAACTCACCAGTAGAGGCATGTTTGCCAGACCGCTGCGAACAACCCGAACGCGAGATAAAGGAGCATAGGGCCGGCGTAATCGGAATCGGTGAAATCCTTTTTGATGGCGCCAGCTATAGTGTGTGGTCTATTCCGTTGCCATACGAATGCGCCGGTCCATACTGTAAATATCAGGACGAACAGTACGCCTGTAGCAATTCGCGCCCGCGAAGAGCGCCGTAGACGAGAGGAGTCCAGTGCATACCCTGCGAGATAAGAGCCTCCAATTTCAGCGAGCCAGTACAAGGTATTATTCAATGACCTTGTGCGGATATTGAATGTTGCAAGATTGAATGTGTTAAACTGGTAGGGGTAGAAGAAGTTGGATGCGAAGAACATTGGGAATAATAGCAGGATGTAAGTGTCGTGCTTGAGAGTGTCGGTGAGGCCTCGCACCTCGCTTTTCCAGGTCGGGGATTGGGGAAGTGATACGGGCGAGCCGTCAGATCTTTTCACGGCTTTGGCCTCGCAAAGTAGTAGAGAGAGAATAGTCCCGAGAAGCGATAGAGATATCATTACGTAGAAAGTGGCATCTCCAACATCGTTATCGTCAGAATGCATATTCTGTACAAGCGCAATCTTTTTTCATAATCGAAAAGGTCAGCTAAGAGATAGTGGATGAGCGTAAGTGGGTTGCACTCACTGCACTGCCTATAACAGCCCCCATGTTGTATATCATCCACGACCAAGCGATATACTTTCCCTTAGTCTCTTCGGTAGGGTAGGAAAGCATCACCATTCCCTGTGCGGTCCAGAATAGGCCTGCACACAGTCCCAGCTGGAGTCCAGCGAATATCAGGAACCCGGCATTTTCCGTGTGTTTGTAGCAAAGCAAACTTGAAGAGTAGAGAGTGTACCCGAATCCACCGAGACTGAGTGTGGCCCTGACACCAAGCTTGTTGGTAACAATGCCTGCAAAGAAGCCAACTACGGCGAATGTGCTGTAGAGTGCCACGTTTGCGTTGTTTGCTGGTTTGGCGTCTACGAGTCCACCTCCGCCTAGTCCATTCAAGGCGTTCCACATCCCAGGGCACAGGAAACTGACCAAGGCAACTAGAGTGACTTGAACAGATGGGTTATCATAACGAGGAAGAAAGCTTGGCCAAAGAGTATGACGTATGTGTGCTTCCGAAGCTGAATTGGAAACATTGCCTTCGTGATGATCAGCTTCCCGTGTACCACAATCCACTCCTGCATTTGGCTTTAGATTGCCGCGAAGCATTGGCTTCAGAGGTGTATCCATGTTTGGTTTTCCTTTGGCACGATAATTAGATCAATTTGGAGAAAGTGCTAGGTATCTAATGGCGAAGGGACGGCCTTTGGTCTTCCCAGGGTTGAAAAGTAACATCAGGAGTCCACAGCGATATGTGGTATTATGGTGTACCAAAGGGGTGTATTGCAGTGGTGTATCAAAGGTGTGCATCGCAGCTGTACATTGCAGGGGTGTATGCAGGTGCGCATCTAAGTCGCACGTATCGGAGAAGGAAGCGAGACCGGGCTGACTCACGAGTTGATCAAGGCAAGTGCGTAGGCCGTACAGAAGTACATGGGACATTCGATGATCGACTGTAAATTGAGCCATTGCATTGCCGTGCTCGATCACTGTTCCTGTCCTCGGAAAGACGTCGTGTGTGTATAGTGAATGAACTTTCGAGACACTGTTATACATCAAAAGACAGAGACAAGGCACGTTATGACCACCAAAGACCACTCAAATTATGAAAATAAAGGCGCTTTGCTCGATGATCAAGGATTGAGACATGAACTGTGTAGGAAAGTCGTCGAGTTTGATGTTTGAACTTTTTTCAACAATTGCACAACTATGTAGCGCTTCTAAGAGAAGCTCAAAAGCAGAACATGTTCATCTACTCCTGTTTCTCAAAAACTCTTACATATTTCCACAGGCCATCCTATTTGCAAGAGCGAGGTTGTACTTAGGGCTTTGCCTGAATTTGAGTTTGTCCAACCATAAGTTTCATTCCGTCCACTCACCCATCTATGAAGCAGTTGCCGTATCTTTCTGATCTGCAACGTGTATCGGAAGCTTTTTGAAAGGGATGAGGAGTGCCAAAAGAACAGCCAGGGCGGAGCTGGCTATAGCAAAGATAAAGACAGCGTGGATGCCGACCATGTAAGCGTTGATCACAGATATGAGATCATCGCCCGCGAAGCTGCGCCTGATATCGGAAGCGCCAGTACTAAGGACTAGAGAAGCATCGATACCGGGGGAGGCGGTTTTGAGTGTATGCAGCAAACGATTGGCGAACATGGATTGTGCTGCATCTAGGAAATATGCACCGCCGACGGCTTGACACACTAGGTCGAAGTAAGCATGTAACATAGTGTATTGCAGGTGCAAGCTTACTGATCATAATGCCAGTCGCGCTCGGGATATCCTCATGTGCGGAGAACGCTTGCACTGCAGTCACTGGCACTTGACTGCCAAGTCCAAGTCCAAATCCGAAGATGATCTGAGGTCCAATATATCGTGCCTTGGAAGATCCAACTTCCAGAGTGTAGAACAGTGCTGAGCCAACAGTCATCAACACTGCACTCAGCAATTGGTAAGGCTGGAGAAGACGTGTCTTTCCAACCACGACACCGCTAGTCATCGCGCCCAGTGCAAAGAATGCTAGGAACGGAAGGTTATTAACTCCACTGATGATAGCAGACTGCCCGTGAATGGATTGAAAATATATGGGGAGGTAGAACATGATCAAGAAAAGGGTAGCGTTTAGGCTGTAGACGTTAGTTGTTGTGAGCAAAAAGGTCGAGAGAGGATCAGTCTTGTATACTCACATGAAGCAGTATAGAGCATTCGACCATATTATCCGACGCTTAGCAAGATTGAAAGGTATCAGAGCCTTTGTACCTTGCGCCCGTTCTATGGCGAAGAAAGCGATGCTGAGGACGATCCACACTGCGAAAGTAGCAATCACGGAGCCATCATTCCAAGGCTTTGTCTGTCCGCCCCACTGAAGAGCCAAGGTCAGGCAGACTAGAGAGGCGAGAAAGGTTGCGAAACCTGGTATATCGAGCTGCGCAAGTATCTCCATCCACGTCGCAGGAGCTGGTCTGATATGCTCGGGCATCTTCAGAAAGAGTAATACCAGAGCGATGATAGGTCCACCGAGTGGTAGATTTATATAAAAACACCAGCGCCAGGAACTGCATGGATCAGCATGAGCCAGGCTCGTAGAGAAAGATGACTTACACTCCGCTTGTGAAGGCGCCTCCGATCAAAGGTCCAATAATGGTAGAGATCATGAAAATGCCCATCCACACTCCAATTAACACAGGACGTTTGCTGGGTGAAGCCACATAATTGATGACAAGGAGCGAGCCACCAAGAGTACCACACGCCCCAAGTCCCTGGAGTGCCCGACCAACGATCACTGCATTGCTGTTACGGGCTGTACCGCCTACTATGCTCGCTACCAGGTAGCAGGCGATGGAGGCGAGGTAAGCGTACTTGATATCAAGATACTTGTATACCTTGCCCCACATGGGTGCGGCGCTGGCCATGATAAAGGTAACACTTCCGTACCATCCGACGTCGTTTAGACGATGGAACGTGTCGGTGATACCAGGAATTGCGGTGGCGATGATGCCTATTTCGATGGCAGCGAGACTGGTGCTCATGAGGATTGTGAGCATGATGAGGAATAGTTTGAGTCCGGTAGCGTATTCGACTTCGTCTGTTTCAGCTGTCGGGAGGACTTTCTCCTCAGAAAGAGGTGATGTTGAACCCGGGGATGCATCTTGGTGTACTTGATTGCCTATAGACATCCTGTTGGTTTTTTGTTTGTCTGAGTGTCGGCAATATCTAGGTAGACTGGCATAATTGTTGTGGCAGGTCGTACACTTATAGCTCAGGTATTTGTCCGGCGCGGTCAAGCATCACTCGACCGCCGGGAAACCATCAAACCTTTACCTCAATTTGATCGCCCCAGGCCATTATCGCCAGCACTCTATGCAGGCTTTCACTTCTCAGTGTTGATGTCATTGTCCTTGGGACCGGCAAAGCGTCGAGTAGCTTCATCACACACATATTCTCGATTTACTCTTTCCTATTTCGAACGTACAAAAGAACGCACGATAATTGAGAACCGTATGTGAAAACTGTTTTCCAGGAGACGAGGCGCATGTTGCGTTGCGGCGGGGGAAAATGGCTTAGTCAGCTCGTCAGCACTCTTCGACCGCCGGCGCCGCTACTTCCTCCGCCACAGCTTGTGTAATCTTACCTGCTTTTCTATGTTGCTTTCTCATCATGAAATCTGTTCCTAAGCATCTCTCTTTTCATCCGCCGGCGCCCTTCTCTAGGTGTGATAATCATTGCCGAGATGTCATACACGACACGACCTGATGGGAAGCGGAGGAAGATTCGAAAAGGTACACATAGTTGTTGGGCATGCAAGCGACGGAAAATGAAATGCATCTTTGATTCAAACGATGACCTGGTCTGCCAAGGATGTCGGCACAAGAAGTCGGCCTGTGTCAGTCAAGAATTTCCCGAGAATGGTTCAGGATTGCAAGAGGTCCGACAAGTGAGCAACGATGGAGCACCACTCTCCAGCTGTAGCGACATGAAATCGGATGCTGGTCTCCCGACACCTGCGTCTCACGACTTCGCCACTTCATTGACCGCGAGCAGCAACAATAAAGTGCGTTCTCTCATACCACAAGACCTCGCTATCTGACCATCGCTAACCTCTGCAAAAGTCCGGCCCACTCGATGATGACATCCACCTCAGCGCTTCTGAAAGTTCAGCCATACGAGACAAGAATAAAAGGCTGTCTAAGCTTTTGCACGAATCTTTGCCTTCAGTTCAAGATATGACCAGCATATTTAAAGCCAGTCTTTATTCCTCTGTGCTTGCACTAGCGTCGCTTGTGGTACCGTATAGTGTTATTGAAGAGGAAGCAGAAGATATCATTGAGACCACACTGATCGTTCCCAACCCAAAACGAGACAACCGGTGCTATTGGCCAGACATATGCTTCGACTTGCAGCCTGCTTGCATCATCTGCACCCGAGCATACATGCGGAGATATCAACATTATCCGAGCCACCACGAGCCATGATGCAACGCCTAGCAGATACTGCAATCAGTCTTATTACCACCAATGATGACCTTCTCGGTAGCATCGAAGGCCTTCAATGTGTCATGATCGAGAGCGTGTACCAGATGAACAAGGGCAGTCTGCGCAGAAGTTGGGTAGCATGTCGGCGAGCGATGACGATAGCACAACTCATGGAACTCCATCGACCAAACAGCCAAGGACGATACAAGGTGCTCGATCAGAGAACTCGATTTTCTCCACACCATATATGGTTCCGTATCGTCAGCCTCGAGCGCCATCTCTGTCTCATGCTAGGTCTTCCACAAGGGTCCAACGATCACAGCATGGCTACTGAAGATCTTCTCGCACATGAAACGCCCATGGGTCGCCTTGAACGACTGCACTGCGTTCTGGCGTCTCAAATACTCGAGCGAAATGAGACTCTCCCGGGTACTAACGATGCTGGATTGACACAAGATCTCGATAAAGAGTTGCAGAAAGTAGCGAGAAGCTTGCCTAGCAAGTGGTGGTTGACTCCAAACCTGAAAGGCGATCCTAACAACCGCCAAGCTCTATTCTGGAATATACGACAACTATTCGCCCACATGTTCCATTATAGTCTGCTCATCCAGCTTCACCTACCCTACATGCTTGGGTCTTCTCCATCAGAACAAGTCTGTCATTACTCACGTATCACATGCGTCAACGCCTCGCGCGAAGTCATACTGCGCTTCATAACACTACGCAACTTTGATGATATAGGATGCGACTGCCGCACTATCGAATTCCTCGCTCTCATGGCGGCCATGGCTTTGCTTATTGCTCATCTGGAGGGCCAGTGCCTCGAGTCTGGGAATCTGCTGGCCCATCAGTACATCACCGATCGCGCCCTCATAGAACAGGTGCAAGATCACATGGCGAAGCTACATAAACTCAACGGAGACCCACTCAGTGCACAAAGTGCTATTCTGTTAGAGCGACTGCTTATGATCGACGGCGAAGACAGCCTCTCGAAGGATGAGCAGATTGTGCCTTCGCTCCGTGACCAAGACGATGACATTGCAATCAGTCCGCAGACTCCGTATTCGACCATCATCAGGATTGCTCGTGAAGGCATCATTAAACCAGCTCCGCGACTTGAAGACACTCCCGCCTCGACTGCGTTCACATCAGAGAGTTTGGACGCAACCACAGCGGCAGTGGGATGTAGCAGCACATATGATACGTCCGAATTGTCTAGCTTCAATTTTGCTCTACAGCAAGGGGACTTCCCATCTCTGACTGCAGGTCTCGATGATTGGGCGTTTCAGGGTGTTGACACAGCTTTCTTCGATAGCTTACTGCGCAGTACCAACCTAGGAGAGAATGGCTTGAATAACGCCGGGACTTTCGGAAGTAACATGAACAGTACACAGTAGCATATAAAGCATTCTCCGATCTCGGATGGCAGACTGCCTCACACCTACAATATCTCTTCCACCATCTTCACGCCCTCCTTCTCCAGCAAAGCCCGAATCGCATCGCACATGTCTTTCGTGTACGGAGCGTGCACACCCGGCTTGTTCACGGTAGGATGTCCATTCAATAGCAGTTGCGTCGCGATACCGCATGTCACACCAACAGACAGAGCCATAGCCGAGTACTTTGCAAAGGCATGCAAATATAATGGGCATGTCTTCAATAATAATGATGATCGAATAATGGTAGTGAACAGGTATTCCGCCAAAACCTTTCATTTCTCTTCGTCGCTCTTCCGGCATCCCCCACTGCCTACGCAGCAATCGCCGCATCAAACGGTACCGCCGTACTCGCCTGCCCCGCATTCGCCTTATCCGTCGCGATATTGTTATCCAGCTTCTTCGTCTCCTCGGCCAGTTTCGCCGCCACATCCTCGCCCTGCGCCTGCTGCGCCTCGAGCTTGATGACCGTCGCCATCAGCTTGAGCACCTTGTTCTTGATCTTGCCGTTCTGCACACACGCATCAGCACTCGAATTCTGCACATCATCATCGTGGCAGTGAGGGATGGGGAAATACTGACCTGAGCAGCCTCCGCCGCAGTACCCGTCGCCGCCTCCACTGCGGGATTGAATGCTTCTTTCTCCGCGTCGTTGGCGACTTGGTTTACTTCGTTCAGGAAATCTTGGTCTGCTTTGGAGACGCTTGCGGGGTCGGTGAGGTCGAGCGCGGAGAAGGCGGCGGCGGCTTCTTCCTCGGCGTTGCCAGCCTGGCCGCCGGCGATGGAGATGTCGTTGAAGGTTGTTGCTTGGAGGACGCCGGCTTGGCGGGTTTGGAGGGATGCGGGAAGCGCGACGGCGAAGGCGGCGAGGGAGAGGATGGTGAGGGATTGGAAATGCATGATTGCGGTTATAGTATAGACGTTATGTAGATGTGGTTTGAGAAGGGAACGAGTGACAGCACAGCTGTATACAAATAAAAAAACAGCTTCAAGCTGGAGAAAAATATGTTTATAGAAAAGAGAAGAAACGACACAAAAATGCTTGATGATAGTAGAAAACTTAAGATGCAGACTGGGTTCTTATGCATACCGCCCTCGAGTCGTTCCCACGATAACACCGCGCTCATCGGATTCAGGCGCCGCTCAATGCCTTCAAAACAAGGACTAGCCCGCTGTTCGAAGCATCGTATCGCTCGCACGGAACGCTAGCTGCTATGCAGAGTTCCCCACGGGTACCTGTCATGAGATTTGCCCACGAATGACATGCCATGGCGTGCCGCTACACCCGCTGCCACTTGCCAGGCTGTGGAGTTTGCGAGCCTGAGATAGGCCGGAAGTGTGCAAAAAAAAGCGTTCTGAGACGGTTTGGACGTCAGAACATGGAACGCGGAGGGTGGGCTTGGCGAAAGCTTGGGTGTCGCATGGCTGATAATGGTATGGCGCCCGCAGCGCGACAGCGCTAGGACCGGTGCAAGTGTTCCAAAAGTTTGGTTTTTGGTTGGTGTTGTGGAGAAGGGAGGCTTGTTCTTCACTTGACGTCTCTGGCTCTCGGCGTGATAGGAATTCGGTGTTCTTGGCATATGAATCCGCGATGTTGGAAGGACACAATCAAGATTCTCGGAGCGAGACTAATGCATAGGATACACATGTATGAAGCGTGACCTACATATCCCTCCATGGAAAATTAGAAAAAAACTTTTGGGTATTCCTCCCATCCATATATAACGCCATGTCCATGCAGTCCGCTAAAGTCGCAAAGATGTAAAATGCCGCGTTGCTCAGAACTGGAAACTGTGACCAAAGTCCACCCCACTCCCGTCATCAAGATGCTCAACATTCATGAAGTCGTCGATTGAAAACGGATCCGCGGCGCTGTTGCCGATTCCGATGTCCAGGCCCTGCATATCGGTCGTCGGCACGTTCTGCGCGTTGGGCGGTTCAAGGCCCTCGATCAGCCTCGTACCCTTGGGCAAAGCATTGCCAAACGCAACTACGCGATCGAGCCTCGGGGGTGCCAGTACTCCTACCCACGCCTGTTGCGTCGCCGCGGGCATTCATCCAGATGCCGTTCCCGCCCTCGCCGTTCTTGACAGCCTTGCCGAACGATTCTTCAAACAGCAGACTAGTCTCGTACCATCGGCCCTTGACGTCTGCGATTTCGACGCGCGAGGAAGATGCGAGGAGGCGCCACCAGCCGAGGGTTTGGGTCATGGGGACGAGCATGCGGTTGCGCCAGGCCATGTCTTCGCGCATGCGGATGGGGATGTTGGGGTTTGAGGAGGAAGGCGGGATGGGGAGGTTGTTTGGATCGGGCGCGGAGAGGATAGAGTAGCTGTAGATATCGCCGGTCATGATGATTTGGGAGGTTGATTGCGGGCCGGTGGTGGTGACACGCTCGAGGATGTCGGTGACAACCATGAGGTCGGTGCCGGTTTGGCCCAGGCGGATTCGGACAGGGTCGCCGCGCCAGATTTTCTCAGCGCCGAGGTAGATGCAGTTGTAGTGGCGCTCTTCGCCTGAGGGGATTGAGGCCGTCTTGATGCGCTCGGAGAGGGTGTAGGTGGTGTCGATGGCCTTGGCTGCCATGATTGAGGCATCGACGTCTGCAACGCCATCACCAAATCGGCCGGCAGCAGTAGATGCGCTCCAGTCGACTTGGTCGTACCGGAGCTGTGGGTTTTGCTGAAGATATGGGTAGGTGCAAGCGGGCGCAGACCAGGCGAGCCAGGGCTTGAGGTGCTGGTCTGTTGTGACGACCTCAGGAGTCGCGGAGTCGAAAGGATGTGACAGTGGCTGAACCTGATATGCTTTGCCGCCCGAGCCTTCCTTGACGGCCCACCTCCGCAACACGAGTCCAAGGCCCCAGGCCGATGTCTTTGGGCGGTAGAACCACACCACCTCGCCGGTACGACACAGAAACTGGCCGTAGCGACTATCGGTGAGCTGCTCGCCTCCGCGGGGCTGTGGAAGTTGAGTGGACTGCTGTATGGCTGGTGCTCGGATCTGGGGTGTGTTGTTCGTCTGTGGAGGGAGGGTAGCTGGTGTTGCTGGCTTCAGGCTGGGGCTCTGGGTAGGCGGACCGGAGACGGATCTTCGGGCTGGTGCAGGTGCAGCGACGACTGGATTGCGATTCGCAACGGGACCCTGTACATGCGCGGGCTGGCTGGTCTCTCTCTTCATCATCGTCGAGGGCTCAGTCTTGATTTCTGCCTTGACCACCGGCCTCTCCTCGTCGAGCTGTACGACCGAGCACATCTTGCACGTGCAATTCTGATAGTCGCTGTTCTCGTCGGTGCAGAGCCACAGCAAGTGGGGGAAGAAATCCGCGGGACTCCTGTACCGCTTTCGAGGGCCCTTCGGGTAGCCGTAGAGGTAGGCATCCTGCCTGTCGTGGCCGCCGCCAGAGTGGTTCTTAACCGTCTTTGCCTGACCGTCGGCCTTGGTCTTGATGTGCTCGTAGAGCTTGTAGTTCTCGGGAAAATCCCACAGGATGGTTTGCTGCCACTTGTCTGCTTCGGTCAGCCCAGCACATGGTTTGCGCCTGAGAGTACCCACCCTCGTGCTGCTTGCCCCCAATCTCGCGCAGCAACATGCCGCCCAGCTTCTTCCGCCAATCAATGTGCTTGGGGTCGTCTTTCTCTATGAGGCGGTAGAAGTCGCATTGTCCCTGCTCGTTTGGAGTGCGGTCGAGCTGTGCTTCGGTCGGTCCATTCCTCAGCGGCCGGCCTTTCTGGCTGACGATGTCGTGGCCGTCCGACTTTACGGCGAAGATGGGCCAGAACTGGGTCAGAGGCTGCGTCATGGCGACTGACTGCGCCGGGGAGAAAGCGGTGTTGGCAACTTGACCTGTTTGTAGATGCGAGCGGCGAAGTGGTGGTCGCGTTTGTTAAGTGGGCGGCTTTTGCTCCGAGGCTTAGGACGCGCTTTGCTGGGATGGCGCGTCGACAGGCATCTCAGAGAATCTTTCTGGCGCATCTTCACCTCACCACTCACCGTTTCTGCCCACTTCATCGCGCCTGCGAATCTCTTTCTGGCTCGCTTCACCGTCACTTGTCACCATCACAGCCCCCCGCTGAAGCCTGTTGTACACAATGCGCCCTGCCTAAGTCGACCTATCTCCCCAGCAGACGCCTCTGCATCTTTCCTTTCACAACGACCCCCTCCATTCCGTGACGGCGAGTCCTAGCCCACAGCGCGATTGCCCACCATGGCAGAGCGTCCGCAAATCACGCTGGGCTCTCCCTTGCCCAAGACGCCGCCCAAGACACGCGGCAACAAACTGCCCGACTTGCTCGCCCAATTCGGCTCACACAGTTCAGGAGACTCGGCAACAAAGCTGCGGCGCACCTCTTCGCAGCTCGACGCAAAGAGCGCAAAGGAGGACGTGGTTCGCGACACGGAGAACAAAGACGGCCTCCAGGCACCCGCCGCGCGACCAGAACCCCCCAAAACCCGACCAACACGCAAATCTGCGTCTTTTGCAACACAGCCCGCCCCCGAAGACTCCAGCGAAGACGAACTTGCACCGTCAGCAGCGCGCAGACCGACCAGGAAGTCAACCGGAAGCATCAGAGACAACACCAGCACCACACAGAGCGTCAGGGGCAGCGCAAGAATCTCTGCATTGAACGAGGAGCTGCAGATGGAGAAGCGCAAGCGAGACCGCGAGGCTGACGCCGGTCGCCGTCGAGGCACCCGCGACAGGAAGACGAGGATCCTCGAGTCGGACACAATGGACCCGCCGTCCCCTCCACGTTCGACCAGGCGCAAGGCTGCACCCCCGAAGCTCGACTCGGCCCGCAACCGCCTGCGAGATGCCATTGCTCAGCAGTCCAAGGCGAAGGCCAACAACTTCCTCGTGGCCAACAAGGACTACTTCCTGCCCCTGCTACCGCCCAACAACCAGGTCAAGAAGCTGGTCGCCAGCCACAATGCGAAGCCTATCGTGCCATACAAGCAGCTTCAGGAACAGCCAGAGGGTGTTACCGCGACCATGAAACCGTACCAGCTTTCTGGTCTCTCATACCTCGTGCACCTCTACAACAATGGCTTCTCCGGCATCCTGGGTGATGAGATGGGTCTCGGAAAGACTCTCCAGACGCTGTCACTCTTCCAGTATCTAGAGGAACTCGATCGCAAGAACGGCGTCACGTCCGAAGAGCTACGACCATACCTTGTCATCTGTCCCCTCAGTGTCCTCAATTCTTGGGTCACCGAGGCTGAGAAGTGGGTGCCTGGGCTCAGGGTGCTCCGCTTCCATGGCGCGGCAAGCGAGCGCGTACGCCTGAAGCGAGTGGCGTCCGGCATGGAGGATATGCGAGGCCACGAGACGCTGCAGTCCAAGAAGAAGAAGGCTTCCCGCAAGGCCGGCTTCAAGGTGTCAAAGAACTCTACCGAATTCGAGTCGTCCTCATACAAGATCATTGTTACTACCTACGACACATTTGCAGCTGAGCAGTCCTGGTTCAAGACCTCCTTCGTATGGCGCTATGTCGTGCTTGACGAAGGCCACAAGATCAAGTCCAGCGTCACCCAAATCTCGCAGGCACTGCGCAACATCAGCGCCGAGTACCGTCTCATTCTCACGGGCACACCGCTCCAGAACAATCTCACTGAGATGTGGGCCCTGCTCGCCTGGTTGTATCCCGACGTCTTCATTGAGAACACGTCCACCTTGTTCAAAGAGTCGTTCGATCTCAACAAGGGCAAGGTCAACCGACAGACTATGGATGACGCGCGACACCTCCTTGAGCTCATCATGCTTCGCCGTATGAAGGACAGCCCTGGTGTCAACCTCGGGCTGCCACCCAAGGAGGAGATTCTGCTCTATGTGCCACTCACACCTATGCAGCGTTTCTGGTACACTCGACTGCTCACCCGCGTCGACAACGCCATGCTCACTGAGCTTTTCGCTGATGGCAAGAGCAAAGAGAAGGCTGCGATTGAACAGGACAGGAAAGAAGATCAATTGCTTCAGCAGGTTGAGAAGCTACAGAATGTGGTTGGTGACCAAGGCGAGTGGAAGGAGACGGCCCAAATCATGCGACAAACCATTGAGAAGGAGCAAGGCAGTTCTGAAGTCAAATCTGCCTGGCAGAAGCTGATGAATCTCGTCATGCAGCTGCGCAAGTGCTGCTCCCACCCCTACTTGTTGCCTCGGGTCTCCCCAGACCCGTACTATCTCGGCGACCACATTATCCGCGCTTCTGGAAAGTTCATTTTGTTGGAGAAGTTGATCAAGCATACTGTGATGAACCAGGGCAAGAAGGTTTTAATCTTCTCTGGCTTCACTCGCACCCTGGACTACACCGAAGATTTGCTATCACTCATCAGCAACCACGGTCGTGACTTCAAACACCTCCGCTTCGATGGCAGCACCGCTCGTGCAAAGCGTAACCTTGATATCCGCCTCTTCAACCAAGAATCGTCAGACTACAAGGTCATGTTGCTTTCGACTCGCGCTGGTGGTCTGGGCATCAACCTCACGAGCGCACAAGACGTCATCTTCTTGGACGAAGACTGGAACCCGCAAATCACTCTTCAAGCTGAGGCTCGTGCTCATCGTATCGGACAAACCAAGAAGGTCACCATCTACAAGATCTGCACCCAGGGCACTGTTGAAGAGCAGATGATGGGTCGCATTCGCAAGAAGCTGTACCTCTCTGCCAAAATCACCGAGTCTATGCGCAATATCCACAGCGAGCAAGCTCTCTCCAAGAGCAAGGAAAAGTCAACTGCCGATCGCGAGTCTCTCGGAGACGACATGCCTCAAATGGATACCTCGCAACTGAAGACGCTTGTACGTCGTGGTGCGCAGACCTTGTCTCATCCAGACATCGACGCCACGGAGATGGTGTCCTGGGACCTCGAGACTATGATGGAGAAGTGCCGAGACAAGCCAGCCGATGCTACTCTGTCTGAGGCTGTGCAGTCTGAGGCCGACGAGGAGAAGTGGCTGTCTGTTATGGAGCGCGTAGAGTGCGCTGTCTTCGACGGCAAGCGCTACCAGCGGGAGCTTGATAGCAAAACCAAGCGTGCGAACAAAAACATCCTCCCAGACTCCATCACCCGCGAGGATCGTCGCAAGGGCAAGAACACAACAGTCATGGTCGATGGCTATGCAATCAGCAAGGAGTCCATGACCTGCGCCGATTGGGAGGCTGTACCTACCATGGCCGGGAAGGATCCTCGCCTTGCCGACCCAGTCCGCGAGAAGCGCCGCACGTTCAGCCACGAAGAGCACTGCCTCACATGCTTCGAGGGTGCTGATGCCGGACACATGGTCAACTGCAAGAGCTGCCCGCGAAACTTCCACTTCGACTGTCTCGAGCCGTCATACAAGGCCAAGGTCAAGAACTTTTCTGGTTTCTTCTGCCCCCAACATGTGTGCTGCGACTGCGGCAAGAGCACCTCTGATGCCGGTGGCTTGATCTTCCGCTGCCGCTGGTGCCCACAGGGCTTCTGTGAAGACTGTCTGGACTGGGACAAGACCGAGCTCATCGGCGATAACCTCCCCGAGTTCGAGATTATCGGTGAAGAACCCACCGCTGGTGGCTTCTACATCAAGTGCCCGTCATGCACTCACTTGATCGAAGAGAACGAGGAGCAAGAGGCTTGGATCGAGGGCATGGAGAACACATACAAAGAGCAGCACGACGTTTGGATCAAGTACCGCGAGGATTCGCAGCGAGAGCTCGAGAAGCGCGACTTGGAGGACGCCGAGCTCAAGGTGTTGGAAGCCGGCACTGTCGAGACCAACGACTCTCCAAAGAAGCGCAAGTCCTACATCATCGAGGACGATGACGAGGAGGAGGAGGACATCCCCTCGCCTCCCGCTCTCACGGATACTTCCTTGCCCACCCCGGCGCTCGATGGTTCGCGCTTGAGCACCCCGCAGCCGCTACTCAACGGCAAGGGCAGCAAGAGGATGGCGGATGCGGATTTGGGCGAGACGCGCTTGGAGAAGAAGGCCAGGCTGGATGCGCAGGCTTGGAGGGTTGGAGACGATCCACTCATGAAGGCGTTGGAGTAGAGCGACATTGGGTCTGGCTGGCGTTTGACGGTTTGGGCAATAGGATATGGATATGATACCCGCAGAATTTCGCTTCGACGCTTTTGAATAGGGCTAGGCTAGGGATATTATGCTTGGGTTGATCAGTAGTGGAGTGTTTATAAAACACTCATATCGCACGCATGACTTCAGATATAGAAATAAATGCAAGCTTTTGCAAGAATCCTGAATTCGCGTCGTGAGACTGGGTATCTATCTACCTAACTTCACCTCCTTTCCTTCACTTCTTCTCCTCCGAGGCTTTTTGCGCATCTACCTCCTCCTCGTCATCAACATGCATACTCCCCGCCCACCCCACCCACTCCCTCACCCCCCTAACAAACCCATCCCTCTCCTCATCCACCGCGCCGCCATGTTCCCAGACCACAATCTCATCAAACGAGCCTATTTGCTCGGCGATCTTGACGTCCTCGATTACCTCATCTTCTTCGTCTTCGTCCTGCTCGTCGTCTTGTGAATTGGAGTGGGATTGTGTGGGCAGGATCTTATCCGTGACATGTAGGATTGCGCCGGTGTGTGTGGCTGGGAGAGGGATGGGTGTGCCGTGCAGGTGGCGGCCGCGGAAGTGGACGTGTTGTGTTCCTATCGCTGTCGGTTAGGGTTTGGGATGTACACAGATCGCTGGAAAGTCATGTGCTGAGGTATGAAGCGATAATCTTCCACGAAGGATATGCGTACCTTTGTCGTCTGTTTCGGGCTTGAAGTAGCGGCTTGTATCGTTGATTGGGCCGTTGTGGTTTATGCGCGCGGGGAGGAGGTGCGGTGTGCATTTCTGGGGGTTGGAAGGTTGGATTGCGAGCATCGTGGTGGTTGTGTTTGTAAAGGATACGGTGGACTATTGTGGGTGTTGTATTTTCTTTAGAGGTGGGTGTGGATATCTCGTAGGATTGGTAGACTTCTTGCAGCACCTGGTTCGCAGCCCGGAACTCTTTTGGGCGGCTTTGGCAGTGTACAGTGATTTGATTGTTGAGCGTGAAAGTGGTTTCTCAGGGTTCACGCGACGCGCCAAAGCGTGTCACTCGTGGCTGCCACGGACGCACGGGGCAATCGTGCTCCAATGATCATAATGACGACGCATTGGCTGCAACACCAACAACCTCAACTGTCCGTGTTTTTGGATCTTGACTTCCAGACTTCTCTTTTCTCTTCATGCCACCCGAAAATCATAAGATACTACTTATGATGAAGATGGACATCTCAACAACTATCCGCAATCGGCCTCGGTCCTTGCCCCGAGCGCACTATTCGAACCCGGCCCGATAGTGACGGGCACCAACACCCCGCCATCGCTGAATGAGCTTGCAGTGAATAGCTGTACAAGCAGCTGTCTCTCACGATGTTGAAAGCTTCAAAGACATGGCGTGTGTAGTAGCGGTGAACACGCCACAAGAGAGGCTGCATGATTGATGGGAAGCATTTCCAGACCCTTGCATTGATGCAACTTGGCTCCGCTAAGCTTCACAACCCTCGGTTACCGAGCTGACATTCGGAAACGATCGTCCCAGGATCTCGCGACTTTTTTCACGATATATCAAGTGGACGACTTTCTGCAATTGAATTTGTTGATTTGTATGGTACTTCAGCAGCGTGGAAGCTTACATCGTCGATTCCGGACATTCACGATAGTGCTGAAAGGATCAACGACGTCATGGACCACTCGAAAGGGCAAAGTAGCCTCACCGACGCTGCAGCACTTACATATGCAGCACAGATCTGATCATGACGGCGCAATTGGCCGCGCCGCTTCGGCTCTCGCACATTCTACGTCGCGGGCCTGGACCTTGACGAAGTCTGTCTTCGCCGATGCATTTTAGGAGCGGGGAATGTTTCGTCCGATGTCTCGCGAGACAATTTCCTGAAATACCTACAACTACTCCTCCTCATATACTACAAGACTGACAGTCGCGTATCAATTGCGCCGGACGATCAATTGACTACCTTGCATTCCACAGCCTAAATCCAGGACGCGCCGACTCAGGCACCCACATTGCTCGGTAACCGTGGAAGCCGAGATCGAGCTGTTCTGGCTTACAGCAATACACCGCCTTCGCCCCAGTCGCGCAGTCAGTTGTTCTTGTCAACACCTCTCACAGCTGGAAAATCAGATACACGATGCCAATTTTTAATCCTTTAGCCGGCGTCACGGCGTCGGTGCTCAGCACCATCACATCGCAAACGTGGGGACCGCTAGTATCGTTATGCAAGAACGGAACGCTCGCGCAATTGCATGAGATTAAGATTGGAAAGCTGGTGCTCTTTGAAGGCGGTTCCAGCAAAGCTTCTGCGGTTTTTGGCTCCGACAAGGAAGGCTTACCGGTCGCATTCTTGGATGTTCACAATGAGAAGTTTTGGGTGCGATTGGCGCTTTTCGCAGATATGGTGCGTGGAGAAATCGAGACTTGCGAAAAGCGGTTTTTGAAAGTAGACTAACGTCAAAAGGGCTTCGCAGAAAGCTACATGTTGGGAGAAGTCTCCTCTCCCGATCTAACCAAGTTCTTTGAGGTTTGTATGCCGTCTTGTTCAACACGGACCTAGCTGACTCTCCAGCTATTTATCCTCAACCGGAATCACCTTTCCAACGGCTCGACACTCACATCAGCAATCTCCACGGGTCTAGCTGGCCTAGTCCGTGGCAGCAACAACCTGAAAAATGCTCGCCTCAATATTGCCGCCCATTACGATATTTCAAACGAAATGTTCGCCGCTTTCCTCTCCCCAGACATGACATACTCGAGCCCGATATGGCTGCCGAAATCGAACCCCAAGTCCGAAAACGAGACCCTATACGATGCGCAAATGCGAAAGCTCGATCGCTTCATCGACAACACACATATAAAAGGCAGCGACCACGTACTCGAGATCGGAACTGGCTGGGGCAGCTTCGCGATGCGAGCGGTACAACGTACGGGCTGTAAAGTGACTTCATTGACACTTTCAATTGAGCAGAAGGAGCTGGCAGAAGAGCGAATACGGGAAGCAGGCATGTCAGACAACATCACAGTCCTCCTCTGCGACTACCGCAGCCTACAACCCCCAGAATCAGGCGCATTCGACAAAATCGTGTCAATCGAGATGCTCGAAGCCGTCGGCAAGGAATACCTAGTCACATACTTCAAGTGCGTGGATAAGCTTCTCAAGAAAGAAGGCGGAATCGCGTGTTTCCAGTGCATTACCATGCCTGACGGCCGCTACGAAGCCTACGCTAAATCCGATGACTTCATCCGCCGCTACATCTTCCCTGGCGGTCATCTCCCTGCGGTCTCCGAGCTCGTAAGCTCCATCCAAACCGCCTCAGCGGGCTCGCTCGTTGTCGACAGCGTCGAGAACATTGGCCCGCACTATGCCAAAGCGCTACGCCTTTGGCGCGAATCTTTCCTGGAAAATTGGAACGGCACGATCAAGCCGCAACTCATCAAAGAGAAGGCAGACCAGGGCATGGACGACGAAGGTGCGGAGGTGTTCAAGCGCAAGTGGGATTACTATTTCCGGTACTCGGAAGCAGGCTTCTCGACGAAGACGCTGGGTGATGTTATTATTACCGTGGGCAGGGAAGGCGCTGTGCAGATGATGGAGGACGTGCCGTTGTAAGAATTCGGGGAAGGCGATGTCCGGAGGCTGATGTGGTGCCGGTACCTGCATAATGAGTTTACGCGATACTGCTTTTGGCGCGGAGGGCGAAATGGGTACATACGACACTGCTAGGTAGTCCTGCATTATACCCAAATTTAGACGATGAGTTACACTCACGAGGACTTTGGGGCGTGGATCTACGGTGCAGTGGGCTTATGGTGTGCAGGACACTAGGATGTGATGTAGCACCGTGTATTTAGGAACCGGTGGGGGTCGACAGCGGTGGGAAGGGAGGTTATGCTGTATTGCTGGGGTGTGTTTGTGATGTGGACAGACGTAAGTAAAATTAAATGAATGTAACCTATCCAAGCTTGACTTGATGCGTATGCTAGACCGCTATACTATGGCACGAAAGCTACAAGTGGCGTACTGCACATCGATCATGAGAATATAGTGATGTTTATTGGATTTGAAGACAAGCGTTATCATGCTGCCTTTCAACAATCTTCAAAGTAGGGACTGATGCTGAAAACTTTGGGTTGAAGATGTAGCTTTCCATCGCGTGCCTATTGCATTCGCATATGTCAAGGCAAACTTGGGTAAATGTTGAGTAGTCCATGAAGCTTGAGAGTTATCTCGCGGGCATTTTCACAATGTTTGACTTGGTTTTCAACGTGTTTTGAGAAGATGCGGGCCATGAAACTGAGGCAGTGAAGCCCAAAGATAGCCGGACAGTTAAATGCACCAGGAAGTAGTAACATGACGTATCGCTGGATTCCTTTTCCTCACATTGTAGATTGAGATGCCCTTCGTAGAAGCAAATCCAGTCTAAATTGCAGACTCAGAAGGGGAAGAGACATGATCTTGAAGCACCAAATACCCATTCATCAGAACGATTTATCAGACACAATAGTACCAACATCCCATACCGCAAATCACTCTCCAACCCATACCAACATCCTGACTTGCACAACTACTCCCCCATCTTCGCCTTCAACTCCCCAACCAGCCTCCCCATTCCCTCATCCCCCTCCCTCTCCCTCCTCTCAAACTCCCCCATATTCTCCCTCGCCCACTCCCCCTCCCCTCCCGCTCGCGGCACCACAAAGCCCTGCTCCGCGCCTGCCACCAAATCCTCAAAGATAAACACATTGTGCAGCGCCTTGACGTCGTCCAGCCGGCCAGAGTCGGTTCCGATGTGCTCAGACCACAGCGCCATTGTGGTGGTTACGAGGGTGTGGAGTTTGGGAGCGTTGGAGGGCCCGCGGGGGCGTAGGTGCGCGTGGATGAAGTTTGTGGGGTGGGAGTGGGCGCCGACGAATGTGTGGACTGTGGGAGAGGATGTGGAGGTGGAGGAGGAAGAGGGCGAGGGGAGGAAGGTTATGTTTACAAAAGCGGAGGGGGCGGAGACTGTGGGTTAAAGTTAGAATGGTACTCATGTGGAATCAGGGTGTACAAAAGGAGTGGTAGCGTGGAGTTGGGTGGGACGAGAGAGATTGATGAATGTGGAAGATTGGTGGGTTTGGATCTGAGATTCAAATGGAGTTGTCTGTGGTGGACCGAAGGCCCCTTTGTATTCTTTTTATGCAGGATTGTCAACGGTAAGAGGGTGTGATCGTACATAAATCACAATGAAGCTTTGTCAATGCCGATGCGAAAGCTTGATACTGTTGTTGCGATATATCGCATGAGTGGTAGACCATGTAGTGCGGCATCGTGACTTTTGGGTATGGTGTCGCAGACTGCGGGTGGTATTGTTCGATTTCGTGGTTAAAGTATTATCGCATCCAAGAGATTTGCGCAGATGCAGTCCAACACGATGCGCAAAATACTCGTGAGGTTGAAGCTCGACGGATCATCCGCTTCCTGCATGCTGAAAAGCGACCGCGCTGAACCATGACGCGCCTTTCCCCTCCCCTCCCTCCATCTCCCCAAGTGTTTACTCGTCCCCCTCCTCCTCACCCTACCCGACAAATCTTCCTCTTCCCCGGATTACCGCATCTTAGCGCATCCTTGTTCGCATCGTGTTCGTGGTGCGCAGGCAACCTTGTCTCCGCTCCATGCGGCGATCGCCGCCTGCGGGTCGACTACGCGCGCGCGGCCTCACATCTGGGTTGAAAACATCCCACGTTGCGCCACAACGGTTTTGTGATGTGCTCGGGAGCGTGCCGAAGGTTATTTGTAGGGCTGCCCCAGACCCGGGATTGTGGGTTTATTGAGACATTTTTGGCGGCCTGGGAGGGCGATTCGCGCGACTAGGGCATGCTATGGGTGCATTGTACCAAGTGTCCAAGTCAGTACTTTTCGTTCTTTTTTTCGACGAGGTACAGAGAATGGTGATTTGAAACATGTATATAGTGCAGGCTGTTGATCGTATTGGTCTTGTCTAAAGTCTAACGCTCATTGCTCTTGTTACTCATGCTGAACTTCCATCTGATATGGTTGCACACACTAGACGCTCGCATAAATCTTGCCCATCTTTGAACTCACTATGCTCGCCTTCATCACAACTTCGATGCCTCCTTATCCTCTCTAGGATCGTCTGGAAATGCGACGAAACTCTCGTCGCCATTAAAATGCCTGGGGTATCTGACGTCAGAAAGCAAAAACGAAGAATCAGGGTGTCGTGACGGGAAGGACAACATCGACAGGTAAAGAGATGCTGAGAAGCTCAAAGGCAGCGCCCCAGCCGGTTCCTGTGGGTTCCGACTTGGGCCAATCTTTGCGGTGGTGCCAAAAGTTCCTGAAGGAATAAGAATACACATTGTCACAACAAAATGAAAGGGGGTGACCTACCACCCTCTCTCGGCTCCTCCTGACAAGTACGACGTCTCGGAGTTCAGCTCACAAGTCCAGTTGCCTGCGACGCCTTCCTCCGGGTCCGCGCGTTTTCGCACAAACTTTGAGAGGCCAGCAGTAAAGCACTGAAAGTCATCTGTATCAGGATCCTCCGGCATCTGGCCAGTCAAGACTCGCCCAGCTGCAATCATGGTAGCGGCATGAGTGCATATCAGAACGGTCCTCGGCTGCTCAGGGTCATTGTCAAGAGTTGTGACGATATGGTCGAGAGCGTTTCTGACTCGTTCATGCAGCTCCACAATCATCTCGCCCCTGGGCGCTGGCATGTGAACAGAGACATAGTCCTGGTCTAGATGATCGAACAGTGGCGTCAATGTCTTGAGATCCGGCGGCGTCGGATGCTCCCAGCTTGCGCGGCCAAAGAACTCACTGTGCCTCAGCATCAGTGACTATCCGTCAAGCTCGCATAACGAACCTCCACGACGATGTCTCAACATACCCAACGCCCCGATCTATTCTGATCTTGCCTTTCGCAGTTCCTTCCTGAAAGAGTCGGTCCGTTGTGGGCTTGAGCGTCTGTAAACACCGATAAAACGGACTGGAATAAACTCTCTCGATCGGAGGTTCAACACTGCACAGATACTCGGCTAACTCCTTGCTCTGCTCAACGCCTTTGGAGGTCAATGGCGGATCAGTAGGGATGCCAGTGGGCGTTTTGACCATCAAAGCGGTGTAGATTCCTGTCTGAGGATCCACTGTCCAGTTGGAACGGAACTACAGTCGCAAGTTCATCGTTAGAAGGCATGTCATCTAGGGGAATGCAGCGTCGATCTTGGATCTTCTGATACGCGCGTATTCTCTGTAGGCGAGCTCGACGATGCATCGACGGCTCAAGGCGCCATATGAAGACTACCGGAAACGGCATCAGAAGCGGAAAGGGGCCTCAGCCACCGTGTGGAGTGCTGTAGGCAGATGGTTTGGTGTAGTGTGTTGCGGAGACGGAGGGGACGCTTGATACGTACCGCGTGCCGAACGATGTAGATTACCTCAATCATCGTTGGTTCTTTGCCGGCCCCCGAATTGCGATGCACCAGGATGAGCGTGTTCTAGATTAGGTGGCTTACGTGCCCGCGAACGCAATGTGCTCCGTGTTGGATGGAGCGAAGTTTGGGGAGAGACTTAGTGAGCCAATAATCACGTAGCTAGGCCTCGGCTACACTCGGTGCCTCTAGTTAGGACACTTTGGAGGCGGCGCAAATTCCCAAAAGCTGTTATACTTTAGAAATTGTTGCGCCACGCTTCTTTAAGAACTGTGGCCGCCGTTGTGCATGATGAAGAGTCTATGATGTGTTTGTAGTTCGTCACACATGTTGAGTCCGTTCGATGCTCAGCTCAGTTCTCCACTCAGCAATCACCTACTCGAACGTCTACCGACGGCGACTGTTTAGCACAATTCCATGCCGTCAGAGCCGTAGATAGAACGTGAGAAATCGCGGACGGCCAAGTAAACACGCGAGTCGTACGGTGCACATGTGTTATTTTCCACTAAAGGCAGTTGGTGCTACACTCAACACATCATCTGCTCATCATCGCGAACCCCCACGTTCGAGCTATCACGAGCGCCTTTTCAGCAGGAACACCTGGGAAGTGTGTTAGCGCGAACGCACATGCAACTGTTCTGCCAGCTTCATGCAGACGTCAGGGCCTTGCAGTCTTAGCACAGGAACAGGCCGTTGTTCAAACAAAGCGCATCGTCATGTTGTGAACGCCTGCATTGGCGCAAGAACAGGAATAGCGATTGTTTACAGTACGATGATCCTGTTGATTTCTGTTCCGTGACCCAGGAGATGTGCCACGTCAATGCAATGGTCCTTGACGGTGCAATATCTTCGTTCTAGCGTCAACCATGGTGGAAGCTGTGCCGGAATACGAAGTCTGGGCGGATGGGAAGTCAATGCGTGTAGGAATTTGGGAAGGTGATCAGAATTCTCAGACCCATGATCGGAAGGCCCGCGAACAAGGGATCTTCACATGATGGCTGTGTTTCGAAACTTACGTGCCGTCCTGGCAAACGGCACGCCTTAACTGACTGAGGAAAGTGGACGGGAAGTAAGCGCGCGAATTTTCAAGGTACGTGAATCCTTAATCTAACTAGCAAGAAACGCGGGGTTGGAGGTGCTCAGGCGGGTCCCACTGGTCAACTTACGTTGGGAGTCTGATGTCGTGTGCTATTGTTGGATTCGAGACGGCTCGTGAAATACTTGCTCACCGTTTACGAGGTGGTCGCCTTTACGAGGCGGTCAGTTGGTGTCCAACACAGTCAAACTTACCTAGAGATCCCGCGGCAGCTCGACGGAAGTGCGAAGCTGTAGTGCATTAATCATTGGCAGCAGTCGCTCTGCCACCTTGATCACCTTCCGAGTTTGATCATCCAAAACATGAAATTTCCCCAGGGTATTTGCTGCAAGCCATCGCTGGGTTCTTGCAGCACCCGGCAAAAGAGCTGCCGCGAATACGCTACATGCTTTAAGGTGCAGGTGCAAACGATGCACCATCATGGCGGAGAGCTTTAAACTTCAACGATCTTCGGATGTCTGCACTATTCGAGTAAGCTAGTGAATATCTCCGGCTTACCTCACCGAGCCACCCCTGTCCCTCGTTCGCAAAGCCTGCGTGATGCAAGGAAGCCTTCGACGTTGGAATATTCGGACAGTCCCGAAAAGTACCGTAGAGTGACCGTCATTCGGGCTCGAAACCCTCGACGGTTATTCCGGTCTTGACGGTGTCGTTTCACTAGGCATTCGCTCGAAAAAGTGTCGGTCCGACATAAGCTGATGGCTTACGTAGCTTGCAGACGCCTTCTTCGTGACATCTGGCAACGTTTGGGGGGGTTGTTCGTAATAGACAATATCTTTGATGAAATCTATTCGAACGTCTTCTGGGCCATGCCCCGTCGTTCATGTGTGTCAACCCCACCCTTTCAATGTTGAAGCCAAGACCGGACGGGATGGATCTGCGCGGAGCCGCCAGAGTGGGTATTGACAGCCGACGGCCGCGAATATTTGACTAGTCGCATAACAAATAGGCCAACATTATTAGTCCCTCCCACGCCTGTCGGAATTGCACATTATGCAAGAAGTGCGGCCGTATCCGGACAGAGTGAAGGCTTCGGCCATTTGGCAGATGTCATAGTCCACAATGCTTGGTCACCATGAGGCTCGTTCAGGCTTTGAGAAATCCCTCAGCCTTACCGTCGATGTTGCATTTTAGGTGGCTACTTCGGTCAGATCCGTCCAGTCAGAGTTCCAAGCACACCACCTGTGAAATCTCTGCGTGGGGATCTGACGAATAAAGCAACGTTGATGAATGTCGTGTGCTTTTTTCAGACGCCTCACGCATGCACTGTGATCTTCGTCTGGCGTTTCTAGAAGGTCGGCCTCACCTTCTTCGGCTTTACTGGTTCAGGCCGACATCGAGGCAGTTGTGGTGATCCTCCTTCTGCCCAATAAGGCCCGATATTCTCGATGCGCATGCTCACACGTGTGGTCATCTTTGGTTTCGATTGGCTCGCAAGTGCTCGTCCATGGACGCATCTCACGTGTGTCTCGTTCATTGGCTTAGCGAGACCATGCGTGCTTCTCCAGATGACACGCTGATCAGGTGGGTGTATTGCTTATGATCCTCCTCTTTGATTAACAGCGGGGGTACATTGCAGCCTCGCTATCCTGGCTGATACAAGGTGAACGCTTCGAGGTAGCGATCCAATCGTGCCCCACGGAGGAAGCACGCGCCTACGGTGACGGTAGGCTCGAAAAGCAGCAGAAGCGAGGCAGCAAGCGTCAGAGCCTTTTGCTACTGTTTTGCTTCGCGCAACAGACTAATATGGAACGGACATTGCGTTGATCGTCGTCCAAGCGCATATTCCCGTGGTTGTGATCTGCTTCGGACTGCGGCGGCCGTAATCTATGGCCACTGTGTCACTCTAGGCTGTTCGCTGCCGGAGGCTGCCAGACTCCGGGAACAATCGGAGTGGGGTTACGGTTGGAGAATGGTAGCCGTATGTAACAAGATGAAAGAAGTAAACACGCAGCAGCCGCGCTTGACTAGGACATGGTCGTTAAATTGATGCGCAACCAGGGTTTGAGCGGCATATGACGGTGGCTGGAAAGCCCAAAGCCTCCAGCAATCATGCCGCTCTAAAATGTGACATGTGGAGAGTCTGGACAGCACCCGGCTAAGAGGTTTAGTCTCCGTATCTAAATTACAAATCCGTATCAGCTGTAACGAAATGGCGACAGATACAACTAAGTACAGACAACACAATTGAATCTTACGCCTCAAGAAGACCAAGATCTTAGCAGTCCAGGGCAGCGAATATTGACACGTGCTTAAATATATACAAGATCCGAATGAATCCTTATCTACAGCTTCGAGGGAGGTTCCGACGGCTAATAATTAAGAAGAGCTGGTACTCAACGCCACTCCTCCTGGCTTTTCGGGAGGGCGAGCCTGGTAGGATGATCAAGCGATCATTTCATACCGATTCCGTTCATCGGAATGCCTTTCTCTAGCTCCTCGTTCACACGTCCTGCTCCATGAGGGACGAATTTCCCTGCCTTCCCGAGCTTCTTCTCGGTCACCCAGACGCGTAGCATGATGAGATAGCGAACAATCAGGAAGATGATGATAGCAGCGACCAGAATGCCAATGATGTAAGCAGCAACGATACCGGAAGAATGCGCTTGCAGGTCCAAGAAGCCGTAAACGTAGAAACCTTGAGTTGCGTGCGTAAGATATGCGAGGCCGAGATACAGTGCTAGAAGAATGATGATCGGAATGATATCGAGCCAAGGCAATGGTGACGTTCTAGGGAAGACAATCTCAAACAACGCATAGACGGAATTGAGAGCATGCTGAGAAGCGTTTGACCAGATTGAGAATGTAGATGGAAAGTGGCTTGGAGCAAGTATGCCCCAATATACAACTAAGAAAGATTAGCATCATTTTCGGACATGAGACAATGACACGATGCCTCGCAAGACAGCTCTCCGCAGATGCATGACCGCAGTGCTGCTTCGGCAGTCTAAATCGAAACCAACTGTCAACAGGGCGTCTCATCGATGTATCGAGACAGAGCCTAGAGGCCACAGGGGCCGTGTTCACTCACTAGTAACAATGAACGGATAGACCACGATAGTGGAATAGAACATGCTATGTGCGATCTGGAGCGCTTTTGGCCATCGAGCAAGGAAAGGAACTCCAGTGAAACAATAGCTTCCGGTATGAATGGCGGCGAAAGTGTAGTAGAAAGCGAGACCCCAATAAGTTAGGACGGTGAAGAAGGAGAACGAGCGCTGTGACGCGTCAGCCATCCCGTGGCTCCCATTCCAGCCAAAGATGGTGAACAATGTGACGAAAGCATAGAGCGCCAGCAGCGCTCGAAAAAAGAACAGAACCACTGGAGGCAAGATCCATGATGTCGCAAATCTATGACTGGGGTCAAAATTGTTCCCGTACGGTGCTGTGAGGCGCGCTCCAACAGCCATGGTAGCGAGAGGGTCGCGGCTCCCTAGCGCGAAATTGTCGATGTCGTTGTTCGGTTCCAAGGCAGGACGGTACCAGATGCTGCTCAGGAGCTAAAGGTGCACAATTGCGTGGTTGGTGGAACCGGAAGCTGCGAGTGCGAAAGCAAAGTTGCGACGTGGTGTTGAAGCTCAAAGCCTCCTTGGTTCGCCGGAATTTGCAGCAGCACCGCCATGTTCGCCATGTGGCTTTGCTCACGTGTGGAAGACGCTAATGCCGGCGCACTATCCACATTCGGCGTAACAAACGTCTAGCGTACATTTCAACGGACACGGCTCAGAAGTCTCGTCACTGGCGAAAGCGACTATCATGCCGTCCGGGGCTGCCCGCTTAGACCTCCCACGGCGGCAGCCCTAGACGACACAAGGCATCTTTCGACCCGCCATCCCTACACTCACTTGCAGCACCAACTGACCAGGGGGTGGGCCTCTAATACGCATCGGAGATGGTGTCTCTATCACGTTCAGTCCTTCCTTCTTTAAGGTCTTATGCATGCCATCACTCGAGTCTTGATCCTCCTAGCATGATTGCGCATCTGAAGTCGATTCCTACAAAAGATATCCACCTTTCTTCTCGGCCATTTCAAGCATCACAATGAACGACATACGTAGCTCGGTATGCCCCAACATCGCTACGGCTTTACACTCACTAACGAAATGCAGCAAAAAGCGCAAAACTTGGCACGGATTCGAGACAATCAACGTATGTCTATCTCATGGTCATCTTGAACGCCTATCGGCTCGCTTCAGTGTGCAGATGGTACGGATGGGTCGTCCCATCACTACTACGAAGCCCTGTCACATGCGAGTAATTTGATTTGGATGTAGCTAACACGAGATCTCCGACAGGGCGTTCACGAGCACGAAGAAAAGAATACCTCCAAGAGCTGGAGGCCAAGATCCGGGCCTGTGAACAGATTGGCATCGAGGCTTCTTCAGAGATTCAGTCAGCGGCAAGAAAGGTCGTTGACGAGAATAGAAAACTTCGTTCACTTCTTCATGAGCGAGGGGTGTCAGAAGCGGAGATCGTCATGGCTCTGGGCGGGTCAGGCGACCGATCTTACGATCAGATCTCAACAGCGCCATCACTTAACGCAAGGCTCGACCGGAAACTCACATGCAATACACTGTCTTCGACAGAGCTGCCAGCGCCATCTCAACAAGTGCCAACCGTGCCGGCCATTAGCATACCACCACTATGTTCAACAACACTGAGCTGCACGGACTCCCCTAGTCCAGGCTCTATCGTCTCAAGTATGGGCACTCCGCCGCCAGCAACATACTCCACATCATTCTTTTCGACACCTGTCACTCCCCCAGCCCCCGAAATTAAGACCGAAGATGTACGATATGGTTATTCCTACGATCAATCCTATAACAACGCCTGGCAATATCCCAATGAGTACCAGTTATTAGGACAGTCGCCTGCCTACTACAACACCTCCTCCTGCGTCGATGCTGCAAACATCATCCGGAACATGCGAGTGGATGAAATGCAAGAGTCGGACACAGATCTGGGCTTCCGCGTTCGCAATCAAAACTGCTATGTGAATAGCAACATGGTATTCAACATGATGGACAAGTACTCAACTCAGCACTCTATCGTATGAGCACGGCGATCGTCATAAGCACCTTGATGAAGCTAGGCACTAAAGATTGCCTACGCTCAACGTGCTTAACGGGCACAAACCTGATCATACAGCCACCAGGGTTGTCTGATGTGGCAGCTGTTGCAGGACAAAGCGCCACATTCCATGCAAACATTCGCAAGTACTTGTTCCATCGGGGAATAGCGTTAGACCAGGTTCGAGACATACAGCTTACTCTGAAGCTTTGAAAGTTCTAACAAAGGGTGTGGGCAAGTTCTTATCCTGCAAAGGAACGTAACGTTCGCTTCTCATCAACACCAAGAATTGTCTTCGTGTCTCTTTAAACCAGTTCTGTATAACATCATTTTCGTTTTCCCTTGTCTTCTTCCATGTAAACGAGAATCACGATAGACGACCGTCATCTTTGTTCTCCAATCGACATCGCTCGTATACCCGCCCTTTGTCCGTAATGCCATGCACAATTCCGTCCACAGATGCAGCGTCCCTTTGTACATTCTACAACAAAGACATGATTTTAAAAGTGTGCAACTTTTCCCTCATGCATTGTATGATTGATTCCCGACACTTTTCACCGATAGCTTGAAGCATAACTCCGCATACTTGCGACCCGTTAGTGTTACCAAGCATGGTCACAACTCGTAGGAAAGCGGCAGAAGGACAGGAGGGCGCGTCGAAGAAGGCAAAAAAAGATGTGCCAGCCAAAGCAACCTCAAAGCAGAAAGCTCCGACAAAACTACGAGAAGAAGATTCCCCTCCTCCGACACAGAGTGACGGCGACGAAGAAAAGCGCGAAGTACAATGGGCGCAACCCACACAAGGCCAAGGCAATCATCATCGCGACCAAGGCGAGGCCGTCACAAGATTCTCTCAGACTCTCTTCGATCAGCCCTGGACGGAAATATGGACCGCACAGAGACCGTTCAAATTCCCAGCATTGCGAACCCCTCTGTACAGGAGTAGGTCAGGCGTGGATCTGACTGCTGAAAAACAGCCTCATTTTAGTGCGCCACTTCGCCAGCTTTTCAACCTCATCAAGAATACGACGCAGGGAAATGCCGTGGAAGAGCGCATCTTCACCGAACATGCCTTTCGTCAAGCTTTTCATGACACAAATAATATTGCTGCCGTTATTGCCTCCGGATCGACGGCAAGTCCAATTTTGGCTCTTGACCGCGATTATCGGGTCGACATCACTGTAGGAGAAGGTGATGCTGCAGAAACTGGCCATGTGCTTTTTCTTCACAGAAGTCCCGCTTTGGACAAAGCCGAAGCCTCAGAGAACGACTACGGATACTTCATTGAACTTCCCCCAAATACTCAAATCACGGTGAACGGCATTACCTACATCAATGACACTCTTGAAGCGGAACAAGGCCCTAGTGCCCCTTCACCTTTTATCATTGGAACTCTCTACCGATATACAATTATCGAGCTGCTCTCGCAACCAATCTTTTTCTTCCGCACACAGGCCGATCTGGAATTCACGGCCAAGATCAAGGACAATGTCGCAAACAGACCTTCTGGAGCAGAGATGAACCGTCGCCACCAGCTGGGCGAAGATGCTGCCGACCATATTGACATCACATGCACACCGTTGGACGAGCGGCGCAAGTCGCCTGAGGATGTGAGCCCCAGAAAGTCAGCTACACCAAATATTGGGTTCGAATATGATGACACATGGGTTGCAGATACCAATGCCCGAGAATACGTGGAGGATGCCATCCACGATGTGTTCCGTGATCGTTACCAAGATCTCATACCTCGGGTGCTTGCTTCCATCAACGATAGACAAGGGGTAGAAGCAGGCTTTAGCATCGACTCAGATGAAGAAGTGCAAAGGCCTGGAAGAACGATGATTACGACTATGCAGTACGCAGGAAGTGACCACACAGTCCTGTTGATCTATCGAATTGGTGAAGATAGGGCCATCAGTCTGCAGGTCCTAGACTCAATGGCATGGTCTTCAACACCAGCTCATCGTCAAAGAATACACGGGAGCGCACTGCAAATATTGGTCGACAGGAATTGGTGGCGCGGTACCTTCGAATCTGCAGATGAAATGCAACTGCAATTCCCAGAGGCTTCGTACTGGGTCGACTGTGTGCAACACGACATTCCGAGACGCGCCGATACATACGCTATCCTAAATGCCTTCGCGATCGCAATGGGCTTGCAGCTGAACCTCAATTTCTATGAAAGAAGACCGGAAAACTTTTTTGATCAAGCCCAATTGATTTTCGAGTCATTGTTGAGCGATCAGCTGGATTGGAAGGTTCTATACGCATTCTTCACAAGCACAAAGTATGCGGGCCGAGTTGTTGACCTTGATGACGAAGCGGAGCACAACGAAGATGAGGGTAGATATGCTCTTCCACCAGTGACCCGCCGTTTTAATCTTCGTGTTCGACCTTATGGCGAACTCGTTAGACGACAAAGAGACCAGGATAGTGCTGCATTGGGTATGAGGAATGAAGCAGACGTGGTTTTGGCCTCTGACCACATGGAACTTGATGTGGAAGATGGCTTTGGCCACAATACTGAGTTTCCTCACGACAGTTGCGAGCCTGGATTTCGCAACGATACCCTTCGCCGAGTTGCCATCGATGGTGGCTGGTCCTTGCAAACCTCTTTGGAAATTGTGGAGGAGTGGTACCGCGAGGAAGGTCTGGCATCTCCTCCATCATATGAAGAGCAGGGCGAAGATCCCGGAGTTGACAGCAATGAAGATCCTCCCGCCGATGAAGACCCTCCCGCCGGTGAAGATCCTTCCACTGATGAAGGTTCTCCAGCCGAATCTAAGCCAGCTCTTCAAGGACCTCACTTTGATCATTATGACGTCGCCGAAAGCTTTAACCCATGCGAGTATTTCCGCAAAAGAATTGCTACATTGCTCGCAAGCACTAGCATCAAGGCCACGCTCGCCGATCCACCTATTACACAGGCCCTAGGATCGCGAATGGCTTCTTTACACATTCTCCAAGTACTTCGCGCTATGAATGAAGTTTTTCCGGATGGTCAGGGTTTCTCGTTCTATGAGCCAGAGGAAAAGATGCTAATGACCTCCCTTGTTGACAGGATGGGTGATGTAGGGGATAAGTCGCCTGCCCCGATCGATCCCGGAGCCTATCACGATCGAGTAGTACTCTCTCCACGTCGAATTGGAAATCACAGAGTGCTCTTGCTACTCCAATTCACGTTGACTGACACCGACACCGCTGTCACAATACATGTATTGGATTCTGCAGAAGGCAAACTCTCCAAGGAGCAGCGACAAGAGCTCTTCGACTCAATTGATCGCATGCGAGACAGTGATCCGGTTATACCAAGATCCATCATGTGGATTTTTGGACCTCAACAGCAATCTGCCTGGCAGATTGATTACTTCACCGTACTCAACGCCTGGAGCACTTTGCTTGGCCTCGATCTGAACCAGCATTTCAGTCTTGAAGGAAAGCCAAATTTCTTCACGGAAATCAAGCAGCTTCTGCAAGCGGCAGCTGCTGGACAAGCAGACTGGAAGCTGATCTGGGCATTCCTGCGTTGTTCAAATTATGTGGCAGGCACGGAGCCCCCACCACTGAATCGAAGATTCACAAGAACTATTCCTATGACGGATTTGCGTCGATATAGGCGGGTTTTGGATGAAAGACTGGCACCACATCCCTTTTTTGAGGACCCTGGATGCTTCCATCCGAAGCTCGACGAGACTGTCGGCGTGAGGCATGATGTGGACTTCCCGCGGGACGGACGAGCAGGTAAAGCTCCAGAGACTCAAAACTCTACCGCAGAGCGCAATGGTGAGACAGGTGATAAGCCTGCTGTGCTGCTCTCCGACAGGGAGAAACGTAACATGGAACTGGGCCTGGAGCCAGATTTCGACCCATGCAGCTACTTTCACGAACAACGCAACAAAATATTGGCCGGCTCTAAGGATGATATAGAAGACTTTCGCCAGCGGGAGGTGAACACTTGCACAAGGAAGTTCAGAGCTTGGTTGGATGACACCGAAACATCGCTAGCAATTGCTGCCGTGACAATGAGGCTGACTCGATCCCAAGGAGCGACTCAGGGCTTCAGTTACGCAAGTGCGCATGAAGTTGCCTCGTGTTTTGAAGGGGAAGCCGAGCTAATAGCAGCTTTCCGACCCGGTTGCCCAATGATACTGTCGCTTCACATCGAACGACACTTTGTACTCCTTATCATTCGTCTTGATGCGCAGGGTCGACCAGAGTTTTCCGTCATGGACTCTAAACCATACTACCTTGGACGCAAAAATCGAGCCAACATACACGACATGATGTTCAGACTCATAAGAGACACGAAGTGGTGGAACCTTTGGTCCAAATTTGAAGACTTGGGAAGTAATCGACCACAGCATACATCTTGGCTACCTTCAGCGACACAACCGAGCGACAATGAGTGCGGATACTACGTCATACTCAACGCTTGGTCAATAGCTCTAGGTCTTGAGACAAATCCTGATGTTTGCCTGGACTGGAGCGACACCTTCTTCCGCGACTTGCAAGATGTCATTCATCTTGCTCGAATAGGACGAGCAAGCTCGAAATTCATTTACGCGTTTCTGAGATGCTACGGCTACGTAAAGGAAGGCAAGGTATCTTCAGATCGTCAATTCGATAGCACACTAGAGCTGAGGAATGAGATTGACATGGGTACATTTGCCGATGACTTTCACATGGACGATGCTATCCAATTTTCGATAACTTCGGAACTACTTTGGCAGGACCTAGGAACCAAGAGCGTACTCCATTTGCCTGGAGGCGCACGAAGGCACAACGATGCTGCTGCGTTTCCCTCTGACAGGTGGGATGAAAACACACGGCATCTTGCTGTTGAACTAGGCAGGCGAGGAAAATTGAACTTGGATCATACTGCAAGAGAGGTAGGAGCGGCCATTCAAGAGGGGCGCAAAGAAAGAGGTCGCCACTTCATGGAGCAGCTCAAGACATCCGGTATTGACTGCTCGACGGGCAACCGCAGTCAGATTTTGCAGGCCTGTAGGGATCATCTAGACGGATGGCACTCTCAGCATACCAATATCTTGCGAGCAGACCCATGCGAGATATCCATCGATACCATTGCTTTTTACAAACACATCTTCAAGAAAGACACTCTTGGAGATGTGTTTCAAGGCGACGCTTTTCAAGTGTGGCCAGACGACCACAGCGCTACAATGAAGGAAGAAGTCGTAAGTCCAATGGACGAAATCCAGGTCAATTTACCAATCTCTGCAGTCGTTGAGGCTATCGATCGACTACAGGAAAGACATCACACCAACACAGGGGGGGTTTTTGCAGGGGGGTTCTCGCTTTCGGTGTCATACAACAATGGGGCTGCACTGTACGATCCTCCAACGTGGCCTGTTACTGCAGTTTCACGCCCCAGGAGGTGTTTTCTCATGCCCCTGTACATTGGAGACGCACTTGCGCCTGCCTTGCGAGAATGGCAGAGACAAAATAAGGTTAAGCAATCACCCAAAAGACCTGGAGCAGGCCACCATCTGCTTGCTGTTGTACAGGAAGAGGAGGAGACTGACACCAACGACGCACACTTCGATATTTGCCTTTACGACAGCTCCAGGCATGTGTTTGCCAACTCAGAAGTATTCTTAATCGAGACCATCACGGGAGCGATTCGACAGCTTGAATGGTCGACACATCGGAATGGGAGCGATGGGATACCGATACTCTATACACCCAGCGAAACTATACCCGTACCTCAGCAGGCCGCGGGCGGAGGATGGCGATGCGGTCCCCACACTATCACCAATGCTTGGATTCTGGCCATGGGCCTGACCCCCAACCCAGAAGCTGACTATTCAGATGCTGTCTACGGAGAGCTGAGGGTACTTGCAAGGGCAGCTGTGGCGGGCCTGTTAGACTGGCAGGCTTTGGTCGCATGGTTCTTCTGTCGTAGACTTACGCTCGAGCGTAGTCTTGATTACATCTTGCCAGATCGTCGGTTCACGACAACGCACTTCTGGGAGAGCGAAGCGAAATTGTCAGAGCGAATAAATAATATCCTGGACGGAGATGATGAGATATTATCGGCTTTCCCCATCGACGAGTTTGTTTACGATCACGGAAATAATGTACAGCACGGACGGTCCGTACAAGTCGTCGACGACACCACTGATGTATGAAGATGGCGATAGGGATGACGATGACAAAGACGAAGGATTGAGCAGACACTTCGAAGAAGTAGATTCGCCGTACAATCGACTCAATCGGAAGCGACGAAGTGCGACCAAGCAAACCACGCCAGACGCTTTGGCATTCTTAAACCGTTACGATGTCGATGTGGACGGCGATGTTATAATGTCTGAGAGGAGTCACCAGGCTTTCAGTGGAAGGAAAGGTGAAGTGGATAATCTTGTCTTCTTGGAAGGGTTCTGATCTTGTTTTTGGGCGACGTCAAGTCCCGTTGGATCTCTTTGCGTTTCTGATAGCCTTGTAACATGTACGATATACTGTAATAAATGTAATTGATTTTTTATTTCCCTGACATTTATGCATCGGAGAACAACGACTTGACTTAGCGTCTTGGCAAAACATGACGTAGCGCGCGTTCCTAGGTACACTTCCACGTCCCAGTCTCTACATTTACCCCGAAACCAATTGCCAACCACACACCAATCGTCAGACCTCATCCAGAACTCTACCACTAATTTCGTTCTCCCCTTAGCAAATCTCCGCGACATCGTCAAAATGCTCGTCCGACCCTTCCCATCCCTCCTCCTCCCCAAACCCCTCGCATCCCTCGCCTCCACCCTCTTCAAAACCACCAAGCCCACCACTTCAGGCACCCAAACCCGCCTTTTCTCCCTCCTCAACCCCAGCGCGCGCTCCCACACAAACCGCATCTTCGACCCGGTCCGCCAACCAAACGACCTACACACGCTCACCATGCTCAACGCCGCCGATAACCGCACACTCATAACGACGTGGAGCGCAAAATGGTGCGCGACTTGCCAAACGATCCGGCCGCTGATTCTGAAGATGATTGAGGAGGAGAAGGTGGGGGAGCGGGAGGGTGGGCTGGGGTATGTGGAGGTGGAGATGGATTCGACGCTGATCGAGGATTTGCCGGTGAAGTTTAGGGTGAGTTGAACCGCCGGGAGGGTAGGGGAGGATGTGCTAACGAGAAGGTAGATTGCGAGTATGCCGACGTTGTTGGCGTTTAGTCGGCAGGAAGCGCAGTTTGACACGAGGTTGACGAAGCCTGAGGATATGAAGAATGAGGAGTTTTTGAGGGAGTGGTTGTTGAATGAGGCGAAGAGAGGAGGGCGGATGGGAGGCGGTGGAGGAGGGATATTTGGTTGGTAGTGCGAGAGCATGCGAAGATTGCTGGTCTGACACGCATCAGGCACGGCGAAGGATGAGACGAAAGAATGAAGTCGAGGTTATGTGATTGCGCAGCTGTAAGTAATCGCTTGGGAATCTATAATGATAGAGCTAATGTTGTGTCTAGTTACGTGACTCAGTCACGATCCTTCGACTTCGTGAACCCTTGCCTGATATCCTGCCGGCCCTCGAGATACGTCTGACCCGCGCTCATTGCTGGCAGTAGGAGCATCACAACACTCAGCGTCTGCCCGAATCCCCATATATTTTCACCTTCGTCCTGAAGTCCACAAAATCTTTTTGGGTCATTCGGTGTTGCGAACTTCTGTGAGAGGACCAATATAGCGGACAGAATGGCAAGAAGTATTTGGACACCGAAAGCGATGAGTGGGTTCAGGAAGAGGTAGTAGAGAATGTGAACGCCAATATGTGCTGGGGCTTTGAAGTCGAGTGGTGGCAGGATGCTTTGCTTCGGGTCCGTAACACGGCGTACAAGAGATGCATTGGATGCGCGGGCCGATATTCCTTTGCGCTTCGGATCCTAGAGAATGCAAACCAGCGCAGTCGAGAAACCTACAAGGATGAGGAAGAGAGGAACAATGAACGAGAGCCTCTGTGCTCGGCTGCGTTTCTTTCGCGTACCGTCGCCGTGGTCGACAATTGTTGGTGGCATGGCGATTGCGGCAGTCATGGACGATAGCAGAAATATGGCAAATAAGATGACAAGGGTGAGACGGATTCTGGCGATGAGCTTGTATCTGCGGAAATACTTGCGAAGAGTGATGAGCGCTGCAAGGTGCGACGATGAAGAGAGCGCGCAGATGTAGAGGATTAAGACAAAGTGAGCGCCCTGTACTTCAATGGCATTCTGTGCGACCTGTGCATGGAATGTCAATTATCTTTCTGAACACATCTGGCTGCGTGTATACCTTGATCCAACCACTGAGCAGCACCGCATAGCCAGTGATGAGTTGCTGATCTCCCAAGCCGATGATTAAAGGATCTAAGAAGGGCCTCCAAGCGTAATCCCTCTTCCACTCCGTGTCCAAGAACCGCTCTCGGAAGTACCTGATCGGCGCTTGGGGTGTGAACTGGCCCTTGGAGTCAAAAGCTTGATCGAGGATCATGGCGAGGACCGACGCTACAGTGGTCATGACACTTGCGAGGACAAAGGAGAGGACGACCTAAGAGCTCGCGATCAGGCAATGTATTTGGAACGAGGACAGACGTACGCACACCTAGACCCGCAATGTCCGGGTCCGCGCCATCGGCACAAGTCCCGTTATACAGTGCAATACTGTCAAACGTAACCCACGGCGGGGCCATGAAATGTCAGGCTTTGGCGGCTTGTATGAGGACGTTCGACTTGCAGGTTCAGTTGCGTGTTCTTTAGGGTGAGGCCGTGATTGTGGCGGCGGGAAGGGCATTTTAGGTCAGCTGTAGGGATGTGTGCATGTAAGATGTCTAGCTTCAGCGGCCGAGATTCGAAGACTGCAGAAGTGATGTCGCGTGGAAAGTTGAGTCACTGGCGTCTTATCGCAAGTGTGGAGGCATCCACGTGGCTGGGTTCTGCAATGGCAGGAGCGGGAGGAAGGCGTAACCGTGGATGCGAATAAAACTAAAATGTTGTCTACCGTCGTCGCATAGTTCTACATACACTACGACAATAGGTATAAAAGTACTTCCAACATTCAATATAGAGCGACTCGGTCTACAGGGTATCATTTACCATCTTACTTTTGCTTGCTCTTCGCCTTGATACGAGCTGCCAGTTTCTTTACATCATCGTCGCCAGCACCACCTAAGTCTTTCTTCGACTTCTTGGTCTCTGGCTCATGCTCCTGCTCGTCATCCGCTCTAACCTGCTTTCGCTTCTTGCGTCCCTCCTCGAGCAGGGCCTTCATGCCCTGTGTCTCCTTGAATCTTGGATTCGTAGGATCAATAGCAAATTCGTGGCTCTCGTAAAGCTTCGCGAAACGTGGGTCGGTGGTGTTAATCTTGAAGTTGTCCTCGACCACTGGTACGTTCTTCTTCGCCTTCTTGCCCTTTTTCTTGGCCTTTTCGGCTTTGGCAATCTCCTTCATGTCGAAGTGACGCAGCTTGGCGTCATCATTGTCAGCCATGAGCAGCTCAAGATTAGCGCGTTCAGCAGCAGTTGCTTCGGCCTCCTGCTCTTCTTCTTCCCGCTTCTTTGCCTTCTTTGACTTCTTCGATTCAGCTTTCTCGGCCTTCTCGGCGCGCTCCATCTCTTCTGGGTCAGACGCGAAGAAGGGGTCGTTGAAGGGGTCTTCTTCGTCACCATTGGTTTCTGCATCGGCAGGCTCCTCGCCTTCGGCATCGGGGTCACGACCTTCCCTCCTGGCCTTCGCTCGCTCCTTTCGCCTAGCCTTCCTCTCCTTTTCTTTACGTACATACTTCTCCATGGTCGTTTCGTGGATGGGGATTTCATTCTCGAACACTGAGCCCTTGCTCTCGTTGTTCAACAAGCCACCCGTGAAAGTGATTTCCATCTCTCCATCAGGCTTGGGGAAGTCGCGATCCCGCTTAGCCGAAGCCTTTTGCTTTGGCTTAGACGATTTGCCTGGAGCCTCCAGACCTAGCGCAGCACGCAATTTGCTTGCCTTGTCCGCTTTTGCGATCTCCTCCTCATCTTCTGACGATGATGAGTCCGATCCAAGGTATGCTTTCAGCTCATTCTCATCGATGTCCTTCCGAGAAAAGGCTCGCTTCTGCACTTCTTTCCGCGTGGTGTCATCGGCGTCCCAGGTCAATTTGACCTTGGAGTGTGTGAGCGCGTCTGTGCTGAATTCGTTCGGCTTATAACCGTCAGGTAATTTGTCGCATTCGTCATGGGGGTCTTGGTCGAAGGTGGTACCGTCTGGCACAAATCGGAGATCGAAGAAGTTTGCACTCGTCAAATATTCTCGTCCATCGAGGTTGTCGTATATCGACTTGGCCACATTCGCAGAAGAGCATGTGATGACCGCGTAGTAGTATCGCAGACGATCTAGCTGGTAGCTGCGTAATGCTGTCGAGTCAAACTCCTCGCCAGTCTCCTCTTTCCCCAGCTCGATCTTAGATTCCTCTTCGTTTTCAGAATCAGAATGTTCCTCCTCCTCCTCCAATGCGATGAGGTCGTCCTTGCTCTTGCTCGACGATGCAAAGATCTCGCGTGGCGGGCCCTCGATCTCTTCGCGCTGCAGTCTCTCCATGCCAAATTCGCTGGGGTAGATGACGACATTCAGTATGCGACCGCCCGGTGGTACGAACGAATTCGCTACGCCCATAATGTCAATCGCTCTCATGTTGTCCCAGTCCATATTCACAGCTGCCAAGCGGGATGAAATATCACCAGTCGGCACCGCGTTGTCGTCGCCAGCCAGCTCTGTCTCGTCCTCGATTTCGTCCTCTTCTTCGCCATCGGAACTCTCGTCCGATGACGACTCTAGCCCACCGTCACGTATAGGGTCGAATCCTTGCTTTTGCACCCTTGCCAATTCTTTGGCAACAGCTTTGTCGCGTTTGCTGTTAGACGGCTGTAGCTCTTCCTCTTCATCATCCTCGTCCTCATCTGCGCTCTCTACCTCGTATAACCGGTCTATAGCCTTCTTTCCTTCTTCTTTCGAGATCTTGCGCCCATATTTATCTACCGTCGCTTTGTTGTAGAAGTCGGGATCACTTCGGACTCGCGCAAAACGAGGGTCAAGCTTGGTCTTTGCATGCTTCTTGGACGGCAGTCGAAACTTTGGGTCGTTTTGGAAATTCGCGAATCGATCGTCGCCTATGATCTCTCGTTAGCGCATGACTAGAGACACCTAAAGGTAAGTTCAGTACTTACTGGCTGCAGCTGTAGAGGCAGCACCCTTCACGGGGATCGTTTGGCGCTTTGGAAGAGGCATTGTGGTTTGCGACGTTGTGCAGTGGACTTGAAGGAAGCTTGAGAGTGCGCATAACTTTTCTGCCAGGGCGGTGGGCTATCGGCCAGCGATGACGTTGATTAGTCAGTTTCTCGGAGGTCCTTAGCTCCGTGATCGACAGCTAGGGAACTTACAGCTAAATCGGGGCAGGCGCGTCATCACCACGAGGGGAATCTCCTCACACGACAAGCCTCGGAAGAGGTTTGCTCTCTAAATCTTCTCTAGCGACCCAGTGATACCCCAATTGCTTACTCCCCGTGTCCTTGACCCTATTCACATTGACCACACATCCTTCACAGCGCAAAAATGGCATATTCGAGACTTTTGACGTACGTGCTCACGGTTGGAGCTAAATCCTTTCTCCATATACCCGAAATATGTGCTGACAGCCATTCAATACAGTCCTCGAAACATTGGTCTACTCTCGATTTTTTCTTTGGGAGGTGGCTACTTCATGGTCAAATCACGAAGCCTTGCTGAGAAGCAGAGGGTTCGTGCTGAGGGAGACTACTCTGTGGCAGTGCATAGATCCGGTAAGCTATAGCATTCCCATATCTCATTCCTGCAGTGATATCCACAGCGCATCACTCTTACTCGTCCATTGTCTGCGCCTGCACGGCCCCGTTCTAGAGGTTGGTCATGCTAACGGTCATCCGTAGGTGGTGGTATTTGAGCCACGCGTCATGACGACCTTACGACCTCGGCCGTTCTCTCAACCTGTACTTCTAATCACTATCTGAGCGTCTGATATGTCTTTGCAATACGTCTGCCACTCATTAATTTTAGGCGTTGGCGTGTCTCAGCCCTAGCTACTACGGCTTTTACGATCCTTGGGAATATTGCAACTCAGCTTTGAAGCTTGTACAACATCATGTATTGAACTCGACTGTGTTATAACCAAGTGTAGTCGCGCGTGCTCGGTACGAATGATGTCTGCTATACTCTTTAGGCCTCGATTCAAGCACAAAGACGGGCTCCCGCCGCTATTGTTTCAGTAACACCAAACGCGCGGTGCAAGTCTCTTAAGTGGATGTTGGCTTGCTCACTCCATCAGCCGCAGCAAACGTTTTCCGGGCTGAAGGAGTGGCCCATGTACCGCTTCTGCATATTGATGCTAAGAATAGCCGGCTCAGCCTCACTGGCATGGACCCAGTCAGCGGCCCACCCGAGCCACCACACGGGGAACACGATATGATTTGACCTCGATGCCAGCAAAACACGCGGATAACGCGATCCTGGCATTACGCGAGAAGCCTCGATACTATTTACAGCATGTTCCCCATGGTTACACATCAGCGCATCGAACTCTTGTCATCCCCAGCTCTTCTACCCTCCAATTAGCGTGCCCACTCGCGACATCACTCGGAATGATGCATAACAGCGCCCGTGGAGAGGCCGCTCAGCCATACGGAAGTGCTGACCTGGAAACATGCTAGGCTCATGTTCCGAGATGCCGGGGCCGAGGCGGGTCTTGTACCTTCCTGAGATATCAGTGTCACGGTCGCTTACTCCCTACCGGCAAGCTTTGCGCAGATCAATGGAATTCTTTGCACGAGAGCTCCTCTTGTCAAAGTCCTCAAACTATTTATGATATCGCCGCATATTCGACACGATCAAATCCTTACACCATGGGGAGCAAGATGGGATACTACAACGTAGACGGGTTCATCAAGCAGAAGGGGCAAGACAAGGTGGTCAAGATGCCCCCAACGACAAATCTCTTGGCTGCTGCAGACCATATTCGGAAGCTTTTCGAAGGGAAAAAGTTCGGCTATGCTTTCATGGGAGGACTGGAGATGCTATGTCTTGGACATCGACGCGAATCGCCGGATCTACAGATCGCCTACGACGACAAAGACTTCCACAAGATGAAGTCCAAGCTGGAGTCAGACCAACGGTATATTGACTGAATGCTCATAGTGCAACATCTGGCTAACCAGCGTAGCATTCGACTGCCAGAGGGCATGAATTCACTGTTCCCCGCGAAGGTTCTCATTCGCACTGGCCCAGCGTACAAAGGCGAGGGCTGCACACACTCGGCAGACGTAGAGGTAGACCTTGTGCCACCGGGTCAGTCTTGCTTGTTGTAACCATATACGCAGCAACATCTGACTTGACTCAGGCTCTCACGGAACGCCATCGAACGGCAGCCTCGCTCGTAACACTGTCCTTCTGAGTCTGAAGAATGAAGGAAAGCTTAGAAGTTACAAGGGACTCAACATGCTCTATTTGGTCAAGACTCTGGTGCATTATTGCAGAGTGCGGGACTTAGCTTGGGATCCAAATAAGGACCTTCTCTTCTTATGCCAACACTATTCTGAGCAGGTTCAGTCGATCCGGACCCAGCTTGATCAGAAGGCCATGCAGCAGAACTTCCTAGCAGCACCGTTCTTCGCACAATTACCAACAGAGGACCAGTGGAGGTGCTATCTGGTGTTACTGGGCACTGAACCGCCACCAACCATGGCAATCACGCCGCCACCACCGCTCTTTAGTCACAAACACTCCGCCTCTGATCCGGACCCATCATTGAGGCCTCGGCTCTCCTCGCATCAGTCATCGCCATCGCTCAACGCACATATTCCTGGAGGACTCTTGAGTCCTCCTCTACCTGGTAAGCCAAGATCGGTGTCTTCGCATCTGTCCGTGGGTGGGTCGCAGGCTTCAGAAGTGTCAACTTCCCCGAATGCACGAGTTCAAAAGCCGTCAGAGCTTTCTGCTGCGACGAGAGAGTCGAGGTCACGATACCGCCAGGTCAGTGCGCCTAATACCAGAAAAGTCAGTCCAGTAGAGGTTCAGAATATGGCCCCCATGATGGGTCATGTTAGGCAGCGCTCTCAGCCACCACCAATGTCTGCGCATCGACTTTCTCCAAACGCACTTCCAATGAACCATCTTCAACCACCCTCTCGACACCAAGATTTTGTCCCTGGGCATCCCAGGGAATTCATATACAACCACAGCACTGGGATTTCTGGTCCTGTTCCGCCATACGCCTTCGCCCAAACACCTGCACTTCATCAGTCCGGATTCGGACCGCAACAGTATCAGCATTACATGAATGCTATTGAGATATCTGTCAAGCCAATCATTGGAAACCCCGGCCAGCAACATTTGAAATCACAACTCGGAGTAGTAGGCAATATGCTATCACCACAGAACCAGATCAGCAATCTCCCCATCACACCACGTCCCATCCCTCCACCAGCGCGCCCTCCGCACAAGGATGAAAAAGCCGAGTTACCAGGGGCACATACGAGTCCGACACCAAAGAGCCACTTCTACATAGCCAACCCCAACAAAGAAGACCTTACGCCTTCGGTCAGTGCACAGAAAGTTCAGCATCAACCGCCAGCAGCAGAACCTGACACCGTCTCTCTACTCGGCCATTTCATCGCTGAGCTCTCTGCAGAAAACACCACTACCAAACTCACAGCACACATCGAGCATCATCCTCCAGCCACGCCTCCAGAGCCCCTCCTACCTCAGGATGACATATCCATCCGGCCCCTGAATCCTCGCGCGCCAAGTGCCATGTTACCGACAAGCTTAATCGCAGGTGGCGCAAGTCTACATCAACGAACCACGAGTACTTCTTCAGTTGCGGGAGCCGCAGCGCCGGTAGTTAATGCGTCGAGATATACGAGGTATTACGCTACACCTCCGGAGTCGCCGCCATCCACGTACAAGGCTTATCAACCGGGTGTTCCGCCGCCTTTATCTCCGCCGGGAGATACAACGAAGGTGTTTGAGCGAAGCACAGAAGTCAGGGGTGGGGAAGGGTATTTTGGAGAAGAGGTTCGTGTGGGCGAGGGAAGCGGGGATAGTAGGGCGCTGGCGATGGAGTATCAGCAGGAAATCATTGGACTGGAACAAGCATATACTGCGGGCAAGTAATCCAATCATCCGACTGCCAATTTATTAGCTATGCGAGTATCGCATCGTATCGTGCGTTTCCCACACCCAATATACAGTGAGAATAAGTCCTCGTGATACAGTTCAGAATGCTTTTTCCTCACAAAAAGCACTGCCAAAAAAAGTCGGCTACCTCCAGGATCCCTCAAGTTTATTGCAATAGAGAGTCCAGTCGAGCTCGAAATCATGCGTCTCGGGACGGACGTGCATATGAGTATCTCCCAAGTTCAGAAGAAACGCTAGTACTCTTCGCTCCCAGAATCGAACCAGGGACCTGCGCCTTGTAAAACGCAAGGTGTAGATAGTAGACGAGAAGAATACTTCAAGCAAGGAGATGCAAGCCTAGCGAGCAAGAGAAATATTCAACTGCTAGCGACAGGGTATCAGCGTGAGTTAGTTGCGTTTACAGTATTGAACTAGGCCTTCTCAAGTCTGTTTCTTCGCGCAGGGCTCAGTTTTTTTTTCTCCTCCTGTAAAGCATGTCAATGAATACCTTTTCGCATTCTGCATAGCATCTATTCCCCACATCGCAAGAAATGCAACATACTCTGTCTGATGTTGCAGAAAAAAAGCGCGATTTAGCAGCTATAGTAAATTTCGGGTGCAGAATTACACATCCTGCCTGTGTGTAGACAGCTGTACTTCAGTCCGTCTTGAGAAAAATTAAAAGACTGCGTGGAGGTATTCGCAGCTTTCTCTAACTTTTCTCTCTTTATTCTTAAACTATTGTCGCAGTCTAGCAGTACTAGTTACTCCTCACTCCTTCTGCCACTTGAGAGAAACGTCTACTATTGATATTCCACATACCGCTCATCACCAAATTCGACCAAAAAAATACCCCCTACGATGCATTTCGGCCAGCCAGAGAACGCCAATCAACCCAGCAAAAAAGATGGTTGTTTTCTCCGCTCCCAGAATCGAACTAGGGACCTTTCGATTACAAAGTAACATTACAGTCGAACGTGATAAAGAGGTGAAGGATCGCTTGAGGGAAGATGGTGAGTACATCGCGGCTGAGAAAGCCCACGCTGCGCTCTTGGACGAGGCCAGCGCTAAGCTTGCCGAGCTGCAGGAAGCTGGCATGATTTCTGGCAGGACCATTATCCCCGCTGGCTACTCCGCTCACAAAGGCGCGAAGATTACCGAACTTCTCATGCAGTCTGGAGAGAATGAGCTGGTAGAAAAGATACGCGATGGTCTTAAGCAGCGCACGCTTCTTCTCAAGCGTATTCGTCACCGGCTGCAGATTGAGATACGTGAACGCAAGAGCAAAGAGCACCGCGCTCTTCTCATTCCATACACAGTACCGATAGAGATGATGATAATGAAACTCTGATTTGAGTAATTCTTTGCAGGTCGTTGAGGCTTAATTTAATGTTGTTTTACACATGCGACACGAATTGGATGAATTTGCTTAGCCATGACATCGAACATCGATCACTGGCTACTCATCAATCACACAAATCTACTTACTTGCCATGGCCCTTTCTTGCATACATTTGCGCTTCATGGGTACAGCCACGACGAGTCCGAGTGGCTGAACCATTGACGATGAACCAAACGGCCAAGTCTTCCGTGCCATTGCGAGAGTTTTTTCTTACATATTTGCGCTTCCTGGGTACAGCCACAACGAGTCCGTTTGGCTGATTGATTGACGAATAATCAAGGAGGCATGTCTTGCGTATCATTGCGAGGATCTCAAAGACTTTTTTTTTTGGTACAGCTTAGTCAGAGCCTTTGGGGCTCGGGCTGGCGGATCCGGATGCTCATTTCATTCCCAATAATTATTATGTTACCTATTTCCTTATTCTCCAATCAATAAAAGTCTTTATTCTATCCTTGTCTCCACATCCACAACTGACATCGAATACTTCAAGCGTGAATCTTTCTCACAGCTGTGCGAATATCGTGCATTGCTTTTCTTACCTTAGGGTTAGCGAGCGTAAGTAGAAATACCCATTCTATCAATCTTTTAATTTTCACCAGCCGCTCATATTCGCAGTGGCTGTAGACGGAGTCAGATATATTTCGAATCTACATATTTACCTTTAACCACTTGTCTACACAACAGCCACGCAGCTATACCTCAGGCTGCACAATATTCGCACTTGTTCTATGATAAATCATATTCTGACGAATCGAAGCCAACGTGGTCACGGCTTCCCGCCATAGCATAGGTGGATGGCTGGCTAAGTCAAAATTCCTTGAATTAAAGTGCCTTCTGGCGTCATCGTAATGTCTGTAATGATTACACATTATCCTCAATACGAGGTCTACATAGCTTTCTATATTCGCCATCTTGACGTTCTTCACTTTCTCCCTCCTGCTTTTACCCGAGTTTCGAAAACCTGTAGCCAGCCTCTGACGGAAGCTATGGCTGCGAGCCAACGTAGTGGAGCGGGCCAGACTTCCACTGTCAACTTTCCATACAGCCATATACATGTGGACTAGGCTGCTCGGCAAAGGAGCACGACATAATCACTCGGACATCTGGCATGATATATAATGCGTCGAAACACTTCGCGTACCGCCATGATGACGATGTACGGCTGTTGCGTCATGAAGCAAAGCATGATCAGCCAGATGTCCGGCGTGAAAATGTCACTTCTTAGACTATCATCTACCGCCATGACCCTAACGTACGGCTGTTACAACATGAAGCGAAGCATGATCCATCGGATGTCCGGCGGGAATAATAACACATCTTAACCTATCATTCACCGCCATGATCACAATGCGCGGCTGTTGAACCACCTGCGAGATCAAGACATTGACATCACCCATCAGACGTATTGCATGAATGATGAGTCGTCCATCTATGATGCGCAGCCATGATCCGAACGTATGGCTGTTGAATCACTTGCGAGATCAAAGACAGCGACATGATCTATCAGATATATGGCGTGAATGATGAGTCGTCCATCTATCATGCGCAGCCATGATCCCAGCGTGCGGCTGTTTTAAGTAATAAACTAAAGGAATCACACAACCTCTATGATAATTCTCAGTTTGTGCTTTACAGCCATCATCCCGGCTCATGGCGGGTCACGGTGTGAATAATGACGGTTCTCAACCTACCATATACCGCCATGATCACAAGTTACGGCTGTTGGGAAACGAATTAAAGGAATCACATGATCTTCATAATAATTTTCAAGTTGTAATTTACAGCCATGGTCCCGGCTCATGGCGGTTGACGCACGAAACTTAGCACGCATGGACTTTCATACCAGCATGTCTGAACGTGAATTACATTGACTAAGTATCAGCCACGAACTATTGAGACGGCTGTCATGCTACCAACAGTATCGTACTCGTCTAACATACCATGTCTCTACCGCATCACACTATACAGCCATATCTTGGCCTCCCGGCTGTTCCTCTCGAAGCATATTCCATGTCGACAAAGGCTAGTACATTCTCGTATACCTCAGAAGCACTATCCAATGCAGCCGTAGATGAAGGCGATGGCTTTTCTTACGGTGACACAGCAGACTGCAACCCGAGCTTCAGCTTCTTAAATTGGCGTTCAATGGACATAGGCGTACCGCCACGACCCAATCTATTGGCTGTCAGAGCCAGAGAACAGTACAAAATCTTGGCTCGTGCTTTGTCTTTTCTCACTCATGCCGACAGAGGGCCACAGCCGCACTATCATCTTATGGCTGTTCATCTAGCAGTACAATACATTCTTGCTGACCCTTGATTATTCCTCACTATGGCAAGGTGATTTTCTTGCACAGCCATTCATGAGTAAGATAGCTGACAATTTAGCAATTACTCTTGCTCTCTCTGACGTAGTGCACAATTGCTGGGTTGCAGTGCACAGCCGCTCAGGTTATCAACCGCTGTAGTATCAGTGTGTAGATGGAAATTTGTGCCGTGTAGCATGAAGTCTCCAGCTTACATGCATTCGATGAAATGCTAGTCGCGTAAAGCCATGCATTTAACACTTGGTTGTCCATATCCGTACCCGGCTCGTAAGCATCTTTTTGAATACCCTTGGTTTAATGCAGAAGTAAGTTTTTCTTTGAATGGTTATGGACCACAAAATTACCAAGAGTCGTATTTGTTTACTCTAGACACACGTGCTGTGCAGCCGCTGTGACCGTCGTAGGCTGTAACATAGAGAGCTAATCTCAACCACTAGTACGCCACGAACTCACACCGCAAATTCAAGTGCGTCTGTTCACAGCCGCCGTCTAACCGTGTGGCTGGTAATTCTCGGGGTAAATCAGACAACAGAGTGCAATGCCACAATCTCCATTCGGTTTCTTTTTGTTGCATCGACGCAATCAATAGCCCTGCTCAGCCGGAGCAACATTGCTTGGCTGCGTCTGCTACATGCTGTAAATGAAAAAGATTGATCTACATTGTATATGCACATGCATGAAGTACCACGATACAGCCAGGTTCGCACTGCATGGCTTTTTTTGCATTGACGCAGCCAAAAGCTATGCACGGCCGGAGCAACTTTACTTGGCTGCGTCTGCTGCATGCTGGAAACGAAAAAATACAACCTACGTTGTATATAAACATTCGTGAAATCTCCCAATGCAGCCAAGTTTGCACTGCATGGCTGCAGTTCGTTGATCGGGTGTCCCAAGGATGTTTGCGTAGTGTTTGGTCAACCATTCGCAAGTAACAGATCTGCAGCCAATAGATCAGGCCTACGGCTGCAACTTGTTCAAGCACTTCATATTGACTCATACACATACTTCCAGACCTGCACTCTTAGTTAGGGCAGGTACAGCCACGGTAGCATTGGATGGCTGTAACTCTGAAAAGGCGAGTGCTCTAGCTTTTCAGTGAATTGCCCATCAACGCCGCCAGTAAACTGCTACATGGCTGTGAGTTCATCAACACAATGAACTGGTAGTCCTGGTGTCTGGCTATCAACATCAGTGGAATGGCAATCCTGATGTCTTATTGGTACACACTCTTTGCGACTGGGCAGAATCAGGACACCGCCACAACATGATTTCAGGGCGGTGATATGGGGTGGGACTTGGATCTCACCATGGCAAGAATATCTATGTTCTTTTGGGACCTCATTCTGGGTAACGTAGAGCACAGCCATGATATACTTGGACGGCTGTTACCTCAAATGCGGTAGTCGGATGAGTATATGTCGTAGCATGGTTATAGCTTCACTTTACACGACTGGTTACAGCCATGAAAAACTGAGTATGGCTGGGAAAACGCTGAGCTGTTCAGGTTCTGAGCAAGAGGGCCCAGAATGGTTCATATGGAATGCAGTCGGTCTGACAGCCATGCTTTGAGTCCAAGGCTGCCAACCCAACTTGTAGTACGTCATAACTTCATGGCATATATCTGGTTTGCGTATCGCAAGTGGTTTAGTGTACCGCCATAGGCCCAATATGATGGCTGCGAAACGACCAATGAATATTCGATGATTGCCGTTATTACCAGGACAAGCTGTCTGTGAAATCATGCATACCGCTCGTCGAACAGCCATACCATCGTAGCATGGCTGCTCCATGTACTTCCAGGCTCTGAAAAGGGTTCCATTCTTCTTTGCTCTCGCAAGATAAGTCCGACATGAAAATCCAGCTTCATACTGAGCAGCAGTACACTAACAGCCAATACGTATGTGCTTGGCTGCTTCGCCACCTCGGTGTCGTGCCATGTAACTTTACTATGGGTTCAAATATTCAGACCCTAAAATGATCTTCTGCAATCTCACCTCGTCTGTCACATGCCATCAACACACCTCGACCCGTTACTCTCACTTCCACGCACAAGGCTGGACTCAAACAGCCATTATGAGGGAGCATGGCTGCTCCATCAGCAAGTACCGGCATTCACATATTCACTTTTTTCATCATTCCCCCAAAATGACTTCCGACCGTTGGACATTGGAGCAGTCTCATTACAGCCACACCTTTGTTGGAACAGCTGTTTCGCCCTGTCAGTACACCAACTTTCTTACGTCTTGAAATTGTCTTTTCTCTTTTGAAAATCGACGGAGAGCTGGCTCACAGCCGGTTGACATAATTGTGGCTGCTTGCGGATCAAAAAATGAGTTCGAGCTTCCAAGGTTTTTCTCATCTTATCGTATATGTTAACAATACAGAACCAATTATCATCCGAGGCACAGCCAGCATACACAATCATGGCGGTAATCCAAAGTTGGGCTCAGCTAGCGAGGACAACGTTGGCGGGACATGTTCGTGTAGCAACACTTCATGCAAGAAGTATGGGGCATCATTTGATAGACTTCCAGCGAACTTGGCACAGCCAGTGGGCCACCTTATTGGCGGGGTCACTGCGATATTAAGTCGCCCAGAAAATTTTGGGCTGAGAATCTAACGACTTGACCACAGCTAGTGAACGTCTCATTGGCGGGGTTATAGGACATGTATCTGGCAAGAAGAAATTAGGTTGAGAACGTGATGGATCATGAACCGCCACTACTCGTCTGACTGGCGGGCTTATCGCGACACAAATCCATCAGCAAAAATTCGGGCTAAGAATGTAACAACTTAGCCACAGCCAATGAACGTCTCATTGGCAGTGTTATTAGGACATAAATCTGACAAGAAGAAACCGGACTGAGAACGTTATAAAACGTGAACAGCCAGTTAATCGTGTGACTGGCGGAACTGCACAGCGACACAAATTCTTCATGAAAAATTTAGCTAGAGAGAATATACATATTTGAAATGCGCGCAGCCAGTAATGTGGGCACTGGCGGGGTTACGGCGATGTAAAATTAGTAAGAAGAAATGAGGTTAGGAGAAAAGATGACTTGTGCGCAGCCAGTGATTAAGTAACTAGCGGGGCCGCTGTGATGCCAAATCACGAAGAAGAATTTAGTCAGAGGGAATATATGAGAGGTGCGCAGCCAGTGAGGTAAGTACTGGCGGGTTTAAGGCGGTGTGAAATCAGTAGGAAGAAATGAAGTTAAGAGAAAGGATAACTTCTGCGCAGCCACGAGCCAGCTCGCTGGCAGGATGAGACATGCACACATCTGGAGTAGGTATGCAATCCACGATGATGAAGATATTACGATGTCAGCCAGAAGTCGTATTGATGGCGGTACACGCGATGTTGAAATAGCACATTGGCATTCAGAGCACATTTAATTTATTATCATTTAGCACATGCTAGCACTAAGCAAAAAGATAGAAACATATGTAACCAGCTACACACGGTATTGGTGGCTGCCTAGTGTTTTATTGAAAAGACAATGTACTCTTAATAGTGGGTACAATATTTAATACTTGTCGAGGTTGTCAGAAGGCATCACATCTGAATCTACATATTAAGTAATAGCATACTTTTGATACTACGAAACTAGCGAAGATATAATTAGCTTTCTAGGTACTAAGAAGCAAGAAGTAATCTTGTCTGTAAGCATAGATTAGAATAGAAAAGTGCTGAAAAAAGTGCAAAAAAAATGGCCCTAGTTTGTGCTGAAAGAACGTCCTAAAAAAACACCGAAAAAAAAACCCGCCGGAAAAAGGGGCACAAAGAAGACGAGCAAAAAAATATCTCCGCTTCCAGAATCGAACTAGAGACCTTTCGATTACAAAGTAAGATTACAGTCGAACGTGATAACTTTTGTTAAATTAGACACTGATTAAATTTGAGTGTTGAACACCGAAACTTACACCAACTACACCAAGCGGAGGAGACTCGTCGAAAGACGAGGCTTGAGTTAATTAATAATGCTCTGAAGATTTAAAACATATATATTGCTTATGCTTTTTGATAATTGGATAAATTGATCTTGGAGAGCGCTCGAACCCGACTAGAGGATGTGTTTTTTGCTTAGTGCGGCATAAAGAGGGGACGGTCGCTCTAGGTTGCAAATTTTTTGTTGTTACATTTGTACCGAGGGGCAGACAAACGGCTGCATATCAATCTCCGCTTCGCTTGAATGCCCCCCAGATTTGCGAACAACATTCCCAGCATACTGGAATACAATCAATTGGTACAGAACCTACCTTACGAGTCGTTAGAAACTGTCGATCTTTTTTTTCATCGTCCTCAACATACTTTTTATTCCTACCTGGAGACGGCCACCGATTAAGGTGCAACTGGGGTCATTGGTAAATGCCAATACCATTATACTTATTGTTGCGCCACCTCAGTTCTGAAGGCGGGGAAAGCCCATAACCATGGTGTTCGGTACACTTAGTTTCGCTCGAGCAATTCAGTAAAGGTGAATGTCACGTTCAGCATATCTGCAGTAGGAAGCCATGCACAGAAAGTGATTTTGACAAAACTTTTTGGTTTCCTCAATCAGTGCGACTATGAATCACGCAGATTCTGCGAAGTGCCAAGTTGCACAGAACATGACATCTCCTCATACATTGTTGCCTTGTAACTTCACATAGCTTTCGTGCGCCGCAATCCGAATCGACTCTTGCGGTCAGTCATATCGGAGTAAGCGCCTTTTCCACCGTCCTCGTCCTCGTCCTCATCGTCACGCTTGCGCTTCGCTCGTTTCGCACTATCCACATCCATCAACTCTCCTCCATCTTCGCCATCATCTCCATCACTACCGTCGTTGCCATCCCCACCATCGCTGTCTTCGTTGTCATGCTCGTCGGTAGCTTCGTCGTCCGTAAAGTCCTCCACCTCACCCAACTCTTCCTCATCTTGCTCCATGTCTGGGATAGACGCAAGACCGACATTAGTAGCTGGCGCAGGTCCAGCATTGATGGTCCGAACAACTCTACTCGTGCGAAGTTTGGTTCCATCGGGCAGAGTCCTACCGAGCTGCTTGCCTTTTGACACGTATCCGGGTCGCAAGAACTCGCAAGACAGTATCAGTATGTTCAGAGACATACGCCGCTCATCGGTACCTTGTTCTGAAAGATGTGCCATCGCCTTGATGGTGTTGATGTGAGGATGGTGTTGATATTTGATGCGGGTTGCGAAGTCCATCAACTTACCAAAGACAGAATACGTAGGGTGCTCAGAAACACTGACAGGGTCGATGTCTCCCCCGCTTGGGAAGGTCTCCAGAAAGAATTGCTCCAACAGCCACAGTAGATCACTGGGATTTGCAGGCAAATCAGATTGGACCTTTGGAACGAACTTGGGCATGGTCTTATCTGTAAGCAGAGATGCCGGTGGGAAGGGTAGCCCGAAGCGACTGGAGTATCCGTCGAAGAATGAGAGCGGTATATAGCCCCCAGTAGCCTCAACGGTCTTCAGTTTGTGTGCTGAGATGATCTCATCCGCGAAGAATAATCCGGTCCTGTCTTCCCAATGTTCCAAGAAGTCATACGCTTCCTCATAATGCCTGACGCTCATAGAGACCAGTATGGTAGACACTGGTAGAGTGATCGACTTTTGACTCCCTGATGCTAATGGTGATCGCAAGCCCAGAGATTTGCCGTCAGCATCACGGATATCTATGCCTCCAGAGACACTAAGAAGTCAGTACTGGTATGAAACCTAGTCAGAACTAAGGTTGGAACTTACAAGAATATGAAGTGCTTGATATTCTTCTTCGGTATGACATCCTTGGTAAGTGGAAGGGGCCCAATTTTCTGGGTCTTGCCATCTTCTTCCTTCCAAGTCAACGTGTAGAGTTCGTGGGAACGTTCGAAGGTAGCGTCCTTGCCAACAGCAACTTCCCAGCCACCAATCCCTTCTGCTGACTGATCAGAGGAAGCTTCGGCATATCGCAGCTTGCGCTTAGCACGGATAGACTTTGTTGCTAAGATCCCGGTTGGAATCTTCAGCTCCGGTGCCCTTCTGCGCTTTGCCTGTCCTTCACCATAAGCCCGGTGACAATCATCGTATTCTTTGCGAGCAGCTGCAAGGGCTTTTCCAAATACTGTGCTTGGTCCAGCGACAGCGTTGACGTTTTCAATGATCATGTTTGCATACACCTCGCGATTTGTGGGCATGCCTGCTTCCGCGATACGCAATGCTGCTGACATCGCGCACCAAGCAACTGCAGATGTAAGGACGAAGACACGGGTTGCCTTCTCCTTGACTATACCGGCTCGGCTCAGGAACCCGGGATGCAGTGATGGGATCAGGACAGTGGCGGTTTCGGGATCATGGTTCGAGTCCTTGCCATCAAAGTAAGTCAAGAGCAGCTGGCCGCTCTCAGCCGCACGGCCATGATTGTAGCCCATCCTGGCCCATGATCCAAAGTCGCTGGCTGTGAAGTCTCGGAATGACACCAGGCCTGCATATATTTGCTAATAATGTTAGCTACCGATGCGCAATAAAGTAGTCAATCAGATGTAAGGACTTACACGTTCGCCATATGCAAGAGCGATCATTGGCTTGGCAACGTTCATGTACCGCCTAAGAAGGTCCGACGCTTTCAGAAAGTCCTTTTCGCTCTTCCTGAACCACGGGAACAGATCTACCAGTGGAAAGTGACCATTGCCAGCGAGCATCCTAGTCGCGTTAGGATTGACTGACTCTAACGCTGTAGGACCCTCCCAACTAGCGAAAAAGTTGTAGATGCGGGTAACAGCATCAGCAGACCTGCCGCCTGCAATCCAAAAAGTATCTTCCGCACTCTCGTGGTCTTCACCTAGGTCTGAGCCTATGGTGACCATGATTGCTGAACCATTGTTCAGGACCGATGGCATGCATTGCCGAAGAATCATAGACTCAGTCTGTTCGGTGAAATGACCTGACCCTGTTGTGCTAGGGTTCTTGCCTACGTATTTGGATATAGCCCGTGGGTACTCTGCAAGAGAAGTTCTCTCCATGGCGTTTGACTCCCGGGTCCCGGTTCTAAGGAGACGCACTGTATTTGTGCGCAAGCGATCGAAGTTATCACGATCTTCCTTGTACAAGGTGATCACATCCTTGCCTCCGGCCTGGGTATTGAGAGCACCGTCTCCAAAAAGGGCGATCAGAATTTGCTCTCGCAGATCTGAAATTTCGGTGGATGCTTGTGTTAGGGCAGCAGAGACTGTGTGCACCTTAGCACTAGTAAGTACTTTGACACCCTGAGCCGTCTGTCCAAGGACTCTCAAAAGTCGACCAAGGAATGTCTGCAGCTGATTGTACATGTCGCCGCGATGTCGCTCCCAAGGACTGCCTGTGGTTTGGCCACAGTATCGCAATGTGTACACTGTGCCGTCTTCTGCGGCTCCTTCTTCAGAGATACGGTTCTGCCAGTAGTGAATTCGATCGTGTGTGCCATACCCATCCTCTAACATATTGTCCAGAGTCTGTTGTAGAAGCGCTACGGGGACCTGGAAAGTGCGGATGTAGAGAAGGTTCGACTTTGCTCCAGTGTTTGAGGTATCTGCAGTCCACTCATCGAGAGCGATGAGGCTCTCGAGCATATCTGAAGTAAACAGCAGTGGATCTTCCAGGAGGAGTCGCCATGCGGGCTCTTCTTTATGCCTGGAGTAAGGTCAGTATCAAAGATGCGGCGGTATGAAGGTGGACTCACTCTCGCGGGATACACCATGACATGTTGGTTACATTCAGTGGTGGATGATGTACATCATGGACTTGGAGACGGTGTTTCACCAAGTCTATGACGGCCTGTTGCAACTTGTCGATGGTTTCTAGACGTGACCGCATGAATGCCAGGGTCAATGACTTGTGTCCAAGGGCAGGCTTCAATGCCTCAAAAGTCTGAGGATTGTAAAGGACATCACCGTTATCCCTATCGCTTGCCGTACGTCGGACTTTGTCCAAAAGCTCCTGGGCCTGACTATGATCGCGATCGGTGAACGCACGACGAGCCATGATGGCGGTGACTTCGTTTCGATTGATGAGAATGAAGGTGTCTGAGATGTCACTCAAGATTAGCATGACAAGCGCGTAATGACGTGAGGATGGGAAATGATACCTCAAGTTGTAGGAGCTGCGCGGACGACAAGTACGCCGCAACACAATCAAGGTATCGGGCTAACGTGATAGGGCGCCGCTCACAGGCTGTAGAGGAACTGATGATGGTTCACTGATTGTAGGAAGCCATCGTGGCAGAGGGACAGGCCGCAGTGGGGTTGCAGGGAGAGGTTTTGGGAAAGAGGAGAGGAAGGCGAGAAAAAGGCGTGATAAAAGAGTTGCGACTATCGCACAATCGATTTGTGCGCACCGATAGCGGAACCTTCTAGGGCCGGCGGTGAAAGGCGGGAGCATGCAGAACGGAGCAGACAAACAGGAACAAACACATACTTTGCCCCAATCAGCTTCTTACGAACAACGCGAACGCAAATACCGCTAGCTAGGATCAATTTCACCTTGCGGATGTGAGAAAGAGAACAATTCTAATGGTATGGGTAAAGCTGCAGACATCGACAAGTCTAATGTACATTTGGCTACTGAGTAGCTTCAATAGTGCTGTCTACAGAACCGCTGAAATGGAACAAATGGAAAAAGTTGTCTAGGTGTTCGCCTTGAGGAAGATCGACCAGCCGCCCAATTGCTATGCTATGCAGCCAAGCGCGCGCATCTAAAAGTTCATCAAATCTGCGGAAAGTTAGCAAAAGGCCTCCGTGGCTTGTCAAGGGTAGTGTAAACTCACCACGTCCAAAGAGCGCCCGTTTTGTCCAATCCATGGCCAAAAGCGCCCTCGTCCTGAAACTCACGCTCTGCGCGAAATACACTCCTCGCCAGAGATACACCGCCAACAGCCCTCCACTAAGTCCATACCCATTGTAGTCAAAAATTGCCGCGTTGCCTACATATGCCAAACTACCGAGATGATGGTACTCAAATGCCTTGTAAACCGCGTCGTCAATATCGCCGTAGTCCACGTCATTGAGCGCCATGCCCGGCGCCGCTTGAGCAATCTTGTTGAATTTCCTTCCGAGGTATTGGCCCTGTTGGTTTGCGCGTTGGGCGGTGGCGGGCAGGGAGGTTAGTTTGCTGTCGATTTGGTGCAGGAGTTCTCTAAGCTCGCCGAAGTCTAGGGTGCCGGATTTGTCGGTGTCGTATTGCTCAAACAGCTTGTCAAGACGGCGCAAGTGGTTGGCGGCTTGTGGGAAGCGCTGCTTGACGCGCTTTGCAATACCGCGCCAGTCTGCGTAAGAGATTTGCAGTTTCTCCGGGTCCTTGCCTTTCTCCCACGCGGTTGTGCGGAGGAAGTTGACAATATGGTCTGAGACGTTGTTTTGTACAGTTGCGCAGTCGCCGATGGCGTAAACGTCGCCGAGAGGTGAGCCGCTCAGACGAAGGTGAGTATCGGTTTCGAGAGCATGCTTGTTGTTCTGCCCGTCAAGTTTCGCTGCGAGACGCTTGCAAAAGTCTGTCTGTGCAACGCCCGTCGACCAAAGACAGAAGCCCATGGGGATCTCTTTGGTGATGACCTTGCCATCTTCATCCTTTTGCGAGAACAAGATCCTGTCCGACTTGACCTCCTTCACGCGGGAGTTTGTCTGAATATCGATCGAATCGTGTGCAAAGCGCTGTTCCGCGTACTGTGAGAGCGCCTCGTCGTATGTATTGAGGATGTGGCTTCTCGACTGGATAACGTGTACGGAGATTTCGTTTCGCAGGAGTCGAGGGAAAAGCTTGCACAAATCCTCATTCAGCATGTCGAACAGTTCGGCGGCGAATTCAACTCCAGTCGGTCCTCCACCACAGACCACAAAAGACAGCAGTCTCCGCCTCTCCTCGTCATCTGTGGTAGGTAGACAGGCAGTCTCGAGGTTGCGGACGACGGCATTGCGGATGGTCCTAGCGTCGCTGATGTCTTTGAGAAAGTGGCAGTGCTCAAGACCGCTGACGCCGTGAGGGTTGGTGACGGAGCCCACACCCACGACTAGCTTGTCGTATGGCACATAGAAGCGCTGTTCCTTGCCGTGCGCATCCACCGCCGAGCACTCAATCAGCTTCTCGGAGAACTCGACATCTTCAGCCTTTGCCTTCAAAAAGTGACCATGTACCCTTCTGACGATCTTGCGTACAGGTTCGACCAGCGACCTCAGTTCCAGCGTGCCCACAGTCGCAGACGGCAGCATAGGCGTGAACAGGAAGGTATTCGACGGCGAGATGACGGTAACGTGGTATTCCTTGGGGTTCAACTGCTTCAACAGCGCCACGCTTCCCCATCCTGTGCCCAGTATAACCAGCTTTGGCTTGTGCTTGACTTCCTTGTTGTCTGCGCAGTCGTCATCGTCGACGAAGTGGTCGGCGATGGGCAAGTTCTTCGGTCCGCCTCTCCGTGGAGTCAGGGCGAGCTGTGATACGGGGATGTCGGTCGCGATGGGCTCGTCGTTGTATGTGGTTGCGTCGTAGATGAAAAATGCGACGACGAGACCGCCCGAGACAGCTACGAATGTGCCGAGGACTGCTGCCGTGCGATAGGCATACCGAAGGAGCCGTGACTTTGGTGCTGGGAGAGGTTTTGTTGATACCCCGCGTATTAATGCTGAGCTGCTCTTATTCACTTGGGGTGGGTGTAGGGATGCTGAACCGGCGCGTTTCGACGCAATTGCCGGGCTGCCATTGCTGAAGGATGTGCGGAGTTGGTAGTTTGAAGTTGGAGGCAGTCTTCTGCATAAGAGAGAAGGTCTAGATGTGACGTTGTAGGCGCGCGATAGCGACGCCGCCTGTCGCGGGAGCATGGCGTAGGATGAGCGCAGCTTCACAGGTGGAAGCAATCGGATACGTTGGGACCAAGAAGCGGGACCAATTGCGCTCTTTAGGATGCACAATGGCAATTTACTGAGATAATACCTCGAAAGATAGATGTTGGGTATGGTAAAAGCGCATAGGGAATAAGGTTTGTGCGACGTTAGGGAATGTTTATCGTGTTCAGCTTTACGTCACCAGTCGAGCTTGCGCGGGCGATCGCAACCAAGCTTTACAGATTGCGGGCCCTGAACCACAGAAATGCTTACAACGCGCATCCGGCGATTCCATCTAGCTTAGCCATGTACTAAAATATTGAATGTTCAGCGCCATATGTGTTGTTACAGAGTTTCATTGGAGATGCAATCGTGGACGTTGTTTTACATTATGTACAGTTCTTCAACACGACCATACACCCACAGTGCCATCCCTGCGGCCTTCAACAAGATAGCCATCTTTTATCCTGACACGCTCGATCATGGCATGTGAAGTGTTGTCGTCTTCATCAGCGCCGACGCCAGGACCGCAATTCCAGTGGCGGCCGTCCGTCTTGTCGTAGACTTTGACAACACTTTCGCCGGCTGCGGAAACGATGCGGCGCGAGTCGAACATCATGCTGGTGACGGGGTTGTCGTAGGCGTAGGCGTCGTAAATGGAGCCAGTTCGGAGATCCCAGATCTGTAATGCATTAGTAGCTGTCAATGGCCTGTTGGTTGATATGACTTACTCGTATACTCCTGTCTGCGCTGCCAGTGACGAGATGGACATCGTCGAACTGGAGCGCAGTAACGGGTCCAGTGTGTCCGACAAGGCTGCGGTGCACCTGTCCGCTTCGCAGATCCCACAATCGCACCATGCCATCTGCAGTGCCACAAGCCAACGCGGCATCAAAGACCTGAATGGCTCCAACAAAGTCGGCAGATGCATCCATAGAACGCCCTGTCGGCCGCCATTCAGAACTGGCGTTGTTTGTGGCAGTCGCCTGAGCTGCGGCCCATAATACATCGAGTGTCTGCACACAACGTCCTTTGACCAGATCCCATTGTCTCAGCGTCTTGTCGGCGGAACCAGAGACGAGAGTGTCGCCCTTGAAGTGAATTGCAGTGATTTCGTCAACATGAGACTCGAGAGTGAAGAGTGGCACGTCTTGCATGATGGTTGGCGGCGGTGCGGGAGGAGCGTCAGACGAGTTCTCGAAAGCCAGGCCATCTTCGTCCTCCTGTGCATCACCGTCGCCCTCACCCTCACCCTCGCCGCCGCGCTTGTTGACGCGGTTGTCCTGAGGTGCATATTCGGCTCTGCTCAAATCCCATAGCCGGATGGTAGCGTCCATGGAACCAGTTGCGACAATACTCTCCTCCACTTGGAGGCAGCGTACCGACGACAGATGGCCTTCGAGCATTCCTATACAGCGTCCAGCGTTAAGATCCCACACGCGGACAGTGTCGTCCAGAGAAGCTGTGACTAGTGTTCCCCAGGGCGCGTCAAAGTCCATGGCTGTGATTGAGTCGTTGTGGGCGGGTAGCTCCTTGATCTTGGACCCGGATTCCAGGTGTTCGTGAAGCACTCGCATCGACGGTCTCCGTATGGGCTTCTTCCCCCTGTTCTTCGACTTGGGCGAGATCTTCTGGTATATCGACTCTGACATGAAGGTCTCGGAGACCGCCTCGCTGCCCGACGTGGTGGGTCGCGAGTCCTCCTTCGGTGGTGCAAGGGCGGCAGCATCGTCCAGCTCTTCTTGAAGGTCCTCAATCTCGTTGTCCACGCCGAGCAGGTCTTGTGCAAGCTCCTCCTCTTGTATCTCGAGCCCAGCCAGGCGGTCTAGCACCATCTTGCGCATGGTGTTGAGATTTGCAATCTTGTTGTCGATTTCGTGAATCTCAGCCACGCACATGTGTTTCCGCACGCCCATCATCTCGAGTTGGTGGCTCATGCTGTGCTTCTGCTTCTGCAGGCGTTGCATAGACGGCGGAAGCTTGGAGTACTCGTCATCCTCGAGCTCTCCGCCTATCAGCCGTTGCCCTCTGGCGTTGTGCGTCTTTCCCTTCTTCTTTATCGTCTCAGGCTCGTCTGGTAATGTGGCCTGGAAGCCTTGGAATAGTGAAAACTCATTGTTGTCTTCGGGTATGTTGGCGAGCATGTCGTCGGGTACGTATGCGAGGGCCCGCTGCTGGATCTCGGGGACGGATATGCGCGAGCGCACAATTTCTCGCGGGGTGGTCTGGGCAAAAGAAAAGACGGATCGTTGAAGCATTGGGCGCCGCAGTTCGCGGTGCAGCTCACCCAGGGCGTTTTGGTAGTGCTGGCCGACACCCTCGGTGCCTATCAAGCTTCCAGCAGTGGCGGTGACTTTTCGACCAAAAGCTTGCAGCTGGCGGGTCTGCAGCAGGGATTAGCATCACTAGGCCACAAGTCGAGGTGAGGTGAAAACTACATCAGGTAGGCCGTCCATCAAGCTCGCTTCAAGACTCTCCTCGGGTATTCGAGGCCGAGGACTGGTAGAGCGCCCTCTGGATGGCGAGCCATCGCGGGCAAATGACGAGGCCATGCGCGCAGTTGCGAAGGGCTAGAGCGGGGACCGGACACAGTGGAGGGTGCCTTATGTCATCATGGTACGCAGATGCAGAGAAAGCTCGCAGTCGATGGAAGGGTGGGCCAAAGCGCAGCTGTCGCGTGGCGATGTTGGTGAATGCTGGTGTTTTGGTGTTGGACGCTCAGACTTCGGCAATGGCACATGCGCCCTGCGTCATCCGCCATTAGTTGGTGTGCTTCTCCGAGACCGCTGCAAGGAACATGCGCTGACAGTCATGGCTGCATTCACTCCCCTACAGTACACTCGAACCGTGTGGACTTGAGATACAATGGATGCGGTGATTGACCTCTCGGATGCCTCCAGGGCATTGGACCTTGCAAATATTCGCTCCCAACTCATGTACTATTCACTCGGCCTCGTGTAAGCAAGAGCTGACAAGCAGCAGTCGCATGGAGGACAGCATAACCTTCCACTTGATAGAGCGAGTCCAGTTCCCCCTCAACAAGACCATCTACGTCCCCGGTTCCCTCAACATTGGTGAAAGCAAGCTCAGCCTCTTTGATTGGATGCTGCGCGAGCAGGAGCGCCTGCAGTCCCTCGTCCGCCGCTACCAGTCCCCCGACGAATACCCATTCTTCCCCGAGGTCCTCCAAGAACCCATCCTGCAGCCCCTCAGCTACCCGAAGATCCTCCACGACAACGACGTGGTGGTCAACGGCAAGCTAAAAGACTGCTACATCAACCACATCCTCCCCGCAGCATGTTTACAAAAGGCCGGCGGGGACAAGGGCGAGTCGCAAGAAAACTACGGCTCGGCAGCGACATGCGATGTTCTCACAATACAGTCGCTGTCACGTAGGATACACTTTGGCAAATTTGTCGCCGAGTCCAAGTTCCGGACCGAGACGGAACGCTTTGTGAAGCTGATCAAGGCCGAGGATAGACAAGGAATTGACGAGGCTATCACAAATGCCGCGGTAGAGAAGAAGGTCTTGGAGAGACTAAGACTAAAGGCCAATACCTACGGCACGGACCCTGATTCTGGTGCCGATGGGTCCTCCAAGGTCAATGCGGACGCGGTGGTGGCCATGTACAAGGTGGGTTCCACCAACATTGTACAGTCGTACATTGCTGACATATAACAGGACTGGGTCATTCCGCTCACGAAAGAGGTCGAGGTTGAATACTTGATGCAGCGACTCAAGGGCACCGAGTGGGAATAGAGGCCGGCATAGATACCCGCAGAGACCAATAAACCACCTACATACCTCTGCACGGGCGAATTTTAGCATGACTCACTCTCCCACCAAGGGGTGCGACCTGTGCTTGGGAGATGAGAAACATGATGCAAGACACGGCGTCGCGCAATTGGACGCGCACAATTACACCCCTAATTGACTCTACTCACTACTACACAGTGCTCCCGACGTTCTGTTTTGCAGTCACAATCACCATGTAGCGAGTACTGTGCAGTTCCGCACTATTATGCACATATATTGCTCAAAGAAAGATTGTTTGCTTGCAATCACCAGCTGAGTAGAACTGATCCGTCTAGGCCAGAAGGCCCCTTAACTGTAGTAAAAATAGGCTATGCACCTCTTTCCCCCCTGAAGGAGTAGAATCCCCATCTCAATGCTCTTTTACTCCCATGAGCAACCTTAATCGTTCTTTCTTATCAACACAATTCCTCATGTAAAACAGGTCGGATGCTTGCAAGACTTGATAGACTGCAGAACCAATATGCATTTTCGCTGATTATAATTTGGAGAGTATCGCTCCAGTAACAGCTCCCAAACATCTCCCTGAAATCATTTCCTCTCACTTCATACTTTGGCAACCAGTTTCCTCCCCACCAACGCCTGCCTCGACGCCACCGCAAGCCCCGTGCCCACTAATAACCCAATACCCGAAAAGATAATTAATCCCTGATACCCACCGTTCTGCCTATTAATGATAACCCCGGCAGTCGGACTTCCAATGAGCGCCCCGACAGCAGAAACCGCATACAAACACCCCACTCTAGCTCCCAGTTTGCGAACGTCGGATATGCTCGCCACCATGGCTGGGATGATGGAGAAGGTGCAGCCTGAGACAAAGCCGTAGAGAATGCTGAACATAATGACGGGGGCGTTGGAGTGCGAGGGTAGCCAGACTGCTAGGACAAAGACGCCGCAGAAGAAGGTGTTGAGGATCATGACGTTAAAGACGCCGTAGCGGTCGCCAAAGTAGGCGGGGATGATACGGCCGAATGTACTGCAGTGTGTTAACCTTACGCTATGCTGAAGGTAGACAAAGGACGCAAAACCTACGAAGCGCCATTCAATATCGAAACGAGATATCCCGCCAACGCCGTACTCATCCCCTCATTCCTCGCCTGCAGAATGACAAAAGTAAACGGCAGGAAGCCGCCCAGATAGATGAAGAAACTGCTCGCGGTGAGCAGCGCGAACGGCACCTCGGTCAGTGGCGTAACGAAGTCGACCAAGTGAAAGTGTCTCTTGGGCGGCGGGAGACGAGCCTTGATCAGAACGTTTCCGATGACAAGCAGGCCCAGGATCAAAAACGCAAGGCTGCGCATCGCCCAGCCGAAGCCAACTCTCGGGATCAGCCGGTCGACAATGATGGGCAGGATTACGCCGCCGATGGAGGAGCCCGAGACGGCGATGCCGAGAGCCAGAGCGCGGTGTTTCGAGAAGTACTGTCCAATGGCAGCTAGTGTGGGGAAGAACAGGAAACTGCAGCCCGCAGCACTGACGACGCTTTGCGCGAGGAAGATCTGGTAGTATTCGTATGAAATGGACGTCATCATGAGGCCGAAGACGTGCAGGAAAGAGCCGAGTCTAGATATCGGCATACGATGTCAGTGTATGAATCTTACACTTTTTCCAGACTGGGATTTGCTCACAGGATAGGAAAGCGTGGACCGTATGTATCTCCTAGAATGCCAGTAATCGGGCCCTGTAATGTTCATATTAGCACCCCTATCTTTTTCCCGTGTGAGCCAAACGTACGCAAAAGAACATGATAAAAGTTTCAGTAGATGGTATCCATGCGACGGTACTCGGCGAGTACGACGCAAGCTGGTCGGTCTGGTAGTAGTTCTGAAAGATGCCTATGCCTGATAGCGGGTTAGTTGTCGGTGCATCTATATGTGAGGGCCTGAGGGCTGCAGGATCGTGCGTACAATTTATCCATCCGAAACTTGCAAACACGGTGCAGAAGCCTCCTAGAACTACGAGCCATGCTTGCAAGCCACCATCTGGTGGTGGGCTCGGAGCGGGTTCTGTGAGGTTTGCTTTAGGCACAGCCTTCTCAGGATCGGTGTCTGTTGGTTCAGGCTTTGGCGTTGATGGTCTGGAAGATTGTAACGATTCATCGTGCGGTTGCGACATCGTGGCGATGAGGTATGTGTTGTTGGAGTAACGAGCTTGTGTTGCAGAGTTCGTGTTGTTGAGGGCGTTCCTTCTTTTATGAGGTCTGAAAGTATTTAATCGCGACTTCCTTACATTGGCGCATTGACCCGAACAGTGTTTGTCATCAACAGATGTGCGCTCGAAAAATGGTTCCCAATCGGGGATAACCGTGAAGAGCTAATATGCGGAGTCTCTGCGTGGCTGACAGAATGCTCAGTCACTATCAACACGCCTTGAAAAGACTACCATGAATAGAAGAGCTTGGATATATCTACGAATGAGAATCGTTTCGCTGTGACATTGAAAAAGCGGTGTATAGCTTCACGGTACGTTATCGAACGTAGTTTCGTAGAGTGACGTCTGTACAAGTATTCTGTCGCGTAGGAACGGCACAGCACTGTCGCAAAAATGTTCTGAGATGCAGCAAAACTCTGATGATACAGCCAAATTGGAAGGACGATGTATAAATGAAGTGAGTGATAGCAGAAGATGATAAGATCATAGCACAATCACCTGGGACAGTTCATAGGAAGACGACATCCCCATTGTACGAGGCGAAGATGATGAGTCGAAGACCCTTGCGACGGCTGCTCGAAAAATGATACCTGTTTGGCCTAGTGTCGAATCACTAGCTCGTTATCTATCTCCATCTGACCCGATCGCTTCGTTGCTCCATTGACATGGCGTTAATCAATTCTGTTTCTCAAACTGTGCTTCTCGCTCCATTCGGGAATATCATTCGAGAAGCGACAAATGAACACCCAAAAGCCTCATAATGGTGGGTGTCGCAGGGAAGTCTCGAGCGTGTCATGACTGCAAGCGACGAAGAGTCAAGGTAAGTGTAACAACCCCTGTCTACACCTCTTTCTGACACAATCAAACAGTGCGACTTCCAGAAACCTTCATGTATGAGGTGCGAAAAGGCTGGCCGAGCTTGTCCAGGCTACGACAGAGCTTCCATCTTTGTCAATCGCACATTGTCCGAATTCACCACCACAGCACGAGTAGCGATAGCAGAAGCGATATCGCTCCAGGTTCAAATTTCTATGAAACATTCCTCGAGATTGTTGCAGACCTTTGAACAACTGCAGGCGAACATAACAGTCCCCCAAGCTCCTTTCCCAGGCACATTTCGCCTCGGCGCTTGGGACATACTTCGAGAACTGTACCTCCCACGTACGCGTTCCACAGACGAATGTGAGGTCACAGCTACCTCATGCTACTCATGGGTCCACGCTGTCTGCCACATGGTACCTAAAAGCAATGTTTTGAATCAAGCATTGCTGGCATTCTGCGCAATTCAAGTCTATCTTGCAGAGCCATGGAGCATTTCTGAAGAGCGAGCACAGAGTCTATATGGTGAAGCTGTTAAGAAGTTGATCGAAAGTCTCGAAGAATCTGATGTGGAAAGAAGAGACGACACCCTAGCAGCGATAGTTGTTCTGTCAACTTGCGAGGTAAAGCAGCTTTGGCGGACGTCCACTATGCACCAATCATGCTGAACATCCTAGCTTTTCATACTCCAGGGCCATGAGAGTTGGCATGCTCATGCTCACGGAATATCCGAGCTCCTGCGAGAGCGTACAGACATCAATGACCAATCCCAATTATGGCGAAGATTATGCTCGCGGTTACGTCTAATTTGTGTACGTCCCCTATCTATCAAACACGACACAACTCACCGTCTTTGCACAGGTAATCATCGCCTTAGTAAAAGGCCAAAGACTCGTCCTCAACCCAACCACATGGCGCCTACTCGTCCCAGCTGACCACAATTTCAAGTCCCTCGAAACACTCATGGACATGGTTACCGACGTGCCACATCTTTTGGCAAAGCCGGACAAGATGGCCAGCTCAGATACAAACCACATCTGGGCACTACTGAGCACCTACCAAAAGATCGCAACATGGCAACACTGCTGCAAAACCAACTCTCCAACACCATCATATTGGGCTATTCCATCGCGCGCACACAACCCTTCAGATGACGCTTACGCCACCCCACTCTTCCCGTTCGCTCTCGAGTACGAGAGTCTGAACATCGCTATACTTTTCATCTTCAGTTCGGCAATCATGCTGCAACTTCTCTCCACCGCGCTCTTGATCAGCACAGCTACAAGCGTGAACGATCTTACACAAGTCGAATCCAATGAACCATGGTCTTTATCGCAAATCCGCCATGAAGCCGACAAAGTCGCACGGTTTCTCTGCCAAAGCACAGAATTCTGCTTCAGGCTGGAAATGGGGACAGTTGGCGTACAGGCCATGTGTCACGCGCGATACGTAATGCGGAATTACTTCTCCCAGGTAGGTTTGGAGAGGGAATTGGCGTGGTGTCTGGGGATTAGCGACATTGGAGGGCCAGGCTTAAGGAGAGGCATTAGGATGATGTTATTTGAGGGGTGAGGGTGAAACATGTGGATGGATGAAAAGTGGCGGCAGCGGCGAGAAGCTTGCTCAAATGAATATTGAGGGACAGATGCAACTTGGACGACACTGTGATACATGATGGGGCAGACGTTACGTCGCCGGTCGCATCTTCCATGGAAGTAGGTAGCGGGTATTGATACATGTAGCTGGTAACGTGACAGTGCATCCCTGTTGATTTACCGATTGTCGCAGAAGCTCGGGTGGGTGCCTAGAGCTGAGTCCTCTCTGCCTTTCCGACTCGAAATCCTAGCGCTATTACTCGCTGTAACTAATCATTGAATTCACACACCACTCTGCAGCGCGCCATAACATACAATGCCAACACAAACGAGACGTTCAGGTTCGGGTGTAAGCATATCAAGCAGTGAAGAAGCTTTAAGTTGCGGCCTCTACGGCAGTATTGATCCGGCATGGAGAAGAGATAGAAATTGGCCAAATTGTAGGATTTGTTTAGACCTTAATCCGCGCTTTTATTGGACGACCGACCTGAACACGTTGTTGTGGTCATCAAGAACTTGTCCAGCTTGTGATTTGCTGTGCATTGTACTCGAGTCATACATCATACGCTTAAACGCAGGCCCAGTCCCGATCGGCATTGAGTTAGTTAACGGAAAGCTGCAAATGGACTTCTACGTGTCGGAATTCGGATCACAGAATTACCAATCGTCTCCACCTCCATCCAGACAAAGTGATATGCACAGTACCGGAAAAGCACTCACAGTTCCCGTCGAGCACCATGTTTTGAGCTTCTTTGTCAAGGCTGGTACGCTATACATGCGCTTTCATGGTTTCATTGATCGAACTGATGCGGTCATTCTTACAGAAACAACTCCTGTAAGGAACGACCCATTAGGCGAATGGACTGCAGGAATCATCAGACTAAAAGCTCGATTTGTGCCAGGCATAGTCGAGTACACTAAAAATCTTCCGAGCAATCTCTTAGTGGTATGTAGGACCAGTCTTGTGACGACCACTTGGCTCCCGGATGGTAAAAGCCGCAGTTACAGGAACTTGGATGGTGTACCAATCCTCATGGGAGATGATCATAAATGTGCGACCTATCTTGTTTTGAGAGAGGTTGCATGTGGGATCGCAGGCTGGGCATCACTCAACACTACTACAGCAAACGGGACACGAATGCGCCAAACATTGAGTTCGAAGAAACAAACCCCTATCGATCAGGCGAATATGGAAGTTGGGTTGAAAGTATGAATCATCAAGAGCTCACTATCATTTGAGAACACCAGTGCGCGAAGAGGAAGAGAGAAATTGTCCACTTACGTCCCATTGATCTCCGCTGCACCAACAGTAGTCCAGCAAATGTCCATCACGCAAACACGTCTCGAAGCAGTACAACGCATCACTCCTCACCATCAAACCTTATCCCTCAGATCTCCATCCACGTGGCATTCCTCCAGCCGAACATGCCCGCCCGCAACCCGCACGCATCCCTCTAGCTTACCCACTCGACGGAACTTGCCAAGGTCCTTCCTCAAAAGGTCCAGAGCAGCGTAAAATGGATAGTTAGCTTTTGTGGCAACGTACACGCAATCGAGCCAAGCGGTGAGCTTGCTTTTGGGGCTACGAGAGCGAGGCGGTAGTGTGGGGATCGACGCACTGGTTCGGGTTCGCATCATTGTGATTGGCGTGCGGATTGGATGGCGGTATGTTGGGCCGAGACATGTCGTATCGGAGGTTTTGTGGGGAAAAGACGATGTGTGGTGAAGGAAGGGGTGATAGAAAAGCAAATAATATGCGTGAAGAATTTTTGACAGGTAGAACGTTGCGACGACTTTCGATACGAGCGAGAATAAATCAGCTGACGCAGCCCACTTTCACACGTCAGAATTCACATGCTCGCGGCGCAATACGATGACAGCTGCTGAGAAATTCCCGGTGCCATGCCCGTGGGTTTGGTGTTGCGCCATGTCAAGCCACATTTGGTCGCAACAGCATTCCAGAACCGTGGTCGAGAGATGCTCGCCGATTGCATTTGGACACGTAGGATGCTAGATTGCGGCCTACTACGGCTAATACTGTCCGAAGGCTGCTTTTTCGTCATGGCATCGCGGATCGCAGTGCTTCCGGAATACAAATGAATGCTCAGGTGGACTTGATGTTGGGGAATCGAGTGGATGGTGAGAAGAAGGAAACAGAGCAGAGCCCTTGGCAACAAGGGTTCCACATTTGATGCTTATCACAGGGAGCGACTCGAAACGGGTTGATAGCTCTAGTATCATGGCGTATACCCAAACGCAAGAGCATCATCGGCCTCAGGGATGGGAAGATCATATCTGAGGCATCTTGGAGACATATAAGCGACACTTGCGAAGACCCCGAAGTTGCCATGTCATGGACTACAGGCTGCCTAACAGAAAGACTCGGTAAAGATACTCATCGTGTACGCCTCGGCTCGGACACTGACCAGGTGAAGATGCGTGGCACGCAGTGCAGGCTAGAGGGTTTGAGAATCACTGGGTGATGGATCCTGGATGAGGCATGGGGTGCGGATAGGAACAAGGCGTGGCTGTGGGGCAGCGCGTAGAGATATTCCCTGAAATTGGGCATTGTTTCATGATCGCCTTCTTTGTGTCACTGAAGGTCATCGGCGGCCGGACGGAAGTGCCGAAGCGGCACGTTGGTGCGGATGTTGATGCTTTTATTCTCCACAGCTGGCCGCAATGCCGGCGATCATGACCAAACAAGTAGGTACTGACTGAGCCCGCGGCATGACTCGTCACTCTTAGGGCACCAGGGCCCGTGTGGGATCGAAGCATGGATATTTTATCTTGCTCAACGGTCGATCCACATGCGCGGTGAGACCTTGGTGTGGCGCTGGCTGCCTTGATGCGTGTCTGAATGCTTACAGTGTTGGAACATTTGGCTTCGATGAATTCGTCTGGCAGTCTTACTGGAGGGCTCAATGAAATGAGTTCTCGAACGTTATGGCCTCTCTGCCATGTTGCCTTCTGCCTGCATGTCTTCTTACGGACCCCGTGTGTCTCGACAGATCATTTGTAGACTGGACTCGTGTTCACAAGCTAGACAGTCCCTTTTCGATCATGTCATTATCAGCTGAATATGGATGCCACCGTCCGAAGCGTAGGGAAATATCACCATGGCCATATAGACACACAAGACCAGATTAGGCACATGTAGTCTCCGCGCTCTAAACTGTAGCAATTTCGGCTTGAGTGCTGGCAATCCGGGCTTTGAATATAAGCACCAATTGATGTCGCATCGACATGTTGCAGCGCTCTACTGTCGCCCTGCAGCTTAGATCCCAGTCGCCTCGGTTGCGAACAGTCAGGAACGGCAAATTCCGCCAGTGGAGCTTCGCAGTTGGCTTCATCTGCCGGCCGGCGGAGGACCGGAGTAGATCCGAGTAGTTGACAGGTTCTTGGGTTTCTAATACTGACTTTTTGCTGTACGCCTAATAGACAACGCACACCGTGGCGCGCATGGCTGATACCATCTCTGATCAGATTGGAACGACTAGGCCCATATGTGAGGGTATTAACCTTGAATCAAGGAACACCGTAAGCGACGACAGGGGCGTGCATCCACTACGTCCAGGTCACCGGATTTGACAGTGTCCAGATGGACCTTGTCACCGCGGAACGGGGTTGGGATAGGCTGCATCAACAACACACAACCGTAAGTTTGGTCGACTGATGGTCGCTAGCTTCATACCTTTAGCTAGGGCTGAGCTTGACTGAGTGTAAACCGTTCTTGAAACTGCTGTTGGGTAGTAATGCATCCTACAGCTAGTCAAGTAAAGCCGAAGCAGGTCGTCGAAGTCGCCCGCATTACTGATGCCTAACAATGCTGGGCGAAGACGTTGGCAGCCGACAGCAGCATATGTAGATGCGATGCATGGTCAGGACATGAAGCCGTACGTAGCGATGCAGCCCGTTTCACTGTGAAAATCACCCGCAACGCGCCATGTCCCAACAGTGCCAGTGCGACGTGATCGTGCGATTCTAGCGTTGCAAGCCTTTCGCACCGTAGATAGAGTCAATATAAAACGCGGAATTATGATAAGACGGGCAATGGGCTGCCCGTTGATTTGCCGGATAATAGTTATGGGTGCACGGCTTGCAGCGTAACAAAAGATCGAAGCGTAACGCCTCAATCAGACGATCCCCGGCTGCACGTTGACATTGCCTGGCCATGGGAATTTTGAAAGACTTGAGAAACTTGATGTTCTCCCATGCTCGCCCAGTCGAGCTTTCAAGAGTCCGGAACACGGACAGGACGTGTCGCGGAGACGGGAGACCGCCCAGCTCTGGTGTGGCGTCCGCAAAACGGAAAAAGCCCGAGAGTGTGATCTGGGCACTGCGCCGTCTCGATTCCGCCTCACGGCACAAAATCCACACATCTCAGCAATGGGGTGATTGCACAGCCATGCAGTCGTGTAATCGCACTGCTGGCACTGTGCGGCGCTGCACAAGTCGTTGCTGCAGTGTTGCAATAAACCCATGCGATCAGACACCTTTGCCGCAGTCAGCCGGGTGCATGCCAGTCCTGTGCGCCTGGGCCCATAAATTTCAGCAGGCAATACCCCATTTTTGTAGCCGGGCCAGCTGCAAAGAACGGGCCGCGCTGTCTTTCCTAGCGACGCTTGTGCGTAGTTTGGGGTCAATACCAGCACGCTGGCACGACTGGGAACCTGGGTCCTGGCCTGAGGAGCCTTTCGTCCATACATATTGGGCATCCGCCACTGCTCCTTTGCTGCACCTCGAACGCCAAACATCGCCGGACGTCTCTGACAACATAGTTCTTACTTTCAGCATCCTTCTGGAGTCGTGGGAGTCGTGAATCACTAGCCCGTGATTGCAGCCGCCAGAGTGCATATAGCCAGACAGTCGGAGTTCCCGGGAGATTCAGCTCCAACGGCCAGACCTTGGGAATTGCGGAGCGCATGCATATCTGACCCTCGCCGCGCTTCACCCCCATCCACAACGTCTTGTTCCTTGGAGGATCCTCTCGACCTGAAGCACAAGGTAGTGACGGGTAAAGGCCGGAATTGCCGAAGTCACAATGTCAACTCCAGCTGAGTCGGGAAAGGCGGAGGCGAAAAATATGGATCGACGCATGAGCCTGGGGAAGTACGTGAAGAGGATGAGCAGTGTTTTCAAGAGGGAGAAGTCGAACAAGACTGTTGAGTTGGCCGCGCCGGTTGTACCTTCCGTGCACGAGGCCGAACAACAAAGCGCAAAGAAAGAGGAAGCCGCGCCCGTTGTGTAAGTAAGCAGTCATGACCCCAGGAGTCAACACTGACGTATTCCAGTACTGCAACGCCGGAAGAATCTCTCGCTGTGCCAGCTGCTATCTACCGCCACCATTTCGCAGCCAACATCTGCGATTGTGACGAAACAGCTTGATCGACATGCCATGCAGCAGGAACGCGCACGTGCACTCTTTGCAAAATATGGACTCACTCTGGACACCACAGACTGGATTGCCCCTCCCGCTCCGATGCCCACTGTGCAACGCGTAGAGAAGTCTATCCGCATGCGCGTTCATCGCAGTTGTCATCACTGCGGAACTATATATGGAGCCGACAAGCAATGCTTGCAGTGTGAGCACAAGCGGTGCAAGAAGTGCCCTCGCTACCCCAAAAAGAGGCTTTCTGCTGAGAAAGAGAAAGAAAAGACAACCGAGGAGAAGCCAAGGAAGAAGAGGGTCCTGACAGTCACGACGAGAGGAGGAAATGAATTGGCATATCAGCCATCAAAGCAAAGAGTCAGGCGCTCCTGCCACAAGTGCGAGACACTATTTGTGCCTCCGACGGCTACCATCTGTGAACAGTGTCGACACATACGATGCACCAAATGCCCACGCGACCCGGCAAAGCTGCAAAAGTGGCCTGAAGGCTACCCTGGGGACATGGACGCGGACAGCGACTCCGAAGTCGAGAAACAGCTGGAGAAGTTCAGGCGCACTTGGAGGAAGCCTCGCCAGAGAGTTCGATGGGAATGCGAGCAGTGCAATTCTGCCTTCATCAGCGGCTCGCCACAATGTCCTGGATGCGGCCATGAGCGATGTGAGAAATGTACCCGATCACCGTAAGTTTTCACCAGACGATGCTCGCCATTGAGCCTCCCTAACAACAGTCAGGATCAAAAGGACAAAGAAGGAGGAGAACTTTGACCCAAAGCTTGTAGCTGCCGTCGAAGCGAAACTGAAAGCGCTCGACGTCGACAGCGATGTCCCCACTTCAGGAGTCGAAGCTACTTGACGTCAGAACGCGGACAGATTCTCTATCTAATGCTTGTATCCCGAGGCTGCATCCCTTCTGGGACTCCACTGGCGGTGTGCCGGCTCTATTTTACGCTCGCTGTTTCCAGGATGCCCTTCAACCGGCATCGACCGCAAATATTGCGAATATAACAAGCTTTTTTCTCACTTCACCCTTCCATTTCTTCGACCATGCCATCTTCGGCCCATGCAAATCATCCTACGCTTGTTTGATCTTGGCATTGAACTCTGATCATGCGCAATTACTAGATGCATCCTGCATCTTTACTTTCTGGTCTCGCATAGACATCGGCTAGTAGCTCAAAATTCTTTTCCATGGCTGACACATGTGACAGGAAAGCTCCTCGGTTCCACAAATAAAAAGGAGGTCCATGATGCTGTGTAACCTGCGCTTATATCCACCCGCTCGAACTGCGTACTCGTACGATAACAAGCAGGCTGGTGGTACAAATGGGCGTTTGCAGCGTGATCTTAGTGCCTCATGGGTCGCACGCTGCTCCTGTACGACCACAAATGTCAGAGTCTGACCATCGGGAATTTTAAGGCTGGTCTGGGATTCGCCCCGCAGATGTACCTCACATCGCTCAGCATATGTACCTCTTTGCTCATGCCATCCCTGTCGGAGGAGAGGATACGGTGAGGCCCAATGGTGAAGCAATAGCATGTCGTTTGCTGTCATTGCAGCTGTACTGCGCAGGACGACAAGCACGTACCCTTCTCATCGCGACATCACAGCTTCCGTACAACCTGCAAAATCCATGGCCTGCATTGATCTATATTGCGCCAGACGATCGACCGAATTCACATTCACATGTATTGTTCAGAGATGGAGCATTTTCGATGCTTGGAAAGACTCCGCAGCGGCCACAGGCCGATACATGGCTATCGACTAGCGTTGCTCGCTTGCGAACACATTATCCCTTCCTCTTCGACAGATCTGCATTGTCTCGCGAAAAGCTCAGGTACTCTGAAGTTCTGATCGGACATCCGGCGTCCGCCCGGAACGACTGCAGTGCTAGTGCCGAAACGGCGACATTCTATTACTTCTGAGTACACGGCGAAATACCTAGCAGAAACCTGCGCCAAAAACTATATGCCTCTACATTACGAAGGCAAGAACGATCAGTCGAAATGAATGCGCCATAATTCTCGATCGATGCCTGCTTCAAACGAACTCCTCGTGTGCAGCATGGAGATGTTGTCATTGATGACGAGATCTCCTTCTTGCCATGAGTGCCAATAGCATACTCGGCGGTCATGCAACAATTCCTCTAGTGTGTCACATACGCTATGGTCGCCATTTCCTATCTCTACTTCCGTGGGATCAAATCGTGTCTTTTCTTGCGGCCATCGCTCGTGGTACCTGAGGCATGGTTGAGCTGTGGATGGATGTTGAGTAACAAGTGGTATGCCATCAATGAACGACTGATCGAAAGAAGTTGTCCTGACTGACCACTTCAGAGACTCCAGATACTCCAAGGAGTGGTGTTTTGGGAGATGGCTGAACACGAGTCTTGAACTCGCAAAGAGCGTGTATCCAGTGCTCTTGGGGCTAGGTGTGACAGCCACAAAGATTTGGAAACGAGGAGGATTTGGTACTAAGTGTGTGCTCCCATCCTCACGAATATGCTTTTCTGTCTTGAACAGGCCGTCGAAATGGAATGGCATCCATTCTTGACTCAATACATTGTTGAGGCCCTGACCTTCGTTGCCGCGATCTCTGACTTCGAGTATGAGCCCAAACTTCCATGGCGTTGGGATGCCTAGCTCGTGAGACTTGGCAAGGAATGCATCTCGGTTCTTCGTCCGCGCGAACCCTCGCAGAATCACGGGTGAGTTGTGTTGGGCGAGCTCACGCACTTTGTGCGCATCCACATCTTCGATCGTTAACGTTTTCGCATTCTCAGAAGGTCGGATCAGCACTCCACAAGGGTACAATGGCTCGAAAGTTACGGCACGCGAGCAATCCCACTGGTACAGTGGCGATCTTTCTCGAAAGTAGCTGGGCCTGCCATCTTCGTACACCAGTTCCATGTTTGGATCCTCTTCAAACTTCCTGCGCTGTCCTGCCATGACAGTACCATTGACAGTAACTGCTACTGCGCTGTGCCACGGGGTGATGACTTTCTGGATAGGGAGGATGTTGATAGAGATCTTATCTTCGCCTGTACTTGGATGGATCGATAACCTAACATGGTCAGGATAGTTCTCCTTCACGGCTTTCGCGAACGCCTCTCCACGCTTGAGCATGCTCTTTGCAATTATCTCGACGCCCTTCTTGAAAGCGCTCTTCGTTCGCCCAGGTCCAATAGGGTAGATGCTCGCAAGGTCCGACGTGAGGAACTTGAGATATCCGCAATACGTGAGGCGCTTATTTTCGTCGTTGTTGACGTACGAATCTCCGAATCCAGCGTCCCAGTTGAAGTTCCCGTAGCGATGCATCAGTGCAAGTCGTATCGAGGGAGCGACAGCGGCATACGTCATGGCGTTCATCTCGTCACTGAGGTTTGGAATGCCGAGGAGGTCTTTGAGTCGTGCGAACTCGATATGACTGTACCCTTTGTCTTTGGTGAGCTGCCGTAACGAATGGCCGTATGTCCACACAACGTGTTCTGGCACACCGAGGAGGTCTACGCGTGTTAGAATGGTAAGTATACGAAAAGAGACGGGAACGAACCGTTGTACACCAAGCCATCGGAAACGATAGTCAGAATCGCGCCAGGAGGGTACATATCCTTGACCGCGGCGCAAAGTCCATTCAGATGCGCCAGAGCTATTTCTTCCGCTTTGTCGGGAAGAGTACCCAGTACCTTGGTGTCGCTGTTCGGGCTCTTGAAAGGGAAAGCTGGTAATACCATACGCACTGGCTCATTATTCTTGACGGATCGGTAAATAAGGGCCAGGAAATGCAGTGCTCCCTCATCACTGCGATCTTGCGCATCCAGAGGTAGCGGCGATCTGTAACGCGATATCACCCCGAGTATTCGCTGTGATAGTGTCATCGCATCAAGACGAAGATGGCTCCCAAGGGCGGTGTCGGAGCCTTCATAGTCGTTTGTACCAAGGAAATGAGGCATGTCGAAGATGATTGACTTATGGTTGACAGTATCAGATGGACAGTAAAGAACGACGCAGAATGCTGATGGTGGATTCAATCCGTTCCCACGTTGCTAATATGTCCGGAAGCACAAATCTCGGACTGATCTTGATCTGATAAATCAAGACTGGGGCGCGTTATACATTCACCCAAGCGTCCTCCGCTTCCTTCGTTTCACTCTAGCATGTTCTGGTTTTGCGCCACTCTTCTCCGGGCAAAAGGACCGCATGGCGGGCCTTGATACGAAGTTTTCACAGAGCTTTGCGTGCCGACGCAACACTTTTTGGGTTTCTTTCTGGGCATTCGAACAGCCGAAGGGTCATTCGCCACCACAGGGTAGGAACATCCAGCAGCAGGGCAAACCTCTGAGTCCCGATACGCAGGTGTCTATCTGCCGGACAAACCACAACTAGGAAGCGATATTGATACACCCACATTTACGGCAGCCTTCCTAATGCGCGGTTGTAGCCGTTTCATGCGGTCCACACATGTTCTTGGAAGCGCTGCAGTATCCTTGCATGCCCCAGAAATCACAACTTCGCGCCATCGGCGCCTTGACCTGATGAGGCAACGCCGAGATGTGCGATTGCTTCTGCCGAGGTCTTGCCAACTTTTCTTCCACATTACTTTACTGATACGAAGATTAGGATGTAGCTTTCCGCTTATCAAGATGCTAATGCGATTTTTGTGGCTTGCTGGGTCCATTTCGCGACATTACAATTTACATGGGACAGGGCGGGAAGACTCAGTCTACAACACTCCCCTTCAACTACAACAGTGTCAACAAAGATTGCTCTCTCATCAGTTATGCCGGTGACCGTCGAGAAGTCTGGTGCAAATGGCGGTTTGCATAACGACTCGTGCAAAATGGCTTCGAATGCTACATGTTGGCTTCAGGTGCTGGCTGGCTTCTTCTTGATGTTCAACTCTTGGTAATTTTCCCGCCCCATGCCTTAAAGCCAAGAGCTTTGTGACTGACTCTTCTGCGTAGGGGACTTGTAAGCGCTTTTGGCGTGTTCCAAGAGTACTACTCTTCACTCGACCCAACACTGGCTGAGCAATCTTCACTTTCATGGATCGGCTCCCTACAGATTTTCCTCATGCTAGCATGCGGATCTGCAACCGGCTCATACGTCGATAGAGGCCACGCGAAGCTCATGTCATTTGGAGGTTGCGCACTCGTCACTCTTGGCTTGCTATTCACATCCTTCAGCGGAGAGTTTACAGGTGCTCAACGTCCATTGTACTACCAGATTCTGCTATCTCAGGGCATCCTTTCTGGACTGGGTATGAGCTTACTTCTGGTTCCGTCGACGGCAATTGTACCCACGTACTTCGTTGACAAACGTACCCTCGCTGTCGGACTTGCCAATACTGGTGCATCGATCGGTGGTGTGATCTACCCCATTATCATCCGGCGCATGCTAGCTAGCCTGGGTTTCCACTGGACCATGCGAGCGGCAGCATTGATCGTGCTTGTCACAACAGGCTTCGGCGCCCTACTTGTGCGCCAACGGGAAGAATTGACGCGGAATCCCGCCAAACGCACACTCTACGATTTCAGTTGCTTAAAAGAATTGCAATACGCCATCTTCGCCGGAGGTGTTTTCTTCACTTTCGCTGGCATATACATACCGTACTTCTACATCAGCTCTTGGGTACGTGATACCAACTTTCCAGTAAACGGCCTGCACCCGTACTACCTCCTCAGCATCCTCAACGCTGGTGGACTGGTTGGGCGCATAATTCCGAGTTTCTGCGCGGACAAATTCGTTGCCGGGCCCGTGCTGGTTCAGGCACTGGCAGCGATTATATGTGGTTGCTTAGCAGCAGGTTGGACGTTTATCGACACATCTTTAGCTGGCCTCATCGTATGGACTTTCGCATACGGCTTCTTCAGTGGTAGCGTGATCAGTGTGATTCCGTCTAGTGCGGCTACATTGACTAAGAATATGAGTCGATTGGGTGGAAGACTTGGTATCGTCTTCGCGGGCAATGCGTTTGCATCTTTGATAGGCAATCCAGTTGCAGGTGCTATTTTACGAGATACTAGCTCTGGGTGGCGCGGACTTGCGAGCTATTGTGCCGTCTTGAACATGGCTGGGGGATGTTTGCTGACGATCTGCTGGGTCATGCATGTGCGCAATTTGAGGAGCATGTCTTGAGTTGTAGACCTTAGAAAATAGCCATGCATACACATGCTAAATATCCAAGACATCCTCGAAAACATACTCATGCCATTTGGCTCCCAGTGAGAACCTGTATGATAAGTGAAATGCAACATTTCAAGGCATCAAAGAAGCACAAGCCGTCTCAAGATGATCTAATAGTCGATGAATCACGCTCTGCATGAACGGCGGAGAATATCGATCGTGGTGCAGTGCAGATTTTCGGCCTTGAATCAGGTCACTGCACTTACATGCCCTATGACAATTGAATTGGCAGTAGACCTTGAATTGAAAACTCTAATCGGCCCTGAGACGATCTCTTCTTCGTGTATGCGCATGTCATTGCCACCAAGTTCCCGAACAGGCCTTCGCCGCGTTCCTGCTTATGCCCTTGCAAGTCTCCGCATGGGTTCCACCGTACCCCTGCACTGCAACTCTACCTACTCTTTCCGGTTTGTGGAGCTGTTGGCATCTTGTCACGAGTACCATATCGCCCCGGCCCGCTCCGTGTTGCACTCCTAGGCATTGGCCAAGATGACGACTTCTCGGAAGACAGGCACAAGTGTTGCAACATCAGTCGGGGCGGGACAATCTGAGGAAATAGTCCGATGTCGTGATTGCTACACGTGCGATTTTACTAGGCGTGTGCCATGCTAGAGACTTCGCACATGATAGCGGCGAGATCAACGGCTTTTTCGGCATTAACATTCTCGCCACTACCCGAATACATCTTGGAGACTACAGCTCCCCGTGAGAGCTCGAAAAGCGTTTGCGGAAAGGCTCTCACACCGTTGACCTGCTTGTTATGGCGATTTCTGGAAGACCTAGCGACAATTCCGATCTAGGGAAGCCTGTACTTGGAGAAGATGTAGATCTGGTCATTGTAGGAGGTCAGTCCGTTCTAAACTGTTGTTTACTGGCTCTTGGCGATGCATTACAGCAGCTGGACATTGCATTTACTAATGAACGGTATGCTAATGTTAATGCAGCTGGACCAACAGGTCTTCTGTCAGCACTCCTTGCTCGCCAACTTGGTCTTAGTGTCTGTATACTGGATGCGAAGCGCGGCCCATTGCAAGTGGGCGGTGCGGATGCTATAACGGCACGAACTCAACAGTATTTGGAAGTAGCAAGTAATCCAAAGGGCCAGGATTCTAAGCCCTTGGGAATTCTTGATGGCTTGCTGAGCAGAGGCGTGAAGTGTAACAGTATGTCCCACCAAACTTTGATTGATCACTGCTCAGACTGATGATGGCACGAAACAGCCAGTACAACCTATGTAGATGGCGAGTTCACATCTCGACAAAGCAAATGGTGGAACAGCATTGAGCACACCTTCTACAACAACCTTCTCATGATTGGTCAACCATTCATTGAACGCCACCTTGCCTCCTTCATCGATGTACCAACTCATTACTCTGAGCCGGCGCTCTCGTTCTCACAAGTCGCATCACCTCTTGGAGTTTCCGTCCGAACGGAAAAGCGTACCGTGAATGCGAGGTACTGTCTTGCCGCTGATGGCGCACGCAGTTTCATGCGAAATGAGCTGGGCATTGGTTGGACAGGCACGAAGCCGAATATGATCTGGGCAGTTCTGGATTGTTGGATTGAGACCACATTCCCCATTGCGAGAGAGATTGTCACACTTCAAGTTGATGGTGAATCGAGGGTGGCATGGATTCCCCGGTAGGTGTGAGTTAGAAATCGTGAGGAAAACGCTGATGGTGAAAAGGGAACGCGGCATGCAAAGATTCTATGTCCTTCTTGAGGGCGAGATCACGCAGCTGAAAACTGAAGCCTCGATTAGAAGACATATGGCTCCACACGCTGTCGAGTTCACGCATATTGAATGGTTCAGTAAATTTGAAAGTAAGTTCATCGTCCGAAGTAGCGCTGATTCCGTTCCTACGCACTGGATGTACATGTCAGCGCTAACATTTGCATAGTCAAAGAACGTGTGGCAGAGAAGTTTCTTTATCCTACCCCTGTCGGACCGTTCATACTTGCAGGCGATGCTGCACATGTACACTCCGTCAATGGCGGCCAGGGTATGAACACGGGCCTCTCGGATGCCTTCAACCTAGTTTGGCGCTTGTATTTCATCCTCAAATACAACCAATCGCCCTCTAAACACCCTCAGCTACCACCTCGCTCAGCTGAATCCATCCTCGAAAGTTATGACATAGAGAGAAGAGCGACTGCAAATCACGTCATTGATGTTGCAGCCAAACTGGTCAGAAGCACGACAGCAGAAGCAAAGGAGTACGTCGGGCTTATTGAGAAGAACTCCAGCTTTATAACCGGTATGGGAGTGCAATACTCGAATCTCGAATCCCCATTAGTACGGGAATCTGAGAAGGGTGTGTGGAAGGCGGGTCATCGGGCTCCGGATTTGTGGCTGCATGACAAAAAGACGCAGGATTCGATTCGTTTATATCAGAAGATGACCTACGGCCGGTATATGTTTATACTAGTGCAGAGCACCAAGATGATCAAAGTAACACGACCGGAGTTTATGACGATGGTCAGATTGGACAGTTTGAGGAGCATGGGCGTGGGGATGGAAAGAGAAGCTGAAAAGGATGAAGGAAAAACAACCCTTGCCAAGGAGGCGCTCGGATGCGCATTGATCAAGAAGGGAGAGGAGTACGCTGTGTTGGTTAGGCCAGATTGCTATGTGGAATTTGTGGGCGAAGTGGACGAGGGGATCACGTACATTGCTCAACGCCTCCCGGGACTCTTATGTGTCGGGTCATAGCGACCTACCACATGAAGTATCAAAAAGTCACCGTCCATGGCATATGGAATGCTGGTTTGCACATGTATGCAAGCCCAATACCCCAGGTTCTCACAACCTGAAACCGTAGCACGTCCTGCAGATCATCAACAACGCATGAGAAGTGCGACCCGGCTTTTCAAATCCGATGATTCAAGCATCGGAGAATTGCGCAAGCGTTTAGGCACTTCTCATGGCCAAAAAAAAATTTGACGTGCGTCAATGCGAAAGCCTGCCCTCTCAAGTCCAGAATTCAGCAACCAGGTTCACGGTACAGAAACGGCAAGACATGTTCTACATTCAAACTCCAGGGTGCTTTTTTGTTTGAAGAGTGGGAGCACAAGTGGCGGCCGCCTACTAATCATCGCCACTGCACCGAAAGCGCATCAAGATGAGGATACCTTGCAGCGATACGCCTTTGCCACCTCCTTGTACCCGCGTCTCCTTATCGAACCTCCTACTTCTGCCTTATGCGCCCACGCAGCAAAAAGCAACTCCAACGGCTATCAGCAGACATGCTCGATGCCGCATGTTGCCGGCAGAATAGAGAGCTTTTGCCAGTCACGCTGCGAGTATTTAATGCGCAATCTCTATTTTGCCTGGTGGCGTAGTCGCTTCGCAAGCCCAGAGGGTCGGTTACAGCAATCCTTGTATGAGGATCGAGGGGCGCTTGCGAAATATGCCGTGGAATGTGCAACACTTGTGCTCGCGAATTTGGGGTCGGGCGGAACATTGCCGCTTCTTGTCGGAAGAATAAATCGTGATATACATGGAGGTGATGGCTGAGGTGACACAGCAACACGTATCTCACCACGCAGCTCCTGTCTTTCCTACATTCGCTCGCGCTTTGAGGATCGCACCTCGCAATTTCTCGGTCGAGGAACTATCGAGGAACTCGACTATTCTTTCAATCTTACCGGCTTCATTCACGTCTGGAAGGAACATGTACTCGTTGGTGTAATTCCATTCTTCTGCTGGTGTTGCGCCCATGGCTTCTTTCTTGAATTCTGGTTTCCCAGCTGCCCAGATGGTAATTTGTCGACCCGCCTCGTTGACGTGAGTCTCTTTAGCTGCGACAGGGAAGCGCTCAAGCAGTGGAAGTAGGTTGTTGGTAATGTGTGCGGCGAAGGTAGCGTTTGTCTTGGGTGATATGTTGAGCGACGAAGGAGCGAAGATGTGAGTGCACAATGGTGCGCGGAGAGCGATGTGATCGTCAACAGAAAGGTTGTTGAAGGCAAAGAGGAAGGAAGTCGCGATTCTTTCGAGTGAGCTCTGAGTAAGAGACATTGTGAAGAGTTGATGCAAAAACAGTTCTGATTAAATTGAGTTGAACTAAGAACAAGCCTGAATTAGCAATGTGAGGTCAAGCTGATAACACATGTGCCATTTCTGTATCTGATTCAAATCAATGCATTGCTAGCTAGGTAAAGTCCGTTAACACCGAAGGGTATGACGAAAAGGTGGTGCGCCTAACGGACCCTTTGACTCGTTCGCCTCTGCTCGTAAAGCCACCAAGAGCATCACGCGCACACTGTTGAAATGCGAACGCGTCTGAAACCCATCAATCCTTCTAGATGTTGTGCTAGTCACCGAGAAGCGCGACCATATCGACGATCCTTTACTGACAGCCAGCGCCTAATGCGACTAATCTTCGACACCTTCTTGAGCGGAATAGTGGGCAGCTTGTGCAACCCTCCATAAGCTGGGTCGAACTCGTCAGCGCCCATGTTAGGGATCTTAGCCTGTGCAGGATTATGAGCTATCCTGCCGTTTTCCGCAGACTCGGAGCGCTTTGGTTCTGGCCCGACTTTAAGGAGGTTTGAGGGCTGAGTGGTAGTGATAGTGTCTCGACGACTCATATCCGAATGGGTGGAGTGTTTGGAGGAGTCAGGGAAGTAGCGGAAGTAAGAGTCCGGCTCAATCACTGGGAGAGTTTGATCTTCGGCATGTTCCTCGATGGGCTCGATGATATCGAGATGTTGATCTGCTTCAACGATCTTGACAGGAGGGGCAGAGAAATTACGCTGGGGATGAAGGAAGTCTTCAGCTACTGGCTGCCGAATCGACTCTGTTCGGTAGAAGCGGTCTCCACTGACAAGATCGATCATGTGTGGCTGCTCGACAGGGTATGTCTCGTGAAGAGGATATGGAACGCCACCGGTAAAGGAAACCAATCTGAATGGCATAATAGGTATGCTCACCGAACCGTCTCCCATTCGCTCTTTGTCGTGTCCATGATATTGTTGAGACATGCGTGGGTGGTCTAAGAGATCGGCAGGGTCATCAGCAGGGTACCATGAAGTATGGGGCGGCAGTTCGGTTGTCATTTTGGGTTGGCGATTAAAAGAGAGTGTCAAAGAGCGGCTCAGGTCAGGAGTTGAACGTGGGAAGCTCTTTTAGTAAGTTGACGCGTAGCCTTTGTTGTGAAGAGTATTGTATATGCCCCAGGGATTACCCAATAAAGTGGCCCAACAATGTGTCAGTGAATCGTAATGGTTGCGTGCCTAATTGCAGTTCTGCTGTGTATTCACAATGTATCAATGCGTTGACTGAGAAGAATGTGAAGCGATCCAGTAGCGTGATAGTGTTGTTGGAGTCACTCTTGAGGCAAGCTACGCGCTGTCAGACCTTTTCAGTCTTCACAACGTAAGACTCGCACAGTTATACATGTTCAATCATGACTGCCACTCGATAGTAGTGTATGGGTGAACCGGAATCGTGTATCCGAGGGTGATATTGCGCAATTGCCTGATAGTCATCGTGCTAAGTGAAGCCAGGAAAGAGCTAAATGGAGTTAGTACATACGCGGGGCATGCATTGTGTAGAATTTGACGGCCCCTGTGATAGCAAGCAGGGCCTCCATTCCATTCGAGACATCACGTGTTGCTATGTCGAATCTTGGCAGGCGGTAACAGAAATCTGCGGATATGGTACACAAGACCTGGTCGCTGAGATGGTACTGCATCACCAGAGCATGACCCGGAAGCATCCTGGTGATAGACACCCGTAGCGGTGAATCTGCGGTTGCCATCACGCTACAACTAGCTAGCCAAAACTTGATAGATCACCGAGCTGCGGCTCTACATGGAGGACCCTGAAGTATTAGGGCTCTAGAAACCCTTCATCAGGCACTCTCAACCCTAAATACGGCTGTGACAGAGCCCAAACTGGCCAGGGTGTCCGCGAAGAGAAGCGTTTACAAGTGCACGTCAGCGGGCCAAGCCGCTGAAGAAGCTCTAGATGTCATGTTTAACGATGCACCGAAGCTAGTGGGCGCTGGAGAAGCGCAAACTTTGTTGAGTAACGTCCACGACTATCGGAGTGGAGAGAAGATTAACTATTGAGGGTGAAGAAGAGGTCCGCTATGGAGTCGAGGAAAAGCGCGCGCGAGTCGGGCAGATGTATTCTTGCGGTCTAAACGTCCCGAAGCCATGTGTGTACGTTCAATCATATACGTCCGGACTGCGGCTCCGCAAGCGCGAGGCTGGGTCGGCCCTCCGTACCTAAGGTCCAGCTACGTGGTAGGCGTCGGTGAAAGCGCAAAGCACGACGCTAGCGGAAACCAGGCGGGAAAGGCGACGCTTTTTGAAGTTCCTGGCACGGCGTTGCCGACTCTGTCATCTTCTCATCTCTACGCTCCAACAGGGCAAGTAAATCCTACGCGTGGAGAGATAAGGCGCTGGTGCTACTCATACTTCTCTGGACAAGAGCGTGTCTGACAGTCTGCTAATATCGGTGCCTTGCAAAAGATGTGCACCCCCCTAGAACTTCTATAATGACAAAAGTCTATGATAAATAATGATGTAACAGGAAAGCAGTGATGTACGTGATAATATCGTATTGCAGGCAGCAATTTTAGAGGTTAGAATTATCTAGTTCGCTCTAAAAGTGACACCTGTTAACGGCTATCTAGACCCTCTTAGACTACCACGAAGATCTAAGCCAATAGGAGTATACGGAGGTGTCTCTACGCTCTATTCAGTGAGGCTGAGGGGGGTTGCACATCTTTTGCAAACGATAATAGAGCCATTCACCAACAGGGATGCCGACCTCAGCCGAGCTGTCGCGCGTCCCATCTCCAAAGCCATCGGAGTGACTGCGGACAAGTATGAAGATAGAACTGATGCTCCTGTGCTGGAAAATCTTAGCGTAAGGATCGTTCGCCCCAGAGGCCGCTCCCTACGCATCGATTACGAGGTGGTCGATGCAGCCAAATTCACTCAGGCGTTCGGCGAGGGCGTGAAAGTGCATTTCGAGTCTGCTAGGCCAAAGGGCATGCCGGGTCTCCTCGTGCAGGGCGCCCTCGATGGCACGGTGACTTACAGCATTGTCATGAACGACTTCCCGACTGTAGCAAAACTCGTTGTTCCAGTGCCAGCACCGGACATCTCGCTCGCGCTCATCAGCCGCTGCGGTCAGCAAATCGATCCTCTCGCGTGACCGCAGAGAAGCCTGCGCGCATTGTGGTCGAGCATCGGCCCATGGTGCGAGAGCATCTTGACAGCCTTGGAGGTACATTCAGCAAATTTGAACCTAGAATGATGGTGTAAATCAACGGGTAATGCGAGCAGACGTTTAGAAAGGAAGTCAAGCGGCAGAGATGGATACTGATTGAAAAGAAAATGATCTTTTATCACTTTCAAGTACCAGCCTCACACGCGGAGCGGAGCTGTTGGAAAGATATAATTCATGTTTGCGACCTAGTTAGTCGAGAAGAATGTAAGCACTGAGCGGCACGTGGCGGTAGATGCACAGCCCAACGACGCAGAATCCTACGGTCACCATCAACTTGTTTTTTCCGTTTCGAACCTCAGGCAGCCTGATATGTCTCTCTCATTAATCCTGTGAAGCGCTACTCTGTTCTTGAGTGTTACGACTCTCCAAGTTGTTTTGCAGCTCTTGTCTAATACTTCTTTCTTTTCCAAACCCATTAAACAATCAGCGGTGGGCAGCATAGTTATGCGAATCACTTCGCGATGAAATTTGGCGAGGCAGATTGCCGCGCATGATCACACACAGGCTGACATCTGTCTCCAGTATTTTGAGGCGTATGTGATTTCTACTCAGTGGCGCACAATGGCATTTGCGTGGAGCTTGGCCTCTTCATGGCAGCCCTTGGCGGCATCTGCATTTGGCGGTTTCCTTGTGGCTATAACATTCGGTATCACTCGGCGCCAACCGAAACCCCGCAATTCATCACCAAAAGATAGCAACTAGCGTAACATGGTCAGACTTCATCACGGGATGGAACTTGGACATTCCTGGGCGTGCACGCAGTTGCGGCCCTTTGGTGGCGCCGAGAAGACGAAGGAAGAGCTTGTCGTTCCAACTGCTATCACGACTTTACTCCATGAGGCAGCTGGAAGAACTCATATGGAAACCAACAGAATGTAGACATGTATAAGATCTGTGCTGCCGTCAGACTGACACGAAAGGCTGGTATTGCTTTTATCACCTCTCAGTATGTCTTCCGGTGCTCCTCTCGAGATTGTGGACGTCGCCGCGGCACACGTACCAGACTCGAAGGACGAGCGCATTTTTGAAAAGCGCGAGTCACTCAGCTCTACCAAAGACGATCTGGTTGGTCCTAATGGCGAGCTGTATCCCACGGATGAAGAGTGGGCTTCGCTCCGCCGAGTGTATGGCAAAGTGAATTGGATGATCTATATTATCGGTATTGTAGAGATGTGCGAACGATTCGCCTACTATGGCACCACCGCTGTTTGTAAGTGTAACTTGAGGCTAGAAGCTATGGTTCCGCTAACACGTCGTAGTTGTCAACTTCATCCAACAATCTCTACCAACCGAGGGACCATTCCCCGAAGCTGGTGCTGCTGGCACCAATGGTCAACCAGGAGCTCTGGGTATGGGACAAAGAGCCTCAACCGGACTTGTGCAGTTCAATCAGTTCTTCTCTTATATCATGCCTATGATTGGTGAGACGTCGTACGAGATCCCAAAACCGATCAGGACTGACATTTTTCCTAGGTGGGTGGCTTGCTGATGAATATTGGGGAAAGTTTAAAACTATTTACGTCGCAATCGTCGTGGCCACGTTTGGACATATCCTCATTCTCATCGCTGCTATCCCACAAGTAATTGCTTCACCGAAAGGAGCTCTCGCCTCGTTTATCCTTGGCCTCATCCTCTTCGGTACAGGCGTGGGATTCTTCAAGGCTTGCATTTCGCCGCTTATCGCTGAACAGTGCGTTGCCTTTCGCACTTCTGATTTGAAGACTGCTGAAAATGCTCTAGATACGAAGCTTCTCACCCCAGAGCATATATCAGGACCGAAGCTAATGGCGAGCGTGTCATCGTCGATCCAGGGATCACGTACTCTCGCATCTACATGCGCTACTACCTACTGATCAACGTCGGAGCTTTGGTCGGTCAGATTTCTATGGTGTATGCTGAAAAATACGTGGTACGTCTTCTCGCCTTGAAGAATGTTTGTTCCTGGCTACACCCGCTAATTTCTGGCGCAACTATATAGGGTTTCTGGCTGTCTTACCTCCTACCGACCATTCTCTTCATCTTCTGTCCGATTCTTATGATGGCCTTCAGTAGGCATTATGTCAAGAAGCCGCCGCAGGGAGACGTCGCCATCAAGTCTTTGCGTCTCTATGGGCTTGCACTGAAGGGCCAATTCTCGCTCAACCCCATCCGCACTTGGAAGAACCTCTCCTCTCCTGATCTTTGGGAGAATGTCAAACCCAGCAGGGTCTCAAACAAACCCAAGTGGATGACTTTTGACGATGCTTGGGTGGATGAAGTGCGTCGTGGTTTCAAAGCTTGTTATGTCTTCCTCTGGCTTCCAATCTTCTGGCTTCCGTACGGACAAGTAAGGACCCAAAGACATACTTGTGTAGAAAATTTGCTAATTCAATGCCATAGATGACTTCCAATCTCGTCTCGCAAGCGTCGACAATGGAACTCAACGGCGTCCCAAACGATATCATCCACAACCTGAACCCCATCACGCTTCTCATCATGATCCCAATCTTCGACAAATTCATCTACCCGGCGATAGCCCATGCAGGTCTCAACTTCACGCCGCTTAAGAAGATCTCAGCTGGATTTGTGTTCGCGATGTTCAGTATGATTGCAGCTGCAGTCATTCAACATTCCATCTACCAGAAGTCGCCCTGTGGAAAGTACCCAGGCACATGCGATGAGCCACCGAACCTATCGGTGTGGGTGCAGACTCCGGCTTATGTCATGATTGCCTTTTCAGAAATCTTTGCTTCCATCACCGGTCTAGAATACGCCTACACCAAGGCGCCCAAAAACATGCGCTCGCTGGTAACGGGTGTATTCTGGTTCACTCACGCGTTTTCCTCAGCCATCGCTCAGGCATTTGTTCCACTGGCCGATGATCCGCTTTTGGTCTGGCTCTACGTCTCCATTACTATCTTGACTTTCATTGGCTGGGTTGGCTTTTCGTGGACTTTCAGGTCTTTAGACAAGGAAAATGATGCGCTCGACAAGTTGCCTGAGGGAGGTTTCCAGTCAGGATCGGAGAGCGGCTCGGCGAATAATGTTGTGGTGAACAAGGCGTGAGAAAACGAAGGTCTAGATCATTCAATTCGACCAGACGGACCTCAGGAGTACAGCCAAGTCAACTGAGCGATCATTGTACACCTAAACAATCAAGGTGGGGCGTAGCTTAATACTTTCAATATTCATGGCTCGTTGGAAGTTTACTTCAAAGAACGCTGTGATGTCACTATGAACGATACCTAAGCCGAGCGCCGTCGCGATTCTCCCCCAAAGTTACGTATACTTCACATCGTAATAATGTTCTAGAGCAATTCTTTCGATCACAACGATTGATCTCACCTCGACTCCTTCGAATCCTCAAATTTTCTGTATAGGTTAAATTGGTAGACATCTCCGCCAAACCGACGAATTGACAGACGATATGTCCCTACTACCTGATTCGTCCATTACGCCTCGCGCTCAGCAAGTTGATACTAGCTCCGCTTCTTCGCTTCCCTTCTCGTCCTCCACTAGCCCTCTCTTCGCGCTTCCTAGTGAAATCTGAAATCTCATCTATGAGTATGCCCTTACCATAGAACATGGCATATCCCTACTTCCTGGCAACCGCGATAGACCACCGCATTTCTCTGCGCGCGGGCCCAATGTATGGATACAGCCTGCTGAGGAAGACTCGCCCAAGGGCGGTTTCAACCAGCTCAGGTTCACATGCCACCAGCTATACCACGAGACTGCCGGGACTGAGATCAAATTCAACGAGATCTACGTCTACGGTGAACCTGAGGCTGCAGGCCCTGCACAGCTGTTCAGTGAGTTTCTTACGTGCTGTGCGAACAAGAAGGATGCATGGTTCCAAGATGTCGCACTCTGTCTCAATGATGGCATCGACGGTGTCTGGATAGAGCAGAAGGATCATATGATACCTATTGCAATGCTTTGTCGCAGTCAGGGTCATACGAATGTTCGATACATGTTGCGAGCACTAGACATCCGAGACGGGGGACTGGGGTGGATTCTGAAGGTAGGTCTCTATCTAGAACTTGCCTTTCGCGAGAAAGATCTGCGGTCCTCGGTCATCAAGCACAGTGAGCTCGACAGCCTGGTGGATGAAATGGAGGACGCTGCCGGGTTAGATTGGTTCAGTGATCCCGAGCGCCTCACCCTTGGGAGTCTACCAAACTTCCGATTCTTGCCTTTCGATGCACGTTCCTGGCCAACTCATATTGATGATGTAGAGTTGAAAACGCTAATTTCCCCATGGACAGATGTACTTGACGAGGACTTTTGCATCCCGCTGTTGAAGCGATGGACGAATGAGGGTATCTGAGCCTCACAGTATCTTTATAGGCAAGTATAGTCACCATGTCGACTCATTCAGCGGGTAGACAGTCGGGTACCGCAGGAGATTGGATTTATGACGTGAGACGCCGGATACCCATGTAGCCCGCGAAAGAGTATTTCTGAACCGTAGCCTGCCATATGATTTTTCTTAGCAGCAAATGAAAATACCGCTATCGCGTATACCTTTACCTTCACCCCTCACCTGTGACTCACTTCCCAGAATTGACTAGTTTGGTCGCGCGTCACTACATCTTGTCGTATCTCTCCAGCTGAGCACTTGACAACGCTGTTCCTCAACTTGTGTCTACCGCACACGACCTAGGATGCTGCACTATGCCGGTCACTCGAGCATATTTGAGACTCAAGTAAGCGCTTCTATGCACAGCAGCAACAGACATGTACTGACCGCTGATCTTCTCCAGGCACAAGGCCGACGGAGCACTGCCCACACCTCCTCCGTCACCTCTACCAGCCAGGTTAATGACACCGAAGGGATGCGCGTGCATTTTCACTAACCATAACTTAACAGAATCAGGCAAGTGAAGAAAAGCAATCCACAGACATTGAGGCACATTGCCATTGTAGAACAACTTAAGAGTCCGCTGCTACAACTGCTCGGAGAATTGCGGAACCGCATCTACGAGCTCGCTCTTTCATCAGAGACGCCTCTGGTCTTTCAACCTGGCGGCTATCGCAAGCGGTCGATCTTCAGCGTTGATGCGACTAAATCGCCCAAGGAACCTGTCGATTGAACCAGTTGAACTTCACATGCCATCAACTCTACGTTGACACTGCTTGTCTCGAGTCGAAAAGCAACCATCAGAGGCGAGCACAATGATCGTGCTCCAGAGCCTATACTACACGGGTATTCAGCAAGTTCCTGAAGGCTGCAAGTGTCATCAAGATAGCCTGGCTCACGTAAGTCACGCTGTATCTAATATCCAGCGACTTCGGCGTGGTGAACAAGATTGGGAGCCCACTTCACGTTCTGCTCGTTGCCCAATTCGCACACAACAATTCCCAGGCCACAATCGACTACATTATCCGCGAATTCATAACCGGTAGTATCCATGCTCTACGTGGCCTCCAAATGATGCGCAACGCGCTGCCAAGTTCATGAACAAAGGCATCTGGCTCACATACCTGGTGCGATCAATCGACCTACGTGGCATCATGCTGGCGGGGAAATCACTGCCTAATCATCACATGTACTACTATCATGATGACCAGCCGGACCGAAGTTGTGAGCCGCTAAATGTCGCAAGTCTGAAGTTCTGGCCCGGTGAGAAGTTCTTGGTTACGACTTTTGAAGAAGAGCTCTTTACTGATGCCAGGTGGGACGGTATTACTAAGGCGGGTGCCAAAGTATGTACGAATGTCACAGAAGACTGGGTCAAGAACGGAATTTGAACACGGGCTATCAGACTGCAATGAAGATGAGGTTTCGAGTCGTCAATCGAATGGGGTTAAGGACTGAATTTGTGTCTCTAAATCTCTGATTGCATCTATTCCTGACATGGAGGGACAATGGCCTCAAGAAATCAACTCACTGGACTCATCAAATCGAGCCTCTCAAATAGTCTAGATCACAAATGGAATGAGTAATTTTCTAAGGCGACACGAGCACTTCAAACAACAGTCGACTCCCCACCGTCTACTCTAAAACGAACTCAGAATCTCACCTCACTCACTGCAGTCCCTCAACATTTTCCCTCGCATTGGAAAACCAAATACATATCCCACTGGAATCCGTACATTTCTGCTTCCCTAATGAGATGAGACATCAATGCCACCCTCTCCCATTTCCGCTACCCTCACATCGCGCCACAATCCAACCCACTCGCTCCACTCAACAACACATACAATCCCGGCCCATCTTCCTCACCAGCCCGTTCTCGCCGCGCACCGCATCAACACATCCATCCGCAAACATTGCCACGGCGGACGGGCAAACCGCTGAAACTTTGCCACGGGCTAGAAAGCCATGGCATCACACCACTTCCACAATCTATCCGATGCTGGGAGCTGCGAGAGAGCAAGCGCGCAAAGCAGAATACTGCCGGTTGGACGAAGGGTGCTGATTCATATGGGAGGAGACGTCGAGTGTGCTGAAAACATGACATAGGTACGTGGTAGAAAGATTCCGGACCTGGAATCGCATCGACATGGGAAAGAGACGTTGGGCAAGAGACGACTGTACATCATGCAGAGAGCAGTTGAACCAACAAGTCGCGGCAAGCTCATCAGATATTACCATCGATTCATGTCTTCAATGCACACCCGTCCCGCTCAAGCTCGATTCCATCTGGTCCAGCCCCGCTTCCCATCTCGCTGACAACGGCCGAAAAGAACTCACAATCAAACCACATCCGCAGCGATATCCAACACACCACGTCTTCCGGAATGCATTTGCCAAGCTCTCGGGGACTTCGAAGAAAGATCTCGTCCGTCTCGCCATAGTCTGCAGACTATCGTTTCAGCAACATGCAGCCCTCTATACGCATCCCCACTCTCCCATCCAGTCCCGCTGGTTAATTCGTGCAAACCCGCGATATACTCCGCGGGTACATATGCCCAAACATCACGTTCACACGTCATGCCACGGCTAAACAGCCCGAATGGCCCACGCCATTCGCAAACGGACCGAGGCTCTTACCCACGGCTGCGACCCAATAAATGCAGCAGGGAAAGAACGGCAACTCGTGTTTGATACTTCATCCCGTGGCCCATCTGGCTGGTAGGGCAATGCCTGTACCGGAGCCGCGTGCGCATAGGATGTGCTGCTGGGATGCATGGGCAAATGAATGGTTCGCGGTATATACATGAAACGTATTTGCTCGAGCTAACTTGACTCGCTGGATGTGCTACTTCGGGACATATCTTGTCGATCTGTATACGCAGAGATTTGAAATTGGATCCGTATACGCAGAAACTTGAAATTAGGACGTGAGAACTTGTGGGTTTGGTATGTATCTGAAACACTTATCAGTAGGACTAGGGATTTGGTGCTTGGCAGCTGATATGAAAAGGTGGTGACAGGGGAGATATTGGGATTGGTGGACTCGGTGTATTCTGTGATATGTCGGATCTGGCCCCCACGAGTTGGTAATACAGATCACTGGAACGTTTATGCGGGTTGGATATCGGGCCTTTCCTTTCGAATCCACGTCGGCTCGACCCATCGCTCGGTCCCGCCGTCAATGCACTATTCGGATCGATACCTCCGTTACGGCCATATGCGCCGCCTGTTGGGTGAATGCCTGGCCAATCCTCACTGCTCCTTCAGCTTGTCCTCAATCTCGTCCAGATCCTCGGGACTGTCAATCTCGATGATGCGGTTGACCTCGCTCGTATTGCGCATTAGCTCTTTTGCGCCGGCGTACAGCATCTTGACTTCGCTGTTGCATGTGATTGGAAGGTAGTACAGCATGACGTAGGGTACTGAGAGACGGCCGGAGTCCTGGGGAGAGGATCAGCCTTGGATAGACCGCGTAACTTGCCATAAGACTTACCAGTGTCAAGGGATAACTCAGTAGGATGAACCTTGGCGCATGGTCCGGTAGCTCTTCTGAAAGACTCCCGACGTCATTGTACACCTCGTCGTCGACGGGTCGGACCTCGAGCGTCTTCTTATCGATCTCGTCTGGCCGGCATATCAGCCTCCAGAGGGCGCGTAGTGCATTGTGATTATGTATGGAGCGTACAGATGACTGCCTGCGGGTCTTTCGCGCGCGAGGTGCCGAGGCGGAATTTCCGCAGCTTCGTTTTGGTCTCGTCGGAGAAGGTGTAGAGGCGGGCTTCCGAAGACTGTGGGCTTTAATTAGCAGTGACGCGGTGAACGAGGACGCACAGGTACAGCGAAACCTACCATGTTGTGGTCGAGCAGCAGCAGGAATGTGCGACAAGAAGGTGGAACGATGTTAAACTTCGCGCGCTGTTTCGCGATAGCAGAGGCGCTGGCGTAGGGCTGAGGAATGAGGGGCTAGCGGGGTCTCGTTCGGAGCTAGTCCGGATGATAGTTCCACACGACGCATCACAGACTCATGGCCATTGTTCTCTGCAAACCTTCTGAAACCATTCGACAATTCACCTGAAGGGCCCCTGCATATCTCTCATGTTCAGTAGAATCAGCCAAGTTGCTAGACACCTGTCCCGACCTGTACCGAACTTTGCGCACGTGTCCGCGGCGAGTTTCCGTCCATCGTTAACGTCATCAGTCATGTCCACCGCAACACAACAGCAAAAGGGGCTGATTCACACGGCGGCGTGCTTGATAATAGGAGATGAGGTGCTAGGCGGCAAGGTATGGATGTGCAACGCTACTATGGTTCATTGACTTACTCTACGACAGACTGTTGATACAAATTCGGTAAGTTATATGACCTGCTCGTTAACTTGAAGCTAACGAAGATAGGCGTACTTTGCCAAATGGTGCTTCTCGCTAGGGATCAATTTGCGACGCGTGGAGGTGATTGCCGACGACGAGGGCGAGATTGTCGAGGCAGTCCAGCGCATGTCGAAGAATTATGATATGGTGGTCACTTCAGGGGGTATCGGACCAACGTAAGACATATGGCTTGACGCTACACCAAACGCCGCTGACAATCCCGCCCCTAGACACGACGACATCACGTACCAGTCCATTGCCAAGGCGTTTGGCTTGCAATTGAAGCTACACGATGCGGCGTTTAAGCGCATGAAGCAGCTTTCGAAGCCGCACAAGTCGCAGCCAGACTTTAGCTGGGACGTGCCGTCCGCTGCACTAACTGCCAAGAAGCGCATGGTTGAATTGCCGCTGGATGACAAAGTGCCAGACGAGGACCAAGTCATTTTCGTCAACGAGACGCTATGGGTACCTGTCAGTGTGGTGAATGGCAACGTCCACATTCTGCCTGGCGTGCCGAGGCTGTTCGAAGCCATGATAGATGGCCTGAAGCCGCGCATTCTTCCACGGTTGACAGACCCCGAGGGTAAAGGCGTGCTGCGCATCCTCATCTCCACGCCACTGGCCGAGAGTGCTGTTGCGGGCTACCTCACTGAGCTGGCGGCCAAGGCTGAACCCAAGGGCGTCAAGGTGGGGAGTTACCCACGCTGGGGCAAGGATCACAACACGGTGACGCTCGTTGGCCGCGACCGCGAGTTCATGGAGAGTCTCGTGCCAGAAGTCGAAGCAGCGGTCAAGGGACGGCGCGTATCTGTCGAAGGAGAGGACGACGCGGACACGTCAGACAAGGACTCGTAGCGCAGCTGAGAGGTGATGTGACACTTGGTTGCAGGCTATAGAATGTAAATATTGGACATGTAGCGGTGCAGCTCAGGGGAAGACATGTCGTCGAAATAGACTGGTGAAGACGCTGCAACAGGATCCTAGAATAGGCGTCAGCCAACATGCTTCTCGAAGCTCTGTCGAAGGCCCTTCCAGCCGTGTCCCACCCGACTAGCAGAATGCGGGCGGGCAATAGATGGGTGATGCCGATAAGGCCAATGATAGCGATAGACGTGAGATATGGCCTTGGACCCATTACTTTTTGCATTTCCAATGGCGCCGGCCAGGGGAGACTCTTACGGGCGCTGGTTTGGGCGTTTCGCGTGCGTGTGGCACCCAATGACGGGGGTTCACCTGGGCAGCGGCCGCATGAGATGAGTGTCACATGGGCGGGACGAGACGAAGTGGAAAAATTTGGAGGAAAATTATTGGATTGGTGTCAGGAGGCGGGCTGGCCGCGAATTGTTTCCGTGGGAGGTGTGATGTGCTGTTTAAACTTCTGGAGCTGGGGCTGCTCCGTCGACGCGAACGCGACACGTTCACTCGCGGGCGGCCCTCTCTATGGCTCGACGGGCGGTGGGAGCGGTGGGTGCTCGGGGCAGCATGGAGCATGGCGCATGGGTCGCAGAGGACATCCAGGACTGCCAGGACCATGTGTGCGTGCCTTGGCCGCTTTACCCGGGCAAGGTTACGGCTGCTGGCCTCTCTCACGCTGGCGGCCATGGTGTTGGCTGGCCCGGCACGCGAATTGCTGCGGGCACGCTCCTAGGCACATGTAGGGTCTGGGAGGTGGTGTTGCTAGCAGCGCCAGGCATGCATTCACACTTCACCGCAGGCCCGTTCGTGCATCGGCCCAAGGGTTGGCCTGTAGCGCACGTCTAGGATGGGATAGGCAGTCAGAACGAACGGTGGGGATCCCTTTTCGTGAGTCGTGGGCGTCTTCTGCACAGAGCGCCTAGGTCGCAGATGGAGGCGCGCCGAATCAGCGCGCACGTTAGCCCATAGCCCAGACAGGGCCCCAGACAAGCTACCGTCGTTTTTGCTGCAGCCGAACAGTGACCTGCTCAGTGCTCCCGTTTCCTTGCCAGTTCAACATCTCGACCGCTCCCTGCTGCTGCACTCTCCCTTCATCTGCACGCCAGCGCTGCCATCCCCACCGCACTCGTTGACCTGCCGGCACCACCCAATTGCGCATTCTGCCTGTTGCGCCCCGTAAGCTGCCGCCTCGCCTCCCTTGATCGTCGAACGGTCGACTCGCCCTCCCGCCTCCCCAATTGTGCCCAGACCCGCGTCTAGCTTCCTCGCACCGCGACGAGCCCACCAGCAACATCCGCACAGGGTCCTCTCTCACACAACACACACACATCACACAATGGCATCAAAGGTGCGCGCCTCTCGCTCTCCGTGTCCCCCGTGCCGCAACACCTGCTGACATGCGCGCAGTTTCTCCGAGAATACAAGCTGGTGGTAGTAGGCGGCGGTGGTGTCGGAAAGTCGTGCCTGACCATCCAGCTGATCCAGAGCCACTTTGTCGACGAATATGACCCGACCATTGAGGGTGAGTGATGCCGCCGAACGTGGACCGACCCCCGAACTAACTCCCCGCAGACTCGTACCGCAAGCAGTGTGTCATCGACGACGAGGTTGCGCTGCTCGACGTGCTCGACACAGCCGGCCAGGAGGAGTACTCGGCGATGCGGGAGCAGTACATGCGCACAGGCGAGGGCTTCCTGCTCGTCTACTCGATAACCGACCGTCAGAGCTTCGAGGAGATCATGACCTTCCAGCAGCAAATCCTGAGAGTAAAGGACAAGGACTACTTTCCCATGATTGTCGTCGGCAACAAGTGCGATCTCGACGGCGAGAGGCAAGTCTCAACACAAGGTACGTCAATCTCTCATCCCTGACCGCCGCCCCGGCAGACGCTAACCTCGTCCACAGAGGGCCAGACGCTGGCCAACAACTTTGGCTGCAAATTCATCGAGACGTCGGCAAAATCGCGCATCAACGTCGACAACGCCTTCTACGACATTGTACGAGAGATCCGCAGATACAACAAGGAGATGTCATCATACACTGGCGCCCCCTCGGGCGGCCATGGCTCCAACGGCATCCAGAAGATGGGCATCGAGGACGATTCAGAGAAGAAGGGCTGCTGTGGCTGCGTAGTAATGTAAGGAGACGGATAATCATGTTGTTGTTGCTGCTGCTGCTGTCGCGCGCACAAAGAGAGAGAAGAGAAGCGTACCACACCACACCCACCACCCGCTTCCCCCGCCCTGGCCATAGGCGGCAGAGGAAGAGCCTGCGATACCATTAGCACGTACTGTCAGTTTAACTTGGTCCTTTACGGGGGATTCTCCGCTCCTTTTCACTTCGACACTTTCGCTGTTTCCTAGGGTTCACTTTTTGGGGGGCTCGGTGTTGATCAACGGTATCCCTGACTCAAATTCTGCTGGCGCGCCCTCTCAACGGAAACGCCCCTTCGATTCCACCCTATTGCTGCTGTGGTCTCGAGAAACGTTTCTCTTCTTTCCCCCCAAATATCACGGTGGCGCTTGTTCGCTCATAGAAGACCTCTCTCTCTTATGGCATTTATTGGTACATTTTGTTGTTGGTTTGTAGGTCCTACGTATGCGCCATGTCATAAGATGAAAGGCCAAGGCATGGCAATTGAGGATTCGGTGGAAATGTCCAAAAGATCTCTTTATCTATTATCTCTCATACCTACCATCTCCTTCTACTGATTCTGAATTTACACCAGTTCTTTTAACTTCTATGGACATAATTCATCTCTGCTTTTTACTTGACTTCACTTCCGCCTTGCACAGATGCAACACACGCACGCTCATACATGCACTTTTCTTACCCACGCCAATCACATCTTCTCATATCAATTACCCACCTGATCACGACATCTCCTCCGCCCCGCACCACACGCACCAAAACACACATGCAACCGATAGATAGCATAGCGGCATATACCTCCCCACCCCCCTCCCTTACCAGCTCGCTTCCCAGTCGGCTCCCGGAGCAATGCCGACGCTTTTCTCACCGGCGCCACGCGATTGGACAGGGATTCCGCGCTAGTCGGTTTCACACATGAGGGGGCAGGGACGATCACAACGTGAAGGACATGGATGGGGAGAGCGGTGGGAATGTCGGGAGTAGGGGGGGAGGGGAAGGGGAACGTGAGGTGTGCAATGGGTTTTAGAAGGACGAGGATGATTCGGGGGATTCGGGTACACTTGCCATGTGTGTAGGTATAGGTTGGGATTAGGGAAAGTCTCACGGGAACTTTGCATTTTGCATTTTTTTTTGTACGTCGTCTTTTGCTATTTGTTTCACGTTGCAATTGACTACACGCATTCATGTCCACCTCCACCACCACCACCACCACAGCAACAGGCACGCAGACCTATCATCTTTGCTCACCTCGCGCAAAAAAAAGCCTTTATCGATAAAACTAGAAACCCTTGCTCGCTCCGACGAAACTCTTTTTCCACGTTTCGCTTGCGACGGCCCGATATGACTTACATACATGCCCTGGTCGTCGCGAACTCTGCTTGTATTCATCCGCGCGATCGGCGGTATGGGAAGTCTGGTGAGTGGCGCGATACGGGCGTATGGGCGGGTGACTTCGCTTTGGCGGAGCTGCTGTTCATGTGGGAAGGGAAGGGGGAAGGAGTACCGAATGGAGGGAGGGATGGGGGGAATGGATGGATGGATGGATGGATGGATACTTCCTGAGATACTTGGACAGGTAAGCCGGGCTAGGCATGGTAGGTCTGAGTAGTATAGATCCATGAGCCGTCAGAGAGCATTCTCAACTTCTTTTAGTCGTTCGACTTGCTCTTTGGCTCTCACGCTTTTAGTCTTGTATCAGAGTCGAGTAAATTATTCTCAAAGTGTAATGTATGTATGTATGGTTACATCCGGGATTTGTGCCCATGTCAGAGAGACCGAAAGCGGGGTTTTCACAACATGCACATTTTCGATACAACCTTCTGAAGCAGCTCTGTCGTCATTCGCGTGCATTTACACAGTATCATGGTGCTATCGGGAAGAAACAAATCTCGTCCAGCTCCACATAGCCGGTCGGAAACAAGGGATGGGGTTCTACAGCTACGCCTCAATATCATCTCTTGGACTCGTGGGAGACGCAGGTACCATCAACCGGATCCACGGCGAGAAGGAGCCGCTGAGTGGGGAATGTGCTACAGCCTTATGGTATTGGCATATTGCGGCGCGGCGCGGGTGGTGTAAGCGAGCGAGGAATGGGGTTTGCGGCGTAGTGCTTGGTAGATCAGGGCTTGGATAGTTTTGATTGGAATTAAGGAGAGAGATTTAGAGATAGTGTGTGTGTGTGTGTGTGTGTGTGTGTGTGTGTGTGTGATTGACATGTCGTGGACTGGCTACCATTAGAGTAGAGTAAAACTTCTTAGACGAACTACAAGGGCACTTTGTCCGGTGGAAAAAGATTCGTACAACACTCTGATGACACCGGCCGGGCTGCCGTACCTAGTACGGCGGCGATGGTCTGGCTCCAAATTTGCACTAAGCCGTGTCATGTTTGGGTCAGGCTGGGCCGAACCTGAGACCGATCTGATTCTACTCCGCAGCGGAGTGGTGGTCACTGACAAGGAATGTTGGCATGTCCAGAGATCCCTTAGGGAGTCTGATTGCGAAAGATCCGTGTTCGAGTCACGGAGTGCCTGGTTCCTTGTTTTTGCTGAGCTGGATAACATGGCGCGAGGTGAACCAACCAATTTGACGAGGTGTTCTTACGTCCCAGTCGTAGATACCTATGTCCGATCATCATGTGGATCATTATGTTGAGCACAATGCACCAGTTCTGGACATTTTGTACGGGAGGGACATTGAGCTCAATCGTAGGATGTTCGCCAAAGATGCAAGATGCCAGCCTGCAGGTACTTACTCGCGCCAATGATGGGTCAGTAGCTTATATCTGAAGGACATGCCCTGCGTCGATCTTGCCTATCCGGACGTCTTTAACGCTCGCCCTCAACCCTTCAACTTGATTAAAAATTCAGGAGTTTTTAACTTATGGGTGCTTGGTCTAGTGGAAAAACGCTCGCAGCGTGAACTTGTGCTTGACTGGAGGCTTGGAACTAGACTGTACCAAAAATATTCTCTGGGTCGTACACGGTTCCTTGATGTCTGTAGCAGACTTCAATGCTCTTGCGAGCAACCTGCGCTTCATTTGTAGAGCACCCGCTGACTCAATGATTCTGTTTTGCCTGTGCACTCCTTTTGCTGCATGAGATTGCCCGTCAATATCCACTCTTGAGTTTACGCGTGACTTCTGCATATATGTAGGAATGATCCTCAAGTCTCTCATCAATCATCAACAAGACATCTCGGATCCTTGGTCTAGCGGTAAGACGCTCGCAGCCAGTCAATGGGCAGAGTGGCCGCTGGGTCCGGGTACTTAACCGTGCCTGAGGTCTCCGTCCACACTGAAAGGTGTGCGATTCACGAGACAGCCATGTGTGGCAGCGCGACTGAGCTCCGACCTCCGGGTATGGTAGCTGGTGTCTGTATCAGACTCCCACGAAGGCAACTTGCGAGAGACCTACGTTCGATTCGTAGAGGATTCAGCTTTGGTTAGATCAATGATGGCTGCTTTTTGTTCGTTCCTTTGATCTTGAACAGTGTATGAGTTGCAACGATATACTCCTGTTCGGATAAGTAAATGAATAGATGTATGCATATAGTCAATGAGCCACCCCAAGAATGGATAGTGCTTCTCGATGTCTTTTGTATCCCTGTCCACGTCCGCTCTATACTCAGGCTTGCCTATTGTCCAGCATCCCACAACAGGATGAGGACAATGGAAGAAAACGCTCGTACCAAGGAACAGACGTGAACCTCCGCCCGGCCTTCAAAACAGCTTTCGACCTGTTTCTTTATGAAGTGCTAATTCCTGTTGTTTTGCGTCCGAGCATCAGCTGCGCTGAAGGAGACGATGCCTTGCACAAATTACTCCAGATCAACGTGTTGGGGATATTGAATGCGAACATCGAGTTCTGACGTTGTACTGAACAGGTTCGCAACTCATACGTCAACGGCCAGGCTGCGTCAACGCTTAGCATCGTCAACATGGGCTCTATGGCCTCGGTTAAAGTACTATTCCATTTGTAGGGACACCTTGGGAAAGACTGGGAGTCCCCGAAAATTTGCAATCGAGGTCTGCGGGTGCTTAGATACTTTTGTATTGCACAAGAGAAAGTGATATTTGAAGAGCTCGTTCATTCAGCAATCTCCTCACATCACCCCCAGTGGCCAAAATGGCAGAATTCTCAGGTCCCAACATCAATCTCGGCCCAAGCCTTCGCCCAGAGACCTATGCGGATATCAGAATCTTTGCTCTTGATATCTTTTCCTATATCCCTCGCTTGTTCTCGTCACGTAACCGCGTTTAAGCACCACTTCTACTGTCTGGGATTAACAAGAAGTCATAGACACAAAAATAGACCACTAAATGTAGAAGCATCATACAGGCGTACTGCTAACGGTTCTAACAACGTGTACCAAAAGACAGCGCTGAATTGATTGTTCTGAATCATCGATATTTGAAAGAGTTCATGAGGCTTCCAGATGATGTGCTGAGCATAAAAGAGGCCATGGAACCAAAACCTGTCGCTCATGATGCATTTCCCACCACTCCACATGTCTTAACCCAACATGCGCTCCGCTCCGGTCTTACCTTAGGACCCCCGCGCTTGATGCTGTCAGAACGCAGGTCTGCACCTACTGTGCCAGCATGCCAAAAAGGTAACAATGATCGATGAACATCGACCATGTGTGCAGAATAGTGTATATCATCAGTCAGCCTGACAGATGTCATATATTGCATCGGAAGCAACTTATGTCTTGAAGCAGAACTTGCCTCAAGATCTGAACAACTAGGTGCAAGTTGCTGCTTCCCAGTCGATCCTAAAGATAACCACCTCATGAGCGGTGTGGCAAAGAGGAGCTCCGATCTTCGAAAGGATTTTGAAGCGCATTTCGATCTCCAGCTTGAGAATACAATACGGCATCAGCACTGACACACGTACTTGGTGATCTGGCTAGCCATTCCGATCATGTCCAAACCTTAAGAGCCGAGATAAAGTAGTGTTACAGGAGAATGGAGGATACAATAAAGAGTGTATGGCGAGAATGATTAAGACCGACAGTTTTGTCAAAGGATCGCAGCATTTACACTCACCAAGTGTCACTACCTTCTGATGTCGCGTCACGAAGCGTTTCACCCTGCCAGAAACTTCAGTAACATCGAAAGGAGTCGTGATCGAGGTAGATGGCTCAGTTTGCTACCTAGACTTCAGATTCTGGGATAACCTACACAACTTTGATGGCCCCCGCTTCTTCCGACTCCGTGAGAAGACTCAAAAGAAGGGTAGTCATTGGTGTGCTTCATTTAATATAGACTGGGTTATCTGAGTTCAAGGAAATCTTGCTTTTCCAGGTGAGTTCTGACAGAGTCCAATCTTCATAGCCAAGCTAAGTTGTCTACAGGACGGTTCTTTGCTGCGAACGAGATTAAAACTATCCTAGGGATGTTTGCTTTGAATGATGAGACCGAACTATTGCCAGGAACAGAAATACCTCAAGATATTACTCTCAGAGCTTTCGTAAGTAAGACCTATGTGTTTAAGTTATATATGCTAACTCTGCTTCTAGATTAGCCCTCACTCTCCAGCCAAGGTTCTAGTAAGACGTATCTAGAGGTAGTGTAGCAAGTTCCGCAAAGATAACCACATATCTTACTGAGATATCACGTAGAGTCTTTCTGATTGTAACATATCGCCTGGAGTTCAAGAAGACTTTCGAAGCACATTGGCAGGTCTTCTTCGTCGAGTCGATGGAGTTCTGGGAGAAGAAGTTGTGACCATACCTCAGGTGTACCAGCGTGTAAGATTAACTATTTACTGTTGATGCAAATATTATTGATCTCAACATTTTGCACAAAGTAAGTGGTAAATGTAAGAAGAGAGTTGCACGAGTCTTGGTCCCTAATCCCGTTTCCCATGCTGAACCTTGCCGTCAGACTGACCATATAGCACTGAATCAATCGACTGACTGAGATAGGCATGCCGGTCAAAGACATGCCGGCCAAAGGTAGTGGTGATGATTCCTGGGCTGTTGGATGTTGGAACTTGAAAGTGTCGACCAATCAGGCGCGTGGCATAGACCCACTTCTCAGTTTTGCGCCTACCACAAAATTCCATCAATGCGCCTCATCATCTTTAGCGAAAAGCATCAACAATGGCGCTCAAGAAAGTATTGCTTGACAATTTCAGGCTCCCTGGCCATGCCGATGCGGTTCTTCATCTGGACGGCGCGCCCCTTTGCGTTGCTGATATCGAAGCGTTTGACAAAAATACCGACAGCAGCGAGCTGACTGCTGCCATTGGCATAGCTACCGTACTGCACAATTGGTGTCCAGACGCGCTGGCTGCATTTCTGGATCTAGATGCCTGGTTTTCTTTCACATGGTCTCTCGCCATACAACAAGGCGAAGCAGATGAGACGAACATTGAAATTGGCAGAATCGGCAATCAGCTAACGTTCGGTACGCTCGACAAGGACGGCGACAACTGGACGCTCATGCTCACTTACAACATCTCTTTAGAAGGTCCTGATCGAGGGGCGTGGGTACCAAACCCTAAGGAAAGCATGAAGGGCGATGATGACATTACAGACCCCAATGAAATCGACAAGCTGAGTCGTGCCTTTGCGAGAGACATTATACTAGAGAAGAGGTGGAATACTGGGAAGAAGCTACGACACAAATTCCACATCGAGTACGCGCCAATGGACGTTTGGGGCGTAAGCAATCTTCAATGCGCTGACCACATATGAGACAAGGACTGACTAATTGTAGGATGGCATACCAATGAATCCACATTGGCTCTACAAGTCGCTGAACCTATCTGAGTGCACCGTGTGCGGCAAAGAAGCAAGTCTAGGCTCACCACTCCAGCGATGCGGTCGATGCGGCACGGCGACATACTGCTCGAGCGAATGCCAGCGCAATGATTGGGCAGTGCACAAGCATATATGCAGCCTGGGTTTGGAAGATCGAGGCCAAATGCTCGCGATCACGGAAAAGGGGGGTCTGATCAACTGGGATCCCGATCGAACATACGCCTCAGCAGACAGCAAAGAAGAGTCGAAGAATTCTAATTTCGCGGAGCCACAACTTAAGCGTTGCAAGCATTCCACAGGAAACTTCGTCAAAAAAGAGGCAGAATGAAAGTTTACCTCTTAAGGAGGTGTACTAGGCTAGACAAAACCTATTCAGGGTCGCGAGACAGCAGTCGTCCCGCGCCGAGGCACAGACCTCTCACTCAATTACATCCGGGGTAGCATTCCGGGAGAGGTTCCCCGTCTATGAGGCTGGACAAGCTGGTAAATTACAGGCATCCTCGAGTCAAGTACAGGAGCGCGAACACTTTACGACGTCACAATCGATGGCTTCCTGTGGTTCCAGCCCCAACGCAGTGCGTCTGCATCCCCCTCAAGCGATTCTTTTTACACTAGCTGCAGCAGTAGGGCGTATTTGCCTTGATCTGAGGTTGTCCCACTGACTCCTTCGGCTGCGAGCTGCCACCCGTCGCTCACCCTACCTAACCTTGCCAGACCTTGCCAGACCTTGCCAGACCTTGCCAGACCTTAGCGTGATCGCAGGCGATCTCCATGTGCAGTTTCTAGACTCGCTGTGACACCATCGCGTAGTCTACCTATATCAAAAGCAAGATCAAAACTGGTTCTTGAGAAGGTTTGGCCAGGTGTTTGATCGTCTTCTTTGTTGTAAAATGAGCTTTTCCCGAAAGGGCATGACAGATGTCTGATCAATCCAATCAAACAGCTTTGACAAATTGGTCGCGGCTCAACCAGTTCTCGCTTTTCGACGATCCGTAGCATAGAGTTTGTGGTGAGTGTCGCACCAACCACCAACGAACCTAGCGCAGCCCTGGCGCCGATCACCACCGTGTTGGAAGTCCACTTTTCTGGTAGCGGACCGATTGCCGACTGGCTTGATAGGCTCGTCTCGACGATCAGTCCGGAAGTCCAGCGTCTGGAAAGGAACGCCTTCTGGAGAGACTTGCGCAACTGCCCGCAAACAACGTTCTATCGATCGTCGCGCCGGTGCCTTAACCATGTTCGAGCCATTAGTAGGAGCTTGTCAAAAGTCCTTGATGTCCACTGCGTCAGCAAGTTGCCTTGCGACTTCTCCAACGCTGCACTCCTCGACTGCGCAAGTCAACTTGGTGAAGTTGCCTTGACCATGGCTGCCGGACAGGAGTTCATCCCGTTCATGCTGGAGATGTTCAAGAACCCACCGGATCGCAATGCACCCTTACCGCTGGGAAATCGACCCTCCACAGTTTACGGGGTCACGATGCCGTTCCACGTAAGCACGCGCGACCGTTCTGCATTGTGATCATCAGACAACTCACAGAAGCAGGTTCTAAGTCTACTTGCTGTGATCTTCCGACTCCACATACGCTTTCGAGTCGTCCGCGAGCCTGGTCTTGACGACTTATGGATTGTTGTTGCTGCTATAATGAAACTCGTCGGCCTGGCTGCTTTCTTTGGAGGTCCTTTAGCTCCAAGCATCACGATCGTAACTGTTGCTAACATCGTGTTAGGTCTTGATGAAGGCATCGGAAAACACATCATCTTCCATCTCGATATTCTCCAGAAGACTATGATCTGGTTCTATATTGCGAACTCCGCATATGTCACGGCGGCGGTGTGTGTTAAGCTTTCTCTGTTGAGCCAGTATCTACGAATCTTTCGAGATGGCTATCGCCGGCGAATTTCACTGGTATTGATGATATTGGTCTCCGTATGGGGCGCCGTTTTTATCTTCATGGCGTGGTTCCCTTGCTTTCCGGTTTCGGGATACTGGGACAAAAGCATGTCGCCGCCAGCAAAATGCTATGGCTTTGGCTACAGGACATTGCCAGAGGCGAAGAACACCTTGTTCGCCTTCTCTGGATCAAATATGATCTTTGACGTGGCAGTCTTCCTCGTGCCACTGACGGAATACTTCAGGCCTGGTTTGAAAAGAAAGCAGATTTTAGCCATGACAGGCCTCTTCGCCTTTGGTTCAATGTAGGTATTCCAGAAGCTTCGATCCTGATGTCCTCGGCTAATCATTGCAGTGTTCTCTTGTTTGCGATCCTTCGTCTATGGAGTGGCCTCAAGTACAACAACACTCTCGTGATGTACGACTTCACATGGTGGATATCAGAAGTCCTCATCTTTTCGTGCCTAGAGATCGACTTTGCAATCATGTGTGCCTCGATGCCCATCTTCTGGCCCAGTGTCAAAGCCGCATGGACCAGGATATATGTCACGCAGGAAGTGACTGTCGTCCACGACCGACGCTCACACTTCATCGATCCCAGAACGGTACAGATGGAGCTGAGCCAACGAAAGAGTCATGAAAGCACATGCAGCTTAACGAAGACTACAATGCAGGAAGCGTCGGACGAAGGGCCGTTCTATACAAGCTTTGACCCGGAGACTGGGCGAGGTCCGGGATCCGGGATCGCGCAGGTCGAGGTGCAGCCAAGTGAACAACCTGTTCGCTGGTTATAGCTATGCTGGTCGTATTAATTCATCGTTCATCGCTTCCTGTTCAAGGACCTCCTGAGCCATCAAAATTCAAAATAATCCAGTTGAGCCTTGAGAGCCACAAATGACGTGTACATTTGTGTGAAGAGTCCAGCTAGCGCACAGTGCCAAAATGACATGGGTTGTTTGTTGTTGTATGCACAGGGTTCTTCGTGTTGGCCATGTTGATGGAGCTAATCTTCGCCCCTACCAAGGTAAGCTTCGCATATTACGTTCCTTGCGCCGATGTCTGCACTCAGCCACAATATTACCCCCGCGATGGCGATTTTTGCATACAAGCCACGGCCACTACAAAGACGTGTCCGTATTCTGACAGTTTTGCGGGAATAGTCAAAAGATAGATCGTTTCAATGTACAATACAGCACACTGCCATCGATGATAAATACTTATATACATGAGTAAACCTTTCCGACTCCGAAGCTCGTCTGTTTGAAAGGCAGAAATTTCACCTGTTTTCATTATAATTCTGAATCGTCGTCTCTAGTCCGTGTAAATGGACTCTTTAGTTACTGCCAATTGTAAAAGCTGAGAAGACTGACATCAATTGATGTTGCCGCAACGAAATTCGACTCTTTACGCTATGCGTTACTTCGCAAAGGCGGAGTGACTTACATAGAAGCTATAGAGAAGCTTTCTCTCTCTCCTCCTTCTCAGCAATGTCTTTGAGATCCTTAGCCCAGGTATTGATTCCGCTTGCGACGGCCCTCCCAGCTAAAAGCTTAACAAAATACGCAAGGACACCATCCATGTCTTCACCCGTCCTGTACACACATCCACCTCCTTCTGTCTCCTCAACCTCATTCCATCTCACCGTCTTCAAAAGAAAATCAGGATATCCCTGAGCACTCCAACATATCTTCCAGGCCCTCTTTTCCTGCTCTGCAACTGGCGTTTCAAACGCTGTGACCTCCATGACCCTCAGTGTTATCTTTCCCCCCATCTTGACGTGGAATTGGCGCCGCTGGCCGATGCTCCAGACTTCTTGATCAGATGAAGTATGGCTATCCAACACATCTACATGATCGGCTTTGGGAACAAAAGTATTCCACGAAGGCCATGTCGACGTGTCGCAAAGCTTTTGCCACACGTTTTCTGCAGGAGCTTTGATGGTGATGGGACCAGAAGAGGCCGAAAACACAGGCATGATCGTTGACACCGAGTGAAAAAGGTTGAGAATCTGAAACAAGATTGTGAGGCCGCTTCAGTAGGGAGAATAACTTAGGATCACCAGCAAAGTCTCTGGGCTATGCCGTGCTTACTGTGTGTAAGGCGCTACGGCCAAACTGCGGGGGCATTTCGGCAATCAGTCGCTATTGCCGTGGATTCCGCGTGTCCCGCAACTCATCGTCAACTTTGACCAGAAAGATGATCCTCCCCGCTCTTTAAGACCAGGAAGCGTCCACGGGTGCTATTCTTGAACACATCTATCACTCGCGGCACTGAACAAGCAATATCTACAGTCCTTTATTCGACAGCAACATTTTCAATCGTGCGGCGAGACACACCTGTAGCATTATGAACATTTGAAAATCAGCTATGATATGATGTTGTGCTGATATCGAATCTTCCTTGGCAAGACTACAAACTACGTAAAAATGCTCGCAAGTATCATGCTTCATATTCTGATTGTTCCATCATTGTCCTGTTCCTTCAATATCTCGCTCCACTTTAGCATCTGCCTCTCCCTCTTCTTCTGTTTCGCACATTCCACCAGCTCAGCAAACAACTTTGAAATGGTGCTACCATGTATCTCGTCACTGGCAAACATACAGCGTGGTTGAATACCGCCACAAACGGACACAAAGCAGCACAAGCTCGACGAAACTTCGCCTCGACGATATCCCCACCATGGTCGATGTCCGGTCCCGAACTGCCTCAATTCAGGTAGAATTACCTGGACGGATACCACTGATAACAACAGGGCGCTTGGTCCAGTGGCAAGACGCGCACACTCAACCATGCGAGCCGCCACTCAACTCTGCCATTGCCGTGGCTCTTGGGGGCGATGCTTAACCGCATCTCGCGACTTCGATCAATCTGTAGCAGATTGACAAAAAGCACTGGCGAGCAGTGGCTTGTCAGAGACCCGTGTTCGGTTCGCGGAGTGCCTGTTATTTTTCCTTGGAGGAGATGAGTGTATCATTCCTCAAAGAGATGATGATGATGCCATAGTAAAACGTAGAGGACGTTCTCATCTTTACATTTCGTTCCTATTTGAGTTTTTTCTTCTGATGTGCATTCCCTAGGTGTAAAGTTTGGCTCTCTCACTTCCTCCACTTTTTCTCTTTCACCTCCCTTATTCCACACCCAACCCCAACACTTCTCCACCCCTCCTCCTCCTCCCCTCCTCCTCCCATCCCACCTATCACACTACATATTCCTCCTCAATCTCCACACTCCCATCAAACAACCACATCTTGAGCCCGTAGTCTAGTGGTAAGACGCCCTCGACAAAATAAACAGTACCACTTCGGCCAGCCCAGGTCAGCCCCAGACCAGGCCGATCCCGGGCCATGGGCAACAACAGCAAGCAAAACAGCAGCAGCCAGCGCCCTGGCCGTCTTGAACTGTGTGTCTGAGGGAGAGCTGTGTTCGAATCACAGCGGGCTCATTTTTCCATGTATTGTATTCTTCGGCGCTTTTTTTGGTTGCGTTGATGCCTTTTCACTGTTTTGTTCTTTCACTTTTTGCGGACAGTCCTTTTTCTAGCGACTTGTTTATGTAAGAGTGTTGAGTGATAGCCCAGGATGGCATTGCAAAACTTGATATTTAGTCGGGTATCCATAATACACACATCAACTCTGTCCCAGTATCTACGTCACAAGAAATACTCCACCGCCCTCGCATGCCAATCAGTCGCCGACTTGCTCCAATCCGTCGTCGCAAGCTCCCTCAACTTGCCATTCAGCGCCATCTCACTCAACGGCACCTCGCGCTTCGCCGCCACGAACCTATCCGCACAACTGTCAACTTCCGTGTCCTAGAGAAAGTAATCCGCCACGGGCTTCTTCGCCGGCATGCCCCGCGAGTCTTGCGGCGCGGCTTCGAATACCCTGTAGCGCCGACCGGGCCCGTCGAGGTTTCGTTGCTGATTGTCGCTGAGGACGGAGCTCATTCGTCGCTCGCCGTTGGGGCCTGCGTTGGAGCCGAGTACCCATCCTCCGCCGCCACCGCCTCTGTCGCCGTTTGTTCTCCGCTGGAAGCCAGCGTTTGAGCCGTCCTCGCCGATCTCGAGGATGGCCGCTACGTTTCCGCAGCGGTAGCAGTAGTTTGGCGCGGACCAGACTGTGACGATGGTCGAGTCGAACATCTCTTTGAAGCCCTCCATGACGAGCTGATGGGCGCGGGCGATGAGGCTGAGGTCGTTCTTGTGGTTGAAGGTTTTGACAATGTCGGCGCCGAACAGGAAGCCTGCGCCGCGTGGTGACAGGCCCCAACCGTCGATCTCGTCGGGGTCGGACCAGAGTAGGTCGCACATGGCGCCTTCGTGGGGCACTTCTTGTTTCCGGTCGAGGAGTCTGATCTTGTCGACTGAGTCGACGAGAGGTGATAGGCCGCCGTGTACGCAGAGGATGGCGCCTGTGTCGTTTCTCCTTGATCCGTTCGCGGAGGATGTTGCTCCTGTGCCTGCTGGACCGACCCGTGATGGCGAGGGTGCGACGGGCGACGATGAGCCCATGTTGGCACTCGCCTGTGAAGCGACGCTCGACTGCGAGTCTGAATTGCGTGCGTATCGATACATAATCTCGCCGTTGGCGTTGAGCGTTTCGATCTCGATATCTTGGTCGAGATCGGGCATGCTATCGAGGTTGCTATTCTCTGCGATGGGACCATCTGTGGGTTGGAGCGATGTCGCAGCGCCCTGTACGAGGGCGCCAAGGGCTAGGTAGTCAAACACTTCGCAGCAATATCTGCCAGAGTCAGCATGTGATCGAGTTCAGGCTTTGGGGCTAGCATACCTCCACACATTGACGCTTCCGTACTTGCGCAAGCATTCATCGTAGAAGCCATACACAGTCGTGATCTGCCGCGACTCGTGGTTGCCGCGAATCAGTGTGATGCGGTCGGGGTATCGTACTTTGAGGCAGAGAAGGAGGAGGAAGGACTCGAGCGAGTAGAAGCCGCGGTCCACGAAGTCGCCTGTGTAGTAATTAGCTTTCTGGCTGCGCGTGGAGGAGTAACCGCCATACCCATGAAGAGGTAGTTTGTATCTGGAACGTCACCACCGACGCGGAATAGCTCCATGAGGTCGTGGAATTGTCCGTGAATGTCACCGCATATCTAGATGATAGTGCGATTAGCTTTGGCATGGCATTCGCTTTGCAAGATGCATACCGTCACAGGCGCATCCACTCCCACCACATTGCCCTCCTCTATCAGCAGCTCGCGTGCCTTGTAGCATAGCTCTCGGACTTGGTTTTCGGGGATCGGACGACATGCTCGCAGCTGCTGTATGGCTCTGCAGTGCTGTCAGTCTGGTTCAATGTGCGATTGCCTCAAGAGGCTGTCTTTTCTTACTTGTCGAGATCGCTACCACCAATGCTCATGATGGCTGCTGTGCGCTTTGGACCCGCGCTGGGTTTTGCTGTGTGCGAAAGTGCAGTCTATCGTCGTATGCGCTACTGGCCCGGAGTTGGCTATCTGGATTATACGGTGGTGTGCGGCTCGATAATGCGGAGGCTGGTGGCGGGGATTGACGGCGCGTGGCTGCAGCTATGCTAAGGCGCAGGCTTCTTGGTGCGTTATGGAGGCAGCTTTATCGCGACTACGACTGGACTGCAAACTTGTGTAGAGCAGCTTTGCTATGGCGATGTCGGAAACTACATGCCATGTCGTATGCACATGTTCCGAGGCGGCGGGATCGTCAAAAGTCGCAGGGATCCGCCGTTGCGCTAAAGCTTGGAGCATTTCACTCCACCAAATGTTCATCACCACCGACAACCCCGCATTCCACCCTCTCCAGCGCTGCTAATCGTCTGAAGCACACCAATTGGCCCAGTATGCACACAGAGATGAGGCTCCGAAAGTCTACTAACAGCCTCAGCACCCGGTAATGCCGTCGCGATACCTTCAATAAATCTTCCACTCCCTCGAAATCGGGCACAAGATGCCGCCACATCTGCACCCGCGGTCGCGCATGACCACCTCGCTCTTTACCACGACCCTCATGGTCTCCTTCCTCGTAGTCGCGGCGCCACATCTCATACCATGTCCCGTCGACCCGCGGACGCTCTCCGCAGACTCCGCAGATCCCACCAACCCAAATAGGAGGCGGCGGAGACGGAAGGTGCCAGAAGAGGAGACGTGCAATGAAGCCATGGGCCAGGATCTTAGGAATAAGATGCTGTTGGACGAGAAGCTAGCACCAAAGCGCGAATGTCCTTTGCCGAAGCCAGGCGGGCTGATTGGCCAGGTGCTCGGCTTGAAGGAGGAGGGCGGCGACGTTGAGAGGATCTCGATCAAGACTCGGGTCGAGCAGGCGAGGATAGAGGCACAGTCGAAAGACGAGGACCAATAACAGCGACTCCTACTCACCGGATCCAAACGCCTTCAGACGTTATTAGACGTTCATTGAAGACGCTGTAGTATATTGTACATACCACCAACAGGCTATGTATTGCATCAAACGGAGAGGAATGTATATAATAGAACAAGAGAACTCTCAACACCTGCATTCATCACACGACCACAGCTTCTCTCTATATGGAGGCAGGCAGCGACCTA